ATAATTTACATTATTCAACCAATAGGACGACATAACAGAAGCCCAAATCATCTTTAAAAATAACTCAATTAGTGGAGAATGACCTAACAATTGCAATTTATAAAAGAGATTTAAGAAGGAATTTTTAGACTTTTCAATTATTAGTATGAAAATGGAACTTGAACACACCATATACTACAATTCACTAGTGGATGAACAGCTTTGCAGTAAATAAACTTTTGAACCTTTCCTTTATCTAAATTGCTACATTTGTTTGTTTGAATATTTTTATCAATTTAATTTGTTTTACAGCATTATATTTTCAAAATGAGATGGAACTGAATTAACCCATAGTTCAGCAACAATGTTTTTAAGTTTTGTAATCATGATATCATACTGCAACATTATAATTATTTAATAATGTTTCAAATTCATCAATAATTGCACAACGATTCATTCTAATAGCAATTATTTATAGTTTTGAATTTTATACAATAAATATTGAGTTGGAGAAGAGAACACTTTGTTGTTTATTATTTAAAACTATGTTAAATATTTGAAATTATCGACTTGTTGCAATTGTTAGTATTTTGCCTGATATTGTTGCAATGCTTAAAATAATATTAATCTTCCAATTATCAAGTTTGTTAAAATTATAAACGAAACAATTTTTTGGTTTCTATCTAATGTTTTCAAACAGAACTTACAATTGGTCAACCAAATGAAGAAGGTAATCTAATCAGAGGCCTTCCAACCTATCAAAGTACAACTAACTATTATGGATATCTTGCAAATGACGCAGAAATTATAAACGGACATGTTAATGGTCATTACAAGTGTAGTTATACATATAGCAATACAAATGAAAGGAATTGGTGGATGGTTGATTTAAAAAATATTTACAAAATAATTTCTGTATGCCTATTAAATAGAGGAGATCATCAGTTTTGTAATAACATAATTCTTAAGTTTTTGGTAGAGTGTTTATTTTTATTTCAAACTTTTCAGATACATTATTGAAAAATTTTGATATTTTATTGAAACAATATCCATTCGATGATGATGAAAACGATAAACTCTGTGGTAGTTGGGGAAGTACACCTGTTAAGAAAAGTGTAAATTTTCTAAGTGATTATGAATGTTTAAATTGTTCATCTAATGCTATTGGATCTTTCCTACAAATACGAGCTCAATTTTTGAACACATTTGTTGGAATGTGCGATGTTAAAGTTTATGGCGAACTCGTTGAAAAGAGAGGTTTGTTACAATGATGAATAATTTGTTTTTCACATTTCTTATTCACTTTTGATCATTTGTTTAGATTTTCAAATCATCAGTTTGTCCCATTCAGAAAATTTTGACAAAACATTTTCACTAACAAAACTCAGAGATGAAAAATATGAAACAATATTTTCAATGGAGAGAGAAAATGATGTTTTCTTCAGGCTGGATTTTATGGAAAACATTCGTGTATATGGGGTTATTATAACCTGTAGAAGAGGTATGACCCAATGATCATGTATAACATATGTAGTTATCATCTTCTACTCTTCTTTCAGGAGGGCCTAATAAGATATTTAAAAATGTTTATATATCTGTAAATAATTCTCCACAAACAATTTTTAATATAGACAATAACTTTCTTGTGAAGAATTACACAACATCAATTCCACTGAATAAGTATGAAACTCATGGCTTTTTTAAAACTGTACCAATGAATGGAAGATATCTTCTTATATCGCTCTATGACAGTACTTTTGATACTGTGATATATAAATTAGAATTTAGTGAATTAGTTGTCTATGGAATTTCTGAAAATAGCGAACATCAAAGTACAGACAATTAGCAAACAATTCATTATTAAACAGTTTTCATTAAATTACAGATGTAAAAGAATTAATCAATTCCATTGAAATTAGAAGTTTAAATGTAAAATCAATTCTAACTGATAATATATACTTTGGTGTTGTAGAATCAAATTATATCAAAGTTAATCAAAGTGAAATGATTAAAATACAAACTCCATCATTTAAAATAGCATCATTCTGCATAACTGGTAAAGAATTGAAAACTTAAATTTTTTTTCTATAATTCTATTATATCTTCTCTCTTTGCAAAACAGTATTAAATACTTATGTTACAAACGGATTTATTGTTAAAATGTTTAAATCAAAAACTGATCTAATTGGCAAAGAATTTCTTCTTAGTACAAATTTCTCATCTTCACAGACATGCTGTCTTAACAATTTGAATTATGTGACAAAATATATTGAATTGACTTCTAAAGATCAACATACCATATCTGAAATTGATATCACTACAAGTAATGTTTCCATTCTTTTGCATAATTTAAGAAATGATATTACTCATTAAATTTCATCATTACAACATAATTGCTATTTTTTTTTACAATTTGAGAATATGGAGCTGTTCATATTTGAAAAAAAACTCTATATTCAACACTAAACACTTTAATAATTAAGCTGTTCAACAACAATTTAATTTCTCTTGTTGAAAAGTTTTATATGTTTTTTAATATTGCAAATACTTTTCAATCTCTCCTAAGGAGTGAGGTATTTTCAATTTCAGAGTGCTCCATCTATTATACTCTTATATTCTACTTTATACAATATAATAATGAATTGCTGTTTTGGTGGAGGCGGCAAGACGGCTAATTGGCTTTATACAGATATTATGCAACAGGTTGAGCTAATACAAATTTGTTTTTGTAGGCTAAAAAGTATGTATTTATAGAAGATTGACAAAGGAAGAATAAAATTGATAAAACTATTTTTGAATTGTTCTCAGTTATTAATGATTGAATGCAATTGGAGAATTCTTCTGACAAACAATTCAAAAGCTTTAATATCTTCTTTTTCCTTTGTGGTTGTTAGTAAACAAAGATTTTGAAAATATCCCAGCACGTATGTTGAATCCTAAAAAAAGGTATTTACATAATATTAATATCATAAATATTGAAAACTTGTAAAAAAACCTGTTTGAAACAAATTCGAGTATTGTGCAAGCATTTAATTGTTTGTAAAACAGCTTTAATGCAAAAGAAAAATTCAAAATTTTTATGAAAAGATTTCTCCAAAATAAATTGTTTTGTTGCATTTTCAGTTTTCTCTATATAATTATGAAATTGAATCATCCCTGCTATTTCCTTTTCTCCTCTCATTTCATTTTGTAAGCATTTTAAAACTGTAATTTTGATAGGAAATTTACAAGAATTGAAAAAGAAAAAGAATCAAACTTTTATAGTATTTTTGTCAATATTTTTATCAATTTCATTTTTTCTACAAAGAATAGAAAAAGGAAGAATCGTGTCAGTAAAATGGAGTTGTTTTTATGCAGAAATTGTACATTCTTTCCTCTCTTTCTTCTTTAGTTCTTTTAGTTTTATTATAAATTTCACCAAAGATATAAATTATAGGATTTACAGTAGAATTTATAACCCTATACAATTTCAAAGATATGGTTTTTCAAATATTTAATAAAGCATTTCTGGACCATGATTTACCAGATCTGTTGAACTGTTTAATAAAAGCATTATTATCTTCTACAAAACAGCTTCTATGATGAAATTCAAGTTTCCAAAGTGTTGGAATAGGAAGATCTTTGCCCAATGCAAATACTCTCAAATTCCTGCCTTATAAATTCTGCAGAGGAAAGATCAATACTCTGTAACGAGTTGCATTTATTCAAAACAACAGCAATATATGATTGTTCTTTTCTTGTAAATTGACAATTTCTATAGTTATTTATTAAAAGTGCAGAAGGATATATGATGGAATATTTTCGTTTACTCAGTTGGTGGATATTTAAGTAGTTTCTCGACTCCATTCGAAAGCCCTCTACTGGAATCTGAAAGTAGGAAAATAGGGGATTAGCAAGAGCGATGGGCAAAAACGCAATCAATCGCTTACCCTCCGTCGACCATCTGAAGGGTTTATAATAAGCATTTTCCCATACTGTCTGTAAGATATTAATGAAACGCCAAGGTTACTAAATAGGAGGAAACGCCAATGAAGTATGATATTCAGCCAGTCCCCTAACAAACACTTTGTTTCTTCGAAAACCATTCTTGACCAAGTCAATTCGATGACATTCGCCAGCAACTACAAGTTTAAAGCTACAATCACCATTTTGGCATACCATCAAATGGTAGCTTTTAGCACAAACGGTAGAAATTTTAAAAATAAAAAATTATAATTGTTGTATTTATCTATTGTTTTCTACTAAAAGTAATATATAAAAATGGACTAATATATCCAGGGCCGAAATATTCTATATGCCTTTTTCAAGGAGGGAAAGAAATAATTAATGGAACTTGTTTAAGTTTTCCATTTTTTTTAAATTCTTGACTGGAGAGCATTTGAAAAAAACGTTCCTTAGCTACTTTAAATGTGACATCAAGGTACCAAATATTCCCCTTTAACAACAACTCCAAATGTCCAATGTTGAGGAGTGGAAGGGTTGTTTCCAAATCATCCTCTCAAGTGATTAGATTGAGATCTGATGATTGGGATAAAATATTGAGGATTTATATACAGTGAGGTTGGTTTCCAACATCTAATCATCACTTTGCTGTTGGGATATGTCTAGTTCATATTTATCTTTAGTAACATGATGTTTCAAAGTTTAGCATTAGTTTAATTTGGCCACACTTTAGGAGGGCTAAGACAAAAATTGCTTCCACTATAACCAACTTGAACTTTGTTTAATTATTTCTTTCCCTCTAAAAATATTTGATATCTCTGATTAGTTCCATTATCAAAAGCTAAATATAACATAATATTTCGATTTTGAAATTATATAGATTTTCTTTCATAAATCGAAAAATCATCCTCAATTAAAGGTTTTATTGAATATTCAAAAAAATTTTTATCATCTTAATATGGACCATAATCTGGATTTTTTCCGAGTGTACATTCTTCATAGGCCGAAATAATTTCCCATAGACCATAAAATATACTTAATACTCTTCTGTCTATCATTTTGTTAAATGTTTGTAGACAAAAAAAAGGCAAAGGTGTATTTATGCTTTAAGAAGAATATGGTTGGTATAATTGAAAATGTAAATATTTCTTACATTAAGATATCTTTAAGTCAGTTTAAACATCTGCAATAATATCTGTATTAAAGTTTAAAAACAACTACAAAACTGCAATATTTAATATGAAATTGACAAAATAATCCTATCAATATATGGAGATCCTAAAGAGGTAAAGGAAGAGACAAACTATTTTACAGCATGACAATGCAAAACACCATACCAGTCCGTACAGGGATGGTCTATATGTTCACATCCCCAAAACAGCCCTGATTTGACCTAAAAGATATCAGGGGAGTTGATTACGAAAATTTGGATGAGCTAAAAAACGACATCAGGAAATATTGAGGAGAAACCATCGTCCTTGCATCAGAATGCGACAGATCTACTTCCATCCAAATGGCAGACATGTATAAAGAATGGGAGACTATTAAAGAATAAAAGAGTTAACTATTCTAGGGTAGACTATAGGCTGTAATAAAATAAATGATAAATAATATTTCAACTTTTGCTGTGAATTTCCTTTCCATTCTACTTTGCTTGAACAGAATATAAGGATATATGTATGCATAAATGCACGAAATCTTTTCCTTCTATTTTATTAAACTCATAAAATTCATTATTTAAAAATTTTTTCAAGCAAAATTATGAATAGTCTATTGCGCAATAAATTATTATAATCTTTACAGTCCCGTATCCTTATATTAATATATTTGATGATACATAAATAGTAGTTCGCTCAGTCATGCAAACTAAATTGAAAGTGTATAGATTCTTCCCTAATTGATGATAATTTTTCAAAAATGTTTAGTCAGAAACAGAATGACACAATGAAGCTTCTGTTTGGTGCAAAAAGAAAGAGGAGAGGGTTTTGTAAACAGGAAAGAAAATGGTAGATGGAAGAGTGGAGGAGGTGATACTTTTTTAAGCATCCAAAGAGAAATAGCAACGTAGAAGGAGAGACTTTATAAGAGGACCTATGTGACAACTGGTTGTGACCTACGTTTGTTTCAAACGGCCATAGCTCCTAAACGGTTGGGCCGATTTAGCTCAAATTTTGTATAGTGGTTTGTGCGCCCTGTATCTAACCCTATGCCAAATTTCAAGGGAAAGACCAGAGCTTTGCAAATAAATTATGTGTTAAGTAAATGAGTTTCAATCTAACAGTACAGTGAAGTCTATGGTTAAAGACTGGAGGCTGACAAGCTTTGAAAATATTGTATTTATTAACTTTTTTGTCTCTTTATGTAATGACCATGCAAGGAATTTTTATCTAAATAATTTTAAGGAAATTTAGATACACATTTATATTGAAAAAATGTCTTCCAAATGAAAATACTGTCAAAAGAGTTTAAACTCAAAACAAAATAAGACATGTCTGTTGTGTAGACATGTTTGTCATGATATTTGCCTCAAAGGTTTGTTATACTTTTCATTATTATGCATATCATTCCAAACTTATAACATGCAGAGCAAGATTTTTGTAATTCATGGAAAGGCTATCAGACAATTTGCCAGTACAAAATGACAAACAGACTGAAAGGAATAAGCTAACTATGGAAAACTGAAATTGAATGAAAAATGAAAATGAACATGAATTTGAATATGAATCTGAAACAGAAAAAGAAAATCAACTGGAAAAAAGAACTGCAGTAGATTGTATTGAAACTGACAAAATTAAAATGGAGTCACTTGGGTCTGAATCTTCAACTATTTTAGCAAATGGTAATCATAAGAATCTTCATCAATTTGGAAATAAAGAGGTTAAATTTATATTTAATTTATCATTATGTTCAATTTTAGTATTTGTGTCTAGCTTGAACTATTATTTGATTTTTCAAATGAAGATTCTATGGAAATTGGTGATTCATCTGATGAAACTTATACACTAAAAATTTCCACAACTTCAGTGAATGTTTCTGATGAAAGCTCATTTGAAGAAAGTCGTAACAAATTGACAAAAGAATCAAACCAAGAGAATTTTAAGATTCTTAAAGAAGGATCGAGAAGAGGGAAAGATGTTTTGCAGCGAAAAAACAATCAGTTAGACAAACAACATGGGTCTGCAGCAAAATGATGGGAAAATACAAATGTCCTGCAATTATTGTACTAAAAGGATCACAATTTTTAGAAAAACAAAATCATTCAAATGAGAAAAGTTCTACACATGAAATTGAGGCAACTGCAATCCTCTTCTAACACTAACTGAATAGTACATTGTAAAGATATTTTCTTTGGAGAAATATTTTATTCAATAGATGTTCCACATACAGTTAATAAACTGACTGATAGGCCTCCCCAAAATTCAAATTTTTAGACCTACTGACTATACAACATTTTAGCAAATATCAGCTAAGTGGATGTTTTCCATAGCTAACCCAATCCCCAGGCAGGACAAACAACCTACTAAATATCGTTATCAATTTTTTCTATTAGAAAAACTATAGATCAGGGTCACCCTACAATATGGTAACAAAGTTCATAATTTAATAGATGAAATACTAGCTATAATTGTCTTTATTTCTTGCGATTCTATTATAAATTAAGTGAAATTAAACTGGGGAAAAAACTGATGAATCTAGGCCTAATTGAATTATTTTTTGTAATAATAGACAAAGGGAGAAGATATTCTACTCGAAATCTAATATTGTAGTTTTTGAACAATCAAACGTGTAAAACCAGCAAAAGAGAGATTATATATTTATGTTAAATTAAGGAAATAATGGAAGATTATTACATTTAGATTTCTACTCTCAAACTATAGAAAAGAGTTATGTTTATGCAAGAATTTTTCAAAAATCTTATAGAGTTTGCACGAATGAAAGTGAAAATGATGTTTCTCTGTCGAAATGTCTATTCTCTATGATCTTCTCTATGAAAATTCTAATGATCTTCGTACTATTTCTGGCATTTTGGAAGTTTTTCAACAAAATCAATGGTGGTTAGTTTGTCAAACTGATGGAAGGTCAAAGGACGGAAGGGAATGACTATTTCTTAGAAAAGTAAAAAGCATATGAACTACCCATACTAAAAAACAGATAAATTTAAGCCCAAAGGGTTTTTTGCTTGTAAACCAAAGACGTCATTTATTAGTCTGGGGAGTTTTGTATTCAATTGTAAAGATTCGGGTATTGTTCTAGATAACAATATTGGCTGGGTTTACTTAAGAATAATCACAACAGAACCTATTCTTGAACTAAGCAATAAATCAATGAAATTTGCGATTAGAATTGCTATTAATAAATTGCTAATGTTCAATTTTTTTTTAATAAAATGCATTAATCTTGCCACATTAAACGGAAATAAAAAATTATCGATTTTAGGCCAATAAACGTTATTTATACTCAGGAAATTGGCTGTATGAAAAATTGCTATTTTTCACAACTTTTTTACTTTTTACCTTCCCAAACAATTCAAACAAAAATGAAAATATTGAATGAACTTACGTTCAATTTGAAACCATTAAAAGTCCAAGAGAAGAAAAAAATAAGAAGGTCAGAAAAAGGGAAGAGTTGTTATTGATCCCTTTTAAAAACTCATTAAATAAGAAAACAGAAAATCATAAAAGGATTACAAATAGAAAGAGGGGACGAAACTTTACATTAATCCACTAACCTGACTGTAAGAGTGTGTGCAAAACTTCAAAAAGGTTGTCGTGGTTTGTTCTTGCATCGTTTGGTGCGGCGTTCAAAACGGCCGCAAACGTTTCAGCGTCTAATCGCTAAATATAGATTTTTGTCAGATTATAATGAGAAAATGATCAATGCTCTATATTTATGCAGGTATTTGTTAACCTTTTTAAATGTAATTTTGTCCTACCTTGTTATCGGCCAACGCTTTGAGATAAATATCGGCAGTCTTGCAGGCAGCCTCTTTATTCGCCGAATCTGTTTCTCCCACTTGTACCATCTCAACAACAACTTCTGGAGGAAGTTGAGCGAGGTCGGGGGCTTTTAACCTCGGAACTAACTTGGCACAAAGTCTTCTTAAATCGTCTTTTACGTCACACTTTAATCTCTCAGCTTCCGATAGCAATTTGACAGCTAATTCCGGATTAAGCCTTTCTTGAAGAGCATGCTTTTCGCCAACTTTATTTTCATCCCTAAATACTTTCAATAGGACATCGTCGAGGAGATGCTGTCTTTCTTCATCAGCTAATTCAACATGTTTCTTCTTGTCGGTTTCTTCTTCAGTCTCATCTTTTTCATAAATAAATGAAATCTGCAGATAGGAAATGAGCATTTCACCAATAATATGAGGCCTCATATTCTTCTTTCTTGCAGCCCCAAGTAGTTTTTCGAACCAGTTTGAACTTAAACCGGTTAAAGTTTCAGTTACCTAATATTTTAATGAAAGAAAATATAATACTAAAATAACCGCAAAATATTCAAGAATAAAGGGCAAATGTTAGAGAATTTTACCTGTTGACGTCCACTGATGCTTAGGACATCAATTAATGCAGATACACATCTATCGACAATTCCAGCTTTGTCACTAATATCTCCCAGTTGTTCACAAACAGCTAACATTTCAATCGAAACGGAAGTTGATCTCGAATTTTTGGCATTCCTTAAAAGATCATCGATTACTCTGTCGCAAAATGACGCCAAATTACCAGTGGTTTCCATTTCGAGTAAATGGGCGGCGCATCTTGTTTGAACGACATTTTCCTGGCTTAAGGAGGAACGTTCACCGTAACAAAATTCGGAAACAATCTCAAAAATTTCCTTTCCACCAGGAAAATTTGAAAGTTTCAATACGGCTTTGTTATCATTGCATTCCGATATTTTCTTCTTTAGGTAATCGCTCTTAATAAACATTGGAAATTTATGCAAGTTGAATTCCGAATCATCTATCTGAATAGTTAAATCAGATAGTTCTCCGCTCCTCCTCCAAGTGTTCAATTCGTCCATTTTCCTTTAAAAAGTTCCTGTAACTTATTTATTCCTTTAGTTCTTGAACTAGTATCTTATTTTTATGGACGAATGAAACAAATTTCATTCGAGAAGACTGCAGAAATAGATATGAACGATTTCAGGTGTGGCGCTGATCAAGTTTGAACATGTTGTCGATTGATTGCGCCTATAAATTATTGATGCGTTTTAATAGGCCTATAGTTTATCTAGGAAAGATGTTTCTTAGCACGCAAGTTTTGTTATTTTCTAACATTTCACTAACACTTATTAATAGGCCTATACCACACGAATAAATAATTATAACCCATTCTTTTTATGGCTGAACTAAAAGAGTAGCAAGACAAAAAGCGAAAGAGAAACAATAAAGGAACTTTATGTAACACTGTATTGTATATATATAAATTCAAAGAGATATATAATCGTTGTTTCTTTATCAACATTCATTGAAATAACAATATAATCAAAGGTGAAGAGTATTTTAATAAACATTAATGTTTAACTATTGACAGAATGGTGAAAATTTAAGCAAAGTAGGCCTACAAAAGTTATAAAAATATATGCATTAGGCTTATAGCATTGACCTTCTAAAAGGAGTAATAGGGTGAGAAGAATGTGTGTGTTTTATTTCAGTATATAATTAAATAATGATTGAAACATAAATAGAAGCTTATAGGGTTCTAGTAGAGTTGTTAATCTGCCATGGTAATTGATTAAATTTAAATATAGCCATCCCCCATGTATGAGTGCCCAGTGTTACTATTAAAACTCCAAATATATTCAAAATCCATCCGGCTTTTATCATATCTACAACTTTTAAACGCCCTGTTGAAAAGACAATAGCATTTGGCGGCGTTGCTACTGGAAGCATATAAGCAAAAGAAGTTGATGTTGTGACAGGTAACATGAGATATAGAGGATTTTTTTTCATATTCTCTGCCATACTAGCCATTATTGGCATAAGTAGTGTTGTTGTTGCAGAATTTGATGTAACCTCAGTGAGCATAGCTACAAGCAGACATATTAGACCAACCATTACCGCACTTGGTAATCTGTCAAAAGTTGCCAACTTTTCACCAATCAATGATGATAAACCAGATTTTGAACAAGCTTCAGCCATTGTAAAACCACCCCCAAAGAGTAGTACAATCCCCCAAGGCATGCGATTTTGGACAAAAGGCCACGTAAGAATATAATCTCTATCGTCTGCACTTTTGCTGAATGGACGTGTTGTCGGTATAATAAACATGAGAGTAGATAAAAGTATTGACGGAACGGCTCCCGTAACGTACCTATGATACGAAAAACACTCTTATTTGTCAATTATGTCAATAATTATAAGTTAAAAAACAAACCCTGGCCTAAATGCTGCCGACCAACCTGTCATAAATTGAGGTTCTCTAAAAAACCATAGGAGAACCAAAGTAGTAAATATAACAATGACAACAATTTCTTGATATTTCATATTTCCGAGTTTTGTATACTCCTCTTTTATCATATCTTGAATTCCATGATCCCTTCGTTCCAAATCTGTTTTTTTTCTTCGACAGCATGAAAAAAATTCCCTAAAGCCAAGAAAAAGTATCGATAGCCATAACCAAGTTAATATAAGGATCATAGAAGCTATTGGCAAACCCCAGCCAAGATAGTTCGTGTAAGTTAGTGCAGTTGTGACGTTGTGCTTTTCATATAGATCATCGACGAATCCTTTCATTACCATATTTGAGCCTGTTCCGGTCAACGTTGCGGTTCCACCGCAGTTTGCCGCGTAAGCTATGCATATAGCTAAAGATTTACCGAAATTACTGTAATCTTCGTCAGCGAATCCACTTAATTGAGAAAGTACGGCTTCAGCTACAGGAAGCATCATAGCCGTCGTTGCAGTATTTGAAATCCACATACTAAGTAACCAAGTAGCCAGCATAAAGCCAAATATTAAATTAGGTTTCCTTTCGCCAACAATTAACAAAATTTTCAGAGCTATACGGCGGTGAAGATTGCACTTTTCAACTGCTAAAGCAACCATGATAGCTCCCATAAACATCATAGTAGAATCTTTAAAGTAAGTCTTACTGGCATCCTTAGCTCTTAAAATACCAAAGAGAGGTAACAATACAACTGGTAGCAATGATGTAACGGCCAATGGTAATACATCCGACATCCAGTACGACGCAACAATAATAAGAACATAAGCGCATTTTGCCTCGCTAGTCTTCAGTACTATTGGTATTGGCATAAACAGAAGGGGTATCAAAATAAGAATCACAAGTCGCCAATTCGCTTTAAACCATGTTTTAAGAGACATCTCATTAACAACTAATGAGTTCAAACTAAAGTAGTAGGCGTTAACTATTTCTGATACGATATTCTTTGCTCTTCATGACCCAAATCGGAAAAGAATTAAACTAAAAACAAGTCTTTAATATAACTTTAATTCTAAACCTTTGATGATTATTAAAAATGGTCTAATTTACTTTCGAACATATTAACAAGTAAACATTTTGCATATTCTTTTATAAATACTTTGTTATTTGTATTTTTAAAGTTCAAGTATTATCTAAAATATCTTTTTAACTATGTATAGATGCACTATAGTTCAAATGTTGAACGGAAGTCTATCTAATCATCCTCTTCTGATAGAAATTTTCTCTTTCTTGCCGTTCTCATAAACGGTCTGTGAGCCCATTCGACGTCAGCACTGTCAGCATTTTCTAATGTACCTTGGATAATTTTGAATAATTTCATTTCAAATCTAGGCCCAACCTCTGTTAGTTCATTACTCGGACCCTCTTTTTTATAAGTATGATGGCGGAAGGATATAGTGTCGTCATTATTGTAAAAAGTTATTATTCTCCTTGAGTCAGATTTTGGAACAGGGAACAGATATTTTAATATATTGGTAACACGTTTACCGAGATTTGACGTTAAATTTTGAAATATGAGATGAGGGAAAGCTTCTGATACTTTAGAATTTTGAGCTTCTGGAACATCATGCCTCATAACTGTATGTAGGAGAGTGAAATAAGCGGTTGGACCATAAGGTAAATGGCTTATAATTATTCCGTCAGGAACTCCACGATGTTCAGATAAGATGACTAAATCTGAAACTTCATTTGCTCGGCAGGCATGTATTAATTGCTTTAAATCATAATTTCCTCTATTTATCCTCTTGCAATTAGGGAATATCAATCGCATTTCCTTAGCAAATTGTTTTAATCTGACAGAAGGATCTCTAGCTGTCGTCAGAACTAGTTTGGGATCAGAAACTCCCGCCCATCTATATTCGTCATCCTGAGTCGAGGTTGTTCCTTCACCTCCTTCATCATCCCATGCTGTAGCATTATCTAGTTCAATTGCCTGTTTCCTTAGTGTACCATCTATCATCTTATTGTTGTCAACAGCTGACTTTAGCTTTTGCTTTTTGTCTCGAATAGTTCTCTCCCTGTCTTCTATAGACTTTCTATATATAAACTCCCGTCGGAGGCGGGTTTGTCTGCGTAGCTGTTTTAAGGATAAATTATTATATTTTAATCAGTGCTATTGAATAATAAATAAATACCATAATTATAAGGATCCAAGCTTAACAAATCGACACCGAAAAAGCACGTTGTTTAATTGTAAAACATTCAAAAGTTCACCAGTTTCCAGAGACGAGTAACGCTAAATACCGTGTTTTATAAATTATATACTCCGCAATGAAAAAAAGATAAAATAGATTTAAAAATGTAGCGAGAGAAATTGTAAACTATATATAACATATAATTTCTTTACTATCAGCATGAAAAGTGCGTGCAAACTCAAAGGAAAAATTATTCTGAAATGTTCCGTTCTAGAACGACGCTGTTCTTGAAGTTTTTAAGGAAACATTAAAGTTGATTCAGCTGGAACTTTTAAATTATAATCTTTCGGACTTATTCTACCAAAAGATTCTTCTACTTTTAGAATGGTTTTTGGAAGAATCTTCGTTAAGTTTTCCGAATCTTATGTTTATCATCAATGACATATACACCACTATACAGTTTGGATTGGTATTTAATAGTGGATTTACTCTCGAAACTTTCTGATTTACCAGATAACTTACACTCCTACAGGAGTTGAGTTATCTTTATCAGTGCAAAACTGAGATATAACTCTAAGTAAAATTTAATCAGCAGTTTTAAATTTTATTTTTAATATTAACATTTTAACCTTAAGCTAAATTGGAACCTAAATCTACAATAGAGTTCTCTATAATTTTTAAAGTTTCTATGGAAAAGTCTTTAAGAGACAAGGAATATAACAATGGTTTATTTCTGTCTAATTTCGCCGTTAAAGATCTCGTCAGCATCAACATTTCAGGCTATAAGTAAATTTGAATATAATAATTGATTGATGTTTGTGTTTTATAATATTACCTTTTCGATACCAAAAAGGACCTTGTTAGTGAAGCTAACAGGATCACTTGTTTGAAGACTATATCTTGAGGCTTCAGGATTAACGTCCTTGCAAGAATGGATCTTTAAGACACATAAATGAATTGATTAGTATTATTTATAAATATTTGGATAGTACTAATAGTAGATAACGATTTCATATGGAATAATAATTTTTTGTGCTGAGTAAGCCATAGTAAAAGATACTCACTAATGTTCCAAATTTACCAAATTGAGTTATGTTTATGAGAATTCTGTCATCAAATTCAATCCATGAAATATCGACTGTACCATTAGTAATTTCAACCAAGATCTGTATTATCGTTCATTTTTTAACAAAAATTTTAACTGATTTTAACGTGATATACAATAGCATAGTAATCAATTATAAAAACATATTAATAGCTATTGAAAGGCAAGCATAAAAATGTTAAATTAAATTACATGTTTACTCAATGGATAACATCTTTCTTGCCCGCTCATATTGCCACACTTTGAAATTTAACTAACTGTAGGTGGCGTTATTTTTCCCGCTGGATTCTCGTAAAAACACATAAAACTTTTGCTTTTTTTAATAAATAATCACACGGAAAAATTAAAATAAATTAAATATTTTATCTTAATAATAAAATAATATTGATATTATTGCCGCATAGGCCTAAGTTTCGAAAAAGATCATTTTTACAGTTGATATTATTGAATAAGATGTGAAGTACCAAAGAAAATATAAATATAAAAAATATATCTGATAAAATTAGTATATTAATTAATATTTTTGGATATAAAGTCATAAAATAAAACCTGAAAGTATAAATAACATCATTTATATATTCATAATTTCTTTTTTAGTTTAAAGTAATAGTTTGCTACTAACTAGTACTTTAAACATGTGTTTCTTATATTAAAATGACACAATATATTAACTATTCTTTCTACTTCAAATGTCACTTTTTAATTAGTTTCCCGACGACAGACAACTAGGATTTAGAGTTGGAATTTCTCTTTATAATATGGCGGTGTCGTCTGCTTTAAAAAGCGATAAAGCATTTAGTTTAATCTGAGAGACGAAGGGTTTTCGTTATTATAGAAAGTGTAAAAATTTACAGAGCACATAATATCCTCTTCTTCTAATTCGCTGGTCTCCTATATCACACTATCAGCCTGTGACATTTCAACACCTTTTAATTAACTCCAATCACCATTGAATAGAAGAAACATTATGGGAGAAATAGCAAAATATTTAGAATGGTGTAAAACAGCTATTGTCAGTAAATACGAATGCTAAAAGTAAACACAAAGCTTATAAAATATTGCAAATTTTTCTTGTTTACAGGCGAACATAAGAGGAAACAATATCTTGAGAGCAGTTATAGGAAACAGTGCCTGTGACTTAGATTCAGCTGCTTCCGCTGTCTCTTTTGGATACTATTTGCATAAGGTTTCTTTTAGTTTCAAGTGTTTTTTTTTTTAGAAATAATCATCTTTTCATAAGAGATACTTTTAATTCAGACAAGTGAGACAGATAATGCAAAAACAATACCAGTATTGAATATCAATAAAGAGGACTATCCTTTGAAAACGGAAGTTAAACACCTCTTTGATAAATACGGAATAAGTTCATCTTTCCTCCATTTCAAAGATGATATTAATTTAATTGATTATAAAGAAAAAGGAAAGCTTGAGGTTGTCCTTGTTGATAGAAATACATTATCCGAAGACGAAATACCTCTCAAACCGTGCATTACCTACATTGTTGATCATCATCGAAAGCAATGGGTTGATGATGAAAGGTTAATTACACTTTTGTCTTTAATTTATAGTAATTATACTTTCATTTACAGAGTTAAAACTAAAATAGAAAAAGTTGGCTCTTGTAGTACTTTGATAGCTGAGCTAATTTTAAACTCAAGTATTACAATTGACAAACATTTGGCCGAAATGCTATACAGTAAATTAATTATTTAAAAATGAAATTAATCGATTTTTACATCTTGAATGTTTACGTAGCTACAATCATTCTGGATACTATAAATCTATCCAAAGAAGCTGATATAGTAACAGAAAAAGATAAAATCATATTAAATCAATTGGAAAGAAAATATCTACCAAACATAGACCATACTGAAATTTTTAATGAGTACTTTAAAGCGAAAACTGATGTTTCAAGTAAAAATTAATTAATTAATTAATTATAATAAATCTTTGTTATATTCTCTCTCTCTCTCTCTCTCTTCAAGGTCTTACACTTGTGGAAATCTTAAGGAAAGATGTGAAGATTATCAACGATGCAAATATTAAAATTGGAATTAGTTCAATACCGCTTCCGCTACTTGTAAGTTAATTTATTCCCATTATATAGATGTTTTAATAACAATTGTTGTACTAATTAATAAATAGAATAATTATGTTATGCTTAATTTATGTTCTGTCTCTGTTTTTAGACATTCTTTAATAAGGACAACGTCTTTGGAGAATTGAGAGAATTTTCTAAGCTATTTTCGTTAAACCTTGTCGTTATTATGGTATTGTTCGTTACTGAGGATAATACCACAAAACGTGAAATTGCAGTTTATTCAGAAAATAACAAGATAAAAGAGGAGGTTCGTAATAGAAATATAGCGCCACCTATTGTTCGAGTTTATTCACGAGGGTATTATTAAGATTCGAAGAACTGTAGTGTTTAGTAAACTTCGTGCAATTAACATGAAAAGTTCTTTACATTTTCTCCAATCTGATTTATGGACATAAATTCATAATTTGTAAGTGACGTTCATTATATTCAATACTATTTGACTTTAACGCAATTCATATAAAAAAGTATTTAATAATATCTATTATAATCTCTAAAATATTCTCTATTATATAGAACAACTTATATATTAGGAATAACATGACTAAATTAGTCAATTACAGTAGACTGTACTATTATTTTGCAACCCCTATCTCCTTTTTTTCTATGAAAATAGTCAATTATTACGCTTTAATTGTAAAGAAATTCTGTTCTATTTATTTGTTAGTTTGATAAACTGACTACTATTTTCAAACGACTGGTCTAAAGAAAGATTCGATTTGTTATATACAACTATATTATATATATGTATTGATTTTTTTAATAGTCGTATTTCTTCATATTCTATAATTATTCTTGTGATAACAAGTGGAAAATGCCTACAGCGTAGTATTTATCGTTTATACAAGAACTTTTAGAAAAAACCTTAACTTTCTACTCTATTTTGTTAATTATTCACTTGTTTTTTTGTTTCTTTCTCTCTCTCTCTCTGTCTCTGTATTTAGTTCAAATTACTCAATCGACCTAAAAGAGAATTTTATTCGCTACATTGACTAATAAAGCCAAATAAATTTTTTGTATTTTGTAAGCCATTTCTACGGCAATTTACAATATAATATACATTTATTATATATTTATATAAAAATAGATGCGTCCTTTAAAGTAAATAGGAAGAACAAAGATTAAACTTTGATAAGTATAGGGTATTTAACCATAATATTCTTTACGCTCTCTCCTCCTCCTTGCTAATTCATAAATCAGGAAGGAAATGTGATATAAATTATTTATTTAAAGATGAACCGTAATGAATTTATGTAGTCTAGTTTTAGCTAGGCCTATTGTGCTCAAATAAAATAAATGACAAAAACGTCAGAGAAAATGATAAAAACATGAAAGAGAGAGGGGGAGTAGTCGTGATATAGTGTTGTGTAAAAGGGGAATTTGCTTTTGAAGTTAGTTTAATAAATAGTGCATATTTTCTCTCTCTCTCTCCTCTCTCTCCCCTTCGCCACATCTCCAATTCTTTTACTCCCTCTCTGGCTCTTGTTCATTTATTTTATTTTATCTTCTCCTACCTTTTTAACAATGTGCTTTGATGATTCTATTTGTATTGTCTCTCGACGAATTATTTTTACTCTGTTTGTCATTGAATGCAGAAACTTCAGAGAATTAGATTATTTTAATGACAATACAACACATGTCCGGCTTCAAGGTTTCGTGACAACCGTTAATGCAATACCTGCTGGGCTACACGTTTCCTCCCCCTTGTCTCTAGTATCTCTTATTATTTCTTTTTATTGTTTCCTTTTAAAAGTTCACTATCTAGAAATAAAAGTATAACGTTACACAAATATTGATTTTTGCTCGTTGATATTTAGAGAAACGAAGAGAATGTTTTGTAGTTTTCATATGTTAAAAGTTATTCATTTTTTCACTTCCAGGCAGTGAAAATATTAACGAATTGTCGAGAACCGTCTTTGGACTTAGATAGACTTGACTTGCCTGCAGCGTCACAACGTTTTACCTCTGCTTTCATACAGCGTAATGTGAAGGCGTCTAGAAAGGTTATTCTACCACTTTTCCTTAAAAGCTTGTCTTTTTTTCAAGATTAAGTTTTTCACAGGTAAGTAGGTCTATTTTCAGTTATTGTTTATACATTTTTAATCAATGTTTTTTTTATTCCTCTCTTCAGATATATTATTTATTGTTATAAATTACAGAAAGGAAAAAAAATATATATATTTATTTGATTAATTTTAATGGATACGGAAATTAAGAGTTCGGATAACATAAGTTTAAGGGAAGCTAATACTTTTGACAATTATCAAGGCAACGGAAGTAATCAAACTGCCAATTGTTTGTCAAATTTTCAAGGAAGGAGAAAAGATAGTTTTGAAAATGTTCCTAAGATAAAGTCATTTATGAGAGAAAATATGACTATTTTAGAAAATTCTAATATAGTCGAAGCGTCAAATCTTCGTGGGAGGAAAAGTGATTCCCATTTACACGATATTCAGAATTTTACACTAGCAAACGTTATCAGATCTCACTCAACTTCTTTTGATTACAAAATTCCTCATGAGGCTGTAGATTATTGTTTGGCTAAACAGATAATTAACGAGGCTCTCATCAGTTATGAACCACCTTTGACAGATGAATTACTGAACGAAATATTCTATGATGAAACAGAATGCCCAGTTGAAATACAATATTTACCTAACTTCGACATTCTAGGTGGTAATATGGATATTGTTACTTCAAGCTTAAATGACATGGATGTTGAGAGTACTAGTTTCACAAAAGCTTTAGACGGACCAATTCAATTTAAAAAGAATTTGGTAAGCTATACAAAACAACCCTAATTCCTTTAACATATTATATGCACAAATATATATCTTATATATATTTTATATTTATTTACTTAAGAAGCTGTCAAGTAATCATATATTATATTTTCATCATCTTATTCTCTCTCTCTCTATCTCTCACTCTCTATCTATCTATCTATCTTGTCGAATTTTGACACGAGATTAAGATAAGATATTACAATTAGTATATTCTTTTCTTGAATTATTATTTTTTTAAATAAAATATGTGAAAAAAACTTCCGGATTTCCGTCTATGTAAAATCTGTTTATAGGCCTTATTTGCGTTACAACTTAAACAACAAATTCAGCTAAATCTTATACCTAGTTTCCCACCAAAAACCTTGTCTCGCCCCCACCCGCTACCTGTCATAAGCCTGGCTCACCTCCCCCCTTTTATTATAAATTTAACACATTTTGGCCCCCCTTACGTTCTCCCCTGCTTCGAGTTGCTGAAATGAAATATTTCACATTGTATAAATTCTTACTCACTACCAGTATTATCACGAATTGAAGGAAGATTTGTCACGTTTCTGTGTTTCAATCTACCTTCATTTACCTCTTAGCTCTTTTGAGATGAGATTGAAGATACTATAAATACAATTTTTATTTATAGCGTTTATACGATATTAAAAGTTTAGAGATTAGCTATGGATATTATAAAGGAAACTTGCTCAGCTGATAGTGGCATAGATAGTATAGCCGCTGAAAAACATAAGAATGAGAAATTGTCTAGAACTGAAAGTTTAAATCTATCAGATTTTGATATAAATAGCTCAGATGAATTGGAAGATGATGAGAATTTTGATACGTTATATAAAAATGTTATATCTGTTAATCAGGTTAATTATTTACCTTCTTCTCTGGTCATTTTCTCTTCTTTTAATATTATTTCTATTTTCTTTTTTAATGAAACAAGACATATTATTTGTCCTAAATAAGCCTGTATAACCATAAATACGTCTATCATGTAGAGAAAACATTGCCTATTGACAGTATTAAAAAATTCCTTTGTAGAACAAGACGAATGAAAATGGAGATCTTGCGTCTAACTCCCCAAGTAAGTGGTGAAAAAAATTCTTATTTAGATATCAATATTGTCATACATAATATCTAACTATGATTTCCCTTAAAGATATCAACTCCCAAACGAATAGTGATCTACCTAAGAGAAAGATCTTACCAGATTTTGAATTTTCCTTCGATTTCGATGACGATAATACCATTGAAACAACATCTACGATTGATGAGCTAGATGAAAAATTTACGAACAACAATTGGCAAATTGTTTGCATAGCAGAACAAGAGTACGAGATCGATGTCAGAGTCATTGAACCTTATAAGAAAGTAATCTCTCATGGGGGTAATGATCAACATTGCTAATAATTTTAAATATAGCTCAATAATCAATAATTTTAATACAGGATATTATGAAGAAGGTTTTAAAGCGATTATTGTATTTTGTACTTGTTATCTACCAGATAAAAAGCTTAAGGATTATGACTATATTATGGATAACTTATTCTTGTACGTGATATCTACACTAGAACTTTTGGTTATGGACGATTATGTAATCGTTTTCTTTCATGGAGCATCACCAAAAAATAAATTGCCTTCTCTTATCTGGCTAAAAAAATGTTGTGATATGATTGATAAGAAGCTAAAAAAGAATTTAAAACGATTACTAATTGTTCATCCAACGATGTGGCTGAAAACTTTGTTTATTATGGCAAAACCATTTTATAGGTAGGTATACTTTTTGCTCTTATTTCCTTAAATAATAGATAATAATACAATATTTATGGATACAGTTCGAATTTCCGAAACAAGGTGAAATATATTAGGAATTTAAAGAACTTAAAAGAAAATATTTCAACGGATTATATCTTTGTTCCGAAAGAAATCCTTGAGTAAGTGAAATCAATTAATTCCCTTAAGATTATGTCAGGATATTAATTCTTAATCTCCATCTAAAAATAGGTTTGATGTTAAATTAAAAGGAAATTGCTAATATAGAAGAAAAATCAGCTATAAATGGAATGCTCAGTCCATATATAATGAAATTCTTTGCATTTTTGTTTCATGAAGAATAGTATCTTATTTAATTGTTATATCAGTTGCTTATACATACAAAAATATATATATATATATATTGATAGATATTTACATACATACATTGTACATAAAACAGATATATTTATTATTATATTAATATAACTTTGTTAATACTTGAAAGACTTTGTGATCTCTTTTATTATTACTATTATCATTACTATCTTTACAAGTAAAGTAACAAAAACAATAAGTTAAATAGGTGTTTTAAAAAAATTCTTTCATTCGCTCTTCACCTTCTTCTTATTAGTTTCCTTGCTTTCTTTCAATTTTTCTTTAAAGTATTTTAAAGCTTGAAAACTTGCCATTATAACAGGAAATCCAATAGGTAAGAATAGTGGAATATAAATAGCGAACCTTATATAAAAGTATAACATAAAAAACATAGGTATAAGAAAAAATATTATTAGATTAACTTACTTCTGATCTTCAGGAAAGTAAAGTAATTCTAATAAAGATTGATCGAAAAAAGCAGTATCTGAAAGATAAACAATTTTAAATTTAAAGTAGAGAATTATAAAGAAAAAATGAGAGTTACAAAAACAAATGCTATTCTCTCTATACAGTAAAAGATTTACTAACCAGCCGCAAGAAAAGCTTTTCTAGAAAACGGAAAGGCTGTTTTGATATCATCCTTTTCCAAGGCTCTTTTTGCTTCTTGTGCATATTGCAAAGCTTTCTCGACTTCTTTACCAATATCATCGTTAATAATCATATTACGAATTTTATTTACCAGCTCAGTTAGGGAGTTTAAAGTTGCACCGACGTTGCCAATATTTTCAATTGTTTTACGCCTTATCCATCTATTTATTTCCTATATTAAAATGAAAATATATAGAAAAAAAAATTAGGCCAATGAAAGTTCTTATACCCATTTTGTCATGCTCAATCCATCATTTTGTAAAAATTTAATTCCATCGATATATTTCTGTTCAGCATCTTCAAAGTCTAGTAGGATTCTCAGATGTTTAATAAAAGTTAACATTGTTTGTGGAGCATCAACTTCCACTTTGATTGGTAATTTTGCATCCTTTGAAAAGTTAGAATTAAAAATAGTAACTCCTCCCCATCGAGCGTTAATAAATGATTCAGCTTCTGTCTCATCTTCTCTTTGAATTGATAACGGAATATGTCGTTTAGGTGTAACGTACAAGACCAAATTCAAATTTGGCCATTTTGACAAATGTGAACCTGAAAATGAGTAGAAAATAGTAGGATTTACAATTCTAAGAAAATATAAGTAAAAAATTACTCACTTAATTTCGTATCTATTGGATTAATTAGCAGTTGAATATCAGAGTAAGACAAAGAGTAACCATCGTTATTTCGTTTTGGGTTAATGTTTAATGAAGTATGATACATATACTAAAAAGATAATAATTACAATTATACTAACGTCCTGTTACGATTTGGTGTATGAAGGGAAAGACATAAAGAGAATTTTACCTGTGATTTTACATCAAATGGGATATTATACTTTTCGAATACTGTGAGAAAATCTTGCAAATAATCTAAAAGTTAACACAAAATGTCAATTGATTTATAAAGGTTAGCTAAATTTGGAAAGAGTTACTTTTAATTGCGTCTGGTATATCCCAAGAAACATCAAATTCATCCGGTTGAGGATTTAACAATGTAAATGTCACTTCGTAGGAGGGAACCGATTGTAAACTCATTACTGTTTCTTTTTTGTGCTATTATGAAAAGATAAAGAAAATTTTGTTTAAATAATATTATAATATTATATTATTAATAAAAAATTATTACTTTATGCGAAACCTCCCCTTTATTCCTTACTAAACCAGCAAAAATTCTGTCTTCTTCAACGAATACATCCTTAACTAGATAAACAATATTTGATAAATCATTTACTGAGCCAAAGTGAAACATGAAATTCTTCAGACCAACAACCAATTTAGAATTATCAAACAGATGAGAATTTTCTGGTAATAGGTAAATTTGTATATCTTCTTTGATGTCGTCATCTATTTGTGCTTCAAAATCTAAATATAAAAGAGTGTTAGACTTCTATTATTGATGACAGACAAGACTAATTAATTAATTACAAATAATATTCCAAATTTGTTCTTACTTTGTAAATCTTTTGAAGCTTTATAGTTCGATTTGAGCTTGTCAGTTGCTTTTGATAGTGTAACATAATATGAAATTTTTAAATATTCATTATTAAATGATTTAAAAGCTTTATTAAAGTCATCCTCCAATTCTTTATTATCGCTTATGCCAAAATCAATTATTTTGATGTTAACTCTTGCGGATATCTGCAATATTTTCTACGGTTATTCTAGCTCTAATTGAAATGCTAGTAGACTGATTATGGTGGAAAGAGTATCATAATAATTTAATAAAATTCTTTTGAAGGTCTTTAAAAGATATGAACTTTACCTCAGACGAGTGTAACTTTGTGATATCACCATAGGGTAGTGAAGCTCGATAAACTTCGGTTAATTTCCACCATAGTGGTAAGCCAATAATAATGCAGACGAAACCTATACCAATAGCAGCAAGAGCAGTACGACGAACTTCTTCTGGATCTTATAATTTATTCTTTATGTTATTTAGCCGTAATAACGTTATGTAAATAGCTCACCTCTTAAATCTTCAGATTTAGTTTCTTTCTTAGAATCGTCTGAAAAAAGAACCGCACGAAAAATTAACTTAAATACACAATCTAATATTATAAACACCTGAATTTATTTGAAAAAAATGTACTCTTATTATAGTAAAATAAATTAAAAGTATTGGTAGGATAATCAAACTTAGTATAACTTTTATTCTATGATATTTTACCTTCATCGGCTTTTTTCTCTGTAGAGGGCGCCATGATAAGGATAGAATGTGCTTTAACTTAACGCGCATACCAAAGTTTACCTTTGTAAAAATATAAGTTATCTATTTACAATAAAATTTGAAATTACTCAATATAAAATATTCAGAACACTAAGACCTCGAGATTTTAAGCAAAATAAAGCGTCTTTTTAATAATTCATAATAGATAATATACTGTTTATGTATACTATCTATCAATTTTTATTATGTATATTTTTTAGTTTATTAAAAATACTGACAACTATTAAAATATATTTCAATATTAATTAATAAATAGAAATATACAATATATATTTGTCATTATTATGGTTATAGTTAAAATAGGATAATAGGCATCTTAAGCATTTTTAGGAAATTTTCTTTTTTGTAGCCGTAAATCGTTCCATATACTGAAAAAAAAAGAACATGAGCAACGTTTAAGTAGGAGAAGGGATGCTATTCATTTTAATTCTTACTTGTTCATAACCATCCAATTCTCGAAATTGTTTTTCAGTAAATGTATTGCCTTCTATCTGAAGCAATGATATTTTAGATTCCTTTAGCACTGATGGGCTGAATGCTTCCAACGATAGACAATTCTCTTCCAAGCGAAGTACTTTTAACCTTTGACATTGGGCTAGACTATTACTCAATTTTGCTAGTCGATTACTATTCATGTTTAATTCAAGAGCACTCAGACTACCTAATTCGTCCGGTAATGCAGAGATTTTATTAAAGCTTAAGTCAACTGAATCTAAATGCTTTAGACTACAAATTTCTACTGGAAAAGATGTCAGATGATTGTTGTTTATTTGTAACTTCTTTAAAGAGTTAAGATTGCTGAACGTTCGAGGTACCATTGTTAGTCTGTTGAAGCTTAAATTCAAAGATTCCATTTTTTTTAAATTACCAAGTTCATTTGGCAGTTGATTAAGCCTGTTGTTTGCTAGGGATAATGATTTTAGTATAACAAATCTTCCAATACTTGTTGGCAAAATTGCAATAGAGTTATCTGATATATCGAGTGTTCGTAGATGATTGGATAGAGTATTTAATGGATCTGGAAACTAGAAGAAAAAGATAAAGCAAAATGCAATAGTCGTATTTTAGAACCGTTCGAAAATGTAATTCATTCCTAAAAAATATGAAAATATGTACCTCTGTTAATTTTTTGTTTGATAGATTACATGTTCCCGTTTTCTGTGCATTTTCTATTTGCGGTTTGATCGAATTTCCCATATTTATATTTAATATTCTCCTTAATATTATGAAAATTTTTGTTCACTTCCTAAATCGAATGTTTTCCGTTCGTTGCCTAAAATGTGTGGAGCGATTTGGGCGAGGAACAGGTGATAGTAGTTTCGTAACAGTTTATTTGGCAAGACTAAGTGTTTTACTTGAATCAGAGCGCAAAATTTGCACCAAAAGAACTTGACTATGCTTATGTATAAGAAAGTATTGTCTGAGATTTAGTATTGACTTGAAAAAGATCTAATTATTTGTAATGAATAGGCAACATTTGAATTTTACTCTCTAATATAGAAAATATTATTTCACTATATAGTGTAAATCTTTGAAAAGCATTCAACTATCTCATTAAAAAACCTCGAATAATGGCTACGACAAACTGTTCATCTGTCAAAATGCACACGTCACCTAATTTTTATAATATTTGAAAAAAAGAAGCAATTTGAAGGTCTGTTTCAAAGTTTTATATTTCTTTATTTTTTGACTTACAATAAAATATGAACTGTAAAAATTCTTGAAAAGAAATAAATGAAGTTAAGCGATTTTATGGCAAAGGATGCAGCTGTTTATTGTTCTCATACGAGGCTCTTAATATTATCAATTCTTTTGTAACAATTACGTTTTAGTTCTATAAAATTGTTCATATGTTATAACTGTAATAACAGGGGTTATCTTCTCTTACTTCCTCCAACATCATTTGATCATCTTCTTGCGGGATCAGACAGCAACAACGCATCAAAAACGTCCACATCTCTGATCAATTAGCTTTTCCGCAATAGTTTGTTTTATGTTAATCCTAAGATTTTATACGTATTGGTACGCGTAGGCCATAAATTCGTATTATAAATTTATAGTATAAAGTACATCTACAGTTGCAGTATTAGTGTATTGTCAGCAAGCTTTGACAAACTTGAAAAACTGTACTTCACTTCTGAGCATACTTTTTGAAAAGGAGAAATTTATTTAATTTACACTTTCTCAAGGATACAGAAATAAATAAATTGAAATCAAGGTGAGTGAATATATTATTATAATATAACATAAATAATTTTCTGTTACCTATTTGTTTAATATAAACTGTTCAATGAAATCATTCTGTTCGGCTTCTTGCTTCTGCAGTGCCTCATGTTGAACTCTCAACCTCTCTAATTGCATTTTTTTTTCACTCAACAAAGCTAATAACTGTTGTTGTTGAGCCTCGCGTTGTTTTTCCATACTCTTTAACAAATTTCTGGATCCAATAGCTTTCAGCTTTTCCTTTTCAACCGCTTCAGAAACTTTATTGATAACATCGACGAATACCGCAACTATCCTTTTAAATTCGGTCATTTTTTCAATGAAATCGTGACATTCTTCTTTCAACTCAAGAGTTTCCTGAGATATTTGAGGTTCCAAGACTCTGATAGCATTTAGATCATCAAAGTGCAGACCGGCCTTTGCAAGTGCTTCATCGGCCATTATAATTTTTCAAATTTTGACGAATTAAATTTATTTCCAAGTAAACTGCTCACTTAAAAAACAAAATTATATATATAAAGTATGAAAGTTATCAGTTAATTATATAATTCACCTGTTTTGTGTAGTAGATTTTAACAGTAGATGACAAATTTGAGGTACAGATTTTTCACAAATTCCCTGTTGTTTACGTAGTAACAAATATGCTGGGCGAAATATTCGATCTATACCAGAATATTCTTACAATTTATTCTCTGAAGCCGGAAGTAATAAAATATCCTTGATAAAGAATTTGAAAATTTATATCATTAGATATGATTTTTGGAGTTTGAGCATTTAAAAAATTATATTTTTTTACTCTGTAAGTTGTATATCAAATGGACAAGATTCTTATGTGAAAAAGCGAGATCTCGTTTTCTAAGAACATAAGGAATTTTCTCTATAATCTAATATTATCGAATAATGAAGTGGTTACATTTATAACATTTTTTTCAAATATTTGATTTATCACTAGTTTGTATTTGATCAAGGTTCGTAATCTAGTAAACTATAAGCCAACTTTCCCCAAAGCGTTCTCTTCTTATTTTTGACTGGTTCCTTTTTCCGCATTTTACAATTTACTGAATAATAGCATTTTATTCAATTTAATTTTTCAGAATTAAAGAAACTCACATTATGGAAGCCGAAGCAGAGTAAGACATTTTATTATTTTTCTATTCTATGTTTTCAAAGATCGTTTTTTCGATAGTTTAAAAAAAAGCATCGTCGCAAAATTAATAGAGCAGTTCTATCAGCAATTAACAACTGGCTGTGGGAGGGAGACTTGCACTACACCTATGTGTGCTTCCAATAAGAACTTTAAGTAAGATGTGATTATTTCAAGCGATTACACAATCGTAAAAAAATACCTTAAATTTCAGTTTGCGTTTGGAACCATCCGAAGCGGCTTTAAAAGCTATAGAATTAGTAAAGAACAAAGCTGATAGATGCTCTTACATTACAGCAAAGGCAAGTGATGACTCTTTGAGTACTACGTCAATATCACAACCAGAAGATATTGTTGGAAAGTCCGATGTATTTGAAAGCGAACCACTTGCAAGCAAAGTTGCCAAACTATCACCCTGCACTAATACGTCCAATTATGGTTGTTATAAAATTTATTTTCAATTTAATTTATTAAGTTTAATTTTATGTATTCAGATTTCCTCGGCGAAAAATTGATACTTAAAATTCTAGAAAACAAAGAGAAAACAACTTATAGTAAATTGAAGGATATATTGTATAATGCATTTTCAACTCTGGATAATCTTTGTAATAGCTTTCTACCAAGCGAAGAAATCAATGAGGCTGATTATAAAAGAATGGAAATTGATGAAGAAGAAGAAGAGATTGATAAAGAAATTGGCTTTCGTATAGATGTTGCAAGCCTTAGACGAAGCTATGACGACTTGTTAAAACTTGATGCAAGTAACTATATGCCATCTATTATACACGGTCTGGAGCAATTAAGTACTTCTCTTCCAATAACTTTTAAGACGAGTAAAATGCCCTCGAAGCTCTCTTCAAAAATAGCTCATGCTTTCGTCGTTATATTAGAATTACCATTCATGCAGGTGCATGATTGTTTGGAAGATGGCTTAAAAAGTATATGCAAAGTCGCCGCCAATCTACCTCTTCCAGTTCAAGAACGGCTCGCAAGATTTTACGCTCTCTCAGAGCCGTCAAAACGTTTGGAATCCTTAATACAAACACTTCTACAATATATAACACTAAAAGTTCTCAGCAATGAAAGAAACGTTGCAAGTGACTTAAGCGTCCAGGGAGCAACTGTAGTAATGAAATGCTTTTATTATGCTTCAATTTTAGGGGGAGAATGCGACGATCCAAAATTGCTAATAGCCGAAACATCTGCTTTAGAGAATGAATCTAATTCTTCAGGTTTTGCACCTAAGACCAATAAACAATCTTCAGTAAAAGATGACCCTTTGTCGTCTGCTTTAAAAGTCAAACCTATAAACTGTAAAAAACCATTGATAAACTATGATTGCTTTATTAATGAACCTTTAAGCGATGCGTTACAATTGGACAATGACTATCTTGAGTACAAGCAGGACAAATTTTCTTTTTATGCTCATTCTTTTATATTAACAACGACTGCTAAAGTAACGCAAATGTTTTATGAAAACAAATGGACTATGTTGAACGAAAGGAGGCAAGCCTTAATCAACACTCTCTTTCAGAGTGTCCCAGTGATGCCCTATTTAAAATTACATGTTCGAAGAGAGCACATTGTGGACGATGCCCTAGTTGCTGTCTGTTTAAATGAATTATCTTTTCTTTTCATGATGGCATTTAAGAAATTTTTTTTTACAGTTAGAAGCTTCAGCAACAGAAGATCCATCAGAATTAAGAAAGCAGTTATATGTGGAATTTGAAGGTGAACAAGGTATTGATGAAGGAGGCTTAAGCAAAGAATTTTTTCAACTTATTTGCGCTCAATTGTTCAATCCTGACTACGGTATATTGACTAATATCTCAAAATACTTATTGATAATCGATAAATTAATCTTAATTACTTTCAGGAATGTTTATTTATTCTGAGGAAACACGAACTTATTTCTTTAACCCATCGTCGTTCGAAAATGACGCCCAGTTCACATTAATAGGAATAGTATTAGGGCTTGCAATTTATAACAACATAATATTAGATATTCGATTCCCACCTGTTGTCTATCGAAAATTGATGGGAAAGTTAGGTACACTATCGGATTTAAGTGGGGTTTACCCGGTAAGAAACATTAGAATTTGAGAAAGAAAAGGTTAAGACTGATGGATTAAATCAAAATAATTTTCATTTAATTTTAGGTGATATCTTCCTCTCTTAAGCAATTGCTGGTTTATGAAGGAGATGTAGAGAATGATTTTATTCAACCCTTCTGCATTACTTACGATGATCTCTTTGATGGAAGACCAACTGTGGATTTGAAAGAGGGAGGTTGTAATATATTGGTTAATAATGAAAATAGAGAGGTATATTATAAAGAATATTAAAATTAATTTTTTATTAAAAATATATTTGTATATTTTTATGTATTTATTGTAGGAGTTTGTTGAACTGTATACGGACTTTCTTTTAAATAAAAGAATTGAGAGACAATTTGCGGCGTTTAGAAGAGGGTTCAAACTTGTCACGGATGAAAGTCCGCTAAGTACATTATTCAGGCCAGAAGAAGTTGAACTTTTGATTTGCGGAAGCGAGGTTTTTATGACTTGATACTATTTTATTAAACATATTAAGATAATTTGATGAAAATTGATAATTTTAATATTATTATCTAGCGTTTCTAAGGATGCTTTCTCTTTTTAGTTTGCTGACATCTGAAATTTATTATTTATAAACGTTTAAATCCTTATTTTCTAGGATTTTAATTTTGAAGAACTAGAGAAGACCACAGAATACGACGGAGGTTATGATCAACAATCTGACACTATACGTCATTTCTGGGAATTGGTTCATCAAGAATTCACGGAAGAGCAAAAGAAGCAGTTATTGCAGTTTACTACGGGTTCTGACCGAGTACCGGTTGGGGGTTTGTCAAAACTAAAATTGATTATCGCTCGAAATGGACCAGATTCAGATAGGTATGCAATTGAAAATATAAATAGAAACAGTCGTAACCCTCTTGTTGTTTTAATTATGCAGATTACCGACGGCACATACGTGCTTCAATGTTTTGCTAATACCTGATTATAAGAGAAAGGATAAACTTCGTGAACGACTATTAAAAGCTATTATTCATACTAAAGGCTTTGGAATGTTGTGAAATTGGGAAAAAAATAGACTGTCTGGTTTGTGTGGAACACTTCATGAATTCAGCAAACTTATAATAGTTAAATTATATCGTTTTTCGAATTTACACAATTATAAAAAATTATGTACATCTCTTTACTTTAATTAGTGAATAAATTCACCTTCCCTCTCTCTTTCCTCCCCTCTCAGAATGATGTTTATTTTTTTCTTTCCTTTACTGAATAAGCTTGTGTTTTGAAAAAAATTTGAAATTTAAAATTACTACAGATAAAAATAAACTATTCATTTTTTAATATAATTTCTACTATCAAGAGCAGAAGAATGAAGAAGTGATGATATTCAAAACAGAATATCATACAATTTCGTCAAATAATCTTTCTATACCAGACAAATTATCCATATATCTTGGAACAGGATGAGACGATATTGTCTCAGCAACCTAAGAAGTTATAAACATATTAAAAATAGTTTGGTAAATGCGTTAAGAATATTAAAGACCCTCTTGAGTACCTGTGATGAAGATGACGTCCTTCGCCATCTTTTCGTGGAGTCAGAAAACTTGATGAGAGGCTGTTTTTCATTTGCCTCTTTCTCGGAATCTGAATCGATATCGGCGATTGGTTGCATTTGATCAACATTTTTCAGAAGAAAAGACAACATGGAAAACGATACATCTATAATGGCAATTGAGCAAATTAGGACTTCAAAACCAAAAGCAAATAGTACTGTTCCGCCAATCATAGGTCCTAGAAACATTGCCAGGCATACTGCCATATCAGAAATAGCGTAGACATTACCATAGACCTTTTTATGACGTGTATCGACGATCAAAGCAAATATGGGTTGCATCGAAGTACTTATCCAACCTAGGTTAGGGAATTAGCAGCTAATCTTTAATATAATATAATATTTATCTTACCTAATCCAATTCCTAAAACTGTTGTATCAATTAGCATCCCAATGAAAGACTTAAGAAAGGCAAGAATAAAAAGTGTTATTGCACTCAAAATTAAACCGTATAAGCCTCCCATCCACCTTGAAACGTATTTTGTTATCCTCGGAAATAGAATACCAGCGATTAGATAACCTATTGAAGCTGGGAGAACAACTACACCTAACTTCCATGTCTCTGGATTACTTAATTCTATCAAACGAAGCGGTAGAAAGGCGAGTATCATAGAAACATTTAAATTTAACAGGAACATATTTCCAGCGACTACAAGTATCAAAGGATCTACCATTAGCTGACATAGAGACGTAAACTTGTGATCCTTTTTCATAGATAAATAAGGATTCATTTAGAATGATTTTTTATAAAATTTGATTTAAAAATTATTTATTTGAATTAATATTTATCTATGACCTTCAAGCCTTTGTCTACTGAAAAGGTAATCAACTGTAATATAATATCTAAGAAAATCATTCCGGAAAGGATCAGGAAAGGAGCAGCTTGTCCTAAGAACTGATAGAGCAAACTACCATAAATAGGCCCTGCTATAATTCCAACGGATATAGCAGATACCGCGAATCCCATCACTTTACCTCTTTCTTCTTGATGACAAAAGTTGGAAGCCAATAGTCCCATTCCTTTGAAAAAGAGAAACATGAAAGAGGATAAAATATAGAATTCTCATTTCGTAGTCAACATTAGCAAATTGTAGATGTTGAATAACAAAAACAAAGATTAACCTAGAAAATAGTATACTATTAAGTTAAAAATAGATACAAAAAAACTCAACAAGGAAGAAATTGTAGATATAAGTAAAAGTTTTTTTACCTATTTTCGTAATTAATCTAGTTATTATAACTATAAAAAGGTAATAATAATAAGTTCTACGGGGGCATGACAAATTTTTTCCCCTTTTCCTAAAAAGGAGATAATCAAAGAGATTATGGAAAAATAGATACGTAAAGTGTTGAATTAAAGGATAAAAAGCAACAAATTTTTTTTTATAAATAGAAATGGAAGCTTATCTATAAAAAAGTAAACTATTTCTTTTTATGAAAAAGAAAACTGTTCATTTCTTATCTTTACTAAAAAGAAAATGTGGAGAGAAATTGTTGGTGAACAATGTCTATATTATATTTCATACGCGTCGCATATTAGCGGTTGTTTTCTTTATACAAACCGGAAACTGCAGTGATGGCTGAGGAAAGACCCTGTAATAACCGAGTGACGAGCAGGAAAGCATAATTAGAACCGAATGCAAAGGCGGTGGTCGACGCCAGCAGAATAATGCTTCCAACTAGTAAAGGTCTCTTGTAACCGAATCTGTATAATTTTACAAATATTTCAATTCAATGTACAAAATAAATGAATAAATTTATATAAACTTGTATATATACATATAAGTAGAATTTACTTTACATTAGATACTTTATAACTTATTAAGTGATATTTGGTTCTAAACATTTAAGTGTGCTACATAATGAGCTTTATTTCCATTTCGAGCATACTTTCTCCCTTTTTTTATCAATTACTTTCCTTATTCTTTTTTTTTTAAAAAACATAAATGACTTTTTTTTTCTTGTCATTATATTCCATTTATACGAGAGTTGATTTTTCGTTTACCCATTTAGTGCTTTTTCTTATTATCTCTTGTATAGCTATTTACAAGGTTGTATTCGATAATATTTAAAAAAAATAATAGCTGTAACCCATGTTTCTGAGAAATTTATTAGCCTTCTTTTTCTTAAATTTATTGAAGTGAAACCTTCAAAAAGAAATATACGGAAGTGTTCCATTAAGAACATGCTTATTTGAGAGATAGCATCAGTTCTTACAATGCCATCTAACGTTCGATGGAGAGCTCACCAGCATGAAATTTTTATAATATAAAAAATATTAATACCTTGTAGCGATTACACCGACAAAAGGGTTTGACACAAACTGGGCGGCGCCTTTTGCAGCAACTAGAAAACCATATTTTCCATTTTGATTTATAAGTGATACACTATCAGTTGAATTATCTTGGATTGTTTTATCAAGCATATCTGGTAAGATGGGATCTTTGAAGAATATGAAAAAAAAAAATATTAGAGAAATTGCGCTAAACCTTTGTTCATTTATTTGTCTCTCTGCCTGTCTCTCTCTCTCTCTCTATATATATATATATGTACATTCATTATATCATATGAGATAAATGTATATATATCTAAATATAAATATAAATATAAATATGTATCCGGCTCTCCCCTTCTGTTTCTTCCTTCTCTCCATAATCATCTTTTTTTCTTTAATCTTAAAAAGAAGGAAGACAATCAGTTATAGATTGGGCCCTAAACACCCAAACATATATATATGAGAGAGAGAGCGAGACAGAAAAAAGAAAGAGAAAGCATGAGAGAGAGAGCGAATGAAACAGACAAAAAATGATTGCCATAAATTTTTTTACCTACTAAAGTGAGTAAAAGAGAATCAGTCAGGAGAGCGAAGAATACAATAATAATGACTAAAATTTGTTCTCTGTTCATTCTTTCCATTAGTATCTTTTGATGTGAATCGTTTCTGATTTTTCTCTACCGTCGTTGATATACACGTGATTTAGGTGTGACTACAAAATATAACTGCAGGAGGTATTTTTAAGCCTAAATATCATTTAAAACATAACGAAAGGTACTATTTTAAAATATATCCATCTATGTGATTAATTAATATATGAGAGTTATAGATATATAAATAGGTATAGCTCGGATTTCTTTGAATGTCTTGATGATGAACGAATACTTGAAAAAAATTATAGAATGTAAAGAAATAAAGAAAATGTAAAAAATGAAAAGAATTTATTATCATAAATCATACTTTTACCTTTATACAACATCCTGCTGTAGACATAGTAGAATTTTTTGAAAGTCTAAGGAGTTTCCTATAGAACTTATGTTGATGAACTTGTGTATTCTTTATTATGGGAAAAGTATTCTGTAAAGTTTTTACTATATAGCCCATTTAAATCTATAGTGTAAACAATTACAATAGAATTACATACTGTATACAGTATATATCTAAACAGAAGTTTGTAAAAGTTACGAAAAGATCTCTATTCAAATAAACAACAACAATATAGTAATTATTGAAAACAAATATATAATTTTACTCATTAAATAGGCTTGTGTCTACTCTTACATTACATTCTATTAAAAATAGTTTTCTTTTTAAAAAGAAAATCAACTTGTCGTTTTGTCTAAAGTGTTATGTTTTTCTGCCTTCTGTTTAAAAGAGAGAAAGAAAGATGTGGAGGCGTCAAAATTGCAAATGGTAGAATAACCAACTAACGCATCTGTTATTCTGTAATAATAAATAGCATATATGCCGGCGGTCTTTTTCTTGAGGATTTATTAAATGAACACACCTTAATCAACCAATTATTGAAACTTACTACTTCTGCGTAGACGCAAATATTAATATTAATACAGCACTAAGGGAGTAGGAGAGGGAAAAAAAAAGAGAAGTGGGCGTTACAAGCGGCATAGAGAAAGCTACAGTCATTCGCGAGCCCGTGATGGCAAATGTCGCGACGATTTTGACGCTCTTTTCCCTGCTAAGTTTAGGATCGTTTTATAACTATCCTATAGATCATGGCTATAACATTTTCGTTCAAATAGTGGACGCTTTATGTAAAAACGATGACGGTTCCGTCGACATAGCATGCCGAGTTGCGATTTATAGAGATATTATAAAAATGGAAGGTTTTAACATTGATAAAAGAAGCAAGAAGTTGAACTTTTGTGCAAGGACTCCGATTAGTAGAAAACACGTTTTGACATCAAGATATTGTCCATCATCACAAAATGGTAAAATTATCGACAAAGATTTGGTCATTTATGAATCGGAAAAGGATAATAGTGAGTTTGCACATTTGGCACCGATTCATTCTGAGGAATTATTCGTCAAGCGAATGAACATCGGAAATCCTTGCAACATTTATAGAATGAAATCGGAAGAATATTATATTGGACAGTGCAATTCTCCGTTAAACAGGATGGGCGTTGGTTACTATGCTAACGATTCATTAGTTGGAGTACTAATCAAAGATATTGGTAGTTGGGTCATTGTTAAACCTCTAACCGATAAAAACATGGAAGAAATATGTAAATTTCTTGGAAGCGATTACGTTTCGGATCAATGGGAATCTTGCTCGAATTATATAAAATAATAATCCTTTAAAGATATGGTATTTTGGAAAACTCAATGCGACTCTTTGTTCAAAGAAAATTTCTAATTTTCGAAATGTTCTTTCGAATCAATTAGGTCACGTGATGTTTATGAAATACCTCAAAAGAAAAAACATTTTATCCTTAACCCCTTCCCTGTTATCCGTACTGTCTTGTCAAGAAATCGAGTATATAATCAATGTAATATCCTCTAAAATATTTATTATACTGATTAAGATATGCATCCGATATTTTTTATTTTGTAAACAATCAAAATCCTTCTTTCTCTGTCGTCAGATGCAATTCTTCGGATGGAAGTTGCGGAAGTTTTCTTTCCTGTATAAAGGAAAAAGATGTTAATTTCTAATCAATTCTTTTTTTTTTTAATTTCATTTCTTTAATTCTAATAATAGGATTTTCTAGTAGTTTTATATATAACTAGGGTTTTGCACTTTGATTTTTTAAAGGTTATACACTTATGAAGGTAGAACTATTTTTAAAGGTCTATTAAATGACTCTAGATTAAAATGGAGAGAAAACACTGTGAAAAGAAAAAACAGGTGGGAAAAAGGAAGATAATCAAAGAACTTACAATTAGCATAGACGTTCTTTCAAAATTTAAACTACCACATTTATCGCATTGCTTAGTAGGGATCCTTTCGACGCTAGTAGTCCTATTTCCACACTCTTTGCATTTGAAAAATCTTCGTTCCGCCTTTGACCATTTTAGATCGTGACGCTCATCTTTACATATTTTACCGGGTTTACTAACCCTAGAATAGCCACACTGACTACAGGAGACTACTTTACATTCGACTGAGAATGTGGAGGCCATTTTATTTTCAATTTCATCCCTTTTTTCAAGTTGACCGAAATAGCTATTCATTTTATCGGCATCTTCTTCCGCTAGGGCACCAGAGTACGCCGATTGTTTATCTATTAATGCTCTAACTTTTGGGTCATTTAGGTCCAAGCCACCAATTAACTTTCGTTTAGGAGTATTTTTATCGTCCTTTCCAACATCATCGATTCCCATATCCTTATTAACCTTTTCCCTTATTAATTTCTTCTTTTCGTCTGTTATTTTTGGACGAATACAATTTGGATCTTCCTTTTCAATTCCACCGAACAATCTGATTTTCCCAATAGCCTTTTTGTTCTGCTTAGTACTATTATCAGCTTCAGGCGAAAGGTCAAGGTTTACCTCGTCCCACTGACCCAAACCCCGACCCAATTGTGGTCCATCACCAGATTTTTGAGTAGGAAATACTCGAGTTTTCTGAGGTGATGACTTTATTGGTGAATATGTAAATTTTCTATTAAAAAACAATATTAAATGTGTAAACGTTAAATAAATTAGGGGAAAAGAAAGAATAAAGTAAGAATGATAAATAATTAACAACCTTGTTTTATTCTGGTGAACGAGATTTAAAATTTCGGAAGCTTTCATATTCTTTACCGGGGAAGCCGCTTTAGAGTTTAAAGATTCTTCTTCCTTCTCTTCGTAACCGCTTTCCTTTTTTAATTGCGCCAAGAGATTTCTTGCTCCAGGTGAAGGAATGAGTAATAAATCTTTTCTATATTAGTATTTTCATGAAGAAAAAATATTCATTAATCAACGACTGTCTAGTCTGTTTACGCATTTTAATACAAAAGAAAGTATTATAGAATGAAACAAACAATTTTCCCTTTTCCACACAATCGGAAGCCGGAGACATTTTATCAATCTTTTTCTCAGGTACAGGGTCGTTTTTTGCAAAGAGTGGAACTTCTGAACCCACCTTTCTTTTATGCTCGATAACGCTTTCCAGCGTTATTTTACGCCTATAAAAACATATGAGACATTTAACAAACCACAACACAATACTCATAGATAACATTTATCTTATTATATAATTTTAATAATTGAATACTTTTTGGCAGATCTGTTTGGCGTATATGATTCTCCTCCATAGAACACCATTTTTGCATCCTTGTACATGTTAAACTTCTTTGGCACTCCAACACCGCTATAACTAAAATAATGATATTGATTTAAATATCATAAATAAACTTATTTAAATAATTACCTGGTATTTAAATCTGGCCGTTTTTGTAACGATTGTTTATGAGCTTTATTCAAATGAAATTCACAAACTTCACAAACAAGTCTATGGGAAATAGGGTAAAGACATATTTTTTATTTAAAGCTGATTAATCTTATAATTAACTTCTTACTTATTTACAACATTACTGCACTTAGCTCCTTTTGCGGTTGTTGATTTACAAATGCCAAAATCTTTTGAACTACCCATTAAAAGTAGGTTCTTTGGATTGTCAATAGTTAAGGTTGTTCCGTCGCCTTTAAACTATAAGATATTAAATAAAAGTGAAATTAATAGTAGAACTCAATAATCTTTCAAGATCAATTAATATTTACCTTTTCGGACGATTCCATTATCTTCGGATTCAATAAAGCAATAACGGACCCTTGCGATATTTTCCAATGCTCTTCCAGCGTTTTGCTAAAGAGCATAAAGGAAACAAATTTCTGACAGTTCGACAGATCAGACATGAACCATTTTCCATATTTGTTTCCCTAAAAACAAATATCCTCATTATGAGACTTACAATTGGAAAGATTAGAAACGCACATTTCTCGATGTTAGACCATTCATTTTATTCACTATCACTCCCATTGTTACCCAGTCGTTGGGCGAATCTTTCAAGGATGATTGGATATTTAATAATTTCACATAATCTTTCCCTTCCATCATCCTTCTCATTTCATCATAGGAAACTTTTGGATTTCTATGGAAAAGAGGCGTGCAATTATTAATTAGGATATTTTTTCACCTGAAGAATAATTGTTGAAGTTCCTTTGGATTTTATATCACTCAGTTTATATTTTTATATAAAAAAAAAATATATATATATAGTATAAATCAAAAGATACAAATCTCTACTAACATTATTCTTATTCCAGAATATTCTTCTCTATAAATATTCATTCCATTTGTGGGTTTATTAGAGGTTGATGAACTGTGAGCTAAATGTATGTCATAAAAAAGGGAATTATTTCAAAATATAGATATACTGTAGATTCTCTAAGTATTTATCTACGTATATAAACTATTAAATTGTCCAAAAAGAGAGCTTATTGTCTGTCTATAATTAGCTTCTTTTGTCAGATTTAGGTATGAATAATAGAGTTAGATAGAAGAATTGGAATAATTTTATAAACTTTATACTTACGAGTTGTAGTTTTTAAAATTTTCTTTGTTTTCGATAAAGTTTTTGTTAATTTTTCCATTTCATTTTCTTGTAAAATTCTTTTAATTTCTTTTCCCTGATCTGTTAAATTGTTATCTTTCGTTCCATCTAATTCTCCCCAATCGCTATCACTATCACTACTATTTGACTCTTTAATATTTAAAGAAGTTTCATTTGTAAAAGATTTTTTAAAATTATTATTTTTTGACTTTGAAGCAATGCTAGATTGTTTATTGGATTTTGGTGAATTCTTGATGGCTGCTTCAGTTAACTTTTTTAAACCATCAGATGTCGATGAATTCTCGTCGGCTGCTTTAGTTAAGTTTTTTAATCCGTTAGATTTCTCATCGTTTAATTTATCGTTCTTTATAACATTAGCTTTGTTCTGTTTCGTTAAAAAGGCTATTTTTTTGTCTTTTTCTTTTATTTCGTTTTGAAGCTCTTGAATTTTCTTTTCTAAAGCCTGAATTTTTAAGTCCGACGAGGCTAAAAAATTAAGAATTCTTAGAAAAATTTGCAATGACTTGTTAAATGATGATGATTATTTTGTTCTATATAAATAAGTTGTGATTATTAGTAAAAAAAGATAATCATACATTCCTTCCCGCCGTTTTCGGCCATTTTGACTACCTTGACCTTGAGCATGCCAATCTTTTTTGTTTCCGAAATGTCTGACACTTATTTTAAGTGGGACATCCATTTCAATTTTTTCCTAACAATTAAATTTCGCTATCTTGACGGGAAATAAGTAAATTAATTAGTTTTATATATTCCAGCAGATGGCAGTAAATTTCAAATTTTTACTAAAAAAATCCTAATACAAACAGGTTAAAATTCAAATAATAAATTGAGTTATCTGTCAAGTGATCTCTGACAAGAATAAATTTTTAAAAGTTTATTTAAAAAGGAAGTAAATTATCTAATTCCCACTATAATCCGGATATTTAATATTGGAATAACATTCTGTCCAGCTTTTACGGAATACCCCCTGAATTGTAGTTTTATTTATGATTCATTTTCACCAGTTGAAAGTTATCAAATACCTTGGTTAAATTATACTCTAATCAGTAAAGATTAGTATGGAATAATAATAAAGAATGTTTGGAAAAAAGAAAACTACAGAGAAACGACAATCTTCAGCTGGCAGAGGCCAAGCTTTGATGCAGCAAGTTAGTTATGTTCTCTCATTTATGGATCATACTGATATTGTCATTTAATCTGTTAAGATGTTTAATGTAAAATTACGATCTGAAAATCTCTTTTTATTAAGGTCATGCTAATTTACATTTAAATAAGATAATAATTAAGCACGGAATGAATAGAAACCTTCTGTTAGTGTTGTCATATTTTATTTATATTAGCATATATATTCTACTGTAAATTAGAACAATATAATTGTATTAATCAATATTTATGTCTAACGTAATGTTAACACAAATATACCCATCAGATGGGACTAGCGATCCCGGACAGTGGTGATCTTACGGCGACACCTTCGAACAATTTTAACGAGAATGATGACGAAGACTTGGAAGCTGAATTGGCAGCATTAGCTGGAGAGCAGGTGAAAGAGAGCAAATCTCAAAAAAAAGCCAAACGTTCCGTTCCGAAGAGTATAAGTGAAAAAGAGTTACAAAAGATTATTTCCAACGTTGACGAACCAATCGATCTCGAAGTGTCTGATTCAGATGATCCTGAAATAGAGGTTTGCCTTTCCATTCTTGCATAAACCATTTTAAAATTACATAATGTCATTTTTTGTTATACAAAATACTATTTTTAAACAAAATAGATAAATATGTCAAAAATGTATACTGCGATTAAAGTATACATTTTATTTCTTATGCAAGTAATATTTATTACTTAAGTCTGTTTCCTCAATAAATCGTTAATCTTCTCTCAAAGGGAAACTATTAACATTAACGGTTTATAGACTTCCCCAGCTATACCTGTTGACATTAAACGAGTAACATAACTGTTGTAAATGGAATACAAATATTCTGTAGTTGAATTTTTTTTTAATAATGATAAAAAACAGTATTCCATAGAGTTTTGTTTGGTATTTTAAATAAAATAACACAATTGTATACAAACTTAGCTGAAAGTAAGGTTTACTCATTAAAAAATAAAAACATACATGTAGTAATAAGAACTGTATATAGTAGGTGGATAATTTTTTTAAATATTTACTAAATTATATAGTTTGTCACCATTGTCAATGATAGATTGGAGAAAGAGAGGGGAAAGATCTATTCATATGACAGTATTTGTTTCAAATTTTCATTCGTATATTGATATGTTAAATAATAGCTATATATATAAATATAAAAGGAATCGATAATTATTTATATATTGTTAACTATTCTTTATACGAAAATTGACAAAAAAGATTCTATCTTCCTTGAAAATTGAAGTAAGCTTTATATCTTTGCATAAAATAGAAATCCAAGTGCGCTTTTAAGCAATTAATACTACGCAGTCTTTATCCTTTTTATTTAACCCGATTTTCATATAAGTAAATCAGCTGCTGTTATATATATATATATATATATATATATATATATATATATATACATACATACTGTATGCTTTATGTATAGGATGAGTTAGAGATGCTTGCAATGGAAGCTAGTGGTCCGTCGTCTCCGAAAAGATCTCCTGAAAAAATCCCCGATGCGACAATGAATCCTTTAAATAGTGGACCTACAATTGTTCAAGTTATTGAAGAAAGGCTCGTAATGTATAGAACAGCTCAGCAAAATGCTAGAACAGCTCATGATCAGAGTAAAGTTAGTTGAATTCTTTATTAGAATTAATTTATTAAAACAATAACAAATTTGTTTCTATTGGATAATATAAGTCGTAAAATCGAAAATAAAAATGATGGATGGAGCTAATTCTCTAATTAAAATGTTAATAATGATTGATGAAAAGATAATTAGACTGTTCTTACTCAGTTTCAAATATAACACAGAAATTTTTAATGGAAACCTCAAATAAATAGCTATTGGTTTTCAAAGGCGTATCTATTTTAAGTAAATCTTTAATTTTTTTTAACTCTTTACAGGCTCGCAGAATGGATAGAGGAATAAAGACCTTACAAGAACAACTGAAACGAGCTAAATCAGGTTTGATCTGCCATATTATATATTTTCATAAACTAATATACTTTATTTATCTATTTTTCCTTCAAAATGATAATAAACAAACTAATAGGAAATATGATTAGTAACGAAGATATACCTCCGGCTGTTACTGTTAGCACTTCAAATCATAATTTAGCTGCTTCTGCACAATCACAATCTCAAGCTCAACCTAAGCCTGAACCAGTGAAAATTTACAATGAAGAGCGCGAAAGTTGGTAGTTTTTAATATATAGGCTTTTTTTCTTTTATAGATTTTGTCTAATTCTCATTCATAAAAAAAAACAAAGGTCCACGGCAAACAGAGCCCAAACCCGTTGCTGTAGCACCGCCGTCCTTACCAGTGCAACAAAATGATTCTGCAAGAGTTGTTAAAGAAAGAGGTTTATTATATAAACAAGCGGCACTTAAGGCCAAAGAAAGAGGTGATTTAGAGACTGCTAGAAAGTATTTAAGTACTTCCAAAGTAAGTAAAGTTTTTTATACATTAAATATGTTCTCATTTGTCTTTACCTTTGTTAATGTTTTCCATTTCTATTTGTTGCAGCAATTTGATACTGTCCTAGAGGCTATGATGAAAGGTGAAGCTGTAGATTTAAGCAAAATGCCTCCCCCTCCACCCACAACATCATCTGATCAACAAGAGCCTCAAATTGATCTTGATCCGCAAGCAGAAGAGGAAGCAAAAAAGTTATTAGGAGTTCCAGAGGCACCCCGTAATATTTTACAAGCTTTACAGCAGCGTAAAGAAAAGTATGCGTCTGAATTAGCTAAGGCTGAAGAAGCAAAGAACAACAGCAAAAGTCGACGCTTTAAACGAATTGTTAAACAATATGAGGAGGCAATTAAGGCACATAAGACTGGAAGACAAGTTGATTTCGAAGAACTTCCATGCCCACCCGGCTTTCCTGCTATACCTATGCAAACAAATGAGCCTGTGCAACCGGTGGTGTCAAATGTAAAGCCATTATCTCCCCTCCCACTGCCAACACCAAAACCAGTTGAGCAAAAAGTTGTTAAAAAAGCGGTAAATTTTTATTCATAATTTTGAGAAACGATTACATTTTACCTCTCTCTCCAAACAATAGGCTCCATTACCTCCAAAATCTGGAACAAACCTCTCACGAGCAGCCCAACAACGTCAAATTCTTCAAAGACGACAGATGGAGTATAAGTATGCTGCAGCAGAGGCAAAGAAAAAAGGTGACCTCGAATCAGCAAAAGATTCATTGAGAGTATATTTAGGGCTGAAGAATATGGTTGAAGCGAGTGAAAAAGGCTTGCCAGTCGATATGAGTAATTTGCCTCCTCCACCTTTAAAGCAAAGTGAACCACAATGCTTTATAGACGAACCGGAAGGTGATAGAGAAGAAGTTTACAAAAAATTAGAGCAAGATCTTATCGATCAAATTAGAATGTGCGAAACGAACCACGAACATTTCCTGAAACTTGGAGATATTAATATGTCAAATAAATTGGATGAATGGGCAAAATGTGCTCGAAAGGATCTGGGGGCGTTGAAAAATGCATTTCAACACAACGATCCACCTCCAAGGTTTCATTACGAAACAAAGAATTTCTCGATAGTAATGTAAATTGATGATATTAAAATTTATGAAATTTACTACTTATCATAAATTTTTGTCTTTCTTATATCTAGATCATGCGCAGATTTGGGAGATAATGATATGGAATTGCATGTTGTAAAAGGAATAAATTTATCTCTTCCAGATGGCTATTCTCCTCATCAATTAAATACCTACTTGAAATATGAATTCCCTATTCCGAAGGTATTCACCAAAAATCTATTGCAAAACAAAAAATGTATATACTCTTCTTATAATTCTAGGATGAACCTCAAACTGGAGAATTAGGCTCAACAGTAAAAGGAACAAATAATCCTGAATATGATTTTTCTACCAAGTTAAATATACAAAGAAAATCATCTGCTTTCCAGAGACAAATTAAACATAAAAATCTGAAAGTTGATGTCTATTACAAAAGAGGTAACGTTCTATTTTCCTATATATACAATATTCGCAATAATTGATCTACAAGTAAATATAATTACATTTGTTTTCTTCAGGTTTCATGAAAAGCGACAAACTACTGGGCAGTGTTTCAATTAAGCTGATCGATCTGGAAAGTCATTGCGAGTTACATGGAATGCACGATTTGTATGAAGGAAGAAAGGCAGTCGGTGGAAAATTAGAAGTGAAAGTTCGAATTCGGACGCCTCTTAGTGGAAAAAGTCAAATTGAACATGTCAATCAAAGATGGCTTGTTCTCGATACCTTTGCTCAAGCTCATTCTATAGCAATGAACACATCAAATTACGCTCAGGGACAAAAGTAAGTTTCTTTGATTAATTTTTCTTTATTCTCTTCTCTTTCCGTTTTGCTACTACCATAGCTGAATGGAGATGATACGAGTTTTATGTGCATTGTTAGTCTTTTAGAGGGAAAATAATTTAGAGCCTGCCATTGTTCATTTGAGTATCGGTTTTATAACGTGGAAATAGAGTAATCTAATGATGGAGACCATCAGGCTCGCTCTAATAGTTTCTTATTTTATCATCTTAAATATGAAATCATAATATAGTATTAACCTACTCGTACTTTTTCCGTAATAGTGTAAAACTATTTAAGTCACATTGCATGTATATAAATTCTTGGCGGCAGGAATGTTAAATCGAAGGCTTGCGCCATCTTGTGACTTCCCCATCGAAGCCGACACCTCTCGGTCCCAGTGCAGACGCGAAGGAACATTTTCATCTGAACTCTAATAATTGTTAACTGCAAGTCTTGTTTATTTAAAAAAGATCACAGTATTATTTCTTGAAAGCAAAATTTACAATAATTTCATTGATTTGTCAATTTCAATTGGCTTTTTACCTGCTGTATCTTGTTTAAAGAGGTTTAACATTTTAAATAAATGTACTATATTTCTTGCAAAATTTCTTATTATTGGAAAATATAAATCTTTCAGGAATTCTCCTCCTCAGAAGTCGGGAAGTGGAATGTTATCCTTGGACGTGATTAAATTTGAAAAAGAGAGACTCCGAGAACTCAGCAGTCGTCCGAATATTGATTCCGCATCAAGCGCTCGGTTTTCTAAAGAATACAAATTATACGAACAGATCGAACAGGAAATTCGTAAAAAACTAAAAGATCAAATTAATTTGAAGCAATATAAGATTGATATTGAGATCTCAATTGAGAAGTATAAATGCGAATGTCTAAGGATTGCTAGGACAGGTGATAAGGATGAAGCTAGAATTTTTGCTATAAAGAAAAAAATTGCAGAGGAAGAGCTAGCTAGGATAAATGCAAAGTAGATATATGAAAGATTAGTTAAAGAGAAGAGGGTATTTTTCAATTTATATTTTCAATGGTCAGATTAAAAATATATAGTTCAAATTAATCTTTACATTATCAGAGAAATACATTTATCGGATATATTTTCTGTCCTAGCGTTCATTAATAAATTTTTTTCTGAATGAAATGCTAATTTCTCTGTTCAATACTAACAAATACTAAGGATATTTTTTGATTTGAAATATTATCTTATAATTTTTAATAAATATTGAATTCGACTTATTAGATCATTTATTAGCAATTTTATTCACAGAATGTGATAAAATGCATTAACGAAGCAAAGTTATTTTTGCGTATTGACAGCGGGCTTGTTGTGCTTCTTGGCGTAACGCATGTTTCTCAAGAATTTAGGGTCAACCTGTAGCAAAACAATCAAATTAAGTTTTGGGGAATAAAATTACAGCATTTCATGTAAAATAATCTGCTATAAATTATTTTGAAAGAGATATATATAATTTTTGAACTTAAATAGTAATAATGAAACAGGCTTGTATAGGTTCGCCTTGATAAATACACGCATTTTTTAACCCAAACTACTTACTCCCTTCAATGACGGAAACCTTTGCTTCTTTGGACGCTTAATTCCGTTTCTATGTTGTTTACGGTCTGAAATACAAGTATTTTGTAAAGAAAAATGATTTCCAGACGAGTTTAACTCGTTAAAATACGTACTTTGGTTATGATTTGTATGATTCTTCGACTTCGCCATTTTATAGATGAATTACTGTAACGAAAATGAGATATATAGTTGGCTTAATATTATTATGGTAATAGATCCACGAGTTGTGAATTTTTGGATGAAATTAACGAAGATATTTAAGGATTTTACGGAGAGGCACTAACCTATAGCGAGCGATATTAAAAGAGGAAGTTAACGTCACGTGACATCAGAATATTAGTCTGCTACGAGTACGTGTAACAAGTGAGATATAAGAGGATCGAAGATATATCGATTGAGACAGTCAAAGTTAGTGTTAAGAGATAATCTTCTTTGATTTCACTAATGTAAAAAACTAGGTTGATGATTCATCGTTAAATTACGTTGACTTATTTGCTCATCTGTTACAATCCATAAATTCGTGCAGTACATATTTTTCGCTTTTAGACAGTAATGCAAAACGAAGCCAAACGAAGGAAAGCAACTGCCCCTGAAAATTCAGAGTTGAACAATATGGCAAATTCAGATAATTATGAAAATAAATCGAACAAAGACTGTCAGCAGATGTGTACTCAGATCGAAGGAGACAGAAAAAACATAGCACTTTTAATGTTTTTGTATGTTCTACAAGGCATTCCATTAGGTCTTGCAGGGGCTATACCCTATCTATTATCAACTAGGAAAGTATCATATAATGATCAAGCCCTGTTTAGTTTTGTATATTGGCCATTCTCAGTGAAGTTATTGTGGGCTCCTATTGTGGATTCTTTATATATTACCTCGTTTGGAAGAAGAAAATCGTGGCTAGTTCCCGTTCAGTATCTTATTGGGATTTTCATGTTGGCTTTATCCCTATTTATTTCCCAAATAATGGACGAAGGCAATTTGAACATATATTTACTGACTGCTATCTTTTTCCTCTTGAATTTCTTGGCTGCTACCCAGGATATTGCTGTTGACGGATGGGCTTTGACAATGCTTTCTAGGTAATCGTTAAACCGTAATATTTCTGTATAGCCTATTAATCATAGTAATTTCTATTTCTTATTTATATTAGACAAAATGTAGCCTGGGCATCGACTTGTAACACTGTTGGTCAAACAGCAGGTTACTTTATAGGCAATGTAGTATTCTTGGCTTTAGAATCGCCAGATTTCTGTAATAATTTTCTTCGAAGCACACCATATCCTACTGGAATTGTTACATTGAGTAGTGAGTATTTAATTAGCAAATTTTCCCTCATTTTCTTTTTGAAAAAAACATCGCTAATAACACTTTTTCTTTATCCTATTAGCTTTTTTGAAAGGGTGTGGGATTGTTTTTCTAATTACAACGACTCTAGTGTCAGTTTTCAAAAAGGAAAGAAATGCAGCTGCCGAAAATAATGATGAAGAATTTGGTTTAATCGAAACTTATAAATTACTTCTATGTATATTTAAATTAAAGTCAATTGGAAAGTTAGTTGTCGTTTTACTAACGTGCAAGGTAATTATAATTTTTTACTTGAGTTTCCTTTCTCTATTGAAGAAAAAATCCTGGACAAAAAAAATAATCAATTTTTTTTTCAGATTGGCTTTGCAGCTTGTGATGCTGTTACTGCCTTAAAGCTTATTGAAGGAGGTGTACCGAGAGAAAAATTAGCTCTTTTTTCCATACCAATGATACCAGTTCAAATTATTCTGCCAATATTTATTAGCAAATATACTACTGGTCCAAATCCCATGAATGTTTTCCTCAAAGCCATTCCATTTAGACTTTTAGGTGGAGCTTGGTTAGCCGTATTAGTATGGTGGGCACCTAAAACGGCTGATGATAAGGGTACAATTGCCGGATACTTCTATATCGTTCTTTTAATATCGTATGCCCTTCATCAAGTTACGATCTATAGTATGTACGTAGCTGGAATGAGTTTTAGTGCAACCATCAGCGATCCTGCAATAGGGGGAACATATATGACCTTGCTGAATACAATTTCGAATTTCGGCGGTAATTGGCCAGGCACTGTTGCCCTCTGGATGGTGGAACCTTTAACAATGAAAACTTGTCAAGCAGACGGAGGATCGTGCGTTACTCGTATCGATGGTTACTATATTGAGTCATTTGTCTGTTTTATTATCGGATTTATTTGGCTAGGTTGGAAGGCCAAAACCGTTAGAGAGTTGCAGCAATTAAGAAAGGATGAATGGACAATCAAGAAAACCGCGACTAAACCATCTTTGTGACTAGTGTAAAATATTTTCTCTTAATTGTTATGTAAATTGTTTTCAACTTGCGTGTAAATCTCTAAAAATATTAGGAAGAATGATAAAATTTTGTTGTTGTTCTAATAATAAATCTAAATCTTACCAGAACTGCTGATCATTAGTTATTTGTAACTTAATAATGTCATTATTGTAAATAGATGATAATTGACCTGATTAAGGTAAGAGATAATGCAAATCTAACACAAGTACTTGCTTTCGAAAAATAAGTTCCCACTTATTGATTATCTCTTCCATATATTGCTAATGTATTTCATTTGGATGGAAAATATATGAAATATAGCTTACTTTTCCTAATCTTTATTATCTGTTTATATGTTTAAAAGTAAGAATAAAAAATTAGAAAATTGTATTTTTTTGAAATTTCTGAGACAGTTTAAATTGTAAAATTTCGTGTTTTTTCTTCATATTTCTTTTCGACCACATCCAAATAAAATTTTCAATAAAGAATAAAATGAAAATATTAAAAAATAAAAAGATATAAGACGAGAGCGAGAGAGAGAGAGAGAAAGAGAGCCAAGTAGACAAAGAGAAAGAGAGAGGGAGATAGACAGACGGAGGAAAATCTTGGTAATTTGACAGACTCGTCATTTGTTTTATCTTAATATAATCGATTTTGGAAAACGTTTCTCGTCAATGTATTCTTCGATTACCTGTGTAATTATTATTAATATTTGCGTTAATATAATACCAGAGGTAAATAATGAATAAAGTTTAGTTATATGTCTTAAAATTTACCTCTCTAATCAAACTTGTAGAGATTTTTGGATAGTCATATTGAAAACCTGTACCTTCAATTTTTGAACCATCAACACTCAAATTTCTATCATAAACTTCTTCCTGCGTAATAATAAAAAAATCAATAGAAAACGAAATAATCAATGGCAATAAAGCAATAATTTATTAATTGATTAGTCAATACCTCGGCCAAGAAAGGCGATAAAGGTGTTGTAATTTTTTCTGGTTCACAAATATTTATCCAAGCTCCTAAATGACTCTCATTCATTTCTCTAATTAAATCGCTTAAATTACTCTATAGAGAATATATATAAATACGGAAGCGTAGTTATTATTGAATAAAAAAAATTCTATGTAATAATTTACCTTGGCGACCTTGGATAAGAGTGATCCAACAAATTCGCATTCAATATCGAATATCTCTGAAACTATTGAAGCCAAAACTGCTTGATCTAAATTGGAAGGGAACAAGAGCGAGAGCGTATACGAGGATATATTTTTATTCTTTAATCAAAATAACTATTTAAACTTACTTGTAGAACCTTTATCGGCTAAATGAAAGACATTTCTTGGGGGTACTCGTTCACATAAATGCCAAATAGCTTTACAAGCATCTTTAACATGTACAGTATTAGTTTTTAAATGTCCCGTCCATAAAATCTATTTGAAAATAGGAAGTTAGTTAAAAGAATGACATAACCTGCACAATATTGATTTTCTTAAGAAAATTATATATACTATATACAGTATATAGTTGACAGTATATACTATAAATTTGGTACCAGCAACAGGCTCCTTCAGGCAATAACGTGATTACATACAAAACCCAGGTAATAGGCACCTTTTGGCGGTGATGATTACACTTTTCCAGTCAATATTTGAAATTAACAAGTAAAGTTAAACTAATTCTTAGATAATATTGACAGATATTCATATTTATTGAGAATAGCATTGAAAAATAAATATAAAAGCCTATACTCGCTGCATCTGTATAATAACTTATTAACTATGAATATTTTATATTTTTTATATAAATTACAATTATTAACGTTTAAAAAATAATGCTACAACTATTCCATTAAATAATCTAATAAGGGTTGAACAAAGAAAGGAAATTGGGAAAAGTCTAATAGTAGCTGCCAATATGTTAATATACACAAATTTATATATATATATATATATATATATATATACATATATATAAACAAAGAACTTAGGTATTCTGCCTAGGAAATTAAAAATTACACCTAATCCAGGGTAAGAGCCATTTTAACTAGGCGTTACATGTATTTTTATTACCTGAATTCACCCAAGGCCGATAATATTTGTATTAGTATATAAATTTTAATACATATAATTATACCTGCATTTTTCTTTCTAAGTACTTATATACTGCACCAGCAAGTATTTTCGGTACTAAAATAAAAACACGTATTATATTTGTATATGTAAATATAAACCTTAAATAAAAGAACAAAATATATTTCTATTTATTCTTACAAAAGCTACAAATATCTCCTGGACCGTAGACATTTACCAAACGTAGTATAATCCAATTTAATTCTGGCGTTTCTTTTATTTTACTTTCAGCCAGTAGTTTCTAAAGAAATAAATAGTAAACATAAACCTATATATTAGATATATACATAAATTCTATATGAATACAATTAAAGCTTATAAATTTAATAGAAATTTCTCTTCCTTTTATTTTAAATTAAATTATTTAAATTACTTGTTTGTCACGCTCAGTCCAAGGAAAATCTGCTTTGTGGGTTTCGTTGCAAGGTTTCTATAAGGAAAAATAAAACAAAACAAGGATTAATAATTAGTGCAATTTAAATACGATATATCGTAAATATAATATTGTTGTTAATAAACTGCTCTAGATAATTAATATATGCAGGGTTTATTTATAGAAATAAACTATATTGTTTTTCATTGATAAAATATCTAAGTAAGCAAGATAGTAGTACAAAAAAAAAAAAGAATTTTTTTTAAGTAATCATTATCAATAAAAGATAGTTATAGAATTTCTTATCTGTAAAACTCAATGAGAATGAGAGGAAGAGAGAGAGAAATTCTTATACGTACCTCACTATCAAATATTCTGCAAGTTGATAATTCGATATATTTTTTAACATTTCTTTTAGCAGATTCTTTTGAACAGTTTAAGCTTAATTTATATATTCCTTCTTTATACACCTAAAAGTAATATTTAGATATGAACAGTGTTAATTAACATAATTAATTAAAAATAAAGAAAGAAAGTCATACAGCATCATTATGTCCGTGTTTGGTTTCAGCCGCACAATTAACAACATATTCGTAATTTCCTTTTCGACAGGTATCGAAAGCTTTTTGAACGGACGCTAAAGCCAGAGTAAAAATGAATTAAAAACGAATAAACGTTTAATATTGAATTGTTTTTAATAATAAACAATTTAATAAAATAATCTGATTATTTTACCTGGATTAATTAAATTAGCGTGGCTAAAATGTACACGATCATCTCGAAAAGCTTCTGCTGATCTTTTGCATAGATAAGCCATTTGCGGTGGGGTTTTATCAACGACTCCAATCTATGTTATCGAGTTTTTTTATTTATATTAATTAATTGCCTAATTTTTTCAAAAATAAATAAAAAAAAAATGTTTTATCACTAAAATCTATTTCCTCTTTTTAGTTTAATCTAATTGATATTTTTATGACTTTTTAATAATGATCTTTAGCAGTCATTTAAAATAGTAAGTATTATGACAAATCTAATAACTTAATATCCAATAGAAAAAGTTTCTTTTTTATGATTTCTCCTTCATTTATCAATTGATTTAATATATATATATATATATATATACTAATATATACAATATATATTGCTAATTAACAATGTAATTTATGTATTTAAAGTCCATAAACTGTGACAACTGCCTAGTGTAAACTAACACAAGGAAATTGTTTACGATTTTAAGCCTATAAGCCTTCTTTTAAAAAACGCTTCTTAAATTAAATTTGCTCAGGTGTTCACTGACACTGCAGAACTGATTTTGACCGACTAATTTAAAGCATTTAACAAAAATTTATAGTACTCTCTTGTTAATAGTCGCCTTTTTTATATATACATTATAAAAGGGTAATTAAATTCTTGATCACGTGATCATAATTTAAAAACTCATAGTCAATTTTCTTCTTTAAACTATTTCTTACCTCATGAGCTAGATTATTCTCAACGAGATATTGAACCAAATTCCTTCCAATGAATCCTGTTCCTATTCATGTATTCACAGAAATATATATGTAAAAATACCATAGCCAACATATTATGTCAGTAAAATATATAAATATTAAGAAATCTTCATACCGCCTAGAATAAGAACAGACATCTTTTTATCAGCTTGTCGTCTGAGTTACTATCCTCGAATGGCCTGATTAGCTAATAATAATAATTTTTTCTCAGAGTTATTTCACGCTTCAACCAACTTAAACTGACGACATTCTGACTTTCTTACGTGCGCTTCACCGGTAAGCCGGAAGATGGGGTCAAACGATATCCGGTTTATGGAGATAGACAGATGGCGTTAACAACAAAAAGTTAATTTTGGAAACTAAGTCTATCTTTAAGTGAGATAATAAACCTTTTATAGATATGACCACTACCGCTTTAATGATCTAGTTGTTATATTTTTTGTTTCTTTTAATAGATATCTGACTAATTTAATGATAGAAAGATACAAAATACATAGTCATTGTAGCCCATTAATCATAAATTGGCATGAATTGACTGGTTACAACTTTTTTCAAAACAGAATGATAGAACAGTTCATATAAAATTCTTGTAGTAGGTGGCTCATTACTTAATTTTTCCATGCCGGCTCCGTGTAGGTCAGCCAAAGTGTCTTCGACTCTTAATTCTATTTTACCTTCGGTAGTTTGCCATTCTTCAGTAGCTTCGGGGACTTTAATAGCATTTTGATAATGTTTTACTTCAGCTTCGGTTTCGATAGCTTTTGATCCCGTTCTAATTTTAAAGATTACTAAATCTTTTCTAAACTCAGCCCATCGAGGAGCAAGAAAGTTTCTCATTAACTCTAATCTATTCTCATCTAATTTATCAAATAGAGACACTAATTCTTTCATGGAGCATAAAGCAAGGAAATGTAAAATGGTACGAGTCAATTCTGTTTTCAAGTGATCCGAATACTTTTCATACGGCGCTTCAGCAGCTAAAATCTCCACTCCCTCAAAAGCCTTGAGGACGACTTCGTTGAAAATCTCCTCCATATATTCTATTGATGGTATATACCTTAAGGCTGAGCAAGCATGCATTCGAACCTTATAGTTTGTATGACACGCAACTAACTTCACTAGTTGTACGATTATCTCATTTTTTAGAGCACCTAACGGTAAAGGAGAATATTTTAAAACTAATCCGAGAGCCAACGTAGCATTCCAAACAATCTTTAAAGCCTTCTTCTTCGAGAAACTTATGAGATAGTTTACCGCTTGGCGTAGATTCTCTTCCCTATTAACTTTTTCCATCCCTTTGCCAAAGAGATCATTCACTTCGTCCACTTTCTATCAATAAAGAGAAAATACAATTATTCATTTAACAACAAATATTAATATATAAATATCTGTTTCCTACTTTTTCGTTGTGCCAATTTTGCGGTATTAACTTAATAAAATAAGACAGACTTCTAGCAGCATTCGAGCAAACCTTTTCGTCAACTGATGAACACATTACAATAACGATACTCAATACACGAGAAAAGAAAGATGATTCAAATTCAACAGCTACATCTTTATATGGCGTTGAAGATATTTGACCAAGAACATTTGATAATAACCATGCGCAACGCTGCATAACCATTTTTAATTCGTCGTTCTTCTTCGAATGACGACCCACAATATTCGCAACTAAGCGAACAACATCATCTATAAAACCATATTCTTGTCTTGTACATTGAAATTTTGCAAAAGTTCCTGCTGTTTTGAAAACTGCCGCTGTGCAATTGTCATCAATTGATTTCGACGTCAGAATGGAATTTGCAGCAGATGTAACAATGGAATAAAGAATTGGACCTTTTTCCGATCGAAATAGATCAAACACAGATTGAGATATTTGGGAAAGAGCATTGGCTGAGGCTGTCACAACGGAAGATTGTTGAGCTGCTATACATGTCAGAAGGCATTTTTCGATCATTTCAGACCACATTATGTAGACTAGAGATTTTGGTAATAAGCTTTCTTCCGCGTTTAAAACACTTTCAGCAGTTACAAACTCCGTCCAAAGTTTTAGACCATGACATCGTAAAGAATCGTCCTGTAAAACAAAAAAGTATAACTATCAATTGAACATTTGTATAGACTTCTGATGACCTGATGAGAACAAAGTCGAAGAGTATATTTGTGAATTGCTCCAATGTATGGAACAAGAACTACAAATGCATGGCGGAACAAGCATCTTAATATGCTTATTACTTCTATAACTTCAACAACTGAAACTAATCTTTTTCCTTTGTACACCCATTCTTCATTTTCGACTAAACCATGGAAACCCTCAACCGTAGTATATGCAACATCTTGAAGATCGAACAATTTTGCAGATAGAATACGAAATACTAAAGATAACAACCAGCAATTTCCAAGTTTGACTTTCTCGTATAGAACATTTTGATTAATTACACTTTCTCCTTGCATCAAAAAGTCATAAAGTTTTCCATGATGAAATACATCCTCTTCTACATCCTCTCTACTATCGTGAACATCAACCATCAATAATGCTCCACCTTTGTTAACAGTAGGCTCAACAATACAAAGTGGCTTAACAGATCCTTTGAACAGCATAGAAGCTTTCGACAGGAGAACGAAAGCAACATGCTTATTTATTCCATTACTGTCTCGGCCAACGCTTAGACAAGCTGCTATTACTTTATAAGCACCGATTCTTAGAGTGATATCATTACAATTCAGGCAATGCATAGCCATTTGGATTATATCATAAAATAACTTTGGACGAACTCTTGAATATGGTACAATCTCTAATAGAGTTTCAAAACTTTTTAACGCTTCTGTTACAACATTGCAGTTGGTTTCTGTTGCTATGATGTATGTTAAAAGCTGATGAATATTTATGAACAATTCAAAAGCCTTAGGTGCCATTGAAGAACAGGTTATTGTAAGGGGTTTCAGTACATTATCGTGTATATTGGATAATATATCTTTACATTTCCTAATAACGGCCGTTATAAATTCAATTGCTTCCGTTCTAACTCTGCTATGTAAATCAGTTGCTTCAAAACAGAAGACAAGGATACTTTTTTGCTGCTTAAACTTTTGATTTAAACTAAGCATTGAAACTGCCAAATCAAAAGATTCAGACAAGTCCAAATAGGAGAGAGCAACTGGTAAAGTTTTCAATGCTAGGATTCTAACTTCATCGTGTACAGATTCACATTTCGACGGAATAGGTATATTTATGATTCTCATGGCATCTTCACTTATCACTTGTTCCTCTTCGTTTGAAAGAAATCTTTTGTAATTAAAAAACAAAGACATATACAGTATATATATATATATATTATACTTGAAAAATGATGCAATTTCATATAAAACTCACTTAAACTCGTATGAAAATTTATTCCAGTTAATTTTTGATTGGACGTTATATGCTTTTAATTGAGTTGTTTCGGGTTTTTTCTTCTTTTTACCAGATTTGCTACGCTTAGCCCTCACTGATTGTAATTTTACGTAATTTTCATCGTTCAAAGAATATAATTTGTCTATAGTGGCTCGGATATCTATATATTTAAAGTCCACAGATGGGTTAAGGACGCAAAATCTCTACAATAATATAAAATTACTATAAGCTTCAAATATAAATAAATATATTCTCACTCTAAGTATTTGACAAACTTCTTCTTTATGCCAAAAGTATCCCAATTTGTACAAACTTTGAAGTAGATGTAAAGTATATGTGACCATTCGGAGATGCTTTAGTTGATCTGAAGTCATCCGAGGTATCTCAATAGCTAAACAATGTAAAAGTTTAGCAAATACATAACGTATAGTTCTGCAGTCAATATTCATATCTTCCTGCATATCTGCATCAAATCTAAAGAAAGATTTCAGACACGCAGCCACACCGGTTGCCATTTCAATATCTTTGGTCATCGACAAAAAAGTTGTGAGGAAGCCATATTCAGAGATTAAAGCAGCACAAATTTTTGGTGAGGCGTCGTAACATTGTTTATTTAGGATTACAGAAAAACTAAATAATATTTTTCCTGTAACCCATCTTGGAGATTGTTCAATAGCATTTAGAAACCAATTAATAACTTGGTCAATTTGTAAATCTACAAGTTTCACCTATAAATAGCAATTAGAGGAAAAAATTGAGTATTCTTTTATTCCAAAAATATTGACAGAAAGTGTTACCTCGTCCAAATCCCATCCTACTTTATAAATAGCTTCGCAAAACTTATTAACTAAGTGATGTTCATTAAGTTTCACTAGTTTTATGCCATTGTTAATGAAACTTGTTAAGGTCTGAAAATAAATTACTTGTTTGTTAACAAATAGTCATTTCATATATCTAACCTGATAGCCGTATTTAAGGTGATATATAGATATAAAGAAATAGCAAAACAAAGTATTAATAAAAATCCACTTACATTTACACGTTGAAATGTAAAACTTTTATAATTCATAGATAGTATTTCGTTAAATATCTCATGTAAATGATAGGTAGAAACATTTTGATCAACTTTCATTCTTAACATTCTATCACATAAATCTTTAAACGAAAATTGTCCATCGTGTGCCGGCTGATAATGAGATTTGGCAGGCGAAGACATTTTGCCTAAATATTTCAAATTGAATATTCCAGCGATTTGTAAGGTGTTAAAATCTTACAGGAAACTTACATAATATTCAATCACTTGCTGTCACCGGTTTATTTCAATAAGCATTCAGCAAAATGGATCCGTCATAGAAACCCTGCGAAAATTTCTGCGTTCTTTGCAACAATGATTTGCTGCAAATATTCTGATCTTAAAAATTTAGATAAAATTCGCACTGGAATACGGTTCCATCTCTTTGAAAGATTTAGAAGGCGGGAAAAGAGTGTTTATATTTATTTATAACAAATATCTCTTGTAAGTTTATTGAAGACTCAATAAATATTTGTAAAATAGAGTAATAAAACGATTACTAAAACTTAACTTTATTCAATATAAGGAATATATAAAATCATTGGAGAAATAAGTCTATAATCTGCCTGAAGTGTAGTCTAGCAAGGTTAAGTCTACCCTTTCTAATATAGGATAAAACAACTTATTGAACAACACAAAACGAGCTTTTCTCTGGAGATTTTGGTCTTGCAACTGATTGAACTGTTGAATTTTCTGTGCATTTTTTCTTTTCTTTGACAATTTCTGCTTTAACTATAGTATATTGATAATCATGATCTTTTACCGTCAATTTAATGCCTAAAATATCAGCAATAACTTTCTTAAAACACATCGTAACCTTTAAACAATAAAATATTTTATAGACAGATCATTCGCGGTAAAATACCAACTTACGCCCTCTCCTGTTTTAGCCGAAACAAAATATGAACTCATGCCTTGTTTCTTTGCAAACGCTTCTTGTCGCTGCCCTCGAACAACCCTTAAATGTTCGAGATCGACTAAATTAAAAATAGTTAAAACTTAGCTTAATAAACTTCTTATGGAATATCAAATCCTTACTTTTGTTACCCACAAGAACAAAGTGAGGAAATTTTGCATCGCTACGTAATCTTATAAGTTGAAGAACTTGCTCTTTCCAATCCATTAAATTTTCAAAACTTTCCAAATTGGTAACGTCATATACTAAAATTACACCATCGGCGTTGTAAAGGTATTTATCAAGCATCCCTCCTCCAATACTTTGGCCTCCAATATGCCATATTTGTGCAGTAACGTGAACATTACTTGATAAAATTGTTCTCTTTAATAAACAATCAATTCCTAGTGTTTGCGAGTAAGGTTTGCTGAATGTATCGTTAACGTACCGATAAGCTAAAGAAGTCTACGCGAAATTTTTGAATTAGCAAACTGCAGGAAATAACTAGATAACTCTCAAAACCTTTCCAGAGGTTCCGTCTCCTATTAAAACCAACTTTACTAAACGACTCGTATATTCGTCTTCATTCTCTGTCATGGTTAAGTCATAAATTGCCTAAAGTCTATTTACTCAGGTTAGGGAATCGCCGTGGTGACATAGCGCCATTTTTATGACGTTGATTTAATAATAGACTAGATATTTTCAATAATTGTTAACAAAACATACAATAATTTGAAGGAAATATACTTTGTATATTATTTTATTATGTCCCAATATTAAAGTAATATCAAATTATTATGATAATTCTAAATCAAAGTAATTACATATCTTTGCCATGAATCTCACAAAATTGAGCAATAATACTTAAATGATCTAAATCCGTTAAAAAACACTTGCTTTCATAGTAAAATACTTTTTTTAAAAAAATAGAGTAAAAACATTCTATGTAAATAGATACTTTAGATAGTTCCAATTAAGTCACCGTCATGATGGTCTGCGAAAGGGACGGATGAAGAATTTCCTATTGTGTAGAGAGTGTTTCTGCTGGCTTTTACAATTTGAAAAACTAAGTCTTTGCAGTCTATGCAAATTGGTACTTTAGAACGCTGGTAAAGAAATTTTTAATTACATTAAATCGATAATTAAGAATTTCACATATAATGTATTACCTTTGCGGAAATATGATTAAGTAAATCTGTCACAAAAGGTAATTTGCGACCTCGTTCTGGTGAATTTGGAGCTGATCCATAACTTTTATAAGTAGGAAAAATATTCCGATGTTAATTATTGAAAAACATCAGTTAAACTTTTTAAAACTTACTGATTCTCTACTGGATACCTGAGACTGGAAGAAGGGCCCAAAGTGTAGGCGGGAATACGACTAAAGTGCTCCAGCGGGAGATTAACCTATAAAATTTTGAGAGTTTAAGCTAATATCTTACTACTATGAATGAGATTTGAAATCAGTTTTAAAAGAGAAGCGCTATATGCCTCTAGTAAAGCTCTTTGCGTTTTAATCCATAACCTATTTGTAGATTGTTATACTACTTTATATAAAAAGATAAAGCTAGATATTTAATTTACCTGCTTTAAGCATTTGTTGCATATTAAACGACAGCAGATTTTACATTTTGTTGACCGATCGCCAAAGAAAGAAAATTTAGTCTTCTTACAAATAAAACAGATTTGTCCTTTTCTTAGTAAATCGTAGAGTTTATTATTAGAAATACAATATTCCAACTCGGCTTTGGTGAGGGTATGACGAATATGAGATAGTTCATCGAGCGTTAACGATAAGCAATCAATATTATTAACCTGAGGAATAAAAGCGTTACATATGTTTGCCTATATGTTAAATTCTTTTTAGTAAATACGAATTTATACGATTTTTTCATACAAAGCCAGTAGAGAAGTTAGTTTTGTACGAAATATTAATTTGTAGAAATATATCAATATATATATACTGTATATATACAGTATATACTTTATATATAGAACTATTGTTTAAAGCTTTCTTTTTATCAATTTTAATAACCAACTAACACTGAATTTTGGGGTAAAATTTATAGCTGTTAGGGAATGTCTTTTCCTGAGTTCTCTCTTTCGGCAAGTTCTTTCAGACTCTGAAATATTCCCTAAAAATATATTATATAATACTATTGGCTTAATTTATTAAGCATTCTTACCTCCATTGGGTGATAAAGGAGTCAATGGTTGTAATAAATCATCACTAACTATTAATTTAATTTTGTTATTTTTAGGTGTTTCTTCCCTGAAATCATTGTTATTCTTCTCATTATCCGCTAAAGGACAATTTTCAACATTTTCCTTTTCATCATAGTCCTTTCCAGCACATTCTTTTTCAATTCTTTTATCTTCCAAATTTAGGGAATTTGGTCTGGAATTCTCTTCCTCATCCAATTTCCTCTTTGGTCTTAAAGTTGTTAATTTCTTTTCAATTTCCTCTTCGATATTATATTTATCTGTATCCATAGTTGGAGTTTGACAATCTCTCTCCTCGACTAAATCATTTTCATCTAAATCATCTTCCGATTCCCAATCTTCAAAATCAACAAAGTCAATTGGTTCAATTTTCTTTAGATTCTTCTTCGCTACAATGGCTAACTTAGAGGCTGAAAATGATTATGATTTAGTTTCAATTGTACAAATAATTTACAAATACCAACATGGAGTGGTCTTTAGAGATACTCCTCTTTTTATCTGTTGCATTAATTCCTCTCGAACCAGTAACTTTGGAGATTTTTTTGGTTTTAGAACTCTCTCGCCAGCTGGCTTTAAAGGAGGCCTAGATCTAATAAAATCCATAATCACGGACCTGGCATCGGTTTTAGATGCGTGTTGCGGAATATCGCCGTTCACCTGTACATAAGCATTACAAATATTGAGTACAATAGAAAAATACGTGCTGGGATATTTAACAAAAATTTGTCAGTTGGATATTTAAATTTTACCATAATTTTGTTTAGATGATATCGTTTGTCTCGGATATCAGCCATTAAAATTTCATATGGTGTAAGCTCGTAATGACAGTTCCTTTGTTTCTCAATCTCAATACTTTTTAACTTGACTCCCATTCTTAGCTCTTTCATTAATTGAATCCATAATTTGGCCCAATCAGTTCTATTGAGTTCATCAACGGATTCGTTTGAGATCTTATCTAAAAACTCAGATAATTCGTTTGCTTCTGTTATGATCGCTCTACATACAGCTTTATAATGTTCTTCTACATGTCTCTCCTTACAAATCTATATAATAAATATTTCGTTTATTAAGAACAGCTACTAAACATTACTTTACCTTTAATGCTGATGATAACGAAAAATAGGAAGGTGATTCTTCTGTATCTATTCCTTCATCCTTTTCGAAACTATCATCTCCCCTAATCAATTCCTCTATTAAAAAAGTTAATTCTGGACTAATTTCGTTAGATTCCTCTTCGCTAAGACCCCAATCAATTGTTTGGTAGACCAAAGCTCCAAGACATTTCGTAACCTTTTGAAAGTCAATAGATATAGGCATTTATTACAGTTATAGTGAGTGGTTCAAAGTTTGAATAACTGGAGAAAACGGATATTATACCTCTTTCTCACTACCATCCTCGTCTCCTTTAATTCTGACAACATTGCCATTTGGACCAATGATAACAGAATTTAATCCCCGAAAACGTCGGTAACTCTTGTCTACCTTAATTAGATAAATTAGACACTGGTGGCAAACCGCCCAGGCCTGTTCTTCGCTCAAAGGCGCGTTAAAAGCATAAAGTATATCCTCTAAACTCTTTTCCATTCCTCTAAACAGCTTTTCTACAGAATTCTAACATCTTATTCAATTCGTGAAATGATTTAAAAGGGGAGATAACATGAGTAAGCAAGCAGACGAAAAATAGGTGGCGCTAGTAGCCCATAAAAACTATTAGTCTATAGCGAAACAATGGTTACCTGAGATTGTTTACAGGTGACAGTTTTAGTTTTACTTTCCCCTATTGATACAAACAAATGATTATCTAAGGTTACGACTAAATCATTTGTAAAACCTAAAAATAGAACTGTAGGTACAAATTAACTTATTGTAGGGTAAATTAGCGTAGGTTTTTCCACCTTTAATATAAGGGAATGTTAAAAATTGATCGATTTAAAAAACTACTATTCGTCTATTTATAATCTATAAAACTGTTATAACATGTATTGCATATTTATATATAAATATATCAAACTATTGATCAATTATATCAAAGAATATAGATTATTTTACGGTTGATTGAGTCATCTATTCATATATTGAACTTCCTTCATTTTAATATTTGTATAATATCAATTAATCATATTTCTATTTTGCATAATAATATAGATATTAATCTTGTAATTACTTGTTTACTTAAAGTATTTTTATTATATTATTTTAATATGAAAACAATGCTTTTAAAACATAAATGAGTATTAAAAATATTTATATATTAATAGATAAACGAATAAAATAGTTTGAATGATATTTTCAAAGAATATGTAATCAGTAGTAATAAAAGATGATAATAGTGAGGGGACAAGTTTCTTTTTTAGTTGTATGCTAAGAATTACGTTCCTTTAGAAAGCACTGCATCTATTTTATTTGAATAATAGTATAATATGTATATATATATATATATACTGTATATATCCATATATTGAAAAATTTGCATATTATACTTACTGAAAAAGTATCACACCATATTGATTTCAATGGTATAATTGAAAAGTCGGTTGATAACGAATTCATATTAGTCTTCTTCCAATTCATCAAATCTGAATTATTTGTAACTATTTTTAAATCAGAATTCTTCCCAATAACTTCTATTAGCCATGATTTCTTTTCCAGTGATCTTATGTTTTGTAAAATGCTACACGATTTAATTACACTTAGCAAGGCACGAAATGCTCCCACTAGGTCATCTTTCTGACTATCACTAATAAGAATAATTTAAATTATTTTTAGTATTAAATTTAGGCCTATTGACAACTGCTCACCTTAAATTTTGAATGAAATTATTCCCAAAATTGAATTCTATGACAAATTGACAAACCGTTTTAGCATTTCCATCTGTTATCAATAAGTTAAAGGTGCTAATGGACTGCTCTTTCAATAACGACTTTAAAGAAAGCACAGCATTGTGAATATACGAAAACACAAGCCTTTCCTTGCAAATCTACAACAAATTTAAATTAAACAAATGAACCTTTAAAGAGAAAAAAGATGAGAAAATAACTAACCGGAATAGGTATCAGATACTTGCTACTTTCCCTAAACGTGCCATCGGGATAAATTCCTGTTGTATAGAGCAAACTGTGAACAATTACTTCCAATACTTCCAATATATTTTCAGTAAAATCGTTAAAATTTAGTGGAGTTCTTTGTAAAGTTTCCCCTAAAAAATATTAAAAAAAACAAAAATTCAAAATGATCGTAAAAAGTATTTATTTAAAAAAACATGATTGATATCAAATTTTATCCATACAGATGATAAGTTGCAATATAATACTTTACATACCATTCATTCTATAACGTCGAATCTAGTTTTGACAATTTTAAAAATACATTCCAACCTAATTTAACTTTAAAAAGTCCCATTCAGAATACGAATATAAAGAACCTAAACGAAGCAGAAATAATCAGGTTCTTATTATTCGTATTTTTGCCTGCTGGAGCTAAAGATATAAACCACGATCCAGGCTAAAACTGAAGTCAAAACAAACAAGAGACTCTAATTTCTTATTCTTCATGATTTATTAAAAACATTGTTAACTTCGATCTCAAACTTCAAAGTATACAAAAAAAAACACTTCTACAATTTGCAAAAATTCAAAGTGATACATTGCATCTTTTTAAGCAGTCAAATCACGGCTTTCAAACCGTGAAATTGTACATTTAAAACACCGCAAATCCTTAATTCAGGTAACATTTAATATATTGCTCATAACAAATCAGTGAAAAATATCTTCCATCAAAATTAAAGTGTAGAAAATTTCAATCTCATCCATTTGTGCACAGATTAAAGATAATGCAAGAAAATATTTGTCTGCATTATACAAAAATAAGGAAAAATAAACAAATATATGTTAATAAATATCTAAATCTAACAGGCCTTGGAAAGGATTTTCGTGAAAAAATGTTCGACTAAGAAATAAAAATGGCACAACCTAAAAGATGAAATCAATATTGATATATCACGATAAATTGTCAAGTGAACACATTATCATTGGAAAACTTCTACGCAATATGTTGTTCAAAAATTTGAGATCACATAAATTGAGTTGGACGAGCTGAAATTGGAGGAGTTAGTATTGTCTCAGAAAATTGAGAACTTAAATCCTCCAGATCAGTTGTTATTTTGTTAGACTGTACCATTAACTTCGTTTGGAGTGCTTGCAGATCTCTCTACAACATAGAGTCAATTTAATAATCATATCATTATTATTGCAAAAATTTCCTACCTTTAACGAGGACATTTCAAAATCCAAGTCTGAACAAACCGAGGTACTGCAGCCACTCTCAGTATTCAATTGAAGAGCGGGTACATCAAACAAAGCAGGAGGGTTTAAAAAGTCATATTCTGAATCCTCACCAGACTTTGCAAACTGAGAATCATTAGTTTAGAATAAGTATAATTGATTTAACGATTTCAATGTAAATTATCTTTACCCCTGAATTAAATACAGGTGAATAATTATCTCCATTAGATGCGGTATCACAACGTTTCAAAGCAATATTAACTTTTTGAACAGCAACTTCAAAACTGATATCTTGTAAAATATTATCTAAATGTTCCTCTGTTAATTCTGCATCCTATTTGATTAGCACATTTTATTAATATAGTTGTCCGAATTATCTTGCAGATAATTTACCTTAATAAGAATGTTCTCTTCTAGATGATCAACAATATGCTGATATTTTGAGATTACTTCATGCAAATTATCATGAGCAGTTTTCATTTTTTCTTCATAATCTTGATTGAGAAAATGTATAAACTTCTGTCAAAAAATAAAACTCTTAACTTTTGAAATCCAAATGTAATTTAATTATGCATGTTTGAGTTTGGTATTTACCTCAGTTTCGGAATCAGTTGACAGTTCATCTGGTGTTTGTTTAGAGTAAGATTTCAATTTCTCTTGCAATACACTATCCTATAAGCAAAACATTTTTAGTGGTTTATACAGGCATTTAACTTGTCGACATACCATCCACAAAAAAAAAGTTTCGTGATGAGATTTCCATTCTATTAGGTGCTGTAATCTCTTATTGTCTTTATCCAATAGATTAACACTCTAAAAAAATAATAATAATGCCTCATCAAGAATACAAAAAAGAAAATACATACTGTTTTCATTAAATCTGGATTGTTAAGCATATATATTTCTAGTGTAGATAGATGCGGTCGATCTGTACTTGAGGGAATACCCCCTGAATTTGTAGTGGCTCTGTGCATCTGTTTCAAATTTTAATATACAAATGGTAAACAAATTTCTTTAAGTGCAGCAAGTATTTTACCCTATTTTGCATAGATGTACACTCTTTTTGCAAAGTCAACAACGACCTTAGATTATATCGTAATTTGTTGTTTAAGCACAATAGTTGTTGAACTTTTTCATCAATGTTATCCGTATCCCTTAGCAGTAGATCTGAGAATTCTTCAGGTATTGCCTAAGGGTGAAAATTAAATAGAATCTGTTCCTTAAGTTAATTGGTCAGAAGAAGATTAAATAAAATCAATATATTATTGTCAATATGATTAGTTTCGATTCTTTAAGACCTACCTGGGTTTTTAGAAGTAACGTGGAAAACATGGAAGTCATTCTTGCCATATACTTTAATATTACCGACTCTTTCCATAAAATGAAACCAAAAGCAAGCAAAATAGCTCTACTACCCTTTGACATATCCGTTGGTAACCCAGCAAACTCGGTACAGATATGCCCGCGTTTGATCACTTCTTTCTTCGTATAAACAACCAGTTCCTCTAATTAAAAAATATCCTCTAAATTAATTTGCTTAAAAGTTTCTCTCAAATAAAAAAACTTTAAAGGGAAAATATATTAAAGTAATAATAATATATATATGTGTGTGTGTGTAAGTAAATTACCAGTAACAACCAGAATAAACTAGACAAATCAAATATTTCTAGGATTGCCTAACAATAATTTACCTTTAGTAAATTCTTTCTCCGCCGAAAAACAGACTGTATCATTTTCCCCATAATTACAAAAGTAAATAACTTCAAATAACATCTTCCACATATCTGCTGTCTTTTAAAAAAAAGGATTATTAAAATTAGTAGGCCTTGGAACATTTTTTCTCTTAATTTTCTGCTTACCACAGCAGGATTGTCAAATTTTGACAAGCGAAATACTTCTGCTTTGACTGGACTAGTTCCATTTTCCTTTAAGATTTTACATAATAATTCAACTGTTTCTCTAATTTGAGCCATTTCTATCTTGGTAAATTGAAAGAAATTTCTCCGAATTTATTAACAAGAACCAGTTTATTACGGATATGACTAATTTACGATTGTCACGTCTGCTCCCAAATTTATAAAAATACCAACATATATTATTGATGTGTTGAGCAGACAAAATTTAAAAAGAAACATGACAATTTGCGGGAATCTGACAGATTTTTTATAGATTTTATTTGTAAAAAATTTACAAAACAATAAATTGTTAAAAATACACAGTGACTTCTGAAATATATCTTAATAAATAAATTTCCAATTCATTTATTTTAGCAAGGTAGAATCCCACAAATGAATTTTTATTAAAATATATTACTTTTAAGCAAAACTAATTTGTAGTGAACTATTCGATGGTTTTTAGTCACTCTCTTTTTATCGAGCATGCGCGGGGTAGTTTACAATTGAAGCAAAACATTCACCCTCTAACCGGAAATAAAGACAGTACTGCTTCGATTCCAGAAACGTTCTTGTGCTATCTGCATATATCCAATTGCTGATATCGTGATCTTTCTTGAAAACTTTATTCATTGATTAATCACAATCACCTCTTATGAGCAACGCTGGAAAAACATTCGTTAACCTTCAACAAAACGGTATTTTTTATTTACCAAATTGCAAAATGTTTAAGAATCAAGCAAGAGTTTGAATATATGGTTTCTCACTTTCAGATCCTTTCAGTGATAATGCTGTGTCTGGGTCTAGTCAAGGAGGAGTAATTCATATTCGAATCCAACAACGAAACGGTAGAAAAACTCTGACTACAGTTCAAGGAATTAAAGACGAATTCGACTTGAAAAAGATAGTAAAAGTTTGCAAAAAGGCATGTTCTAATATTTATTACAACCAGTAATTACCAAACTGTCAATGTTAAAAGATTTTGTTTAATTTATTTAGCTTGACATGTCAAAATATGTTTTGAGAGAAAAGTTGCACTGTTTTGCGTAATAATTATTAATCATTGTTATTACAATTCAGGAATTTGCCTGTAACGGGACCGTTGTTGAACATTCTGAATATGGGGAAGTAATTCAATTTCAAGGAGATCAAAGGCAAAATATTCATGACTTCCTGGTAAAGATTGGACTAGCAAAGCCGGAGCAGATTAAAGTAATATTTTCATTCATTTATATTATTTTGCCTCATATTTTATTATATTTTTTACTATTATTATTATTACAGGTCCACGGGTTTTAGCACTCTAAAAGAATATACTGCAAACGTCGAATATAAAATATATAAACATGTATACGTACTTGTAAATATGTATCTACAGTATATATTGTCTAAATGTGTATGATTTTAAAACAAAGCTAAGATATTAAAGACTGAAGAGTTCTTGCATTAAAAATCTCTTTTTTTTAAAAGTTTCAAACTTAAATATGAACATTCAACTATGATATTCCGTATGTTACGTGAAAAATTCTCATTAATTATCTCGAGAAATATAAATGTTGATCTTTACAGAAAATAGAAATTACTTTTTTAGTAAAATTCATTAAGGTGCATAAATTGCTTAATATATATATAGCTTCATTAGAATAAACAATTCAATTTTTAAATTAAATAATTTTAATACAAAATAACATTGAAGCAAAATACTGATTACAGAGTGACAAAATTCGAATATGAATGATAAAAATTTCAAGATAATATTCGGTGTTTATATTGGGGGCAGAGCGCCCTGACGACCTCTCTTTTCCATTACATCCTTTCTAGAATCTAATACAGATTGTTTCATAACCTGGAAGAAATAGTCATAGGTAATTGCGAATACGTTGCTTGAATGGGTGATCTAGAGTTATATATGATAATTTTAAAACGGTGAAAGCATTTTGCTTTTTACCTTATTCTTCACCTATATCTCTAAAAACTATGAACATTCGAAAGATTGAAAAATCAGGTTGGACTGAGTATTAGAGTTTTTACAAAAGAACATACCATATCATAACTTGGTGGTTGTTCACCAACAGGATGACTTGGAGGAGTAGGCAAATCTGGAGCAGGACTCTGAATTGTTTGCCTTATTGGGTGTTGCGGGCGAGCTGGTTCCTGATTTTGAACAGGCGGTTCACTCTTTTTGTAACTCTGACCGGTTTGTAAGATTGCACCAAAGGTCTTAAAGGTATCTAGAACATCTCGTGATATTTTTGAGGCATCCATGGAATCGCGTAAAGCCTCAGCAGCTTTAAAGGCGTTGGCTGCTCCTCTTTTATCATCAATTTTATACAGAAAAATAGCATAATTCAACTGAGTGAACAAGTTGTTAGAATCGTACTTTATCGCCTGAAAATTCAAATTAGGATATTTAAATCAAAAAAATGTTTATTGTACAGAATATATACCTGTTTGTAAGCTTCTATGGCGTTGTCATTATCGTTTAAATTTGACAGAGCTACTGCTAAAAGAGAAAACAATGGTCCATATTTAGGTTTAAAATTGATTGCAGCTGAAAGAAAATGAAAAGCGGAGGCATACTGCTCCATTGTCAAATGAACCAGTCCCAAATTATGGAGAATCTTCCATTCAAACGGTGCAAAATAACTTGCTCTTTTCAGACAACTAATAGCGGCTACAAATTTCTTTTTCCCAAAAAAACACATACCAATATTATTCCACAAAGCAGGAGATTCTGGGTGCTTATCAGAAGCGATACGATACTTGGAGAGAGCTACATCAAAATCCTGATGCTGCTGCATCATAGAACCCGAAGCTAAAATAGCTTTAACATTCGACGAATCAAAAGTCATGGAATTTCCCAAATGCTCGAAACTCTTGTGATAATCGCCAACTCTAATATTATAAGAGATATAAATTTAAACTTCAATTTCGGTAGAAAATTTGAAAGCTTACCTCAAATAAAGTAGGCCTAGAGTGGTTAGAATTTCAATATTTTCTGGACTAATTTTCAAGGCATCATTAAGAACATCAAGAGCTTTATCAACATTTTTTTCCATTAAATAAATTTTTGCTAGCATTATATAACTCAAGTCATTTTTTCTTATTGTTAGAGCCTGCTCTAAACTTTCCTTAGCTTTAGTAAAATTCTGCATGTACATATGACAAACTCCTATGTTATGTAAAATTTCCCAGTCACTATCATTTAGCTTCGCTGCTTCGTGATAAACATCGATTGCTGCCTTGTGTCTGGCAAGGAGGAATAAACATCTAGCTACTTGTTTTAAATTGTTCGCATTGCCCGAATTTAACAAAGCACACGTTTGAAACAGTTCTAATGCCTCTTGAATAGATCCTTCCTGCCTTTTTATCAGGGCTTGAACATAATAAGCATATTCACACATATCACTAGATTCAGCTAGTTGTTCTTTTATTAGAATTTTACAACGATCATATTCTCGTCTAATATAATGCAAATGGATCAACCAATTTCGTCTTTCGAAAGCAGGTAGCTCAGGCGCTTTTCTAGGTCGATTAGGAGGCATAGCCGGAGGACCTGTCGATTTAGCTTCAGCGGGAATTGGCGGTTTTTCAGACATTCTTTAGTGTTGAAATTTTTAAAATCGGAATGCGGTATTACTAAAATCCGTCGGGAATTGCTTTCGAGATCCAACCTTTTTGGCTTTAAAATGATAATGGAAAAATCGGAGAATTATATAAACAACGTATAATAAGTAGGAGGAACATTCCTTTTAAAATTTTTTATAATTTTTTGATTGGTTATTAATTTTCAAAAAATTCTTTTTTTTTACCAAAATAATTTTAAAAGTTGAAACTAAAAGAAAAATAATTTTCCCATCTTTGATTTAGAAAGAATTATTTAACACTTGTTTAAACGATACGAAAAACATTATAAATTTTTATTTCCATTAAAGAAAAAATACGAAAAAACATGAAGCGGCATTGGCCCCATCTAGCGGTTATAATTTGTTCTTGGGAATTTTTAAAAGCTATTCAAAGCCATATATCATTCTAAAAATAAGAATTGAAACTTTGTCTGAAAATATATTGTAACCCTTAATACTTTATTTCGAAGTAAATCGACTGATTTTTCCGGAAAACTATGTTTCAAGCTTTCAAACTCATTCGGTCTTGTAGTATCGCTCGGATTAGTTCACTTTTAAGAAATGAGCATGCATTGAAAAATGCCTTAAAAGACTGTAACTTTAAAAGATTATTTTCTACGAGGCAAAACAACTCTAAAATAAACTTTGAAAAACTTACTAACGTGCCAAAGGATGTCCACATTTATACTTATGAAAATGATAATCTCTATAGAATGATAAGTATTTTTGGAATGGTGCAGTTTATATTCTGGGGAAATTTGGCATTATTTGTTTCTAGTTCAAAAAAACTTGAAAAGAGAGATAATGAGACCGCTTGGTTATCAATGGTATCCCATTTGCAATCAAAGTACAGTAATACATTAACATTTGGCTCCATAGTTGTTGGTAAGTATTTTGTTATTGCTATTCTAAAAGTAAAATATTTTGTAACCTTATTTTCGCGCTTATTTAGGAGGATTGATTTTATTTTTCACTCTGGTATATCCTCAAAGAAGTGTAAAGTCTCTTACACTTTTAAAGAGAGGAGAAAAGGTAAAATTAGCAACATATTCCTATTTGGGGTCAACGAAGGAAATGATTATTCCATTGGAAAATCTCAGTTTAATGAGAGCACGATCATCTGGTGCACCCCAGTTGTCAATGAAAGTAAAGAATAAATGGTTCTACTATTTATTGGACAATCGAGATGGAAAATTTCATAATACCGAATTGTTTGATTATGTTATTGGTCTTCAAAGAAATTTAAAAGTATAAATTCTTATTTTTTTTAAATAAATATCTTTATTAAAGTAGATAAAAAGAACAGAAATTAATAGCTGTTATTCATGATTAACGTGTGAAAAACTATTGCATAATCAAATAATGATTTTTATCTTTTTTGTAAAAAAACAATATCCTAAAAGCTAAGATATTTTGAAAAATTCTTATAACCATTACAATTAGGTATAAGAACAGTTTTAGATAATCTTAGTTGTTTGAACTGAAATCTTTTAGAATATCTCCCATGTGTTCATTATGCGATTTATAATTAGTTTTTTTCCTTTTGTTACCTCCTTTCTTTTTCTGTTTTCTTTTAAAAGCTGAATTCTGCTTAAAAGAAGATATTTAGATTTTAAAGCAATTAAACATTAACAACTTACATTTGGACCATCCATTTCCATCATAGCCTGGATTCCCTGTTTAGTAAGGAATTCGTCAATTTTCTTTTCATCCATTCCTTCTAAAGGTACAGATCTCCAGAGTTTTTGGAAATCTTAATATAGAATAGTTTTTAAGTAAATGTTGATAGATTTGTATATCATAACAAACTTTCGTCTAGCTTGAAGTCAACTGATTTGTCATTGTAAAATAGGACTTTCTGTTTGTCATGAGGCCTTTTAACACAAATAATCAGATCACCTAAACTCTAATTAAGAAATAAATGAAATTAAAGAAAATGAATTTTTTTTCTTTTTACAACTAACCTTTAAAACTTTTTCGGAGTTCGGTACACTCTCTTTAATATCATCCTCAAGAATTCCACCCATACCTGTTTTTTTTTAAGTAATAAGGATAAAATTTTATACTTTCACCTATGTATAAATAATCAACCCTCTCTGTCATATTTTTCCATTAGTTTGCGAAGAGATTTTTTGTCTTTAGCAGGATACTTTGGTCTAAATTTAAACAACTTTCCTTCTTCAGTATCAATCTTTGGATTATTTGGAAGTGCTTCATTTTCAAGCCAATGAGTTATTTTTTGACTTATCCCAGTCTGATGGGTTTCTTCAAGGATATCTTCAATATTCAATGCATGACTGTCTCCTTGTAAATGCCGATCCTTGAAAATTATAAAAATCGCAGGCGTAAATGTCACAATATATTTAAGTACTCACTCTCATGTATCTAACAATTTTTGATAAAATACTAAATTTTAATTGTGAGCCTCCAGTTGATGTTTTATAGTCAAATTGAGGGGTCGCTACACAAAGCAGATATTTAAATTATATATTTAGGCCTAAAATGATAACAAGGCTAAATTTAGAGCATAAAACAACGCTGAAGGAAGCATACATCTGACTATTTTCTACATATGAATTCTTCTTTTAAGATATTCATATTTAATGATTATTAGTTCACTAACCTTTCTCAGATTTGATTTTTTTTTTCGTTTTATTAAGATTCTCATCAGGTTTTGATCTTTTTTGTCGTTTTTCAACAACTGGTAAACTTTTTGCTTTACTTAAAAATCTTTGACGTTCTCTCAACAATTCAGCATTCATTTCTTAGCTTTACCGTTACCCTTTTCTTATAACAAATAATTGTTAAAGCAAACAACAATTAATTTATTTAATTAAAAAAGTTTCCTGTAAAGATTTCCAAAATTTGCTGAATTATTTTAAATTAGAGTATTCATAACCGTCGTCCACGTTATCGGACAAAGAGATAAGTTCTCAGTAAAAACAAACATTCTCAGTTGAAATAGTTTTTATTTGAAAAAAGTCGGCCATTTTGAGTATTTTCAATATAAAATAGCTGACAGAGTTACTACTCTTTGTTGTTTATAATTTCTAACTGGTCAAAGTTTATAAGAAGTAACCTTCAATTTAATTAGAAAATCAAACTGGTAGCTAAAAATGTTTAGAGTACTGACGAAGCCCGTCAAACGGACATGGAAACAGTTCGTAGTAGACGGCAGAAGAAGCTGCACTTTGGAAATAGGCAGCAAATATACTTTAAGTAAAGCTTTTAGCGAGAAGGATGTAATAGACTTTTCAAATTTGAGTGAAGATCGCAATCCCTTGCATTTAGATGCTGAATTTGCTAAAACTTCCAGATTTGGTCAACGAATAGTCCATGGCGCTTTAACAAGCTCGTAAGTAATTTTGTCATTTAATTTGCACATTCTACTTTTCCAGCTTTATTGCAGACTTTTAAGCGGTCTAATGGGTTCAAGAATCTTTAAACCAGGTGCTATCTACGTCTCACAACAAGTTCAATTTACAGCTCCATGTACAGTTTAACACTTACATTACAACTTTTATATTAATAATAATAATATTTTTATAATTTTTCAGTATTCATTGATGAAAACGTTACCGTTGAAGCAACTATAGCTAATATTAAAAAGAATAGAGTAACGGTATCCTACAGATATGTTACCGACAATAATAAGGTACTGTATACTTATGGAACAAATAGTTTTTATGCCAAAGCGTGCATACCATCTTTTTCAATTACAGGAAGTAATGAAAGGAGAAGCGGTCGCTATCGTTCCAAAAGAGCAGTTGCCTAAATAAATAATTTGATTTTAATATATCAACCTTTTTCACATATTTGTGAATAAATTCTGTAAAATATCTTTTAGTTTCAATTTTTCAACTTTTAAATCATATTGCACACTAGATGGAGTCACAATAGAGTAGTATATTAAATTTTAAACTAGAGGGAGTAGTTGAACGTTTCCAAAATGGCTGATGTTAACAAATGGTTAGAAATTTCAAAAGAATGCAAATATCTTCCAGAAAATGACTTAAAAGTAAGAAATTTTCATTGTAAAATGTTAAGGGATATTTAATCAACGTCAAAATCCCTTAACTGTAGCTTAATTATTGAGTGTTATTGAGATAAATCCTTTCTATTTGAGCGATATTGGCATTTTTAAAATGTACTCTACTGTTCTTCTGATGACAGAAACTTTGCGATTTCGTTTGCGAACTTCTTTTAGAGGAATCTAACGTACAGCCCGTGTCCACTCCTGTTACTGTATGTGGAGATATTCATGGACAGGTAAATATTTATTGATATATTTTAATTTCATGAATTAGACGTATATTATGTACATGTACTTAAATGTATATATTTTCAATCAAACAGTTTTACGATTTGAAAGAATTATTTCGTACTGGAGGCGAACTCCCTGAAACGAATTATATTTTCATGGGAGACTTCGTTGACAGGGGATATTATAGTCTTGAAACTTTTACCCTTCTACTCTGCTTAAAGGCCAGGTAGCTAAATTCATTTTAAATTTATATGTATTTTATTATAAAGAGTACATCACTTAGATGGCCAGAAAGAATTACTTTGATAAGAGGTAATCATGAAAGTAGGCAAATCACTCAAGTATATGGATTTTATGGTAAAGGAAATGTTTAAAGAGTTTGTAAAGGTTTTTGACATGAGATCTTTTTTTTCAGACGAATGCCAGAACAAGTATGGAAATGCTAGTGCTTGGCGAAGTTGCTGTAAGGTTTTTGACTTGTTAACGGTCGCCGCGATCATAGACGAACGAATATTTTGTGTACACGGAGGCCTTTCACCAGATGTGAAGACTGTAGATCAGATTCGCTTGATTGAACGAAACCAGGAAATTCCACATAAGGGAGCATTTTGCGATCTAGTATGGTCAGATCCTGAAGATATTGACATGTGGGGGACCAGTCCTCGTGGTGCCGGATGGCTATTTGGTCGAAAAATTACCAACGAATTTATTCACGCAAACAACATAAAACTAATATGCAGAGCCCACCAATTGGTTAATGAAGGTTACAAGTATATGTTTGATGAAATGTTAGTGACTGTTTGGTCAGCCCCTAATTATTGTTATCGTTGTGGTAATATTGCGGCGGTGATGTCATTCACTGATTCAGAAACTAAAGACGCGAAGCTATTTAAAGCCGTTCCAGACGAAGAAAGAATCATTCCGGAGCGAACAACTACACCATATTTTTTATAAAATTCCCCTTCTATAAAACAAGCTCTCTTGTCATTCTCTAAGGATATTAAATTATGCTTTTCTCAGCAGAACGGTTTTATTTCCTTTTATTTATTTTACTTATTTTGATAGAACACGCATACTGTAAAAAAAAATGAGAACAATTTTATCGAAAGGACGGACTTTTAAATTTTGTTGGTTGTTTCATTATTAAGTGTACTTCTTAAACTTGATTGAGAGCAGTTTCTTCAGGCGAAGAATTTCTGTACATTTCTTCTATAAGGCGTTCGCATGCTTCTCTCGCATCCTGCACACTCTTAATACTGCAAGCTCCAAACAGACACGATTTATCTAGAGCCATTATTTGTTGGATCTGAAAAATTAATTAAATGTGTCACATATTTGTACTAAATCAAGGAAAAACCTCTTCCACTGATTTTGCTCCAGGCTTGTCTTGGCAATTACACATAATCAGCCAAGGTAAAGAGTTTAGATGATTGTTCTCCAAAGCCTTTCTTAAATATTCTCTTGACAGTAGCAAATTTTCTTGAGTTTCGCTACTATCAACGAAATAGATCACTCCTTCGGCTCCTTGATAATAATGAGACCAGAATTCTCTAACTTTCTCTCCACCACCAATTTCTTTAATGTTTAAGATGCAATTCTTAACTTGAATGCATCTGATATTGAATCCTATTGAAAGACTAAATAAGTTAAACTCTTTAATTGTATATAGAACAAACCCGTAGTTGGCGATATGTCAGATATATCATCTTCACCGCATAGTAAGGTCAATAAACTACTTTTTCCTGAATTGTCTAAGCCAATGCATGTGATATTAAATTCTCTCTTGGGAATAGGATTGCCCTTACAGCATAATCGACGATATAACTGAAATAATTAGATTTTAAATTATTCTTTAATAACTCTTCGTTAATTGAAATTTACCGTATATGCCGCAATCCGACAAATAGCACATGTAAATTGTAATCTCTCGAGTAAAGGCATTTCAATTTTCTTTCAAATTTCTCTTCAAGTAAAAAATTTGATGCGTTAGTTTGTTTATGTTCAGGTTTGTATTAATTCTTTGCCATAGAGGCTATAGAATTTCTGTTATTTCCCTACCGGAAGTTTATTAGACATGAAATTGTGATCTCGGCGAATATTTTTTCTGACAATAAAGTAGATGTAAAAGTCCTGAAGATGTCACTTTTGTCATTAAAACTAACAGAGTTAAAGGTGTTTTCTGTCAGATACTGAACTAATTTATGATTTATTAACAAATTACAGCCTATAACAGACACATTCAGCATTAAAGATATTATATACCAAATACATGCTCGACGACTATATTTATATTTATGTATATTAAATTTTGTTAAAATATCTATATAGATCCTTATAACAAGATTTACAATTAGTTCGAAAAAAAATCTAATAAGTAGTTTTAAATGAGATTTTGTACATTTACTGGAGTCAATTTCAGGAATTTAACAGGTAAACGCTCTTCAGATTAACATTATATCATTAAATTCTTTTCCCCGCACGATTCTCTTTCGTGACAATTGACAATCTCGCTTACTTTTCGTACATAATTCTTTGTTTTTTTTTACATTATCTTGTGATTATAGTTAATTAAGAAAATATAGATTACACATTAGCTTGATGTGATTTTACAATCTTATTTTCAGTCATTAAACCAGCGCAGTGAGTTTGTTCTTTTTCGGTTAGACATTTGTGAAGAGTAATTGAAGTTTATTTCATTTTACTAGAAATATTTTTCTTTAAAAGATAATATTTGTTGACTCTTTTAAGTGAACTGGAGAATGATGGACTACTAGAGGTTCCCGCTATTACTTCGATGTCCATACATAGAACAATTTTCGTTTCGTGTTAGTCGGTCTAAACAGTCAAGAAATGAATTATTTTCAAGGAAACCTTAACAAAGCGGACTATCATGATTTTCCTCAGAAGACAGTATCCGTCAATATAAGTGCGAAGAATAGAACACTGTGAGTTTGTCAATTCTTCTTTAATAAATTTGGATGAATACAAATATTCTGTAATATCGCTCATCGGTGACACAACTTTTTTTCAGATATCCAACTGTAACAGGAACGTCTGTCTTGGGAGTAAAATTTGACGGTGGTGTGATAATCGGTGCGGATAACCTCGGTTCATACGGCTCTCTCGCCAGATTTAGGGGTTGTGAGCGAGTTATGAAAGTGAACGATACAACAATTTTGGGGGCCAGTGGAGATTACGCAGATTATCAACATCTTAAGGGAATAATCGAGCAGAAAGTGTAAGATATTATTATTTAACCATCTTTGCTTCATTTTGATATTTATTACTTTTTTAAAGTGTTACTGAAGAATGCTTGGATGATGGTTTTAATTTAACCCCAAAGAGTTTATTTAGTTGGCTCAGGATGCTCATGTACAGCAAACGTTCCAACTTTGATCCATTGTGGAACACTACAATTATAGGAGGATTAGAAAACAACGAACCGTAAGTTTTGGTACTCATTGAAGAATTATGAAGTAGTATTTATTTTTATTTTAGTTTTCTCGGATATGTTGATAAGATTGGAACAGCATATGAATCTACTGCCGTCGGGACCGGTTATGGTGCCTATATAGCTTTGGTAAATAGTTAACTTTTTGAGATTAGCCGAATATAAGCTTTTCATTTTTAGCCTTTATTGAGAGAAGCTACTGATCACAAGCCACCTTTGACTGAGCAACAAGCATTGGATTTGATGGAAAAATGCTTTCGTGTATTGTATTACAGAGATGCCAGATCTCTAAACAAGGTATACTGTTTTTAACGCTTTTCATGTTTAGAAATAATAGCGGTCAATCTATAACTATAGTACCAAGTGGCTATTGTCACAAAGGATGGATGTAGAATACTATCTGACAAGAGGGTCAATGATGATTGGTCAATTGCACCGATGGTTCGGTAAGTCGTTGTGTTATAGTACTATTCTTATTTACTAACGTGAATCTTTCTACAGAGGGTACGAATAAGAGAAAATAACGCATCAAATAAAACAGTATAAATAAGGAACTTTTTTCACAATAAATCGATGAAAAATATCATAAAAAAACAAAAACTTGTGAAAAATCAAAAAATTATCGTCTTTGAATAGTTTCTATTTCCTGATTTTGATTAGTTGCATTTTGACTAAGGATTGCAACGGCTGCTTCTATTACCATGCTTAAACTTGGTCTGAAGGAAGGTAATAGTTAACAATTGTCGATTGAATAGGATATTAAATACCTGGTTACTAAGTGATAAATATCAACTGCCGGGAAGCTCTGAATACCTACTTGAACATTTTCATATATCTCTGATAATTGAATCGTATTATCAGCATATAGCTCTATCAAATTCTTACCCTTTCGAATAACTTCAAAAGGATAACTCCACAGTTTCGCTATGTGAGAAATATACTTTTCAGTACTAAATCGAATAGTTATGTGGTGACCAGGTAAAAAAGTATTTCTTACGTCCCTTATTTTACCGGTTATTAAATTTGTCCCTTCGTACATAACTATGAGTCGGTCGCAAAGTTGTTCAGCTTCATCAGTGCTGGTTGATCCTATGATGATTGTATGATTTAATTCTTTAAGATCTGTGAGAATTCTTAAAACCCTTTGCTTGGCTCCTAATCCTAAACCCAGAAAAGGTTCATTTAGAACAATTATCTTGGGTAAACCGACAATAGCACAGGCTATCTGAACAAGACGCATTTGTTCAATTGGAAGTTCAACAAGTAAAGTATGAAAACAGTTGGATATACCAAATATATTTATTAGGCTTAACAAATAGAAATCTGTCTCATTTGCTTTAACATTTCGAAGTCTTGCAGTCCAGTATAGAGCTTCAGCAGTTGTTAATAGTTTATCCATATTCCAACCTTCCGAAGAGTCTGGTAAATAGCCAATCGATGAAAAGATATCAAATCCCATATCGTACATTGACTTTCGGAAAACTCTGACAATAGACTCGCCCGCCAGCCGTCGTTGACCAACTATGGTCTCAAAAAGTTCATATTTTCCCGAATTTTCTCCAACACCGAAGATCAGGATGCTCTCACCCTCTTTCAAATTCAAGTCTACCCTCGGAGTGGTATTTATGGAAACATTGCCTAATTTTACAGTTGCCCAATTAAATTTTGAGTAAATCTTTAATTTTTCCCACTTTACAGCAGTATCTAAGAATGGGCGGACAGAGTCACTGTCGTAATATTTCTGTTGATCTATTACTCCCAATAATTGAACTGCAGAATTTTTCAAGACCCAACGGCGTCGTCTAAACAATTGAGCACTGTTGAATCGTGCTGGTCCAAGCTTTGATAGTTTCATTTTTATTATTGCCCAATCAATTACTACCAAATATATTATAAAACAAATCGCAGATTGATAGAGAGAGATGAACAAATCAGAGATTATCATTTCTCTGTAAACTAAGATTGCACTCTCCCATTCCACTGATTGATTGAGAATATCTCTTATTAATTGACTAGAAAAGGCAAAATTATTATGGACCAATGCAACAGGACTGATAAATTTCAATACATATATGAGTTGATAGGCAACACGTCTACTTATAAGATGAATAGAGTGGATAGCCCCAATAGGTAACAATAACCAAATTAACAAAAGTTGCCTTCTAACTTCAATTTTCAATTTAAGTTTCTTAAGTCCTGTACAAAAGAAAAGAGTAGGAAAACAAGAGACTGCTTCAAGAAATCCTTCCCATGCGATAAGTGAATTTAAAGCTTCGTATTTAGGCGTTCTAACATTCGGTATCAATACAACAGCCGCAATTCTATTACTCATAAAAATACCACCCATCAATGAAAGGATATCTGATTGTAAAAAATAGACAAAAGTGAACGAATAAGTTAAAATTTCAGATGAAATTTAAAAAATTACGAGTTGGACGTTTAACAATAAAAAATATTGAAGAGAATCCAACGGAATAGAAAAAGGCATTGACATATCCATCAAAAATATAGCCGCTATTATATCTAAATTGAACTTGTTTTGAAGGTAAAGGATTATTGATAGTTGTTATACTTTTGTTATCTTTACTTAACAACCTTAATAGGATGTTAGATATAATATTTATTCCAATATTTTTACCATGTAAAAACTGGTAGCAATAATGAAATGAGAATTTAAAAGTATTGTCATTGTTAAAACCTTTTTGAAGTGTTAAACTAAAGTCTGAATATAAATCTTTGTCTAAGCATTTCCTTACAACAGATTCATTACTTTTAGTTATATTACTATCAATCTCTTTTTCTAATACTGGATTGTCAAAAAATAAACCATTTTCATTCAATAATTCAATGGCAATTTCAGCTGTCTTATTTAAAATGCCATTTGTACAGTTTGAATAGCAAAAGAGAGGTATAATAGAAGATTCTGTTATATATTATTTAAAAGTTCATATAGTTACAATAAATGGAAAAAAATAGTAAACCAACCTAGTTTTAAAGTATCTATATTATAGACAATTGATTGAATACTAGAAACTTTATTAGCATCTTTATATAAAGGTATTAGTCTTATAACCATACAAATTGGTAATAGAAAGAATATTAATAACAATTTAAACGGTTTTCTGTAAGCTAAGTTATTCATTCTACCAATTTTTATAACAGTTTTCTTGAATAATGTCATTTTTCTTTTAGTATTTTTATCGTATTTGCCCAAAAGCTTTATATTTTTAAAGATAATATAAAATTGATTGATTATCAATAATTAATGAAATAATATTACAGTAAATTCATTTTCATCTCTTTTAAACTCTCTTAGGGAAACATATGGATTCACTTCTGTTCCCCAATAAGATAAACTAATATAAAAGTATTGATAAATTATTGGTATATTTAAAACAGTTAACTTTTGTAAAAGAAAGTATATATTACTATGTAAAATACTGTTCCAAGCTAACAGTAGTAACTTCTATATGACAATTTTTATATTTCTCTTCAAATATCTTCCAAAATGTTGGAATGTATTGTCTTCCATCTGAAAGATTTGTTTTTTTAAAAAAAACACAAATATTTATTTGTAATAAACTTATTCTTTAAAATTACTTTCTGAAAACATTAAAGAGTAGCCAATAATATTCATATTATCGTGAATTTTTGTTAAATTAGCTATTAAAGGTTGTTCTTGTTCAACTGAAGTATTTATATCGGTTAGGGAATCTGTCTGTATTATAAGATGATATTAAACAGTGTTTTTTTCTTCTTCAGGAAAGAATATTTTAACCTGGATTATATCGTCAAGAGGGGCTTCAATTAATAAATCCTCTCCTTCCTTATGAATGTATACGCATAAATATTTAGCCAACATCATTTTTAAATTATAGACAGAATCATAGAAAAGAACTTTTCCCCTATATAATAATAATACTTTATGAGCTATCTCTTCTATTAAGCTATCTGGTTCCATGCTAATTAATATTGTTCTTCCCTTTGATAAATAATCCAATATTGTTGTTAAATCTTCCTGATCGCTAACAGTCAAACTTGTATGAGGCTGTTCTAAACAGATTACTTTACAATCGGTACAAAAGGCCATCATAGTTTGTAACATCCTCCTTCTCGACGGAGATAACGATCCTACATAATCATCGGGAAAGAAGCTAAAATAATAGAATTTATGATTGTTAATTTCTCGTTGAATGGATTATCTTATTTACTTAAATAATCTGAAATAAAATCCGAGTCTTTTATCATTAATTTTGGATGGAGCTAAATTCCTACAAGTTAACCATACAACAGTTGCCTCTTTTATAGTCATTTTCTCCCAAGATCTAAGAGAAGTAGGAGCCCAGCCAACTAATTCTTTGGCTTCTATACTTCCCATTTGAAAATCTCCAATTAAACAAGTACCCGAAGTGTGAGCAACAACCCCGTAAATAATTAATAATAAATGAGATCGACTAGTCGGTGAATCGCTTAATATGCAAGTAATTAAATTAGGATAAAATATACAACTAACATCGTTCTAAAATTAAAAAGTCTCTAAAGGTTAACGATTTATTTTATATAAAAATGTTTACAAACCAAATGTTTTGTTAATGTACCGTTGCTTTCATCCTGGTGGCTGATGTTAATTAATTCAACTCGGCATTTTTCTACTTTCTTTCTTGTTTCATTAAAAAATGAACCACTGGATAGAAATTTTCTATGAGGATCAACCTTAATCCTTCTTCTTGAGAAGATATTAACTGATTTAAATACTCTTATCCATGCTGATTTCTATATGTTTTTTATTATTATTATTATATATACATAATAAATCTTTTAAAACCTGAAATAAACGCAGAGGGTTCACTCCTAAACCTTTGGGTGGTTTTTTAAATATTATAATCAATACTATAATAATTCCAAAGATGATATTAACAACTATGATAGGACTTAGAGAGAAGTATGGACCTTTCCATAATGTTGCGTCTAGTTTACCTACGAAAAAAATGAAATGAATATTCAGCGTAGAGCTTAACTCCTTATGCATATTTATAGTTACTGAATAATAAGAATTGATAGTATTTTGAGTTGTATATTATCCAATTTTGATTTGGAAATAGAAAACAAGATAGATATACTAGATTAGGATAACATTGAAGAAGGAATGGAATCGTAAAAAAAAATGAGAAAAATCCAGCCCAGTAAAGGTCAAATGATGATTGAATGATTACAGATGAACAACAAGATTGAACGTAATACAAAGCGACTATCTTGCAAAACATTACAATTGCTGATAGGAAGAGACAATGAAAAATTAACCAGTTTCCATCATTCAAAACATAATTGAAAACTATCTCGGAAAAGAAAGTTAAAAATAATGATACAAAATTGATAAATATGCAGGCGAAATGTTCCATAAAGATATAAAATGGTCCACTTCTTATAAAGAGTGGACATAAGGATTCCGTAACATCATATTTATCTCCATACTCTTTGAGGATAAAAAATATGAATATTACATAATAGGTAATTCTTATTATATAAAAGTATTTCAGATCATTCTGCTCTGTTCCATTGTTAAGTTGAGTTATCTTGAAGAGAGAAACAAAAAGGGAAAAAGCTTTAATATTAAGAATTTAGCTACGAAAATAACTATTGTTAAACTTTTAGCTCATATTCAACTTTTGTAGCATTTTTTCTACCCGAAATTGTTTCTATTAGAGAAATATCGATTAATCTTTGCAGTTCCGCAAAGTAGTTAACGAATGTTTGCTGTTTATCTGAAGGAAAAGGTATTTTTTTAACTTTCGGCAAAGAAACGTTCCATAGCCGTTTCTTTAATAACTCACGGATACTCGATATAAATTTTGAATGAAGTGTTATAAAACTGTTATTCCAGTTTCTTTCTCCATAACGTCCTAGTGGATCTGTTGGTAGGCGAAGTTCATAAACAATATGGTCGGGAAAGTTTTCTTGAAGTGAGTAGTTATCAGGGAAGGTTATTGCGGCAATCGTCTGATATTCACTATTCCCATCAGTTTGCAATTTCTTCGTTACCTCGCTAGAGCTAATGAGACCCTTGATTAATAAGGAATTTTTATTCAAGCATTCAAACTCTTCTAAGCGAGATTTTAAATTAGACATCGACTTTGTTATAGAATTACTCAACGGTGAATAAAATATAACATGCTTTGAGGAACCAAAAGATTGTGCCCTATAGCACGATGTTTCAATAGCTTCGTCTACAACTTTCTCAACTCTAGTTTCTGACCAATTATCTCCAAATCTAACTCTTAAACTAAACGATTATGGAAAAAAAAAACAGCAGCATTAAAATAGATAACATCCATTCCTATTGCAGTTTTTCCTTACAAAAACAGAAAAAGGACAATTATTTCCGACGTAATTAAAATATAATTTGTGCCTTTCTTCCAACTTCGTTGTCTTTCCTTTAATTTAAGCTTAAAAATTATGCGAAATTCACGCCACATTATTTATTCAACAAGTTGATTTGGCTTAAAGAAATAAAAATTCAACTCTTTTAAAAAATTAAAAATTACAACAAACTTGAATTTTAAATTATTTATTTTTTTATGCTTTTTTTGTATTTAATTTAAATAACAACTGACAGAAATATTCACAAAATACATAGTTAAGTACACAATTGAAGAACTAATAAGTTTATGGCAAATGTTAAAGGCTCTTATAATGATAATGAAAAAATATTGGCCTTGTTTGTTTTTGTTCCCGTATTCATTTTTGCTTTTTTTGAAACCACTCCGAAGGTTATTTATTACGATTACCGCGCGTGCAGATTGATTAAGGTAGGACGATGAGTGCTGGTACGGAGGATGAGGTATCGTAGGAAGTCACTTGAAAAAACTGTATCTTGATGTCCATGTTGGTTGCGTCAAGTGGTCTTGCTGTATCGGCGTCGACCCCAACAGGCCTTTTGAGAAGGTGGCTAATCTTCTGAAGTTGTTGTCCATACCGAAAATTGCGCGGAAGGCTACGATCCTCTACCAGCACTAATTTGTAAGAAATTTAGACCCCCTTTTATACTCTTCTCGCGCTCATAAAAAAGTATTTTTTCCATTTTTATCCAATCAACTTTTAAATTAATTGGTTTCTTGGTTTCTTATTGGCTAATATTCAAATTGTTTTTCAAATTGTGTAACTCCTTTAATGTGCTCAATGGTTGACTTATTTTTTGGACAACGATTTTCTTAAGAATTCTATATTATAAAGAATATGATAGGAAAAAATCATCCTTTATCTTACGATTTTAAACCCAATTGTTCAATCATTCATCAAAATATTATTCATAATAAAATAGCAAAACAATTTCAAAAAGCAAAAACCACACACTTGTCATGTTTTTGTCCTATAAAGAATTCTCACATACTTCTTCAATTTTGACGACAACTTGTTCTAAATAATACAAATTGTTATAAGACAGGTTGCTTCAGCCTGACTAATAGTAAATAGCTAGGCTGAAAGAAAAATTTTAAGATTACTTAAGATGAACGCCAACTTAAAAAAAATTTTAAGGTCACAATGACCTTACGTGAACATTTCTACTGATTATAAAACATTATAAATGAACCAATATTCTAATTAGTAGACAACTCGTTAAGTAGATAAATAAACACGATCAATATACCCTTATACATATATCACATTTATGATATAGGCTTAAAAGTAAATCAACAGCAATTTGGCTACCATTTTTAATAAAAAAAAAAACATACTTGATATAAATAGGAAATAATGAAAAATGTAAGACTTATAGATAAAATAAAGTAGTCTGAATCGCTTTGTTTGGCTGTACTATAGATTTTTTATTGAACACTTGAAAATTCGTTAGACTATTTACCGAAGTATTGAAAATCTTGAATGATATATAGATTTACGGTCTATCTCGTTAAAAGATAGAAATGTTTGACCATTAACAATCTTTTTCTTCTTCTATCTTATGTTTGTTACAATCTTATTTTAACAGCCTAACAATCGAAATATTTATATAAGGAAATACATTCTTTATAAAAAAAGAATTCTTGGAAGATACCAGTTTACTTAACTAAAAGAAAAATAAAATAAACCAAAACTTTTAATTCGTTTTTTATTATAACAATTTTATTATTTGAGTTTCAACATTTGTTTTCTTGTAGAACAGAACAGATAGCAAAAAAAAAATTGTGAGATTCTAAAACTAAATTAAATAACAAAAGATCACAGCGAGAAATATCACATTCGTGTTTGGTTAATCAAATTTTTAGCACAGATTTTTAATTTCCTTCAGAATAGAAGACAACCTTACTAAACGTAAATCTAATTTGATTTCATTTTTTATCAGATTAAGCAAAAACTGCTATTGTCATTTTCTAATAGTGATAAGAGTTGTCTACATTTCTAAAGAATTTCTGAGTAAAATTTTGTCATAATTAAGTGTTAAACATCTTTAATTGGATAACTTTCAGATGCAAGTTACCTTAGGTCCATATCAATAATATGCATTTCGGGAACAGGTGACTTTGATCTTGTTAAGCCATCGCTCTGACATAATCTAAGTGAGCTCTCCGAAGGCTTAGGTTCAACTTTTAATTGATGGGATTTTGAAGATTCCATTGGTAATGAGTAGCCCTTCCGAGAAGGATTCTTAAATGGACTATCCGTAGGATCATCATAGTCTGCTGAATAGCGCCGTATAATTGGTATCGCTTGAGCGGTCGCATCTCCTACTTCAATAATGTCGCTAACAGAAACAAATATTCCAGTTCCAGGTTCACAATCAAAATAGCGTTTATTTTTAAACGTGCCATCATTTTTTCCGCTAGTGGTTTTTAGTTCAACACCAATAAACAATAGATTTGGCTCACCGGTATCCTCTAAGTGGCCAACGTATTTAACTATGCCCCATCTTTGATCTTTGAGTGTAACTCTTTGGCCGACTTTTACTGGTCCATCTCTGTACAATGATAGGGGTAAAATCTTATAGAATAAACACTTTATCAAATTTATCTATTATTACCTTATTGAGCTATTACTCTTATTTTTCAATTTAGCACAACTAGAGCAAATGCAGGTCGATATTGCTCCAGTTTGTTGGAGGGGATATGTTGTTGAGAATGGCTTGGCTACAGCCCCAAAGCTATTGTCACTTCTCGGACTGAATGGAGAAGGTGTAGATACAAGTTAAAATGTGTACAGTAACCTAATGAGATTTGTTATTTACCTATCCAAATCAGAAGAACGCTGACACTCGTCTTCGAAAAAGATTTCTTGATTAGATGGTCGACGTCTCGACAATTTTTTAAGGCGTTCTATTTCGAGGTTGGCTCTATGTAACATTTTCTTAAGCTCCAAATTTTCTTCTAATAAATTTCTAGCATTTACTCGAACAACATTTTGGTCGGGAGAAGATACAATCTCCGGTAATGACTTTTTGTGTACCCTGGTATGATTTTCCTCATTTTCAACAGTGAGTAGATTAGGCCTGACAGATTTGTCGTCAACGGGAGACGGAACACTATGTGATCTGTTAAATGAAGACGAGGGAGACGGAGAATCGACAAGAAATCCGCTGTCTGATCTATTACAGCATAGGCTAGATCTTGAATCTGTATGGCAACTGCGTAGGCGAATAACGATTGTATAAACTACATGACCATAAAATCAATTGAAAATATAAACCTTTGAGGGGCAGGACTAGAAGAATCACTTGAGGCAACAGAATTGTCTAGAACTCGCCGTAGGGAAGAGTTTTGTATTTTTAGACATCGTATTTTCTTTTCCAATCTGAAAAAAAAATAATTTAACGTCTCTAAACGAGCATATCAAGTTTATTCGTACTAGTTTTACTTGTGTAAAAACCTGTGTAAATATGAACATTCAAAAAAAAGCCAATAACAAAAACAAAATTATAAATGCGTTTACAGATCGAATTTCTGTGCATACGTAATTGGGCATTTCTCCAGCTTATAAATCTATCATTAAAACCGCAAGTTTCACATTCCTTGGCGCAATCATTTGGTGTAAAGTCGTATCTTATGCAACATTTTTTGTCAACTACCCTCTTCATAAATAAAAAGGATTCTTTTCAATAAAACTCTCACGGCTCTTTTGACAGTTTTTGTGAATGAAAAGAAAACCGAGTGTTCAAGAACAACTTAAATGAATGGATTTACGCTGTTTTGCATACAAAACAACATTAGTACCCACTAAATTCTACAATCTTATGAAATTTAAGATCAGCTGAGGATAGCGATGAATGAAAAATTGTAAAAGCAACAAACTTACTTTTGCCTTTCTTTCATGATAGATCCAACTTCAGAACAAAGTTTGACAATCCCTTTTCTCGATGCATTAACAACAAAAGCAACTGCTTTAGTTGCTATTTCCTTATCCTCGGCTAGATCAGTCAGACCAACTTGAAATTCATCGCCTAAACAAAATTAGTTTAATGAATTATTCATCACAAATTTATTGAACGAATATTTTCTAACCTAAATTAACGGCCAATGACGCTTCTGATTCAGTTCGTTTGATCCACTTCCAAACCTCGGCATTTCCACGATGAACTTTATCCTTGTCCTCAATCTTGACGCTCATGTTATGACTTATAAACTTTGTTTATCAAAGTACTAATGTTCAATCAAGCGCCATCTTGAATAGTCGGATATTTTCGTAAATTAATTTTACTATTTCATTATTATGTAATAATATTTTCAAATAAAATAAATTATTTATTTTAAGAAAACGCTATTAAATGTGTTTGTTTTGAATTTATACGAAAATTTTTAGAGAGAGCTCATTGGTTCATTCAAATCGCCATCTTCGGTCGGTTAAATTTGAGTCTGTTTTTAACACTTTTTTTTAATTCGTGAGACGAATATGGTTGATTCAACTCCAAACGAGGACTGGTTGGATAAATTGGATGGGCCAAAGTATTATCATGACTTTGAGGATGTTAGGCTTGGCCAGAATCCATTTTCTAATAGAGAAGATGCCGACCAATACTTTGGTAAGTGAAGTTTTAGTTGTGTTTACTTTGAGCTAAACTTCACTATATTTTTATTCTCTAATGTATTACAGGAGTTGATCACGAGAAACTAGGCTCTCAGAAGCATGACAGTCAGTCGGATTCAGCTATTGATGATTACGAGACGGCAGGTAGTTCAGACCATGAAGAAGTTGAGGAGGAAGGATTACATGAGGAAGTCAGCGAAGTACATAATGAAGAAGAAAATGAAGACGAAAATGAAGAAGAGAACGAAGTTGAAAAAGAAGAAGAAAGAGAAGAAGAAACTGAGGAAGTAAATAAGGAGGCAAATGAAGAGCAAACCCAACCTGAGGAACAAGTAAAAGGTACTCTTGCTATTACAATCAGTGAAAGTTATTTAACGTTCTCGTTTCCTGAGAAAGTTATATAATGAAATGCCAGTTTACCGCTTTTGTATTAATCTATAAAAAAAACTATTAGATATTTCCAATGAAGATACGAGTGAAAATAAGAATAATTCAAGAAGACCACCAAGAAATCTTTGTACTAACTTTGAAGAGTGGGATAAAATGAAAGCTAAATGTAAAGTTGCTAACAATTCATCAGCGTAAGTTAGATTTTAAATTTCTAGTCTATCATTAACTGTGTGCTTTGCAATTGTAGACATCCACATCCAACAAGAAAGAAAATTGTAGATAAATCTATACAAAAACTAAAGAACGAAACGTAAGATTTAAATACAATATCTAAATTAACACTTATATTATAGAATTTATCTTAATTCTTTGTTAGTTCACCTCATACAAGAACCAGAAATGCTTCCAGCGTTTCTACAGCTTCATCTTCTTCATCCAGTATAAAATTGCCAACAATACCAACAACTCCGGAATTTATGAGGTTCGTAATTTTAATTTTCTGATTAAAACAGTCGCAAAAGAAGTATTTATAGGAGGAATAGAAATGCAAAGCCGAAATCCACAGAAGATCAGCAATTGCAAGAAATTAATCGAAAAAAAGAAGAAATGAGAAAAGCTTCTATTAAAAATAAAGCTAACTTAATAAAGAATAAAACAGCAACCTCTCGAGTCCAAAAACCAACACCCAAATCTCCGACAAGGCCGGAAGAGTTTCATTTCGCCTCGGACTCTCGTCTTCGTAGTAATCATAAACAAGATCAGATTGATAATGAGTTTGCAAACGGTCTTCGATCTCGACATATTTCCAAACCTCATAAAATAGGTCCTACAATACCTCAACCATTTCATTTTCATGAAATGCATGCAAAAAAAAATGTTGAAACGTATAAAACTGACGCTGAAAAAGTTAATGCCTTCTCCAGCAAAACTCCAGATCGTTTTCGAACTTCAAAACGAAATGCAGGTACAGTAATTAAATATCTTGATATTTCATAATATAAACTTGAAACCGTTTATTACAGGACCCGACCTTCCGAAGAAAACGAGACTGACCGTCACTGTCCCTAAAACACCTAACTTTTCCAAACATCCAAGAAGACATACAACCATTCTCTCAGCAAGAGAAAAGGAAGAGTTGGAAATAGAAGATATGAATAAGTATGAGCAAATTTTTATTTAAATGTTGCAATTAGGTTAAATAATTATCGTTTTTTAGGCATCAGTTTAAAGCCCACTCTGTTAATAAGAAAGTTATGGAGGTTCCAAAACTAAAAAAGCCTGATGCAAAACCCGCGACTGTTATTGAACCTTTCGATTTTGAAAGTAGTCATCGACCTCGAAAGGAGCATGAAAATATGGATGAATCAATAGTCCATTTTCATGCGAAACCAGCTCCTAAACATATATTAAAACATGCTATTGGTATTCCAACCGTTGAAACTGCTCCGATAACCGTTCCTGAATCTCCTGCTTTTCAAACTAGACAGAGGTCACGTCCCCAAAAACCGGTCACTGTGGAGAAGCCCAAAAATAATAATGAGCATAAAACTAAAGTACATCACGGTGTGCCTTTCATACCGAAATCTGCGACCAACCATAAAGTTTCCGCGGAGGCATCTACACCCATTGTTTATAAACGTTCGAAAGCAATGCTTGAACATCGGGATAAGTTTGTTGAAAAAGAGTTGAAAAAAGAGAAAGAGATGAGACACTTTGAGGCAACACTTTTACCCTATTCTGTTGAGAATCCACATAATTTACCAGCCCCAAAAGAAATTCCTATTACAAAGCCCAAACCATTTGATTTCCTTGTTGACGAGAGAGGCGAAAAGTATAAAGAAAAACTGGCTCATCTAATTTCAGAAGAAGAAGAAAAGCTTAGAAAAGAAGCGGAATTTAAAGCTAAGGACCCGGTCATCCTAAAATCGAAACCATTTGCTCCTAAAATTGATAAAAAACCAATCACACATCCTGAAGGTTTTCAATTTGCAACTGAAAAGAGGGCAATGGAAAGAGAGGATTACGAATCATGGAAGCGACAAGCTGAAGAGGAAAAAGCTGCTTTACAGGCAGCTAGAAAAAGAGAAAAAGAAGAAATGGAGAGAAGTCTTGCCGAAGAAGCAAGAAAGAAGACTATTCTTAAGGCAAATCCCATCCGCACTTATAAGCCTGTTCATCCTTTCTCTCCTAAGCCGCTAACTGAACCAAAAACACCAAAATTTTCAAATAGAACCCGTTGTCATGAGGATGAGATTTTGAAAGATATACAAAATAACTTTTAAATTATTAGTATTAATTTGTTGGTTAGTCTAGATTTATATTAAGCAATAAACAGACACGTGTACACCCGGATTGTAGACATTAGCTGTCATACGGCTATGAGTGAAATTTTAGGCCTAATATGCTTTTACTAATTCGTTGCGTAAGAGTTAAAGAATAATAACTCTTAATCGTTCATATTCGCATCAACGTCCTCTTTATTCAATAAAATATTTTTTCTATTTAAATATAAGAATAACCAGGAAATATTTGCATATGTTGAACACGTGGATTTTTTTTAAATCGAATAAAATTTTGAAAAAAAACTAGTGGGAACTGGTATCCAGCCAATATTAAATTGTCATAAACGAAAACGAGGCCGGGGAAGCCCTATTACGCGTGTTGCCGTTTTCGAAACAGATTTTAGTGAAAGAATTTTTTCAATCTACTATGGCTTGTGGTGGTTTTGCCTGCTCGAAATATTCTCTAGCTATCTTAAATGTATTGTATCTGGTAAGTTGGTTGTTAAGATATATATCATGATCAAGTCGATTGTCCATGAATCAAACGCAGATGTTTCGCTAGTCGATATTCATAAAATAATCTCCAGATTCAGTTTTGAGTGAAAACTTATTCTACGATATCCTTAGAACCCTTTTCTAGTGAAATGATACATTTTCACCGTCGAAATAATTCTTAGCTTGAAAATAATATCTTTATTTACGTTCTTTTAGCTTTAACTGATTATTAATAGTAAAATGATAATATCTTTCAGATTGTTGCCATTGTCCTAATTTCCTTAGCGGGATATGCTAAAGCAGTTGCGATTGTCTCTAGTGTACCGATTGTTGGCGGTATAATAGCTTGTGGCACATTCCTGCTTATTATATCCATCATAGGCTTGATTGGAGCAGTTAAACATCATCAAGTCTTATTATTTTTTGTATCCTTTTATAAATATGTTTACATATATAGTATTACGTAAGAAAAGACTATTAAAAATTTTAGTGATATAATATCGAATTGATCCTTAACTTAAAGTTCAGTATATGCTTATTTTATTTCTATTGTTTCTCATCCAATTCGCTATTGCTTGCGCCTGTTTGGCTTCGAATACCTCGCAACAACAAACCATGTTCGAGATGGGATGGAGAAAGGTATGTTACTAATTTCAAATTTTGTTTACGATTTAATCTATTAAATTTATTATAATTTAATCTGATAAACATGTTTACATATTTTTCTCATATCATTGAAAAACAATTTTTTTCTAATTTATAGTCAAGCAACGATACCAGAAATGACGTTCAACGTAACTTTCAATGCTGTGGCTTTAAAGATCAGACAAAACTTATCAACGATCCGCTAGGTTATCCTAGTTGCGGAGGACTAGATTGTTGTAAAGATTCTAACGACGCTTGCTGCATAAAGGATGCAGAAACTAATAGTACCTTGAGAGAAAAGGGTACATGTCCGTGCAAACAGACTTGCTTGAATGTTGTGGGACCCGTAATGAGCAAATGGGTAAAAATTTCAGGTGGAGTTGGATTGTTCTTTAGTTTCACAGAGGTTTGTCTCTTTCTCTTACAAATTTAGCTCAATTTCGTAAAACTCTTGTTTATTCATCTAAATTTTTTTTTACCTATTTGAGAGGTTTAGGATGCTAGAAAAAAAAATTTAGTTAAAAGTTATTTGTTGACCCGTTCGCAGATTTTCGGAGTTTGGCTAACAGTCCGATATCGCAATCAGAAAGATCCACGCGCAAATCCTAGCTCCTTTTTATAGAATAGTATAATTTTATAGGTACACCTCTTTCTTTTACGATATGTTGTGATGCATCATGTTGTAATTGTGACGGTTCAATATCTGAATTTCTTCATCTATCATTTTTTTCTTATAGTTTTAAATAATTATGGATTTTATATATAAAAACAGAAATGACAGCAGAAACGCTCTTTATCTATTCTGAAGGAGAAACACTAATTTTTATATACCTATGCAGAACATATATATATTCTGTATAGGTGTGTTCCTCTTAGTTATTTATTTGCATGTAGAAATTGCTTTGGCTTAATGAAAATCTCCTGTAATACTTTAATAACGCAACTATTATTCCTCGTTTCAGATTATAGGAGTTTGGCTAGCCGTTCGATTTCGAAATCAGAAGGATCCGCGAGCGAATCCATCTGCATTTTTATAGACAATTTTCATATAGTATCTCTTCTACAAGTTCAGATGCTTCATTGTATCTCATACGTCATATTCCAAAATATTTCTTTCTGTGTCTATGCTTGCATGTATAAATACTAAACACGCGAGCGAATTCATCTACATTTGTATAGACAATTTTCATGTAATGTAATGTCTTTTCCACAAATCCAGATGCTTCCTTGCGTCTTATAAATTACATTCCAAATAATTCTTTAGTGTCTATGCTTGCGTGTATAAATACTAAACAGTCTTATCTGTTTTATTCAGTGTAATATTCATGTTCGTGTCTAGTCAGTGTTCCTGGAGGGTTTGGTGAAACAAAATTGTAAAGTATTCGTTGATGAAAATTTGTGAATTTGGTCTATGATTCAAATTTAATTTCAGACTGAAGATCCTATAATTTTCAATTAGCAATATTTTAAATAAAGGTTATTTATTAAAAGTGCATTTCATTTTACTATTTTAAAAGCTACATCCAACAACATTTGTCATAAATTTGTTCATTGCATAATCGAACAGATGTCAACAAAAATGCACGTGGAATGTTCAGCACAATGCGTTAATAATTAAATTTTTAAAAAAAAATGCAAAATAATTTTCTAGGTTTATGATGAATTGACTTGCTTCTTCTGTTTAGGTTTCCTCTGAAGAGAGAAAACGTCAATTTCTAAATGTTCTGCCATTTGTCTAACCTATAAAATTAAAGAAATATTTCGTTTAGATTGTAAGCGTCTTATTTAATTATTCTAATACTAACAACTCCAACTCCAAAGTGAATGTGAGATATTAAAACAATAATGCAGTAAGCATAAAGTAATATGTTTTCTACGCTACTCGATAATTTCACAAAGAATTGCAAAATTACCAAAGCTGCTAAGGGGTATAATAACCAATTTCCAGTCTCACATCTTGTCTGTGACATTTGAGCTATGATAAGTCGACTCTGTAAGTGATAAATCAATTAATTTTTTTCTCCTTTTCTCTAAATTAATCAATTTTTTTTTAAAATAAGTAAACTATAATCTTACAGTAATATTCGAAAAGACTGTACCCATGGCGACTAAAAATACTCTAGGACATGCATGAAGTATGTGATTTGATGACGTCCACGACCAAAAGCAAAAGAGGATAAGCATAATAGTATTATCAAACAGTGGTCGCATACCCTCGTAAAAACCTCTTTTGTAACCAGTGCCTTCTTTATATGACCTTGAAGAAAGAATTGAAAATTAAATTTCATTTTATTTATATCCTATGAGTTTGGAAAATTGCTTCTTACTTGTATAAATTATAAAAGGTCATCGGACAAGATAGTAGAAAAAAGGAGGCTACAAAACATAGAAAGATTAGTTATCTTAGTAGAATAATTTAATAGATAACTGGATAATATTTATAAATTGAGTATATATAAATTAACTTACAGTACATAATAAATTCGAAAACATAGCCATAACCCAAATCGATATATGGCACATTTTGTTTCCATATTTTATAACTCCCCAAAAAAGTTATAAAGTATACAACGGTTATAGCCTGTAAAATAAATCCATATCTTATCAAAAATGATATTATGTAATTGTATTTTATTATCAGTATAGCTTGAACTGTTAAAAAATGATAGCAATGTCAAAGAACGTACTATTTGACTTAAGTCGTATGTCCAAGGTAAAAATAATACTCCTGTGTTATATTTTTCCCAATGTGAGAAAATAAAAGTAGCTTGAACCTATTCAGAAAAACAATTGAGACAATTGATACTTATGGTCAATATTACTTACAGTAACCATTACAAAAAAGAATCTATGAACGTCAACTGAATAATCAGCTCTACCAAAAACTGAATAAAGTCCAAGTGTAAAAAAAGTTGTAGCCCAACTATCCAATCCATGATCGAAGAGTTCACCCAAAGGTGTACTTGATTTTGTCCTTCTTGCTTGCTTTCCATCAATTCCATCTAAAAATAATAATTGTAGAGAAATATGATCAATTGGCAACAGCTGTGCGATTTATATTCATTTTATGCTGTCTTAGATATATAAAATAAGCCGTTAAATATCTTTTTTTTATAAGATTATGACTTCTTGTTCATTAATTAAAAACTCATTCCAAAAGAGTAATTGGTAAATATTTAATTTTTTAAAACATGAATTGTATATCTATAACACATTGGCTGCCTTAGGCCTGTAAACTATATTTTACTACGTTGAAGGGATACAGGAAAGCCACGTGGTAATTCTTTTACACTAATTTCTCATGTTAACGATCGAATTTATCATTACTTTTAAGAGAAGGAACTTTTATATTGAGTTAAAATATCATGTACTAAATGATTACCTAATTGATGAGCTACAAAAATACATATTGAAGAGACTATCCAGACCCATCGAGGTATCGGAGGATATTCTGGGTGAGTATCCGAAGCTGCATAAAAATCCCAATCATATATCGATACTATGACAAAATGAAGGATCAGAAACATAAACCCGAGAAAAGTGAGAAGGTTCGGCGCAATCCATCGGGGGAAAAACTGAAAGTAAGAGATTCAGATTGAGAAAAAGGTAAAATTTTTAGTAGGAGTAGTCTTATAACTTACCTCTACTAGCCAGTTCCAAAATGGGTGAGTGACATAATTACTAAGTGGACTATTATCGACCGAGCTGTACTACAAAATTGCACGAATTAATTGAACCTCATTAATATGGGTGCATTTAACTTTAACTGCTAGTAATACAATAGAAATTTTGTCATGCTTTTATAAAAAAGTTAATTAATTTTCTGATGTAATTTTCGGAAGAAGATAGTAGCAAAAAGTTACTTACTTTATACTTATCAAATCCAGCTAACACTTGTTTGGATAAGTACCTAGGAGCCATTACGTTCAGTATACAACAGCGTCGGTGATTTGATTCATCAATTTCTTCATAGCCAATAAGCTCCACTTTGACATCCTTATCCATATCAGCCGATCCTGAAGATGGCTCTAGTGAATTTTCGATTTTTTCAGTGATCATTTATCGATTTTCAAAGCTGCTTGTAGATCTTATCAGTGATGTTACGTTTCTATAGATGTATAACTTACCTATAATCCTACGTACAATCCAAAATGATGTTTCTGTAGTCTAAAATCTTCACTTATATTGTGTGAGAATCAGTCCCACCAAGTTGCAACTGCTTCTAAAAATAGCAAGAACCGCTAGGCAGATGGCGTTGAAATTCTGTCTTTTGGGCGAGTAATTATTTCTAATACAGGGTCGAACTATATAAAATCTCTTCGTACTATTCTCTGATTCGTCAAAAAGGATCTTTCGATTAACTTTACGACCAAGTTTTAGAATGATTCATCAGATTCTTTGGCAATAGTGACCAAAGAACTTTCGAAAAACTATTACAAGCTCTGAGTAGTTATCATACGTGTTAACACGTGCTCTACGACAGCTCTAATAACTATAATATAAATTTCACAAAAAAGCTTATGATTATTGCAAACAAACCTTAGCTTTTTCTAATGAATTTACTCCTTCTTCCCACAACGCTAAATATTTTGGTCTAGAATTACTCTACAAAGATAATCAATACAGTCTAGTGATATGAGATAGCATAGCCTACAATTCAATTGAAAATAATCGAAGTTCATGTTTCAGATTTTTCCCGCTGTACTTACGCCTTAACGAAAACTGGTGGCTAGCCGGTATTTTTTGCTTATAAGGAGGAAACAGGAAAGGTAAATATGTTTTTTCTCTTTCTTTTTTATTTTAATATATTACTTGCTTGGAAAACGTCTACGTTAAAATTTTAAACATAAACTCTATGTATGTCAGATATTAAAATTTACAATACATGTAAGGATTTATCTGTATTTCTCCTAAAGCCAACGCCTCTACATTATGCCTGCCTATCATTCCCAAATTCAATCCTCTAATATGATCGGAAATGTTGCTTTGCTACCAGTTAAAACTAATCATCGAGGACCAGCGCCAATGTGGAGCGGCGAAGGATTAGATATAATAGACGAGGCACTACAGTACTTTAAAGCTAATGTACTTTTCAAAAACTACGAAATAAAGAGCCCTTCGGATAGAACTCTTATTTACATTACATTGTATATTACGGAATGTCTGAAGAAGTTACAAAGATGTGGCAGTAAAAATGAAGGAATGAAGGAGATGCATACTTTGGCCTTAAAAGAGTTCCCTTGCCCTGGCGATAGAGGATTTTGTCTAAATGCTTATTACAGCGCTCCAGCTAACAGGAATGAAGCTGATACAATGAGAGCTTACTTTCTTCAGTTAAGACAAGAAACTGGTCTTAGGGTTTGCGAAAGAGTTTTTGATAATGACGCAGGAAAGCCCAGCAAATGGTGGATTTGTTTCGTCCGCAGAAAGTTTATGGATGTTTCTCTATCTGCTCCTGGACAATAGACGATGTAATTGCCTGCTTTTATTTTAAGCTTTCTTTTCCGAATACATTTATCCAACTATAAAACGTAAACATAAAAGCGAACGACATACGACATTGACGCTATTCCTACAGACTTATGTTGATGCTCAGTAAGAATTAGGGTCGATATCGGATTCCCAAATGTAGCATAAGTACAAACAAATATAAAGGAATTTAACGTACTAATAATATAGTATATATATATATATATATATATATATATATATTTGTATATATATCTATAAGTATATCCTGATACACAAAATGAAAACTTATTGTCCAATGACTAATCTGCTAATAACCTTCAAATATTCAATCTCTAACTCTTCGTAAGCTTTGGATAGGTACTCTTTTTTTTGGTCATTAGTCGAATTATGCAAGGCATTAGCAAATTCAGTGTAACAGAGTGCCCTCTTAAGCTTTGCAAAATCGCGGACGCTTTTCTACAAGAAATAAATTGAATTAGATTAAATAATTTTGATATCCAACGATAATTACGTGATAGGGCGCATAAAGCCTTTTTTTAATATCCAATCTGTATGCTTTATATTCTTCTTTATTTCCACGATCAGTGCAAGCTAGACGGAGAATTTCATAGATCCTGCGAGCTTGTCTCTGTAAAAATTTTAAATATAAAACCCAGATGTTAGAATTAACCTAGAAGCCACATACTCTGCATAGTTTGAATTTCTTATTAGCCTCTTCGTACATGTCTTCAGTAAAACAAGCTTTTAAAAAGCAAGGTTGGTAAGATTCAAGTTTCTCGCAGTTGCGGGCGTCAATAAAATCTCTAACCCTTTGAAAGTTTTCCGAGGGATCTTCAACTAAAATTTGAATAGTTCTTAGGTTAAATGTTTTGACTCTACGATAAATATAATACCCGTTATATCTTTGATCATTTTGTCACCAGAAGATAAATTATAGAACGTCTCAACCAGCTGAACACAATGCCCCATTCTTTGATAAGGTGGGAGGACAATAACTTGGCTAGAAAGATCAAAGAATAACATAGTTTATGAGCAACATGCTATATAAATATTATAGCCATTACCTAATACGAGGCCGTATGTGCTCTGGATAAGCGTAATAATTGTAAATTGTCATGTAGCCAACAAAAGCATATAAAAGTTTCCCTTCAGCACTCTTATACTCTTCGTATCTATGTACATGAAAATATTAATCATAGAATGATATTGAAACTATATAAAAGCAGTTTGTCATAGTTACAAGACGTAATAATTCCATTTTTCATCATCAGTATCGATGTAACTTCCAGCATCAACGAAAAAGAGCAAAAAAGGTTGCATTCTTGAATGAAATGACCGAAATCCATCATCTTCTATCGAAGACTGATAAATTGAGAACGTCTTCTCCTTGCTCTCATGCAACCTAGTGTAAGAGTGTATCTTCTTTCCAAAAGGTTTAAAATTTTCATCCTTCATCAATTTCATTGAAAAATCATCGACGTTCGTTATTAAACCGTCCGTGTACTCTTGAGACAGCATCTTAAGCACGTTGTCAGCCTAGAAAGACTTGATAAGCTTAGGGAAGAGAATATCAGAATTTTTCGAACCTCGACTCCGTCAGCTTTAGCTGGATCAATCTTTTCAGAGTATTTAACCCGAATGTAAGTGTAGAGATTGGCAGCTGTACAAAATATATCAATTTTGAGATCCTTATATCCGAAAATTGTCTCTTTTTCTCCAAAGAGCTGGTGGGTCATATCGGGATGAAAATAATCATCACTGTCAATATCCTTTTCTGTTCGAACTGTTTTGATAATTTCATTATTTCATTACTTTATACAAGGCAGAGTTGAAAAAATTTGTAAACCTAGTTTAAAACGAATGGCCTCATTGGCATCTGATTTATAGCCTTGAAACTTTTCTGATGTTGTGCCTTAAACATAATAATAATTTTATCTTTAATTATCGCTCATAAAATTTTCCTTGGGTTGTCCTTCTATTCATGAAACATTTGGTTTTTAGATATAGCATCTTAGGCCAATGAAATTCATAAATAAAATTTAGTTCTTCCCAAGCAGAATAAATATAATATGAAAAAAGTAATGCAATACCTTTCATTTTTGGCGCGAAATAGTCTACTCAAAAGAATTATTTGCTGAAAATACAGACTGCCGATTATTTCATTGTAGTTTTTTAAACATTAACTGAAAATACCTAAAATGAAATTGCCTGATCGTATTCACGTGAATATATCTGTGAAAAAATCAGAACAGTTTGTAATCTTCTTTTAAGTGACAGTCAACCACCTTGCCACTCTCGAGAAGAGGTTTTCAGAGTGAGATTAATCGGATGTGGCATTTACCACTATTATATATGAACCAAAGCGCCACCTGGTTTTTGAAATACAGATGAATTTTAACAATTTCAAATTGGCTAAAAAGTACTTCTTAGATCGCAAAATTTTCAGCTAAATCTATAGCCTCTCACTATATGCATTTATCTATTGCAATAAATCTAAATATTAAGGTGATTACTTACACTTTATATAGCAGCAGAGAGTCAATGAGGAGCACAACAAGTTCAATTTAGTGATTTTTGTTTAGCAGATTAAATTATGAGAAAAATTCTTTGAACTATCTAAATTAATTTAATTTTTTTAATTGTTATATATAAATTTAATGGATTATTTGCGTTAACACTTTAAAGATTCAAGAGGACTTCACCAAAGAAGCATATTCTCCTTTTAAAAACTCGTAAGCAAATTAGTTTTATCGATTCTTAGTTTCAGGGTTCTTTTATGTTTCAGTATGTTATATTATTTAACTTTTATTAAGTGTTGTTAAAGTTTGTTGCATAAAAAGGAAAGATGGCGCTAAATGCGTTCTATGTCCTTTACTTTTAAAAGATTATATTTATGACTTTTCCATGCCGCTTTGTAGTACACAATGTTAATTTTTCGGAAACTCCAGTATTTAAACAAAGCGATAATCACACAGAGAAAACTTTTGGATAATATTATAACATTTTCGAGTAGTTTTGCGCAATGTTCAAAAAAGATTAGCTCAAGCTCTATCAGATATATGAGCGATAATGCAAGTAAACAAAATTACATACTTTAAAGCTTAAGAAATGTAGATTAAGACTTCATTAATTTAATTTAATCTTTATAAATATTTCAAAGAGTTATAGAATTAAATATTGCCAACTAGATTTAAGAATAACTCGTGTGAGTTATATGCAACTATTTTGTAAGCATGTCTACCCTCTAAACAGAACTGGAGCATTTGAATGTTGGGACAATAGGACATATAGATCATGGCAAAACAATGTTAACTTCCGCCATAACTAAAGTTTTTTCGGGTAACGGAAAAACGAAATTTATGAAGTATGATGAAATTGATCGAGCTGAAGAGGAAAGAGCAAGAGGAATAACGATAAATGCATGTCATGTAGATTATTATAGTTCTGGTCGGCATTATGCTCATACAGATTGTCCTGGTCATATAGATTATATAAAAAATATGATAACTGGTGCTGCTCAAATGGATGTAGCTGTTCTTGTTGTAGCAGCGTCTGAAGGAGTTATGCCACAAACAACAGAACATATTTTGCTGGCAAAGCAAATAGGTGAGAATCATTGTGCTTATTTTTCACAAGAACTATATCGTTTTTCTTTTATATGCTTTTAGGTATAAAAAACATCATTGTTTATTTAAATAAAGTTGATATTGTGGATGAAGATACTCTTGAGTTAGTTGAATTAGAAGTTAGAGAATTGCTTGATAATTTTGGATATGACAGTGAAGCTATACCAATTATTCCTGGTTCGGCTCTTGATGTTCTTAACGAAAAAGATTCTGAATGGGGGACAAAATCGATTATGAAATTGATTGATGCCCTGGATAGATGTAAAATTCCTACAAGAGACACTAAAGGCCCCTTTCGTCTACCTATTGAAAAGGCTGTAACTGTACCGGGAAGGGGAACAGTTGCGATTGGAACTATATCAAAAGGAAATTTGAAAAAATCACAAGAAGTTAGACTGATGGGACGAGGAGTGGATATAAAAACTATAGCCTCAGACATTCAAGTCTTTCATCAGTCTGTGTCAAAAGCAACTGCTGGGGAAAATGTTGGCGTTCTGTTGAGAGGTCTCAGGAAAGATATAGTACAAAGAGGAATGTTTCTCTCCCAAGATGATTCTCTTTCTCAAACAGATACTTTTGAAGCTCAAATATATGTACAAACAAAAGAGGAAGGTGGAAGAAAGGTACCTTTAATGAACAATTATGTCAATCAAATATATATGGAAAATTGGGATATTGCTTGCATGGTCAAATTGGCCGAAAATGTTCCAATGATTATGCCGGGCGATACTGCTCTCTGTAAGATGATACTCAGATTACCGATGGTTTTAGAGGTAAAGTAAAGATTGTTATGCCGTTTTTTTTCATCACAGCTATAACATTTTAACTTGTTCTTTAGCCTGGCCAAAGATTCTTCATCAGGGAAGGGACAATTACAGCCTTAACAGGAATCATAAGCAAAATATTACCTAAAAGTGAAGAAAAGTATGCAGGATTTAATTATCTAAGGCCAAAGGCTATGAAAATAGAGGGAAAGTCTGCTGCTGCCAGTAGAAGACGTCGAAAAAAGTAGATTATAAGAGCAATCTATATATTAATATAATATACAATTTACAGAATTTATATTATTTAAGCAATATACTTTATAAAGAGAGATAAAGATTTAAAGAGATGAAATTAGAGTGTCTTTTTTTTATTAAAAAAAGAAATAATTTTTCCACTTCAAGCGGATAATCACTTACATTCTATGCTAAAAAATAAATGCAGATTTAGATATCTCTTTACAGATCACCCACAAATGAGTTAGGTATTTTTGCAGGGTGTGAACTATAAACAATGAATAAATGTATCAATAGATTGCGATAGAAAATCATTTATTAATTTTATATTAGCCATAAATCAACAATATTAAGCAGTCATAATCAAAATTCACCAAACTCAGTGTTTGTTTTTGGTTTGTAGCTAAATTAAATGCTCTAAAGACTAGAATGGCTTAAAGCGATAACGGAAAAATATATCTTTAAAAAAACAACAGTCTTTACATCGTTTGAACCGTTAAACACAGTACTAAATATATAGTATATATGTATACAGCATATTAAACCTATATTTCATCAATTTTGTATATTGGATTATTGAATGTATAAGCAAATAGACTTTAAAAGTTGTTAGACTAGATCACAATTAAAAGAAAAAATTGTCTAAAGAGATTGAGACTACTACTTTTTTCATTAACATATATTGTTGAAATGGAATATAAAGAGCTAAGACAATTATTGATTTATATATTTGAGTTAGTTAATAATAGGATTCTTATTGGTCATTTATGATGCGATTTTTAATCAATCAGTCTTAGTGTTATTGTTATTGCCATTATGGGAATCTAAATTGACTTGTTTGGCTGCTTTGGGCAATAATTTCTTAGCTACGAAAGTATAAATTTTGCCATGGAGAAGAACAACAGCTGTCTGATGGAGAACAGCACACATTCTGTAACCTTTACCGTAAAACGGATCGCTAGGAGCTGGACACATTAGATTATTTAAATTTACAAGAGATACCTGAAAAAAAAAAAGAAAGTAAAATCTTTATCATTCTTATAAACTTAAAGGAATGTTTACAATTGATAGAGGTTGCATCAATAACCAGTGATATAGGTAGAGAAAGCTTTTTGTGCCAAAAGCCCACGAGAAGTCAGATAGCGGCTCCGGCATATAAATGCCTATTTGTATTTAATTAAAGATAAGATAAAGAATATTATTTATTACATAAGCAAGTTACCTCCTGTTCTCATAAGATAAAATGGAACCAGAAGCATCAATCCATGTTGAATATAATAAACCTCCTTTTCGAAGGGAAGCTGTTAATTTAAATATTCATAAGATTTTTTAATTATCAATATAAATATAAATAATTATAGTTCAATCACTAATTAATATTAATAAATTTACGTAATATAATTTTTGGAATAATATTAATAGATAACATCACTTTTTGGTTGTATCAATTACATAATGTCGTTAAATGGCTGATATATTTATCTATTAGAATTATCTTATTAATAGCACATAATTACCATTCTTGAATCAACAAGGGGAAATAAAAAGGCTATGAGCGCTCCACTTAAACCATGCATATGAAGTCTGTGTAAAAAGGAAATAGAAAGAGAGGTGTCAATTAAACTCTATTCATTTCGTTTATAGTATTTGTTACGCTGTGTGATTCAATTACTATTTTATGTTATCACTTTTAGGAATAAACAATTCTTTTTAATGTGGGATGAAGAGCAAGTTAATGTTAGGACTCTCTCTCTCTCTCTCCATTGTTTTAATTACTATTATTACAAAGATTATTGGAAAGAGAACTACTCGTACTCGCTCCTTTTAAAAGTATAAATTAAGTGCTGATAATTATATGTATAGACATACCGGAATATAGCCATTGATATCCTATTTTGTGGTGCAGCTAGTAGCCAGATTTGAGACATTGTAATTAAGTGACAAGGATTTAAAATCCAAAGCATTTGTCTGGTAGCAAACTTGAAACCTAACTCCATACCGAAAACAACGCACATACAAACTAACATAAGTCGTTTGGCTGCTGAATCCGGTTTCGTGACCGGTGGAATATGTTTGGGTAGGGACACATTCTTGCAAGCATATAATAATTCTCCCAAACTTAAAACCGTTACAATACACGTTTCAATAACTTTCTGCCGATGTGGAATAAAGTTGATGCATTCTATTCCACCATTTCCAGCTATTGTATTATTGACACCTTTGTAAAGCCAATCAGAATTTTCCCATATCCACATATTTGCCTGAAATAAATTTTATAAGAAATATCATTAAGTAACTTATTCAAAAACTAAATCAGCCTCTTATTTGAGTAATTACGATCTATCCAATGAGAAAACTTTAATCGATATCTTTAATCATCTATTTCTATCAGATTTACAAAAAAAATCAATCAACTGTTCTCACTTGATAAAAATTACAAAAAAGTGGGATGCTGCAAAATAAAACTCCTTATGAACGAGAAATGCCAAGGTTGAACAGCAAGGTTCGTGTTCCTTTAATAAACTGATGTATTACCGTTAGAAACGGAGCAAGTAACGATTCTGTGGACAGCGAGGATGTAAGAAAAGTTTTCGAATACATGTCGTTTGACCTATGATATAGATTGAGCATTTTTAAACAATATTTACTGAAAAACGTAATCTTCTATATGAAAGATAAAGATACTGATATATCACTTAGTTATCAGCTTCACTATTATTATATAGATTATATATTACAACATATAAATATTTTTCTTATAATCCGAGGTGACCCTTTATTAAATTCCAAACATATAACAAAATATTGCTACATAAATATTACGTAACGTAAACTCTAGAACTTCCTAATTTCTCTTTAATTTTCTTCTTATTTGAATTGTTTCAGTCAATGATAATAGTTAATTTATCGTTTGTTTGTTTGATTTTGAAGAATATAACATTTCTGCTCTATTTGTAAAAGCTTTTACCATTTTCTTAACAACTTCATCGAAAAATAAATAAGCCAAGTTTGAGTGTATGTTATTACGAAATTCAAATGTAACCTGTTTATAAATAATTAATAATTTAAGGATTAATGACTCATAAAATATATAGTTACCCAAAAATCTAAAATGCACTTATTCTCTTCATTTGGATATGGTGTAAATCGCCATATTGTTAATAGATGATTGAACAATTTACCATCAGTACATTCTGACTGTTTAAGCAAAAAAAAACATCATATAGTAAGGTAATCTGTAATTATTTAGCAAAAAGTAAAGCTAACCTTGACTAAGTGGGGCTCTGCAACAGTTACAATTGATGTGTATCTTTCCCTCAATGGATAAAAGCCGACAGATAGTAAGCATTTGTAAGAGTTGCCCGATCGTTTAGTTATTTTAGATTCTGAGCACCAAGGAACAAAATGTTTATAATTTTCAACATCAGCCACAACGCTGTATAGCTGTTCCATTGAATAACTGGTTCAAGGATTTTTTAAAAATATTAGTACACATTTAATGAACAATCAATTAGTTAATACTTACTCAAGAGTTTTACGTTCTGAATACTCCAAAGTTTTAGCTTTTAAGGTTTGTTTTTTAGGTTTTATGAACATTTCGAAATTTGGTTTGGGTATTTGTATTCTATATAGATGGCGATGGGATGTTCCAAGAGGATGGCTATAAGCGGTATTGCGGCAAAACAGTAACAATAATCTTGTTGACTTTTTCGAACTCAGACAGAAAGCCATCGCTACTTCCTAAATACTATACGTTTTTTTGTAATTTCCTAGCAAAAATCTTTTTTGCGATGTTTATAGCTGTCGCATATTTTACCAGTAGCAGTATAAACTGGTTGGTTGTTGAAATAGTGTTACTTTTCAAAAGTTCTAATAATAATATTCAATTCAAAAAGTTGAAAACAAATGTCTAATCGTGTTTTTAATTCCAAGTAAGAACAAAAATCAACTACAATTCAGTTTTGACAGTTGGTAAATTATTTCTGAACCAACTATAATTTTACCAGTTTTCATAGAACTAGCCTTGACCTTTGACGAAGTAGTGCATGTGGTGTAAGATTTGAGCAAGACGTAAAAATTCATTTAATTCTTTGTTGGGGAGGTGAACCAAAATAAAATATATAAAAAAATGGTTAAGAATAGGTCAAAAGGTAATGGCTGCCAAACAAGTAATTAAATTATTATGAAATAAAAACTTGTCTTTTAGAATGGGATGGCCTTTCTCGTGATGAGCTAATGATTATGACAATATCCGAGATTGTTGGCGAGTTAATAGATGCTTACAATAATAATAAAGATATAAATCTTAACAAGTAAGTATTTTACTAGCCAAAAAATATTTGTCAAATGTTTACTATTATTTCATCAGTAGAAACTTATTTAATGATATTTTAAATATACTTTAGGTTAAAGACAAGAATTTCTGGGAAATATGGACTTAGTTCTTCACCCAGATTGGTTGATATAATTGCTGCCGTACCATACCAATATAAAAAAGTTCTCACTCCAAAATTAAAGGCGAAACCTATAAGGACTGCTAGTGGTGTAAGTTGACAATGCCTAATATAGGCACTTTCTATATCCAAGTATTTATTTCAAAATAAAGATTGCTGTTGTCGCGGTTATGTGCAAGCCTCATCGATGCCCTCATATAGCTATGACAGGAAATATTTGCGTGTAAGTATTAAAAACATAGGAAATTTGCAAAAATGCGTTAGTTTTGCAATATTTATTACTGACTTTTATAGATATTGTCCTGGAGGGCCGGATTCAGACTTTGAATATTCCACTCAATCTTATACTGGCTATGAGGTGAATAGCAAAATAATACAATTCACCATGAAAGTTGAATTAAATGTACTATATTTTTTCTAATAGCCAACATCAATGAGAGCTATAAGAGCCAGATACGATCCATTTTTGCAAACAAGGCACAGAGTTGAACAGGTAAAAGGAAAAGATAAATAATTTTACTCTGTATTTTGATTATTATTGTTTTTTTTTATGCTAGCTAAAACAATTGGGTCATTCTGTTGATAAAGTGGAATTTATAGTCATGGGAGGAACGTTTATGGCTCTGAATGAGGATTATCGAGACTATTTTATAAGAAATTTACATGATGCATTAAGTGGCCATTCAAGTAGTAGTGTAGAAGAAGCTGTCAGGTTGAGACTTACGACAAACAAACAAAAATTAATATAATATGTATGTCCAACATTATAGATATTCTGAAAAATCTAAAACCAAATGTATTGGTATTACTATCGAAACTAGACCGGATTATTGTTTAAAACGTCATTTGTCTGACATGCTAAAATACGGATGCACAAGATTGGAAATAGGTGTTCAAAGTGTTTACGAAGATGTTGCAAGAGACACAAATAGGTAGATTAAATATAAATAATAATATATTGTTTTTCTACGAAAAACTATATTCTATTCAATCCATAATTTAGAGGACACACAGTTAGAGCGGTCAGTGAATCTTTTCATATGTCAAAGGATGCTGGTTTTAAAGTTGTTTCTCATATGATGCCAGATTTACCCAATGTTGATATCGAAAGAGATATCGAACAATTTATTGTAATTTGTTTTCTTTTATTTATTAGTTTTTTTATGTAAACTTAACTCTTTTATAATATCCCTTAGGAATTTTTTGAAAATCCAGCATTCAGACCGGATGGATTAAAGTTATATCCAACGTTAGTCATCAGAGGAACGGGGCTATACGAACTATGGAAAACAGGAAGGTACAAGAGCTATCCAGCTGATGTTCTTGTTGATTTGGTAGCTCATATTCTAGCATTAGTTCCTCCCTGGACTAGAGTTTATCGTGTACAAAGGTGAGAGATTTTCCAGGGAAATTTACAGATTATTTAATTTTAACATCAAATAGAGATATTCCAATGCCTCTTGTTACATCCGGTGTTAAACATGGAAATCTTAGAGAATTAGCTTTGGAAAGAATGAAAGACCTTGGTACTACTTGTCGAGATGTACGAACTCGAGAAGTAGGAATACAAGAACTTCATCATAAAGTTAAACCATACGAAGTAAAATTTTTTTAAATATTTGCTGTTTCTATTCATGTTAGAACATTTTTCATTTTTTGCAGGTCGAATTAATTAGAAGGGATTATTTTGCTAATGGAGGTTGGGAAACTTTTCTCTCCTATGAAGATCCTGAACAGGATATACTTGTTGGTCTCTTAAGACTGAGAAAATGCTCAAAAGAGAGCTATCGTTCAGAGTTGCTTGGTAGATGCTCTATTGTGAGAGAACTTCATGTGTACGGAAGTGTTGTTCCAGTTTCAGCTAGAGATCCTACAAAATTTCAGCATCAGGTAAACATCTTTAAAGGCTTCTATATCTTTTGTAGATTTTTATTATTAATTTTCAGGGTTTTGGTATGCTTCTTATGGAAGAAGCTGAGAGGATAGCTAAAGAGGAGCACGGATCTGAGAAAATTTCCGTCATCTCAGGTAAATAATAACATATCTCAATTGCATAAATGCTTTTTAGCTATTCAATTCAAAATAGGTGTTGGAACTAGAAATTACTACAGAAAGATTGGGTACAGCTTGGATGGTCCATATATGAGTAAATCTCTCATTTGACTTTAATAGAAAAAGAATTCAAATAAACCTTGATACTTCTTGTTTATTTTCGTATCCTGATAACTTCATTCGAATAAACAGTAATAATTATGTAAAACTTGTGTTTGTTGGTATTTCAATTGACAACGTGAGAGTATTGCATTTGACAATATCTAAAGCAATCATTAAGGTGGGTTGTAGTCATTTCGGTGTTAAGGCTGTCGTTTCATTAGCTTCACAAGACTTTTTCGCCCACTCTTGTATAGTAGCTTTGGAAAATATACAGTAAAAAATCATTCCGAATAAGGCGATAGACGCTCCAAGAAAAAAGATAATTTTCCATTCTTCCAAAGATGCCTGAAAATAATCGTGTTTATACAAAACTTAAAATAGAATTTAGTGATATATCCAACCGTCTCATATCCTACTAGCAGAGGCATTCCAAGTCCTGCAACAAGAGTGCTGATTGTGTTAGTTATACCCGAAATAACTCCGGCGTATGAAGGAGCAATATCTACTGCATTGATGAAATTTGTACTGACTCCTAACCCAATCGAACCAGCACCGATTATAATAAATCCGATTACGTAGTTTGGAGTAGTGCATGTAATGAAAGTTATACCAATACATGTTGCCGCAGAGATGAATAAACCTTTGAAAGACAAAAGCAAATAATGTGTCTCTGCAAAAAGGCGTTAATTTTTAAAAAGAAAACCTGATCCACTGATAAGTTTTCTGGAACTCGTTGTGCTAATTTCTGATCCTAGCAAGTCTCCCAAGAAGGAGAATACTAAGACAATTATAAACTCTGATACAAAGGGTAGGGACGAAACAACGCTGTGCTAATATGAAATAGAATTAAAATGTTTACGTATAAAAGCTGTCTTAACAAACCGCAAGTGTATCGAGGTTGGTTTCGTTGGCAAGAAAGGTTGGTATAGTAAGCTCAAAAAGATATTTGACCCAATCAGAGGAGACTATTAGTATTAATATCGCCCAGAATGGAAAGGAAGAAAGTATAGATTTCCATGGCACAATAAGTATCTAAAATAGATCATTTGAATAAAAGTAAAATATGTTTGCAAATTGAATTATTTAAAAAGAACTTTTCTAATTTTGCTGTCATCAACTTGGCCTTCAAGTCTTATCTTAATATATTCAATTTCTTCAATTGATATGAATTTGTTATTATTCGGTGTATCGGTAACCAGGCATACCCAAAGACACGAAATAAACATTCCAAAAAAGCCTAATGGAATAGAGTACACTAATTTGTACCTTAGGTTAAAAATATTTCTTTCAAACCGTAAACATAATATACTAAAGGCCATCCATTGTCGTAGCTGACCTGACAGAGCGGTGCAGCAACTGCGACAGTCAATAAATTTCCCAATGCCGCAAACGAATAGCTAATACCGATTGATTTTGATCTTTCATCAGGCAGAACCCAATATCCGAACAGAGCTTGCACAGCCGGATGAGTTACGCCAAGGAGGAGTCCTATGAAGAATCTTAGACTAATAAGTATCTTGTAGCCATAAGCTCTTGTGAGAACAGGAATGAATAAAGTAAGAATTGATGTTATGAACAAAGGTATTCCCATAACATTACGACTACCATATTTTGAAGCAATAATTCCGCTTGGAAATTGAAGTATGCAATATCCCCAGAAAAATGATCCCATTACTAATCCTTGAATATTCTTTGGCCAATCAAACTCTCCTCTATAGTTCGTGCCGTTGAAACTAGTCTGATTTGAACAAGAAAGTCCTTCATGAATGTTGCTTACTTTCTCTCGAACCATATAAACTATTGTGAAGCTGAGTATATTCCTGCTAACATGAAGATTGAAGATAGCTAGTGATCCCATAAGAACAATTAAAAAACGGATTGATCTACACCAAGTCATATTCAGAAATAATAATTTAGATGATTTTTTAAATACGATTTTATACATTTGTGCCCATAACAATCGTTTCTGTAAACAGGTGTTACTTTTGAATAGGTTTCATGCTTTGTTGCTCTTCTGTCAATATTGTCTGTAAAGGCCTATATTTTTTTTAAAACATTAATGCGGCATCAGATTGTCCATATGCGAAATGGCTGCAAAAACAAATCGACTGCTTTTAGCCTTTTCGTTGATTCAGGATTATTTAGTTTATCGAATGTAATTAAGCTGCTTTTATTATTCATATATTTAAAAGCCTTAAAAAATTGTTAAAACGAATAAATTTCTATTTAAAAATACATAAATGTATATATATATATATATATATTATTGACTATAGTTATACATGAGTAAATCAGTGTTTATTCACTTAGAGCCTTTCAGAGTCCATAAAGGATCTAATGAATTTAACGGATCCTCAGGGTTAGAATGGGCAGGTTCGTTTAAAGTTCCTTTAGAGGAAATAAAATTCTTTTTTGTTATTCTCTTCTGATTTTGACTGTTCAATGAGAAATTATCTGGATTTTCCAAATCTGTTAGCTTGTTAAATTCTGCTGGTTGTGTTGAAGCTGTTGCAAACGTTGTTTTCATTGTATTGTTTTCCGGTTGAGGGTTGGTTACAGTTGTTTCACCATTTTTATTTTCAAAATTTTCAGTCATCTGTCCTGGAGTTGATTGACTTTTTGTTTGTGTCACAGTTTCTACTAGGGTTGCAGTCGGCTGTTGAGGAATAAATTGCGAAGTTGATTGACCGATAGCCGTTTCAATTGTTTCATCCAATGATTTTGATGGGCATCTAGCATTCGCAGCTGATAACTTCTTAAAGGAATGATGTAACAGTATTCCATCTGGAAAAAATTTATCAAAAAGGAAGATAATAAATGGAAGAAATTATATATTTTCAAACGTACTCTTTTTTAAAATGTCCGTTGAAAATTCCAAGATTACTTTGTAAATAAACTTCAAATGTTCCCTCTTTTCAACCATATACTTCCTCTTTGATCTTAAATTAGTTACAAATTCGTTAACATTCAACAACCCATTGCCCTTATTTAATTGTATAATTGCTGAGTAGATAGTACAAAAAACTCCAGTTCGACCGCATCCTGTACTACAATGAACAATTATAGGCTTTAGGAGGCTCCTTTGCTGCATGTAGAACTCGTGAACATTTTGAATAAAGTTTATAAGAGAGGAGCTAGAAGATGGCTGGCCACCTGCCGGCCAGTTAGTAAAATGAAAATGAGTGATAGAAAGGCTTTGTCTCGTTTCTGTATTACAAACATTCAATACTCTTCGAACCCACGTTGCATTTTCCATTTCAGCCTATAAAATAAACAAAGAAGTTTGTAGTCTCGAGTATAGATAATATAGAAGCAAATTAAATATATTACCACAGCATGAACAGTTATTAGAATTGAGCCAAAGTTTATTTTTTGACCTTTTGATTCAGGTAAATATAAGGGATTTTTTTGACCACTTTCTATTCCGTTAGTGTTCAATTGAACGATAACCTCGCATCCACATTCTAGTACCATTGTCCAGAAATCCTTAATAGTAGCATTAAGTGGTGCTTGAGTTGCTACAATTCTAGGGCATCCAATACCTATGGCTCCCAGATTACTCGCATTTATGTAATCGTCCAGAGCGTTTTTGATAACGAATCTTGTCTCATCGTCTGAAGATGAAAAATTACTTTTAGACAATCTAATCAATTTTTATTACAATCGCTTACATGGCATAATGTCTTGAAAACGATTTTTCAATGGATAGCATCTTGCTACAGCCATTTTAAATTCTTTAGCTGTTCGTTCTTGACTATCCATTAACTCTTTCCATTCCCTATCTAAAACAGTCGATCCACTTAACGTCGGAGTTTCTAAAGATTCATAAAATTTTTCGAGGGATTCAACGTCACTTGCCAACTTCTGAACAAGTGATTTATCAACATATGGATCCAACTTTGGTAATTCCTGCTTGCGAGCTTCTTCTTCTCTTTGTCTAACAAAAATTTTTGAATAGTTTAAAAAAAAATATAGAAAAAACACTTTTCTTATGTAAATTTTATACAAGAGTTCTTGTTTCGTTGTCATCAATTATTGTTACAGTATATCATTAGTATTATAATGAACCAATACAGATTAATCTGACTTATAAATCACCTTTAGAATCGTTAAAAATATATGACAAATCACTGATAGTTTTCAGATTAACTTTGAAAGAAATCAGTAAGAAAATTTTCCTCATCCTAGATTAAGTTACGTTTTATTTTGTTCTTATAACTAAGTCTTATGTCTTTATGTTTGCAAACGAGATTAACTTCTTATGTGGTTTAATCTTTATAAAGTAATTTACACCCTACTTTTCTCGTTCTTCCTCCGTTATGCAATATGGCTTTAGAATTTTCTCTATTTCATTTGTAGGACTAGCTGAAAGTATATCGTCCAAGGATGAAGCTGTTGAAAGTCTTCTCTCAAAACTAGGAGTTTGTACCGAAGGTGTAATAGTTGGTGTAGGAATTTCTCTGGGCTCTGACGATCCTCTCTCTCTTAGAGGAAGAGGTTCAAAAACAGGAGTAAAAGATTTTTTGTTCTCTTGCTGTTCTAATGCTGTTGGTTTGGATGCAAGAGGCTGTTGTTGTTGTTGAAGATTGTGAGTTTGGGGAGTGGTGATTGGTGCTATTGTTCCAGCCGATGGAATAATATTGGATTGAATTGTTCCTTGACTTGATGTCTGATGCAGAGGATTTTGATTTGGTAGGGCTTGAGAATACAGATGTTGATCATACGTTTGACGGTATTCATACATAGACTGACTTAAATTAACACCCCCAGCAAATTCTTGCGCTAATTGTTTGGAAATAGATCCAAATTCCATATTTGTGTAATTAGACAGTTGACCTTCTTTGCTAGTCACATTCTGAGCAATCTTCGTAGGCAATTGTTGAGAATGTGTTGACGAGGTTGAAGTTACAGATCTTACGATTGCTTGAGTAGTTGTTGTTTCCATGTTCATGTTCTCATGTTTCGACGGTAAAGATGCTTGAGGTGTCACATTCGGATAATTTATATTTTGAAAAGACGTCGTCTGATTAAAACCCATTGGATTTTGTTGAGAATAATTTTGAGGGATTTGTTGTACTGGATTCATTGAAGTAGAAGGATTTGCTATAACATGCTGATTAGTCGGTTGTACGTAAACCTGTGTGTTTGATGGTTGTTGAGGAAACTGATTATGATAATCCATATTCATGGTCGCCGTCTGCGCCTGTTGAGGTTGGTATATAGGATTCGTCTGATTTGGAATATTCTGTTGCGAATTAATGTGAAAATCAATCGAAGGGTCTTTTAAATTGGAGGGTGCAACATTGGGCTGAAGCAAAGGTGGATTTTGTAGATTCTGTTGATGAGGAGTTAAATTACTGCTATTTGGATTTTGCTGAGAATATGGTAGAGAAATATTGGCAGGTGATTGTAAAGTATTGTTTGTAAGCGAATGCTGTGGATTGATCTGCTCGCAGCTGATATAGGGTTGCTGATGCTGTGATTGTCTCGATGGTTGAGGTTGGAGCTGTTGTTGCTGGGGTTGCATTGGCTGAGGCTGGAGCTGTTGCTGCTGGGGTTGCGATGGCTGGGGCTGAAGTTGTTGCTGATGGGGCTGCGTTGGCCGGGGCTGGAGATGTTGTTGCTGGGGTTGCGTTGGCTGGGGCTGAAGTTGTTGCTGATGGGGCTGCGTTGGCTGGGGCTGAAGTTGTTGCTGATGGGGCTGCGTTGGCCGGGGCTGGAGATGTTGTTGCTGGGGTTGCGTTGGCTCGGGCTGAAGCTGTTGCTGATGGGGCTGCGTTGGCCTGGGCTGAAGCTGTTGCTGATGGGGTTGCATTGGCTGGGGATGAAGCTGCTGCTGATGGGGTTGCGTTGGTTGAGGTTGGAATTGTTGTGGCTGGGGCTGCGTTGGCTGATGTTGTTGCTGGGATGGAAATGAAGAAATGGTACTTTGTGGTTGATAGTGAGGATTATAAAGTGACATATTTGTATAGATATTTGTTGTCGGCGTGTTCATAGAAAGTTGCGGACTATTTGAAATCGGTGGTTGATATTCCTTTGGAAGGGAAGAATGTGAGGTATTTTGCTGATTCGGGAATGAATTTTGAAGATTTGAGGCCATAGCTGTAGTAGACTGATATTGAGACTGTATATTTTTGTTTTTTTCATTTGCCGGTTGGTATTGAGTATATGCTTGATATTTGGCATCAGGTTGATTATTTCTTAGTTGGGCTGAATTAGAGATCTGCTGAGCCTGTGGTTGCTGATAGGACTGAGAGCTAGCGTACACTGATGAATTGACACTGGCTGTTCCTACTCCGTAAGGTGCAGGTTCAGCTAATGTATTAGGAGCCGGAACGTAAGGTGGTGCGTATCCACTCGCTGGAACGTTCGCCAGTATATTTCCTTGTTTTCCAATAGCTTGATCAAACATAGCAACCGCTGCTGCAGCCATTTCTTGTTCTTCGTAAGACATTTTATACGCTGATTGACCTTTTTGACCCTGAGGTGGTGGAATAGTAGGTGTAGAAATAAAATTTTTAGTTAGATTAGATGGAGCAGACGGGGGTTGGTGGGTGGGAGTATAGTTCAAAGAATTTAAAGGTGCGTTTGAACTATTTTCAGAACTATTCGCAAGAGTAGCTTGTGTCTTTCCAGGTAAAGAAGGTATATTTTGAAAGTTTGATGTTAAATACTTTTCAGCAGACTCCAAACTTGCTATTGCAGCCAATGCTTCTTGATCATCGATATCAATATTTTCTGGTTTAGCATTAGTTACGTTTTTCTTTCCCTTCGTTCTTTCACTTCTCTTTTGCATATAAGGCATATGATCCTTAAGAGTTTTCTTTTTTGATGGATCTTCTAAACTCGGATTCTGTGGTATCTGCATTCCAAGTGCCTTCATTTCCGAATGGGTCATTCCCGTTTCCCCGCATAAATCAGATGCATTTGGTATATAGTTTGGTTGCATGTCTACTGACTTTGGACCGGTAGGTACTTAAAGACAAATACATTTTTGTACAATTCATAAAAATATACTGCGTTAAATTACTTACTATCCGGTTTTACAGCTTCTTTGATTCCATATTTTTCCATAATTCTTTTTCGCCCTGCTTCCTGTTCAGCATGTCTTTTTTCTACTTCAGCTAGTATATTTGTTATAATTGCATCTCGTTTGTCATAAAATTCCATTCCATTTTTCCATTTGTTGATCAAATCAGTATAAACATCGAAAGATTCAATCAAGGACTCAATTTTTTTATTTCGCCTAAAAAATAAATATAAAGTTGTGCCTATGAAAATACGTTAAATTTTTTTATTATTACTTTTGGTCAATTTCAGATAATTCTCTGCGAATTGGAGCAAATTTCACATAACATTCAGCCAATGCTTTCAAAATATTTGTTTGTGCGCCTATATTCTGTCTTAATAGGTTCAAGTTTTCATCGTGCTTTTTTAATTCTGTCCTAAAGTATTCCTGATGATGAATAATTCATTAATTTTTTTAAAAACATAGTTAAAAGTAAGGTTAAATTACCTCTTGATCTTGGGTTCCGCCTTTGCCAGCAATAACTTTTGTTATATCATCAGAATGGATTGCATCTCTCAATGAAGTTTCTAATAATTTTCTTTGTTTAACCATTTCATCAATCTTTTCCATCAATTTTATCATTTGTTTTATGATTTTAACGTCCTCTTCATTTTCTATAGAAGTAATAATTACCGTATAAACATACTGAATTTATTAATCGCTTTAAAATAGCGATTGACTAATTTTAACATACCAGTCAATATACTTCTATTTGGTAAATTTCGATTTAATTCTTGTGGATCACACAACAATTTCAAATTAGCTATATGATCGTCCATAGCTTGACAAAGAACCTGTGTAGTTTGGGCTGCTTTGTCTACTAATTCAGCACTTTCTTCTGCATTATTTCCCAACTCGATTAGGCGAGAATCAACCTGCCTTTTACCGAAAGTTTTTTGAAATGTATCTTCATTTCGTTTCTCCTTTGCTATTATATTATGAATCTTTGTAATTTTTTCTTCAATTTTCGAAGCAGCTCCAGATAAAGCTTATTTGTATATATAGATTTGTTAATAAGTTATTGTCTAAAAGCATATCTCAATTACTCACAATGTAGACACTGACGTAAGTCGGATGTAGAATTAGGCATAGCGCTAATAGCAGCACATTTCTCCAATACCGAATCAGGCAATACTTGCTTATCGATATTTAAAAATTCTTTATCAAAAGCTAACTGATTCATTCGTTGTCTATAAAAAGGAAGAATAATAAAAAAATGAATAATTCAGTAGTCAACCAAATAATTATAAAATAGTCTTACGTAAGCTCTTCGTCAGCATCAGAAACTTCTGTTCCAATAACTCTTAATAGTTTGGCCTTCTCTTCACTATAAATGGAAGAGGCTTCATGAGCTTCCAATGGAACTAACTCTCTAATGAAATAATAATATAATTGCATGATTAATTTATGCTACTAATAAAAATTTAATACCTAAAGATGTCAAGGCCAGATATTTCAACATCAGTATGATCAAAAATTATTCCTTTTACTAATGTAGCTCCTTCTACAGGTGTAAAATCTTCAAGTTTTGGTACTTTTGCATGATAAACGAAATCATTATCTTTCTTAGCGGAATTGAACCTTTATATCCAAAGATTTAAATAAACAATTGCTTTATTTGTATGAATGGCATTTACTTACTTCCCAGTAACAACATCGTTAACAAACCGCACAGTTTCTTCCATTTGAATTGAATCCTACATACCAAATTTTTTTTAGTCATTAATAAACTTATACATTATTAAAATGAAGGATTAATTCTACCTTCGCCAATTTCAAACAGGATTGCATCTGTTCCAACGCTGCTTCAAAATACATCAACCTTTCTCCCCACTTTTCTGTTTCTTCTGCTTGCATACCAGAATAAAAGTATGTCAAACAATGATGATAAATAATTCTCAAATCTATCCTTTTTTTCCATTCCTTTTTATATACAAATATTGAAAAGTTTGAATGTTAGCCCATAATCTATTAATTACCTTATGCTTTTTGGCCCCTAATATTTTTGCTGTATGTTTTAACTCCAAGATTTTTTGGCATTCTGTATAAAATTGGCGAATACGAGCGGCAATTTTTGTAGTGATAGTACTTTTCCTATTCTCCGACATAGACTTTTCTAAAATACATTCTTGAGCTTGAGCCTACGGAACATTGAAAATGAATAACGAAAATATTAAATGTTGTAGACCTACCAGTAGCAAATTGCTCTGGAATGTTAGTACGTCGCTGTCAAAATCCGAAGAGTATGAAGGATTAAAGGAGTCTCTAACAGTTTCAAAGGCTCCAGCTGCTATTTGGAAATGAGTGCAAGATGCTTTCAAGCTCTGATAGTTATAAATACATAATTAGATTATATAAGTTAACGAATTCGGTCCTTACTTCTTGTGTGTTTCTAGTATCTGAAGCACCAAGGCTAGAGTATAAACAGCCAATGTTATATAGAATACAAGCTTGTTCGAATTTAATATCGGCATGCACGACTGTTGATCCTCCAAAAGCATCATCCCTACGTACAAGATTAATGCACATAGAATACATAATAAAAAGCACAACAAACCATGTAAATGCAACAGCCACTGGGTCTGCTTCTCCCATTGGAAAACGATTATGAAGCATATGTAACTGAGCATAGTATTTTTTTAATATACTACATCTTGTTAAATCTTTTGAACATTTGGTTGCGGTCTGAGTTTTTAAAGTAAAATATACAGATAAAGTTGTATTGCTCCCTGACAACTTACCGTTCGTAAGTTTTCTAGTTCTTCCAATGCTTTTTCATATTTTGACGGATTTTCCCCGTAGTGATTTAAAATATACTGTAAATAGTTTAAACTTTATTAACTGATTTAAGATGCAAGATGATTCATCGTCGTTTGACTCTGACAGGAATTACAAATCGTAAAAATACAAGAAAAATATGTTATTTAGATGTTTCTACAGTGGTATATTACAAATAGAATAAAATTTATTACAAACCGAGCGCAAAACTGGAGTAAATTCTACACTGTCTGAGCATTGTTTTGATTCAAAAGACATCATAGGCAATCTTGGAACTGCCTCCATGATTGTAGACAGGAAATACAATAAAGTGTGTGGCTCCTTGTCATGTGTACTTTTTTTATGGCCTTTTCAGAATAGGAACGTCAACAGGACAATGTATCAATACAGATTTGGGAATCATTTTTGGTAATATTTTCCCACCCGTAAGAAAATGTCCTCAAAAGCTTCAAAATCTCTTGCAAAGGATGATTTAAAACGACTAATGCACAAAGCTGCTTCAAAGAATAAAATCAATCATCCACTAGCAAAATATCCTTTTTTTAATTTGTTGTAGATTTCTCAATTGCGATTTTTTTTCCATTTTATCGCTCTTTTATCTGTTTATTATCCTTAACTTAATCATACATATAACGCCCTAGGAAATTTAACATGTGTAGTATGTAATTCTCAAGTAAGGAGTGAAATTCTTTGGGATACTCACCTTAAAAGCCGAGGACATAAAGAGGTAAATAAAAATTAAAGTTTAAACATAACGTTTAATTAAACTAAAATATAGAATGTAGAACTACTGAAATCAAATCGGCTAGTTCAAGAAAAGCCAATTTCTCAAACATTGAAGAGAAAGACGGAAGAAGAAATCAAGGATGGTTTGTAAAGTAATTCTAAACCTGAATATTATGAATAACTTTTGATTTTTTTTTAGATAATTCGAAAACTAAAAAATCGAGGTTATTCTCTCTCATGAAAATAGTTAATTATTAATTAACTTTTACATATATATATATATATATAATATAGATTACCTGACGACTTTTTTGATAATTCGTCGAAGACAAATGCTAAATCGATATTGAAAAATGCACCTCTAAAAACTGGCTCTAAAGTTCCTACAGTTACAACAGAGATTCCGTCTTCTTCTCTTCCTAGTGGTAATAATATAAAATTAAGTTGTTTTAAAAATACTATACTTGTATTTTTAAACAAAACATAAAATAAAACAGATTTTTTCGATTCTGGTGACAAAGAACCAAAACCACAAACATCTAAGGTAGATTCTGAAGTGGAGGGCCCAATATCAAACACTGCTGCTGAACAGATACCGGAGGGATTTTTTGATGATCCTAAAATTGATGCTAAAGTACTTTTCCTTTCCAAGCTTTAAAACTTTAAATATTAAGTTTAATGCTCTTTATTGTAGGTACGCAATGTGGAATACAAAAACAAAATAGACGAAGAGTGGGAAATATTTCAAAAAGTTATAAAAGACGAGACAAATGTGTGTATTAAAGTCTATATTAAACGTAAAGTAGATTAATTTCTTTCTAGAAAGCTGAAAATCTAATGGATGAAGAGCACGAAGAAAATACAATCTTGAGAAATATTGAAGAAATTGATACTGAAATGTGCGTAAGATAAACATTTTTTTGACATATACTTACGTTCTCTTCAAATCAGACAATTATGGGGCAAAGTTGACAATTTATACAAAAAGAAAGAAGAAGTATTAAAACAAGTACAATCTAAAGAGAGAAGTACCACAGCTGCCAAAAACGACCTTAACGATTCCAGCGAAGAATCGGATGAAGATTATGACGAAAATAGTCTTAATTGGAGAAGCAAAGGAATAATTTAAAACTTTTATTTAATCTTGAATTATTGATGTTAAAACTTTAGAAACTGTACATATTAAAACTCTACAAGTTTAGTTCTGAGTTTGTAACAACTAGTTTTCCTCCGGAACTTTGTCGAAATCATCTAAAAATTTTTCTTGTTTAACCGCCAAAAGTGTATATGAATCTATAAGTTAAAATTATTAAGGAAAAGTATTAATACTAATAGAGTTTTTTTTTACATAGAAAGCATATAAATTCGCTGTTAAACAGCGATCGGGCTGAGTGATAAAAGGATACATATTCCCAAAACAGCGCCGGCAATAAGAGCTCCAGTTAGTTTGTTACGACTTCTCATTTTTGTGAGACGACCTGCTCGCTCAAGATTCATATTTTCTATTTTCCGGACGAAATGTTTCTCTGTCTCATTTAAATTCGGGAATTCTTTTTTCATGTCAACACGGGGCATTTCTTTCGAGTCTGCCATTTTGTTCTCCTTCAAGTTCAAGGTCGAAAAAAAAACATTATGCAATTACGAACTTAAGAAAAACAATCATACACAAGTAGTAGCTAAAAAGGCATAAAAATATAAGTCTGACTTTACTCTTCAATAAAATGCAGTACATAATTAGTGCAAAAAAAATAAGAAAGCAGTGTATTTAAAAAAGAGCGTAAGTAGTCAGAAATCGGGGATCAAAAGCAACTGGCAATGGTTCACAAGCCCAATTTCCAATCAAATGACCAAATAACACTGATCAACAAAAAATTGTCAGCTCTATACTACAAAAAAATTGAAATTATCCCATATGAAACAGATGGCAGCAATGTATTAAATATGGCTGAATCTCAAACCAATCACAGTGCTTAAAAGAAACGGTCAACATTTAACTAGAGAAATATTTCTTATGTAATAAATCAGTATTCTTCTTTCAAGATGGACATCGTTGATGACGTTGATAAAGCCGGCGATAAAATCAAACAACTTCTTCGAGAACTTAGCTCCGCCAATGATGAATACGTGAAAGAAAAGAGTTTAGAACTAACGTGAGCAATTTGATCTCTTACATGTTAGAGCTTTATTCAATGACCTTTTTAATTTTAATATTTACTCAGAAATGATAATGACGAAGAAATTCGTAGACTCCGGGAACGTAACAACTTCTTCCAAAATAAAAATGCCGATTTAGAAGAAGTCGTCGACAAATTAAAGGCTGATCTCACTAAGGCCGAATTCGAACGTACGTCTCTTCAAACAGAAGTTAATGATCTCAAAAGAAGTATTAAAATTGATTCAGATACAATCAAAGAAATTCGACACAGGAATCAATCTCTCCAAAAAGAAAACACATCACTTGAAATTACACTTGAAGAACATTCCAAAAAGAACAATCTTCTTCAAGAACAGTTAGGCAGTTATCAATCTAAAACTAGAGATGCTGAAAGTAAAGAAAGACGTGAAAGTCGACGTGTCCTTGATCTTGAACGAAAACTTGCTCAATGTATAGATGAAAAGAATGAAATAGAAAGTATTATACAAAGACAAAGAAACTTCGAAGAAGAGAAGGAAAGGCAAATTATCAAACTGGAAAAAAGTGTCAAAGAAAAGGACGATGTCATAGCTAATCTATGTCGTTCTAATAAAGAATTGACGGAGAAAATGAAAGCTTCCGAAGAGGAGTCTTTTCGACTTGTTGAGACTCATAAAAAGAGAGATAGTCAAAAAATAGGTGAACTTGAAATGAAAATAACAGACCTAGAAAATAACTTAAAAAGACAATCACAAGAACAATCAATGGCCTTAGATGTCAGTATTCTTTAGTTAAATTATCTTTTCTCGTAGACAACTAGTATGCTATAATAATTTAGCATTCAAAATCTTTAAAATGATTTTCCCCTGCACTGTGTGTCAATGCTTATATGAAAGTCTGAGCTACTCATTCAATCTTATTGTACATTCATGCTGAAGGATATCAATTTGGTCTACTATTTCACATAAATTTAGTACTAATCATAACATTCACACTCCACAGAAAAAAAGGTTTGAAGAAGATCGTGCGGCATTCCGCTACAGAATAGCTGAAGAGAGAAAACTAATGGAAAGAGAAAGATCTCGCAAAGAAGAATATATTGGAAAATTTCATGACACAAAAAAAGAACTTGAAGACTATCAAAAACAAAGTCAAGCAAAAATCATACTTATGGAAAAAAATGTAAGTTTTTATCAGATCGTTAATAAAGTTTGGAATGTTTACGAAAATAACTTTTTTAATATGTAACAATTATTTTTTGTCTTTATAATTAAGAATGATATACTAAAACAAGAAGTGGAAAATCTCAGATCTCAAACGCTATCTGCTCAAACTCAACTAGATGATCTACGTAGGCGATTCAATACTGTTAAAAAGGATGCTGATGAAAAGAAATTAGACACTAGAGCACAAATCCAAAGTCTCAAAGTAAGCCTTAAATACTCAAACTCAACTTTTTCTACTTTACCTAACACAAAAAGGAAGACAAGCAAATGCTTCAAAGTGAAATAAATACGTTAAAGAATAAAGAATCTGTAAGTATCAAAAAAATTACATTGAAAAAACTTCCACATATTTTCAATCCATAATAAATGAATTAAAAAAATATTTCAGATGCTAGGCGACGTCAGGGTTGAATTGGGTATAAAAACAAACCGACTAAAAGAATTAGAACATCAAGTTATTGAATATAGACGCAGGAGCTATCAGCTTGAAGAAGAAAATAGGCAAATTGTGTCTGAAATAGACTTCGAACGTCGAAAAAGACAAAAGACTATAGAAGACCAACAAAAGCATACCGGAGAATTAGAAAACTTGAAATGGGCCTTAAAAGAACAAGAAAAACAAATTACAGATCTCGAAAGAATAAATAAAGTGCTTGAACAAGATGGAAAAAAAGCAATCATTAGAATCGAAGAGGAGCGAAATCATCTAAAACAAATTCTTGATCAAAAACTTACACAAGAAGATGAAATTTTTAGACGAAATAAGCAACTAGAAAACGATCTTGAATCTCACAAAAGAAAAGTGTAAGTATACAGAACACACAAAATAACATTATGAGCAATCAACAAGCTTATATCACAGTCATTTTCTCTTCACAGAAAGCAATTAGAAGAAAGCCGAGTATGTACAGAAGAAGAACTTCAGCAAACACGACAACAATTTGAGACCATACTTTCGTCCAAACTTTCTTTAACAGAAGGAAAAGAAAAATTAACAGAACAACTTTTCACCACTGAGCAAAATCTTCATGAAATAGAAAAAGAACGTGGTAGTCTATTGCAGTCGAATGAAGCTCTTGAAAGAGAAGTAGTGAACATTAAAGAGGAATCGACAAAACATAGAACAAAGCTGGCTGAGGCTCGTGAAATTCAAATACAACTAACCGAAGAACTACGAAATCTTGAAGTTGAGAGAAATGAGTTACGCGACGAAATATCGTCTTATGAATACGAATTAGAAAAAGCTAGACAAACATTCAAAACCACTGTCGAAAATGAAAAATTCGAAAAACATAAAATGGAAGTAACAAAGCGACAGCAAATGAATGTAATTGATCTTCTACAACAACAATTGGATGCACCAAAAAAGAAAAAGAAAAAAACAGAACTCTTTTCACGGGAAGAACAACTGCAAAAGACATTGCGCGTTGCCCTTGACGAAAATGCTCGGCTTTCCAGAGATAAAGTAGAGTTGGAACAAAAAATTCGAAATTTAAGTCGATCAGTTCCACAAGTAACGACCGTTAAAACAACGAATTGCTTTGGAACAACCGAAATGTCAACACCAAAAACTCCAAAAACACCAAGATGTCAAAATAGATCAAAACAAACGAGCGAAACACCAGGAGCACCACGAGCTAATACGATGGGTCGTCCCCATCGCTTTGTAACTGGTCTCAATTCAAGACCAGACAAATGTGTTTTATGTTTAGGTAATGTGGAGTTTGTGAGGGAAGCTACAAAGTGTGAGGAATGTTTGTCCGTCTGTCATCCACTTTGCTCGCCAAAAATGCCACCGAATTGTGGAATGAAGACCGAATACAGACGGGTTTTTGATGATCTCTTCAAAGAAGTTACAGAACGTAAAGTTCGAAATGTTGCTAAATTGAAAAAAGTGAAATCTGGTTGGATAACAATTTATCGTCAGCGTAAAAATGTTTGGGAAAAGAAATGGATGGTTCTTAAGGACAACGTAGTGTTTATATACAACTCGGACACTGTTGTTGAACCATATTGTGAAGATATTCCTCTTCGGGATGGTAAAACGTTAATGAGAGCTGCAGTTAACCCTGTCGAATTGCCAAATGTGTGCTTAACGGACCTACCACTCGTATTTTCTATCAGGAGAAACAAAACATTGTATATCAATCCTGGAAGTGTAACTGACAAACATCATTGGGTTGCATATCTTGATGCTATTATGTTGAATGAGAAATCAGATACAACAATTTTCTCAAGTCTCTTGGTTTCGCAACATCCGAACTATATTCATGAAGCTTGTTGTATTAATAATTCTGACTGTTTAATGGCTACCGATAAAGGACTTCACGTTCACAGTGACATGTTGAATAGTACATTGACTGCTTTTGGACAAGTATCAGCAGTTAGATACATAAGTCAATTGAACACTATTGTTTTAGTGGTTGGTGCATCTCGGCGAGTGGCCATTACAACGTACAATGACGTTTTAAATATCACATCCAACAAAAAGTCTTCCACAAACCTGCCTCTTGCATATTTAGATGATGCCGTAAATTGTACGACCATTGAAGTGGGAATGTATCGTAGAAACGTGTACTTAGCTGTTGCAACTGCTGAAAATTTGATGTTATATGGCTGGTCACCCAAGCTTGACTCATTTACTTTGATAAGAACTCTTTTAATTCCAAAACCAGCTGGATGTATGATGTTTTCAGACGATCGCCTAATTGTTGGTTCTGACAAATTCTACACTCTGGATTTGCAAAGCTTTAAATTTCGAGAATTCTTAAATGAAAAGGATTCAACGTTGGCATTTGCAATTTTTGGAGCCTCTACCTTTTTATCCTTTCCTCTCAGTGTGGTCCAAATAAGCCCTAATGAGTTATTGGTATGTTTCTCTGATTTTGGAATATTCGTTGACCCTTCAGGAAAACGTACTCGTGAAGAAGATTTGAACTGGCCTGGCGAACAACCGGTGATGGTAGCCTATAGTCAGCCTTATTTATTTTTAATTTTATCTGGAAGTGTTCAAGTTCTTTTAATTCCAAATCGAGGAGAACCTTATGTAGCAAGTGGTACAATTCAGATTCCGTCTCCAGTATTCGTTGGAAAAGGTGTGGAATCGGGAACGGTAATGATAACAGCGGAGAAAAATAAAGGACTGGATCTTTTACAAATTATGGCCGATTTAGAAGATAATTACGATTTTGCAATGGACGAGACAGATGCCAAACGAGAAAATGATGTATGCCTTGGGAATAGTAGAAAAAGCGGGGGAGAATCTATAGGACTACAGAAAAAACAAGCGTGTGTTAGACAAGCGAAGGCGTCGTCAGGAGGTAGAATGAAATAGCTTGAAGTAAAGTCAATTAGTGAATAATGCTTTTAAAGATTGTTCACTGATGTATTTTTTATTATTTTCTAATCAATTTATAAGGAAGTCATTTTGTTGAATTAGTAAACAGTATTTTCTTTATAGGAATGAAATTCTGTTATTTTTTTGACTTTTCCTTGTTGTTAAACTTGGTGTAAAAAATTGTTTTTTTGGTTAATAATACAATTCTTGGTTTGAATTAAACGTAATTTTTTGCGAATGCCTTTAAGTTCTAATAGTTCGAGATTTTTTTTATTATTACTTAAGCAAGGATCATTAACTTTTTGTATTATACATTCACCTTTGATCAAAGTATTAGAAAGCTTTCAACTAGGACAAAACCTCTATAAAAACGTATAATTGATATATGACTTACAAGAGATTATTTTCTAAAATTTGCTTTAAATAGAAAAAATACTTAAATAAGCGATAGTTACTGCTTTTTCGTTTTAAATAAAAACATGTATATTATTTTTTATGCTGAATTGAATTATATTAAGTGTACTTGTTAACAAATTACAGAGTTTGAAGTTGTCTAACTCATATGAATTACTAAAGTTTAGTGAAACACTATAGAAAAGTGGTAAAGATCAATAACGAAGCACTTTTAACAGTATTTCCATTTGGTGGAGTAGATCCCTAATTGTTGATAAAGAAAAATGTTAAAATATTGCATAGAACTATTTGAACTTGAGTAGGCTTAAAGAGTTCCTTCGTGTTGAAAGGAATATGGATCGAATATACGACTTTCTTTTAACGTTGAGTTTAAAGAATAGTTGCTTTTATTTTGTCTATTATGGCAATAAAATCACTAACAAATACTTAAGTTGATCAATAGAAAATCCATTAATCTTTAAGAAATATATCGTGTAATTGGGCAGCTTTATATGAAATCTGGTTGAGTTCAGATTCTAAAATCATCAAAGAAACTATTTTTAATAATAGTTTATCAAATATTTAATAAATTGATTGATTCATTTGTTCAATTTTCTGTTCTATAAAAAAAATCTATTGAAACGAACATGAGCAACCTTTTATAACTGCTATTGATTAGTTGAAAATCTAAGCAAGTACTCAGGGGGAAGGCATTAAAGTTCTTTTGTTTTGAAATTCGATTTCAATGAGAAATAACGATCATGGCCAATGACCCATAAGAAGTTGTAACAAACTTTGAATATAATTTATTAATAGTTATATCAAGTGCAATTGTTTTGTTAAACCAGTCTGTTCTATAATTTAAGAACAAAGAATTTATTATCTTAAATAATATGAAGAATATTTGAATATTATTAAACTTGCAATGAAGTTATAAAAATAATTAAGGCAGCATTTACGAGGGACTGTACTCAATTTAGTTAGATTTGAAATTGATGCAATTAGCAGACGAATTAAGTGCGAAACTTTTGTCAATATAACAAATGCGGTTTTAATACTTTGTCCACCAATCAACCAATACACTATTAGTCAGGTGTGTGTCACGTGACTAATGTCCCTCACAGCAACCAAACATAAAGCAAAGTTTGTTTATTTAGTTTTTTAGTTTTTTATGTCTTCTAGGATGATGAATTCACCGAATTTACTTAAGGATTATAATTTTAACAGTATTATTGTTTCATAGATATTATGAACAATTTTCTTTTTATATAAATTATCTTAATAGAACGTATTCAACTGTTCTAAAGTATAGTAAGTGGGTTAATATCCTCTTAATATATATTATAAAACTAAGAGAGATCGTTAGACTACTTTTGAAACTTCAAATAATTTTTCCATAATTTTATAGTTATCTTTATCTTTGATGATCATCTAATAAAATAGGCCTATTAATTTTATTTTCAGAATGTAAATGAAAAAATAACGAAACAGCATATTAAACTAGTAAACAGTGCCAAAACCGTGCCAAGCATTAGATTTGTATTATTTTTTACTGGCTATTTTAAAAGAGATGGAACCATCTGACTTACCACCGATCAAATCTGGTCGAGATATACCGTTTGGTGATACTAAAGGCTCTACAACACCTCCTGTCTCACCTCTACCACCCATAGGCCAATCTACAAATGATACCGCTAGTGAATTTTCTAACAAGTCAAGCGATGGAACTCAACCAGATTCAAAATCGTGTAAGTAAAAGCTAGAGACCCAACCTGAATATTATATCAAGTTTTCGCCATAAAACATTCAATTGTTTGAAAACTAGGTGATAAAACTTTCATCAATTTGTTCTTTCCTTATTGCAGCTCTACCAAAAGTTTTGTCATTTAAAAGAGAAATAACTGATAAATCTCCAACTGAGTCTGTCAATGATAGAATCATGAGCGCAGGCAGTCGAGCATCCAAAGCAGTGTCGTTCGCTGAAGCTGATAGTGTCAGGTTAATAATGTAGAAATTCGCTGTAAATAATTAATTAATATTAAAATTTTCTTTTTAAAAGACAAATAGACGAGGAACCAATACAGGAGAGATTTACAGTGGTAGGATTAGACGGCAATGAACGATTTTTACGTTCGATTGAAATTCAAACAGAGTGGACGATTAAAGAAGATAATCTCCCAGTTGAAAGTAATAATGTGGAAGTAGACGAAAAAGGTATGAATATTAATTACTTTCATTAACCTTAGAATAAATAACTATTATAAATTAATTTATGTAAATTAATTTAATTAATATTCAACTAAAATACTACATTGTTAAAAGTTACAAAATATTTATTGTGCACTTTCAGCACATCCTAATTTAGAGTGTTTTGCCGATAATTTTAGTGATTTGGAAGGTAACATAAAAAATTAGAGATATACATTCATGGACAAACATTACAAACTACTATCTTTTAGATTAACTCATACTTTTTATACTTTTTATACTGTTTACTGAAACCTTTAAAAGCGTATGATTGATACGAAATCTAAATATTCATACTGTGTATTTTTTATTCTCCTGCTTATAATTCGCTCTGTAGTGCCATACTGTCCATGCTATTCATTTTTATGAGGACATATCCGTTTCGTGTTTTTTTCCCTATTTTTCCATTCTATTATCATCTTCTCCAATCATCACTTTTAGTATATTATAAATTAATTTGAAAATTTTGCTATCTCTTTATTAAGAGGGACAAGATTCTATTGATAGGCCTGATAGTGGAAAATCTCGAACGTCATCTTCAGGCGAGTCACCTTGGCCACATCCAAGAGAAGATGAATTTGGTATTCCTATGTTGACAGTTGATGAATCCGATGTTTGTAGCATTATCTTGTAAAATAAATACCTGTTTAATTTCACTGTTTGTTGCAGTCAAGCGACGATTCATTCGATGAAGACTTGGGAGGAGAACGCAAAGGTACACCTATGCATGGAGTGTCCACTTTACCATCAGTGGGACCTCCTCAAGCTTTGCAATATAAAAGAGAATCTTCAGCCGAAGCAAAAAGGCGTCAATTAGAAAAACAAACCGTTGATTTTGAAGCATACAATAAGGATTTTGGAGGAGGAATGCCTAATGGTGGAATGTTTTCTGGTCAATGCGAGTTCTGTTCACATCAGATAAGACCTCCACCCACTTTAGAAGAACAGAGGAAATTGAATCCAGAGTCTCTCTATTGCTGTTCGGACTATAGAGATTTTGTTCATTTGGCAGCCACTCATCCTTTAATTGAAAAGAAAAAAGGAGAGGGTAGTAAAATAAGCGTTAAGCCACATCCGCCTTACGGCAGTAAGAAAGCTAGAGATGCTGCTAAAGAAAGAGCGGCTCAGAGGTAAATTTTACAACAATCTTATCTATTGTTGTATCTGAAATAATAATAACTCAAAATAATCTAAAAGAATGAGAGAACGCGAATTAGCAAGGCAACAAGCAGCTTTAGCAGCCGCAAGGGGAGAAACAACGAGTGGTCCAACAAGCTACTATCAATGTAAGAATACAAATATTATATTTTAATCAGTTAAAGTAAGATAAAACTCTAAAATTCCAACTAATTCTTGTCCTAAAAATTACTATTTTTTATTTTAAAAAATCTATAATTATCTTGAAAAATTCAGCTAAAACTCCTTCCTCGAATAAGGATAAAGAAGATAATTCTTCGGCGCTATCATACAATAGAATCGAATCACCGACTCCTTCTTTAACATCAATATTATGTAATTGAACAACAATCCAAAAAAATAGAACGGATAAACAAGATCCTTCTCTATTTTTTCCCTTTTTAAATTTATCACCTATTCTTTTGCATAGATAATTTCGCTTTATTTTTTTATAAATTTTCTTTTAATGTCAATTTTTGCCCTTTTACACGCCCTTTTTTATTATTATTACTTATTTACCTTTATCATCCCTTTAACTATCCTTTTTTTTTGTTTTTTGCTACAAACAAATTAGTCTTAATTAATTTCCAGTATATTCCATTAAAAGCTCTATTCATACGATACTAATGGATCAAGGTCAAATTTTTTCACCTATTGTCACTTGATTTTATGGAATTTATTGGAAAAAGCAGAAAAGTAATTGCACTTGAATGTTAAAAAATCATACAGAAAGAAGGAAATATTTTTTTAAAAAAAAAAAAATAATGATGAATGCTGCACGCCGTAGATTTTAATAATTATAAACAATAATTATTATCCCTAGAATAAATTGCCTTAAAACTTTTTATCATATATATTTCATTTTAATTTGTTTGTAAACTATTTTTAGACGGACGCCAACAATGTACGATAAACTATCAACTATCGTCCGAAAAGTGCTTTGAAAGAGGGTGGACTCTAAAGCCACCAAGTCCAATTCTAGCAAACGATGATGAGGATGACGTTTGGCAACCTGAATTAGAATGGTATGAGAAAAATAATAGACCTTTAGGAACGCTAAAGAAATTTTACAAAAATGGACAAACTTTCCTACTCCTTCTGCCTGATGGTTCCGGTAATGTTTTGTAAGTAGATAACTACAAGCTAGAAATTTAATGGGCTATAATAATTAATACGAATGATAACAGTTATCCAAATGGTGCCACGGCAATATCAAGAATAAAATTGGAGGATGGACTATTTTCGTATCTCATTCATTCTGATGACTTAGAATATGCAAATTTATTAGGGTATTTTGAACCTAACGGTTGTGGAGCAACAAATTACTTGAATGGAAAAGTTCGTCTATGTTTAAACGCTATGGGAGGTATGGAGTTAGATATTCAAGGTGGAAGGAAACGTCGATGGTTTTGGAAAGTTCAACCTGATCACGTACATGCTCCACCAATTCAGCCAATAACATTTGCTATAACAAATTCCTTAAGTATCCGTGTCTGGCAGCAGGACAATATAAGTTTAACATTCCGCAACAGTGAATGTAGCTGTCGATTTCAAGTTGGTTCTAAACTGGTTGTAAGTAGAATATAATGAAATTGATTTAATGATGTAAAATTATTGGCATATGTACGTTGTATTTTCTAGTGCCGACTACCGGAAAAGGTTGATTTTAACGATATAGAACCACTTACTCAGCAAAAACGAGATACTACAAAGAAAGTCAAGTTAGTTTATTATAAAAATTTCTATTAAATAGAAATTATAATAGATTTATATTGTTTTTCTAGTGATCTACTGTCGAAGGTTGCTACACTGTTAAAATTTCCTAAATCACCAAGACTTGGAAGGCCATCGCCTTCGTCGACGAAGAGGTCTCAGAGCAGACAAAGCAAATCTAAAGGAGAACTACCAACCACAATTGTAACTTAGCAAATTATTCATATAAATTTTTATGGTTATATTTTCATTAAGAAAAAACAAACCAAAATAGAAAAAAAAGAAATGAACGAATGAATTTTGAAGCCGGAAGTCTCCTGCCAATATTCGTGGTGCAAAAACTCAGATTATAATACTTTATATATTGAGAAGTCGATAAAGAAATATCTGATGATGAAAGTATATTTATAAATTTTTAAACTGAAACAGCATAGTATTAAAATAAATTTTCTTCAGTGCCATATTTCATATTTACAACTTTTCTCTTTCTATTTCAATAAAAAAATTATATGCAAATTTTTTTAATTAATATTCAGCAAAATAATTCAATTAGTGTTTATCGATTCAATTTTACAAGAACAGGTTTGCCAATGAAGTTTTTAAAAGGCTTATTTGTACATTGACGATGATCTATTTTACGAGGATTAGAGCATTCATCTTTCAAGAGTTGAATTGATCCTATCTATTTACAATATACAGTGTATATGTTTCATTGGTACTTTACAGAGTTTTGTCCAACTTACCTTATCTCTATATAATCTCTGCGCTTGGGTAAGTCCTGAACACCTTGGAAGGGATTTAAATGACATATTCGATCGATAATTGTAATCTTTATATATATTTCCATTCGCAACTGATGCCATACCAACTTTTCTTCCCAAGTCGAAACATCGGCAGATATCGTTAATCTCTGCAAGATTTTTGAGATCACCTGCCTTTATTAAATTTTCAAAATATTCTTCATTGTTGCACGGACATTTGTTATTTACATTTTCTGTTGATAAAAAAGATACAATGTTATATACTATATCTGTATATCTATAGAGTATATAATGTCCAGAGATCATTACTTCAAACCTTTCGAAAGAGAAGTTTTTCCTTCAAGATCTTCAAAATTTTCGTTTTTTGAATCAGCACTTTCCACAATGAAACTAGGATGTTCATAGGATATATCACGTTTAATTATGTCCTCTTTTTCAACCATATACTCTTCTGTTTTCTTATTCGAACTATCATTTATAAAATCCAGAGGCTTATTCTCAGAGATCTTGTTATCAATATATAAATTTTTATCGAAACTAGAAGTTTCTGGCAATCTGAAAATGAATATTTCTATAATGAAAATCCTATAAATTAACCACAGAAGAAAACAACGACTAATTAAAGTTAAGTATATATATAAGTGACGCCTTACATACAACAGAATGATCTTAAAAATTGATTATACATTTTCAAAATTAAAAATAAAATAAATGTTTTTTATTTAAAAAAGAAATTTTAGAAAAATAACGTGAAATAATTTTACAAAAATTATACAAAATATGTCTACATCTATAAGCATAAAATACAATTAAAAGATAGTTGGTAATCTTTCCATTAATTATCGTTTAAAAGTCTGTAGATTTTATCTTTCCTGGTGAACCTTTCAGTTGCTTCAAAGACATTTGTCTATTAGGCTCAGAGCCATCTCTTCTTTGATTTCTTAAGCACACCTCATCTTCTCGTTCAGTTTCTGTCTCGTCAATTGCAAAATCGTAATTATCTTCTAAATCGGCCATAATTTGTAAAAGATCCAGTCCTTTATTTTTCTCCGCTGTTATCATTACCGTTCCCGATTCCACACCTTTTCCAACGAATACTGGAGACGGAATCTGAATTGAACCACTTGCTACATAAGGTTCTCCTCGATTTGGAATTAAAAGAACTTGAACACTTCCAGATAAAATTAAAAATAAATAAGGCTGATTATGGGCTATCATCAAAGGTTGTTCGCCAGGCCAGTTCAAATCTTCTTCACGAGTACGTTTTCCTGAAGGGTCAACGAATATTCCAAAATCAGAGAAACATACCAATAACTCATTAGGGCTTATTTGGAACACACTGAGAGGAAAGGATAAAAATTTTGATGCTCCAAAAATTGCAAATGCCAACGTTGAATCCTTTTCATTTAAGAATTCTCGAAATTTAAAGCTTTGCAAATCCAGAGTGTAGAATTTGTCAGAACCAACAATTAGGCGATCGTCTGAAAACATCATACATCCAGCTGGTTTTGGAATTAAAAGAGTTCTTATCAAAGTAAATGAGTCAAGCTTGGGTGACCAGCCATATAACATCAAATTTTCAGCAGTTGCAACAGCTAAGTACACGTTTCTACGATACATTCCCACTTCAATGGTCGTACAATTTACGGCATCATCTAAATATGCAAGAGGCAGGTTTGTGGAAGACTTTTTGTTGGATGTGATATTTAAAACGTCATTGTACGTTGTAATGGCCACTCGCCGAGATGCACCAACCACTAAAACAATAGTGTTCAATTGACTTATGTATCTAACTGCTGATACTTGTCCAAAAGCAGTCAATGTACTATTCAACATGTCACTGTGAACGTGAAGTCCTTTATCGGTAGCCATTAAACAGTCAGAATTATTAATACAACAAGCTTCATGAATATAGTTCGGATGTTGCGAAACCAAGAGACTTGAGAAAATTGTTGTATCTGATTTCTCATTCAACATAATAGCATCAAGATATGCAACCCAATGATGTTTGTCAGTTACACTTCCAGGATTGATATACAATGTTTTGTTTCTCCTGATAGAAAATACGAGTGGTAGGTCCGTTAAGCACACATTTGGCAATTCGACAGGGTTAACTGCAGCTCTCATTAACGTTTTACCATCCCGAAGAGGAATATCTTCACAATATGGTTCAACAACAGTGTCCGAGTTGTATATAAACACTACGTTGTCCTTAAGAACCATCCATTTCTTTTCCCAAACATTTTTACGCTGACGATAAATTGTTATCCAACCAGATTTCACTTTTTTCAATTTAGCAACATTTCGAACTTTACGGTCTGTTACTTCTTTGAAGAGATCATCAAAAATCCGTCTGTATTCGGTCTTCATTCCACAATTCGGTGGCATTTTTGGCGAGCAAAGTGGATGACAGACGGACAAACATTCCTCACACTTTGTAGCTTCCCTCACAAACTCCACATTACCTAAACATAAAACACATTTGTCTGGTCTTGAATTGAGACCAGTTACAAAGCGATGGGGACGACCCATCGTATTAGCTCGTGGTGCTCCTGGTGTTTCGCTCGTTTGTTTTGATCTATTTTGGCATCTTGGTGTTTTTGGAGTTTTTGGCGTTGACATTTCGGGACCAGCAAAGCAATTTGTTGTTGTTACGGTCGTTACTTGTGGAACTGATCGACTTAAATTTCGAATTTTTTGTTCCAACTCTACTTTATCTCTGGAAAGCCGAGCATTTTCGTCAAGGGCAACGCGCAATGTCTTTTGCAGTTGTTCTTCCCGTGAAAAGAGTTCTGTTTTTTTCTTTTTCTTTTTTGGTGCATCCAATTGTTGTTGTAGAAGATCAATTACATTCATTTGCTGTCGCTTTGTTACTTCCATTTTATGTTTTTCGAATTTTTCATTTTCAACGGCTGTTCTAAATGTTTGTCTAGCTTTTTCTAATTCGTATTCATAAGACGATATTTCGTCGCGTAACTCATCTCGCTCAACTTCAAGATTTCGTAGTTCTTCGGTTAGTTGTACTTGAATTTCACGAGCTTCGGCTAGCTTTGTTCTGTGTTTTGTTGATTCCTCTTTAATAGTTATTACTTCTCTTTCAAGAGCTTCATTTAATCGTAATAGATTACCACGTTCTTTTTCTATTTCATGAAGATTTTTTTCAGTAGTGAAAAGTTGTTCTGTTAATTTTTCGTTTCCTTCTGTTAAAGAAAGTTTGGACGAAAGTATGGTCTCAAATTGTTGTCGTGTTTGCTGAAGTTCTTCTTCTGTGACCACTCGGCCCTCGTCTAATTGCTTTCTGTAAATGCAAATTGATTATGATGCATGTACGTTGATTGTTCATAATGTAATTTTTTGTGTCCCGTATACTTACACTTTTCTTTTGTGAGATTCGAGTTCGGTTTCTAGTTGCTTATTTCGTTTAAGAATTTCCTCCCCTTTAGACAATTTTTTATCAAGCATCTGTTTTAAACGGTCACGTTCTTCTTCAAGTTTTGTAATAGCTTTTTTTCCATCTTGTTCAAGCGCTTTGTTGATTCTTTCAAGGTCTGTAATTTGTTTTTCTTGTTCTTTTAAGGCCCATTTCAAGTTTTCTAATTCTCCTGTGTGTTTGTGCTGGTCTTCCATGATCTTTTGTCTTTTTCGGCGTTCAAAGTCTATTTCTGAAGTGTTTTGTTTTTTTTCTTCTTCCAGTTGATGATTTTTACGTTTAAATTCATTAAGTTGCTGCTCAACTTCGTTTAAACGATTTGATTTAAGTGCTAATTCGACTTTAATTTCACTAAATGCCTTTTTAGAGTGTAAAGATCATCGATTTAATGATAATTTTTTCATTAAAAGTAGGCTTCTTTTTACTTACTGTTTCTTTATTTTTTAATGTGTTTAATTCACTCTGTAGAGCTTGTTTATCTTCCTATAAAATATTAGACAAATTATGTTATGAGGTTTTTAAAGGAAAAGCCAGTACCTTTAAACTCTGAATTTGTGCTCTCGTGTCTAATTTTTTTTCATCAGCATCCTTTCTTATAGTACTGAATCGCTTTTTCAAATCTTCGAGTTGCGATTGAGACGAAGACGTCTGAGATTTAAACTTGTCAACCTCTTGTTTTAATATTTCGTTCTATTAATTGAAAACAATATATATTTATAACTTATAGAAATAAGTGTATGTAAAACTTACATCTCTTTCAAGGAGAAGGATTTTCTTCTCCGTTTCCTTTTGATAATCTTCAAGCTGCTTTTTCTTATCATGAAATTTTCCGATATATTCTTCTTTTCGAGATCTTTCTCTTTCCATTAATTTTCTTTCTTCAGTTATTCGATAGCGAAAGGCGGCGCGATCTTCTTCAATTCTCTTCTTCTGTTGATTAATAATATTATTAGTAGCATTATATTAATGTGAAATAGTAGATCAGAGTGATACTACATAATAAGAGTGTACAACATTCAATGAATGCTTGAAAGATTATAGTATAAATTTAATTAAAGAATACTAACATCTAAGGCCATTGACTGTTCTTGTGATTGTTTTTTTAAGTTATTTTCTAGGTCTGTTATTTTCATTTCAAGTTCACCTATTTTTTGACTATCTCTCTTTTTATGAGTCTCAACAAGTCGAAAAGACTCCTCTTCGGAAGCTTTCATTTTCTCCGTCAATTCTTTATTAGAACGACATAGATTAGCTATGACATCGTCCTTTTCTTTGACATTTTTTTCTAGTTTGATAATTTGCTTTTCCTTCTCTTCTTCAAAGTTTCTCTGTCTTTGTATTCTTCTTTCTATCTCATTCTTTTCATCGACACATTGAGCAAGTTTTCGTTCAAGATCAAGAACACGTCGACTTTCACGTCTTTCTTTACTTTCAGCATCTTTAGTTTTAGATTGATAACTGCCTAACTGTTCTTGAAAAGATGCATTTTCTTTCTCAAGAAATTGATTCCTATGGCGAATTTCCTTAATTTCATCTGATTCATTTGCAGCCTTTTTTTTGAGATGATCCACTTCCGATTGCATGGATCTGCGTTCGAATTCGGCTTTAGTGAGTTCAGTCTTTAGTTTATCAATAACTTCTTCCAGATCGGCATTTTTGTTTTGAAAAAAGTTGTTACGCTCCCGAAGTCTACGAATTTCTTCATGATTTTCATTACTGATTAAATATTATTAAGTTAGTATAAAATAGTAAATTTAGAGTTTAATAGATATATTGCTCACGCTTGTTCTAAACCCTTTTCTTTCACGTATTCGTCATTTGCGGAGCTAAGTTCGCGAAGAAGTTGTTTGATTTTATCACCAGCTTTATCGACGTCATCTATGACGTCCATTATATCTTAAGATGACTCTTTTTCAAACATAAGAAAAATTTCTGTACTTGAATGTTGACCGTTTCTGTATTGAAACCTCATTGGCTGACGAAACCGCCATATTTGTTTTTTACCTGACGCCCTCTAGTTTCGTAAAATTGTTCGTTGTTAGTTGGTTAGCACTAAAAGGCTTAGTTAGTTTGAAGAGAATGTTTTTTGTATGAAATGGTTAGTTATATTTTTTTTCAATATTTTATAGAAATAAATATTATAGTATAAAATTGCTGAAACGTATAATCTCTGTTTCGAATTTTTTTATTGTATATTACATATTCCAAATGTAAAAAAAAATTATAGAATTTCTTTTTCAACCGTAAGGACTGCTTATTAAATATTCTTTTGTAAATTTGTCATTTAATCATTCCATATCCATGTTCCTAAATGTCAGGCGTGTATTTTGTATTATTATCTGCACATTTATTAATTCATTTGTCAAATGGTACGAATTTTTTTCGAACGATCTTTCTTTGATGGCGGGTAAAATAAAATAAAATTTTCAGGTAGCCAATGAGCATCGAAGTATGTTGGAGTTTTATAAACGATCCATTTATCGCCCCTTTGTTTACATTTCGTCTTTTCAATTTCAATTTCCTGGAATCAACTAGACCTTTTTCATTATCTGTTATGTCTATTTTCGCAGTTTCGTAATACTATGAATCAGCTTATAAGGAACCGATCATCGAAGAAGATAAGAAAAAGAGAAGAATTCTTATCATCGGATGAACATGTCAAAATAGTAACATTTTGTAAATACAGGAAAAAAAGCTTTCATAAATACGGCTTCCCTGATAAGCCTGAACTACAATGTTGTGGTTATGGAGAAATTGAAAAAGCTAATGGAATATTTGTTATGCCTAATGGTCATACGGGCTTTCATCTGAAACCAACAATGATAAGAGATACAGTCTTGCATATTAGATCTGAAAAGAGATTATTGAAGTATTTTGTCAATTTTGTGAATTCTAATATTATGTAAAGATAAATTCTCTTAAATTACATGAAGATATTGTATTAATTGAATTTATTTTATTTCGACTATTATTGAATTCACGTTGATTTACAAAATACTCCTGCTAAAGCGTTAAAGAAAAAAAATCAGTGGTTAATAACATAATATATAAAGTAAATATACCCAGATCCCTGACGATATCATCAAATCGATACCCTAATACTTGTCAACCAATTGTGCTTGCCCTGAAAGTGGATGTTTGTGTAATCGAAATTATGTCAATCGTGTCAAAGAGAAGAGAATTCTATATTATCCGATTGAAAGAAGATTTTAGCAGTTGTTTGTGTAAAGTTCAATTAACAGTCGATCAATCAATGGATTCTCCTGGTCAATCTAGTCATTATTTTGCATTAATTTCTCCTAATTGTAAAACAGTAATAATATCTCCCATCAAATATTCATACAATACGTTAATGAAGACAGAAGCTGAGTTGGAGCCTTTGACAAAATTTGACGAAGGCATTGTTTATATCTTCAAAGAAATAGATAAACCTAAAGACTCAAATGAGGAATATTTTGTGATATATGCATATGATAATCGCTTCTCAAATGATGTAGTGTATAGATGTCGAAATAACGTGGTCCAATGTTTCGATTATGAAAGTAATTTGGTGTTAAATGAAGTTACGGTAAAGGATGATGCATTAGAAAAAGGAGGCAGAGTTCGTCAAATTGTATCATCAACTACTGGATACTATGTAGCTGTTAAACTGCTTGATGAAACTCAAGGGGCTATTATTAATAAAGTGATAATCTTCTGTGCCTACGATTTAAACCCTATCTACACCACCAATTGTTCAGGACCTCATTATTATGTTTCAGACTATCTAAATCTCAATGTCTTCCCAGCATTTTCGGAATGTGATTCATTTTTTTCAGTGTTGGTACACTGCGTTGCGGACCGACATGTCTATATTCATAAATTACCAAATATTTTGATGAGTTTAAAATCTATATGCAGGCGAATAATAATGCAGAGAATCCGAATGAGCAATGTTTACGATCTTGATGTGCCTCCTGCGATAATTAACTTTCTAAAAAATGAATACTGATACAAAAAAGAGTGAGAATTTTTCTCGCCTAATGGTACAATTAATGGAATAGACTACTTTTTGGATATGTTAAGCTCATTTACTATATATATAATTCGATGGATAAGTTAAAAGTAAAGAAATATTCACCCTATTATTTTCACCTTTGACGTATCTTATTAAAACAAATCAGACTCTTTGTTGCGAATCTTTTCCTTTTGTTTGTCTATCAAATACATTTTACGCATTATATATGGAATGAAAATAGACTCTTTATCTATTTCTTTAGTTTTGTATTGCTTTTAGGTTCATAGTAAATAATTAAAAATAAGTAGTAACTGTATAAACTTACGTTATCATTTTCTTTCTTCGACGAAATGCTTTATGAATTGGTTTCCTTTCCTCGTATTTCTATCGGTGCGTACTTTATTTTTAGAATTAAACGGTTCATATAACATATTACATTAAAAGACAATTGATAGACATATAATTAATAGATGGCTGTTTTAAAATATTGACCATTAAGTCTGGTTATTGGATTTGTACGAAATGCTATCGATTAATTAAATAATTTTTATTAATTAAATAATTTTTATTAAATAAAACTTAGTGTCTCAGGTTAAATGTCTTATAAGATTGCATTTTACTTTATTATGAGTGACGTACTTTGTTGCATTATAATTCTGGAAGAGGATACAAACGTACCCAGTAAGTCAATTACTTCAACTTACGTTATAAACAAAAAGAAGAAATTGTACATAGTAAGCTTGAAGGAGAACAAGTGTAATTACTTATAAAATTAATTACACATTCTCTGATTTCCTTTTCGCTTTCTCCAGAGTCTTTCTTACCTGGTTTAACTTGTTAAAAGCTTTTTTCCCTTGTTATTAATTCTAATAGAAGAGAAAAGCTGGCAAAGGCAATATCTAAATGATTTAATAAGAACAACTATAACAATTTCTTCGTATTAGAAAATGTATATTACGTTAAAGTAGTTGCAAATAATCGTTATTGATTTGAATAACTAGTACAATATGTGAAAACTATCAATAAGAATATTCATTGTATTAATGACGAAGGTGTCATAAAAGCCGCTTTTCATTAATCCCTATCTATAAAAAATACAGTTATCCTATTTACTCTCATAAAGAATAAGGATATCGCATTCTAGAAAGTCATTATTTTTGTTTTTTAACGAGATTAGGGCTTATTTCTCATTGATTAGCAAAGCATGAGTTGCATGGCAATCTTTATCGCTTGAGATGACACCCTTCTCGTCTTCTTAGTTAGGTGTGTGTTGAAATTACAGAGATATAGCGAATATTAATGATAATGAGGAAAAACAAAAAAAGTTGTTAGGATTGATTATAGAACAAGGATGATTCTCGTAACACTTCATAAACCAGTTTATTCTGAATATTATTATATCTATATTTATTGTTTTTTATGGAAACAGTTTTAATTCAAAGAAAAAACAACTTATTTTTTCATGCAGATTTTTTAACACTCTTTGTGTCAGGATTTTCTGTTGTAGTTTTCTGAATATCGGGCTTTTCGGGATTCATCCAGAATGTCCACCTTGTTCCCTTTACTTCCATATCCAATTTTTCTAATTCCCAACTATTGAACACATTCATCAAATATGTTTTTTAATGAGAAATGAGAACTTACTCTTGATTTAATTTCTCCCTATGAGCAAATAGAAACATTTTCCCATCTCCCTTTGAACCGTTTACAGGAATTTCTAACTGTGGTAACAATAATATTGAGGTCAATTTCATGAAGGTTAAACAGAATGTTAGATCTGACACAGCTGTATCATACATAAAACAGTTACCTGAGCCCGATGTTCAAATACGAAGTTCTTTTTTGTATCTCCTAAGTCTATATTCTTGTATCGGAAAGGTTTACCTATAAGGTCATTTGCTGCTGGATAATTTTCAAAGAGAAATATAGCCTTCTGAGTATATACTGCATTCCGAAAATTATCTAAAAATAGTAATTAATAGTGTTATTAGATTAAAACATAATAAACGTTATCTTACAACCGTCATATATCATAGATAACAAATATATGTATGAAATATCAACTCTTCATTAATACTTGAATCAATCAATAGTTACTATTGTTTTATTTTGGATTAGATAGAAAACAATGTGTTTACTTTTAAACCACTTTTGGCTTCTACTTTCATCAACATAAATTAGCTAGTTCTTTCTTTAATATATGGATACTTTACTAAAAAGTAACAAGTAAATCATAATATAGTAATTGTCATATGTAGAGGGTGTAAATTTAAAAAGAAAACATACTTTGAATTTTATATGTGAAATAACCAGCACCTCCCAAAGCCATTACTCCTCCTACTAGGGCTACTCTTTTAAGCGTTTTTAATGACATATTGATTTTATAAAAAGAGAAATTTAGCTTGAAAAGTGTGCGCCCTCAAACTGCACTTTCCGGTAGATAGACATATTTCTAGTTACGTAAAATTCTGAAAATCGATCTTTATCATTGGCTAAATGTTTTCAAATATTGGAAGATTACTTACAAAGATACGAAAGTGTGTATATATAAACAAAAATGGCGGCGGCGCCTGGTTTAGAAGAACCAAATACAATGGAATCAGATGATCTACCTGCTCAAGAAACTTCTGGAAATAAGCCCTATGACAAACCAATTTGTTTAATAGTTTTAGGTATGGCTGGGTCAGGGAAGACTGCCTTTGTTCAAGTAAGCAACTTGACTTTCATTTGTGAATGAGTGATAATATAAGTTTTACTCAATTGTTGCGAAATGTTTAGTCTGACTTGCTAATCTGTATCTCTCTTCCCTAGAGACTTACATCTTTTCTCCATTCAAAAAAAACACCACCTTATGTCATAAATTTGGATCCCGCTGTCAAAGAAGTTCCATTTCCAGCAAATATTGGTTAGTTTACTCTAAAATTGAAATAGAGCAATTCTGTCATCAACTTTTATTTAGATATAAGAGATACAGTTAAATATAAAGAAGTTATGAAACAATATGGTCTTGGACCCAACGGAGGGATTGTTACGTCATTGAACCTATTTTCAATGGCATTTGATCAAGTAAAACACTTTGTTGGATATAGTCAATTAGATGTATTTTTAAAGATAAATGATTATATTTAGGTCTTATCAATTATTGAAAAAAGATGTAACCCTAAAGACAAAAGTGCTCCAAAATATGTTGTGATAGATACTCCTGGTCAAATCGAAGTTTTTACCTGGTCTGCCTCGGGAACAATTATCAGCGAAAGCATTGTGGGTTGAAAATTTTTTAAAAAATCATTAATTTAAAGTCTTGTATTCCACATTTAGGCAGCTTCTATGGCCACAGCAATTGTATATATTGTAGATACAGCTCGAAACGTAAATCCTGTGACATTTATGTCAAATATGCTGTACGCCTGTAGTATTCTTTATAAAATGAAATTACCTTTTATAATCGTTTTCAATAAGGTAGTAAAAACTCTTCAATTTGTGGAATATATATATATATAATTAAAATATTTACTTTAAAAAGGCTGATATAATCAACCCTAGTTTCGCTTTTGAGTGGATGAAGGACTTTGAGACTTTTCAGGAAGCCTTAAATGATGACACTTCTTACGTTTCAAATCTTACTCGGTCAATGAGCCTTGTTTTAGATGAATTTTACAGTCATCTATCCGTAAGTTTGAAATCTAAGTTAATCGATTTTCTCATAAATTAAATGAAAATTTACAGCCCGTAGCAGTTTCTTCTCTAACCGGAACAGGATTAAACGACTTCTTAGCTGCCGCCAATAAATGTGGATTCGAATATGAGAGGTAAAGCTATATTTTACATATATACAGTATACATATTATATGTCTGTTTAATTGATGATCTTGCAGAGAATTTTTACCAATGTATGAAAAAATGAAGGAAAAGAGAGAATCTGCTAGGAAAAAAGAGAATATGGATAGAGTAAAGAATGATATTTCAGATGACATAGAAGGTACTGCTCTTGTATTATATTATCCAATCTTGAAGTATAATTTACCTTTTACAACAGCTACTATGGCCAACGTCCGAACAGTTACCTTAGCTCCAAATAATGATGACGAAGATGACAGTGAGGCAGAAATCGAAAATGCCGGTTTGTACTGTTAATCTTCTTGCTTTTTCATAGAAATCACTAAAAAAACTTACAATAATTTTAGATGCTGATGAAAGAAAAGAAGGGAAATCATTTGAAAGATTTGTAAAGGCAAAACCTTCGGTTAACTGAGAACAGACGATATGTTAAAACGTCTCTTCGTATACTATATATTAAAGTGTATATGTATATATATATATATATATATAAATAATAAAAAGCCACTGATAGAACATATCTCAAATATAAATAATTTACATTAGAAGTTTACAATAACTATTAGAGCTAAGTTGACCTTTTTGCCACTATTTATTATCTGATTTTTTCAAAAACATGTATTTCTTATTTTTGTATAACTAGTAAAGTATAAAAGTTTATTGTTAAGGATCCAAAAATTTGGATTTATAGTACCTTAGCTAGAACTAAGTCAATATCAGTTGGTTTAACCATTCTTGTGTAATTGTGATTTGACCTAAACTCTCCCCTATGAATGCCATCAAATACTTCTGTTACGTTGTAGCCGTTTGGATTTTTTAAGCCAAGGTCAGACAGCTTCGTTGACACTTTTATAGGGTATCCAAAAGTATTGGTGTATATTGTAGCTATGGCGAAAGTTCCCCTTGGTGCCAAAGGTCTTACCCAAACTTGAATAGCTCCATTTTCCATCTGGAAATGATTTATTTTTATAGAATTTTTAATTTTTAGCTACATTTCTTACATTTAAAATTCTTCTTCCAGGAATTCCTAAACTATCTTGACTAATACTTAAAACACCTCGATGTTGTAAAAGTCTTCTAGATTTATCGTTGATTGTTCTTATATCGACAGACATTAGTAAAGGAGATGCAAAAATTGCCCACATTCCAATTTGAGTTCTTTCTTCGCTATGGCTGAGACCGTAATTACCTAATGTAATCATATCTCCATCGCTCCAGTGGCCAGGCCCAGACACATTTAAGAAGCCTCCTGGATTTTCTCCATACCAATTAACGACACTCATAATACTTTGACGAGCATCATATATATCACCATATACTCTAAAAGTGTTGCAAGCTTCTGCAACCGCAGTATAATTTGGCTTAAAGGAGAAATTATCAAAAAATGTAAACTTTAGTTAAATGAGAATTTAATTATACCTTTACTCCGTGAGCTCTTTCATATAAAGGCCATTCGCAAGAATATAAAATTTGTCGTCCCGTTTGATTTAAATATTTCGCCATTAAAGGAAAACCTTTCCAAAGAATGAATATAAATTTCATTAATGAAATATAGATTTTCATCACAAACCCATATCGTAATGTTGAACATCTGAGTTGCAGCCATCAAATTTTATCATATCAACTCCCCAGTCCGCATAAGTTTGAGCATCTAATTTCCAATGACCTTGGGTTCCGGGAAATCCAGCACAAGTGTGAGTGCCAATGTCCTCGTAGAGACCTAGTTTTAAGCCTTTAGAGTGGAGGTAGTCGGCTAAGTATTTTATTCCGTTTGGAAATCTTAAAGGATCAGGCTGTAAGCGTCCTTGCTTATCTCTTTCCCTGGCAGGCCAGCAGTCGTCTAGAGTAACATAAGTATAACCAGCATCTCTAAACCCTTTTTCGACCATTGCATCAGCAATTGTTTTAACTAATCGCTCTCTGCAGAATATTATAGACTAAACGCAATTAACCTAAACAGTTGCTTCCGCCTACAAACCCGATACAGTTATCTGGATCATTCATGCAATCTGTATTGCATTCAAATCTCTCCCAAGATAGCCATCCCATAGGCGGGGTTCTCGCTAAATTATTATTTAGGTTAAATACAAATCTTAAATTCGTTAGAAATAAAAAAACAAAAATATTTTGGACCACTTCCATTTTAACTTTAGTATACTTAAGGCCTGTCACGTGATTATTCTATTGAATAAGTTTTCATTGTAAACGCCCCGATCCCCAACAACAGATGGCAGCACCTTACACCCGAAAAATTTTTAGCTTTTGTTTGAATGGAGTATAAAAACTATTTACAAGCAGATTGTATTTCAGGGAAAGCTCTCCATCCAACTGGTGCAAAAAACTCGTTGAACTCGTTTGAATGCATTGAATTTCTAACAGATTCGAAGGAGTATAAAAAGTTTTTTTTAGGCTTATTGAATGTATTCGTAATGAGTGTTATTAATGTATATGTGAGACACTTTGTATAGATTGAATATGTTTAGTTTTGCAGTATATTGTATTACAAAAAAATTTATTCATCAAATTCAAAAAAAAATACATGAACATTTTATCCATGAAGAGTTATCGTGAGAATGTAAAGATGTAGCTAGATGGCGCTTTTCAAAGCCGCTAGAATGATCAGTGAAAAATTTTATGTAAAAGAAAAAAAAGAGGAAAATCGAAATTCTTACGTTTAGAATCATCACCAAACCTTTAAAAAGAGACTAAACTCATATATATAAAAAACAGCACGACGTTATTTTTGAAAAAAATCAATTACAACAGCTGTATAACTCAAAATTCGTATCGAACACCTGCATTTAGCTCGAAAATGGCTGCATCTGAATTAGACAAGAACGGAATATTATCAAATAATACGAAAAAGTCGATATCTTCTCACGATAACACAACCGTCGTATCTATGAACTTAAGTGGAAGATTTGCAAACACGGAGAAGAAAAAGTATGGTCAACTATTAATTGAGCATGTTATCCATCAAAAGAAAGTCTCAATTCTCTTTGGTCACCGAGCATCATTTAAACCTAGACCACCATCTTCATATACCGTGGTTGGAACGAATAAATCTTTCTTAATATTCAACAAAGAACGCTTTAGAATGATGACGGATGACAAGCATTATCGGAAGGTTTATAGATAATATACATTAAATAGGCCTAAGTTCAATAATGTTAGCTAATTCTTATGTTTGATTAATACGCTTAGTGTATATTATCTATGAAAGGTTTTATTCGATTTTCAAAAAATGGGAAGATTTCCTTATCATTATCTGCCAGAAAATAATTTTGTACTAGCTAAATTGAAGGATAGATCTGTTCCAGATAGAAAATTATTAGTTATGTCCTGGTTGACGGACGATTGTTTATGCAAAACTCGAGCAGTGTCTGTATTCAAATTGCTTACGGCTTTTGCGTTGAATGTGTCATCTGTTGAGGAGATGCCAGTAGTCATAGGAGGAACTTTTCAATTAAATATATTTGAAGCCATAGATCTTTTACCGAATGGAGTATCTTGTCACGGTTACGACCCCTTAACGTCTAGACGTATGGTTCGTTCCTCAGGTAATTCTTAGCATTTATCTTGCCTTGCATAGTTGTTTGCGGTTGATCTAGTATAAAGTGTTTCTTATCTCTTTAGATTAGCCTATTAATCTTAGTTTGTTAATTACTTACAACTTCTCAGATTACTTTCTTACAACTGCTGATGTTCATATGCCGGATGTGGAACCACTTTTATTTTCCAAGGTTGATCTCCGTCGGCAGAGAGGAGAGGCAAACATAAATGCTGAAGATGCATTCTATTGCGATCCCGTTATAGGGGATGTTACATTTGATACGCCTTCAAAAATTCGAGCAAAAACTATAGAAGACTTTGATAGACAAACAGAGAGTAGAAACAATAATTATTCGATTGAGAGAGAGGAGGAAGAAGAGGAGGAAGAGGAGGCGACTAATGGTGCAAACGGAGACGAAATTTTAGACGAATTGGATTATCGCGAGAGGAGAATAAGCGTTCATACTTTGGAAGAGCAGATAGTTCAGCAGCCAGGTATGTACGAGAACGTCTGCTCGGTCAGCTGACTAGACCGGGAATTCGAGCGGTATCGTCCGTTCGACGAAGATATTACCTATTATTGACATTGTTTTCCTCTTATATTTCATCTAGATGTCATGGATAAATAGATATACAGAGAGAGAGAGTTAAGAGACAGAGTGAAGAATAGCTTTAAAAAACATGCTATTAAATAATAGGAAAATATTACTTTAAATGCTTTTTATCCATGATTTTTCTAATTTTATGATTATAAACAAAAAGTTAACTTTGACGAAAAAGAGACATAATTATGATATCTATTTATCTATGCTTGGTAGCTATAGATTAAATACTTAACATATATACGATATATATAGTATATACATACATATACTTTATATAGCAGTATATACAGTATATATTATCTTATATTAATTTTAAAAGATAATATCAATAGATTTTAATTATATTTGATTGCTATTGCCATAAAAATTGACAAAAATTTTACCTGCTTGTTAGCTGGATATAATACACTTCCTGGATTGACGAAAAGCAAAAATAAAATGAAAGGAATGATTTAAGAACTATTTGACGTATTTTTAGTATAACATCTTTTTTTTTCTAATTGTTTCAATAGTATAATTTATTTTTGTTCTTAATAATTACATTCTAAACCTTTTTATTATTAATATTAGAATTATTACACCATTAGTTTTTAATTCTTTAGCATTTTTAAAGGTATCTTTTTTTTTTAATTACTATTCAATATCTATTCGCATATACTCTTATCCTAATCTGTTACATTTTTATTATTTATTGCACATTTCGCAATTTCTCAATTATTTCATTTCTATACAGTTTCTTATCTGTATTTCTTACACTTTTTTTTAATAATCAATTTCTATTTTATTCTGTCTTCTTTTTTTTTTTATTTTTATCTGAATGTTCTTCTCATATTTCCCTGTTTCTTAGTATCATAAAATACCCGAAATGTTCTTTGTTCAAATGTTTCTTATTTTTTATTTTTCGTTCATATTTGGACCGATTCTTTAAATATACTTTAATTTTAATGTATATATACATATATATATATATTTATATATATATATATATATATATATATGTATATATATATATGTAAAAGAAAATGATCTCTGATCCCTTCCTTTCTTTCTTCTACCTGTGCTTTTAAGACAAATACGGAACCCATCTATTTCTATCTTGACAATCTAGGATTAAATATAGATTTCTCAACTTTATATCTAAATTAGGCAATTATCTATATATGTATTGTATATATAGATATAATATTAGCAGTACGTACAATATAACACAATTAGCATATATAAATATAGGCAATAGATATTGTTTTTTAATTAACAACATAAGATTTTGACGGTACAAAATATTTTTGAGACACTTTTAATGTTAATAAAACTGGTTCTTCCTTTTCTGGTTGTGTGTTAAAAGGATCAACGTAAACAGTTGACATAGGTAAGTTAATACAGCGAAAGCTATCGCCACAGTTGGATTTCATTTGTTTAGCTGTTAAGAAAAAAAGAATGAATTATAAAGAAAATTTTCAATAAACAACTAATGATTAAAAGTATATTCACCATTATAGAGATTGGTTTCTCGTTCAGGTCGGCATTGACTTGTGTGAGTTATTCCTAAACGAACTAGACATTGCGATCTAAAAAGATATAGAAAAAGAGGATGAATATAAACAAATACAAATATATTCTATATTAATCTATTTAATTTTCTTTAATATCTTATCCAAGTTAGTATCTTCTATCTTAATATAACAATACGAGATGAGAGTTCTAATCTTTATGATAAGATTCCCCTAAAATAAATTTACACTTCCCTAATTCATTTAGTGAATCTTTAGTTAGCAGAATAAGGTATAACGTACTTTGGTAAATGCGGAAGTACCAATACAGTGTTCCTTTCTACTCCGTCGCTTTTGGCGAATGAACCATCGCCCCTGATTCTAGCTAGGTTAGCTTGCAGTCTCATATCAACGAAATAGTTAATAGCGTCTAAATATGTTACATTATCAACAGCTTTTTCACCAGGAGGCATGTCAAATGTTACAGTTAAGGATCTTGTTGATTCAGATTGAGTCTGTGAAAATGATTCAATGATTATTATTTTTTGTAAAGAATTAATACTAGTACTCATACTATGCTTGTATTTCTTAGATTTCTCTTTTTTAACTGATCTTGTCCTAGTTGAGCTTGAATTCCTTCTCCTTTTCTTAGCTTTTCGACGGCAGAAGCCAACTGATCTTTAAATTTTGTTAACCATTTTTCCAACCAATGTACAGCCATTCGACGAATTTCCGAAGGTCGATCTTTTTCTGAAATTCCCCAAATATCCCACTCATCCAATTCTTTCTTAAAGAAATTTTGCGGATCTTTAATTCCAAACAATTTCCAGATGTCGCTTATTAAATTTCTAACGCTAATATCTCCTTCCAAATAGTAATAAATAAGTTCTACATGAGTTTCTCTGTCTTTAGCACCGACTGAATGGAGCAATTTAAAACTCTCGATAACAAACATTTTCTCCATAGGATCTTTACAATTTGGAGGAAAAGAATGATGATTTAATACTGAAATAATGTTTTTGATGACTGTATTAAGAGGAGGATCTAAAGGAGGGAAAGAGGAAATCAGTTAGTTAGAAAATTTTGGCAGCTTTCAACAACAATACCTGGAATCCCGTGCTGGTCATATAGTAATTGTAAAGCCTGAATAATTTGAACTTTTAATTTATATTCAGCAATTCGTATTAATCTCGCAATCATAGTTACGAAATTAGCTACAGTCCATGGTTTCGGCATTGTCTAATTGGGTTAAAAAACAAAAACAAATGATAAAAACAAAATATTATAATTAAAAAGATATATCTATTTTAGGAAATAGAGGATAAATGTTTATCTTCTCTCTCTTCTTTTCAAGGATAAAAAAAAGGAAGCGCGATAGCGTGATAAAATTTTCAGCAAATATAATATAAAAAATAAAAAACAAATCTATCTCTCTCTCTTTTTCTCTCTTTCTACTGTATATATAAATATATATATATATATACAAGTAAAAATAAAACAAATAGGCAAAAAAGTAACAAAAACTAAGCATAAAACACTTTAATTATTGGTAATAAATTTGGTATTTTTCCAAACTTACGTCTCTCTCAGATTCTCCCTCCTGTATATATACACATATATTATAATATATATATATACATACAAATATCTTATATCAAAAGTATAGGTATATAATATCTATATGTATACATTATTTCTCATGAGCTAATTAGATAATCAATGTTTTGTTAGATTATTTTGCTTTTCATTATTGATAATTAAGTTTCTTTTTTTTTTTTTAAAGAAAAAATCATTTGTTTTACTTACGTTCTCATTACAATTTGGAAAATATTTTCCCATCCATTCTTCACCAAAAAATTGGGTTATAAAGTAAGGTAGTTTTTCAGGTTTAGGTTCCGCCGGTGTCTCTAAAGGTTGTTGATCTGATGCAGGTTTGAATGAGGTTCTTGACGATCTAATAGTCGTTCTTGATCCGATGGACGAAGCCGGTGGTATATCTTGTTCCTAAACGAGAAATGCATTCATTGTATCATTATTATCTTATGTTTCATAATCATTACGGAAATTGCATTGCCACCCAAATCTTTAGAGCTATATTTCGATGTCCTCTCACTAACAAAGCTACTTGTTGGAGGTGCAATAATAGAAGATTTCTGCCTATCGGAAATCAATTCTTTTTTCCTCTTTAATTGCGCTTCTAAAACGTCTCGGGCACTAGATTCTGGAACGGCTACTTTGGCAGGTGTAGGCGTTCTCTAGAATAAAACACTCCAATATTAAACTTTTTAAACAAAACTCCTATGAAGTATAAATATAGATGAATGAAATATTATTAATATTATTATTATAATTTCATTGAATAATCATAACAGCTAAGCGTTGTGCTAAAGATAAGCAGATTATAATATGTTCGTTTATACAAATTTTCGGGTAGTTTCCAATAAAAAACTTTCCAATAGTACTCTGAAAATTTGTGAATGAAATTTATCAACTATGTGTTCATTGAATACGAACAAAGTTCACCAATGTTATAGGTACATGCATATGCTCTATAAAAATATATACAACTACGATTTACCTATAGTTTCTTTCTTGTTACTTTTGTTAGTAACTAAAAAAAACATAAAAGGACAAAAGGTCTATGGTTAAAATAGGGTTAGTTCTAAATTCTATATCTGTTGTATATGAATAGGATATTAGGGATAATTTTTAAAATTACCCAACTTACTGGAGGAGTTTTTAATTCTGGAGTTTTAGATTTATCCTCTAAAGCATCTTTAATTTTCTCCATAAAAGAGGTTATAACACTTGGCTCTGTTTCCTCATCGACTTTGCTGGACTTGGCTGTTTCCGGTCTTGATTCAGCTTTCTCACCATCAAATTCCCCTAACGAAGATACTACTGTTTTCTTTTCATCTTCGTCGTCATAATCAAATATCAAAACTCTTTCCTCAGTGGCCTCTTTCTTTTTACGTTTAATTTTTCGTTTTGGTTGCTAAAAGCGTAAATAATTAATAAATATGAAATGCAAACAATTCATTGGAAAATTACATTGAATGTTAAACAAAAACAATAATAAATTCATAGGAAAAAGTCGGAATTAGTTTATAATTTAATATTGAAATACTTTTTTAAAAAATTCCAGACTTTTTAGATACAATTTGCTAAAAAAAATATGATAAAAAAGTGTTGAAATTTTGTTGTAAAGTATAGATTATACATATAAATGATTCATAAAAGTATAGATTAAGTGAATAAGAGTAAAACAAACTAAAACTTACTTAGATCAATATCGGCAGATGCCACCACCAAACACAGCAAAACCGCACCCAAAGTTTGCAAACGAGCATAAAAAACATTGCGTTAGATCACATAATTAATGAAAAATACAATCAATAGGTACTTTCCTCTTCATCGATATATGATCATGAATAGAATTTATATGACTTTTTTTTTTTTATATAAATATATACATCTGTTATATTGTGCAATTTAAAAAACGAACGTATAAATAAAGCAAAAAAAAAAATAAAAGCCCAGGCTTGTGCAAGTTTTTACTATTTTAAAAACTGTTGTAAAAACAGGGGTTTAGTAATTGCTTTTAGCCGTCTAAAGTAAACATGATTATGATGATGATTATAATGATGATAACAATGGTAATGATGCTAACGATTTAGTAATAATAGTAATAATGCTTTACTAATAGAAATATCATTTAATGTCATTTTTTGAGAAACAATATAAAATTAAAGGAATAAAAAGTTTCAACTTTAGCCCTATTTTGTTGTAAAAAGAAAAAAGAATGAATGGTGCTTAAAAAGTGAATGTATATACAGTATATATATATATATATATACTGTATTTGTATGGAAAAAAGATAGAATGAAAGAGAGGGAACAGAAGAAGAAAAGTTCTTGCTTCTTTTTCTCTCGTAAAAAAAAAGTGATAATTTTTTTTCATTTGATCTAAAACTCAGATTGAAAGTGATTTTTTGAATTACCGAATAATTGCTCCTCAAGTCGTCTCCCTAAATATAATAATACAACAAGAATTTAATAGTATCTTTACATTTCTACTCTGTTTAACTGCTAACGTTGACGTCAGACGGCTATTTTTTATGATTATAGCAACAAAACTTGTTTTTGTCTTACACTTATAAAGACCTAGTTTCCTTACCCTGAAGTTTACTTTCTGTGAGAATTATAAGAAGAGTTTAGAGAATGATAGTTTAATTATAATAGCTATGCATTTGGTGTTGATTAAATCATCTTTTTTTTATCTAACTATAGAGGATCTAAGATCTTTGAGGCGTAATAATTATTTCAAAGAAAGGTTGCTGCAATATACAAGAAGCTAGAAAATCATGAAATACCTTTAACTGACGTAGTTGAGCGTCTGACAAGGTCGGGGGTTTCCAAGGTTGTTCGTCTTGAATATAAGTTTTTTCTTCCGTTGGCCAAAGGAGTTTGGCAAGAACAGAATTTGGTATGAAACAATCATTACGTATGGAAGTATTGCTTGAAGTTTTTGTATCCGGAAAGAAACCAGTAGGGATCTTTTGGATGGGCATTTCTGGGGCTGATTTTTCCGTACTTTTTATAACATGAGGAGCCTTACCCAATACATACTCCTTTAAAGTATCTTCCGGATATGGATCAACGTCAGGTAGCTTTTTAAATGAAATTTTAGAAAGTTACCTTATGCTCTTAACTTAAAAAATAGTCACTATTCATACCTTAATTTCTGGTCTTTCATAGAACAAACTTAGGTATTTATTAAACGCTTCAGTCTTAATTTTTTCTGTCATTTTTATCGTCTTCTTAGGCTCTAAAGTACCTTCTATTATCATTTTCAATTCTTCATCTCTCTTTTCTAAATTTTCAAAAGCCCTCTCTCTAACCTTTCTCTCTTTCATAACCTCTTCTGTTTCTTCCTATTATTGATTTTATATAGAAAGTTTAACTATTATTCAAATAAATATATAAGTTTCTATTCTTTACCTCCGTGAGAATATCGACAAAATGAGTAAATTTGAATGATGACCTTGCTGCTTTTAAACGCTTTACATCCTCTCTTGTAAGTAATTCTAGTAATTTCTCATCAAACGGCATTGGTTTTTCATCTATAAATTTTGCGAATTGCATTGCTACCATCTTTAATCGATAATCCTTCGGCATATCTGAACGATATTTGAATTTTGTTCATTTTTTATATATCCTATTATGTGATAATTATTAGAAATGTTTCTTACAGTGCTTATAGTCAATTAGATGAACATGATCTCCAATTCCAACAAGTAAGTTACCTTTATCGTTACAAAAAACTACGCTATGAGGAATAGCGTTCAATTTTATACACCTAGTTAAAAAAAGGAAGATTCATCCATAAATAATGAATTTCTATAAGAGATAAAGATATTTTATTTATACCTTATCAAATTATTCATTTCATTCCAAATCCTTACAGTTCCATCTTGACTAGACGACGCAAACAATTTCATTTTAGAGCACGCAGACAATCCAGTAATAGTATCCATGTGATCATCCTCTGGTCCATGATCATGTCGGTCTAAAATGTTTCAGAGTTGATGAAAATATTTTGAACAGTTGATGAAAAATAATTGAGTGATATGAGTGATAATGATTTTCAATGAATAATTTTTGTTAACTAATTACGTAATCTAATTACAAAGAATTAAAATTAGAGGATTATCTAAAAAAATATGGTTGATAGCATGTTAGTATTATCTTCATTGAAAATTAATAGATTAAAGCTAACTGAAATTGAATAAACCTGTTTCGGAACGTTCCTTCCTCATAGCGCTATTTTGAACAAGATGGGAGGATAAAAGGCCCTTTTCAGCAAGTTCAGATACTAAAGATGTTAAAGAAAAACACACTGCAAACGTCTAATACTACTGTTTTATTTTGTTAGAATAAAACCAAAAAACAAAGGTTAACAAATACTATTTGGTTTATAATTCACCTCAAGCGTGATTAAATTTAATATAAGCATTTGTTTAGCTATCATATTTACCCTTGTCCTGGAGATTATACAAAACAATACTGTAGGTGGCGCTTGCATGCTCCTGAAAGGCAACAGATAATTTTCCTCTCATAACACTCATGTGAACGGGGGTATGAGCACAATAAAAAGATATTAAAGGAGCTAATGACTCCATTGAATAAGGGAAAACTCTCCAAACTTTTATAATATTATCTAAAGTGAAAATAAGATATTAAAGTAAAATTTAATAATTTATTAAGTGAAATAGTAATACCAAGTCCGGCAGAGATAACTTGATCATTTTTGGAATTTCCAATCATACTAAGTACACCTTTAACGCCGTGTGCCTATTTTACGAGTAATGTATAAATATCAACGTTTTCTCATATATTTAACAATGAAAAACCTCAATATCAAATTGAACATCTCCATTCTCCCAATTGAAAACGCAAAGTGTTCCATCTTTTCTTCCACCAATTAATAACGTTTTACTGGTTGCCATTCCGGGTTGAAACTGAAATTGTAAACAAGCATACATTAAAATATAATTGAATAGTAATTATTATCAATTACTTTTAGTGCCTTATTTCCTGCGGCTCTTTTCATAAAATCCCATGTATCACTTTTTAAATGATTATTAACAACGTATTCATATATAAGTAAGTAATTACAAGCTTCTGCAAAGAAAACAAAAAGATTATTAACTCTTGTACTTTGTGCTATTTCTGATGAAAGTATCAATTTACTGGAAGGGTTTTTAGTTTTCCATATATCTAATATTCTTGCTGGATTGGTCGTTGTATCAGCCTTAACGATATCTCCATTTGCGAAGGTAGCAAACATTATCTCGTCATCAATAGCATAGACAGCGTCTACTAGTCTGTTTTTTCTGCTCATTAATAAAGTTGTGAGAACGTTTCCGTTTGATGGACAAGTTACTCTAACGCTGTTATCTCTACAAAGTAATATGCAACGAAGTGGATGATCAGGGTGATCGGTTGCTTTAATGCACGCTACTCGGTGACCGATGGTTGTATGGAGCATATGAACATTTTGCACTTTCCATAGATCAACATGTCGTCTCGAGCGTGATGATATAATATCTTCATTAAGAGAAGTTTGAAGGGATAGAGCCGGCTCTTTTGTTCTCACTCTAAGAAAGAATACATATATATTTAATAATAAAGAAATTACTTCCTTTGTTAGAAATACTTACAAATCCACTTCATCGCACGTTTCTAAACTCCAAACCCTAATTGTATTGTCCATACTGGAAGATAATATTAAAGGTCCGTAAGGATATAACGCTAACGATAGAATCGAAGATTCATGACCAACAAATACAATTTGAACGTGCCAGCTTTCATTCCATACTTTAACTAGAAAAAAACAGACAATAGAATTACAGTGTTAGATTTGAGAAATTAACTTACTGCATCCATCCTTTGCTCCTGTGCAAAGGTACTTTAAAGGATTAAAGAAACAGATTGCTGTTACAGGATACTCGTGCAAATCATGTTTTTCAATAATAACTTCCGTATTAAAAGCGTTAAATGCCTATTTATAATTTTAAAAAAATACTGATTAAAATAAATAGCTCTAAAAGCAACGATTCTATCATTCCCTTACAATAACGCCTGCCCCATAAGCGGCAAATAACTTTTGATTCCTACTTGCCGTGTCCTCTAAGCAGAGATTTTCAAACTTAAATTTCTCATCATAGCATTCTTCATTAGATTTCTTTGGTAAGATATGCCGTCCAGCATATCTGAACACCCAATTCTAAATGTTTAAAATATTAATTAATGATTATATTTCTCTTCATTAAGAAAATAGTCACCGTCATTTGACCATGGCCTAAAGTAATTAGTTCATTCAAATTTTCGTTATATATAGCCGATTGAATAGGCTTTAAACATTTTGCTGATGAAATCAATTCAAATTCTTGGCTCATTAACTGTTAAACAGTACGAAAAAGTTAAAATAACGTATAGATTTAACGAGATAATTCTTACGTGCACTTTCCTTTTACCATGGGTATATCCTATAAATAAATTCATTTGAGTAGCAAACACAAGACCATTTATATCTTTTTCCAAAGGTACTGTATCTTTTTTACGACCATCGTACAGAAATGTTCGAATTTTTTGGTCATCAAGAGTTATGAAATTCTGTGTTTTATTAGTTAATTTTGTAAATATGTGAATATATATACATATTTGTATATTCAATCTTTACCCTATCTACTTTGTTGTAAATCAATCTAGTGATGTCCTCTGAATGATTCAAGCATCTTCTATGATGTACTCCATGCCTGACGATAGCGTCCTTAACATCTGCCTTTTTTAAAACATCTATGGCATGGCAGACACTATGGCGAATTATTCTCCAATAATAACTTCCCTTCTTCTCGTTATCTCTTTGAGGAAGCTTATCAATATCCGTTAAACGAGATTCGGGACGTGTGTCTTCAATTTTTACAAGCTTTTCAAATTTCGACATAGTTTTGATAAAATTAGATTTCAGAGATAATTTGGCACAAACAAGAGACAATTTGAATAAAATATTTATAAATTAATCGGCTACTTTAATTATATTAAAAGAAATCCATTTTTGCAATATTAGCAAACATTAGAAGTCTATTATTACTTAATCAGCGCCATATTGTTATTACCATGGTATTAATTTTTTAAGCGCCATCTACTGTCAGATAGGGTTGTAAGTGTTCAAAAATGTTAAATTGGCGCGAAATATTATACGATAATACCAAGTTATCATGAATTAGGTGACAAAATTTATTTTTTCGATACTGCTTTTGTTTTTGAAAACTATTATACTTATTTTTTTTTTATTTGTCTGTTCGAGGCACCAGTTAGTTTTTTTTGAGTCAAGGGGAAAATACATTAACAAACAAGTTTTCAAAATTATTTTTCAATCGACCAAGTCGTCTTCATCGATAGCTTCAAAGTCTATTATGACACTTCCCGGTAATAAGGTTGGAGTAGTTTCGGCTTCGTTATTTCTGGCCAGCATATAGTTATCCATATCAATACATCTGCAATGTTGAATGGCGTAACGTAATTTATTAGCAAGCGATTCTCTACTGCTATAAGGTGGCAGCCGTAACTGAAAAAAACATGTTTGGGCTGTAGGAAGTCCATCAATGGATCTATCGACTTTCATCAATTGAAATCTTTGAGATATATCAGCAGGATTTGCTGGTAAGCGACTTCTACCACTAACAAAACGCATAAACAATACTTTTTCATCATTAGAAAATGATTCTAAAGTATGCCAAAACCATTTAACAACTTCAGAATGTTCATCTAACTCTCTATACCTGACGACGTGCTTTAACACTTCAATTTTTATATCAGAATGACCGCATACTAATTGTTCGAGGTAGGTAGGGGTTACAAGAGACAGTAGCGGAACTGGTACTATAGATGCCATTCCCTCTCTGATTAATTTAGCTGCTTTATCCATTTCATGTAATCTTGTTTCCAAAGCTTTCTCAACATATTCTTTCCTTCCTGACCAAGTCAGTTTTAATCTTGAACCTCCCGGCACAACTGGAATTAATCGACCATCGCTGCTGAAAGTTTGCCAAAACTCAAGAGGTATGATATCATGAAAATCTTCAGTCGAACTCTCTTCTATTTCATTAATTGATTTTAAAGTTTGCATGAACATTAAATCTGTTTCTTGTATATCATATGGGGTTAACGGTTGTGCTGATAATAATTTCCAAACACATGGAGCTAATCTTAGATCTAGTGGTTTTTTCGTTCGAATTGCTACTGAGAGCAGAGTACCAAAGAATCTCCATAAAACGGCACTATCGTCTGTCATTGCAGCGGGATTAAACATAAATCTATCTCTGTTGTAGCCGTAATCATTTCGACCATTTGGTGTTTGAATTAATAGGGGTTGATTTCGTACCATAGAAATACCTAAATATTTATATCAAATTACTTTTGTACTGAATTTTAATAGCATGGATACAGACCATTACGAAGTTCGTCACACATATCTGCTATGGTATCATCAAAAACTCCTCCTGCATCGTCTGCTCCTTCTCCTATCAATTTTACCTTCCAAGCTCGGGATGGCAGGCGAAGATCTGCCGCCTTCAAATGAGAAACTTGTCGAGCTACTTGTACGAAGATTGGTAGAGGAGATTGAATACGTTTGACAGTTATCTGTGGTCCGTAATTTTTGCCCTGAACCATAGTTCTTCCTAAAACTCTAACGAACGGAAGAGTATAGACACGAGGAGCTAGAAGAGGTCTTAGTGTTCCATTTAGCAAATGTTCTGTAGCTGCTCCCCATATACTCGGCATGGCTCCATCACATGATTGCACTAATCTGATTAATCTGTAAGATTGAATATAAAATCAGGATTATCGTAAGCTCCCTGGAGATTATACTTATAGTTTGACTTATCTCACCTCCAATTTGAGTAAACAAGGTCTGAGAAACGGTGTAAAAGCTTTAAACGGGATCGTATGGCATCAATTTGAACATCTGTTAAGCTGGTATATTGAGGCGGAATGGATAATGGTGTCCCCAACATAAGTGGAGATGAAATAGGATTTCTCCGAGTCGGTATTGGAGGAGCAGTCCAGGCACAGCTATGTGATCTTCCAGCAGAGACTTGTTTAATTCCAGACACATTAGGGACTAGTTTTGGTTCTCTTACAGGAATTTGATGACCAAAACCTAATTGTCCTTCATTATTACTACCCCAGCTTAACACTTTTCCACATTTTGTAACTACTAAGGTATGTTCGGATCCTACTGCTATATCTTCGATTACATACTCCCCAAGGGCCGATATCTAAAATGAACAGTTAGGTTAGTTACAACACATTCATATTTAATTAAAGATACCTTTTGTGGAGTCATATTTCTTCTATTTCTTATTTCCGGATGACCAACTAGGCGCTCATGACCACAAGTGAAAACTTCACCATTTTTGGTTAAGAATACAGTAAATTGAGTTCCGCATCCGACCTTTTTAATGTTAGTCATTCCCTCTAATTTCGTAGGAGTGGTTTTGCCAAGAGTGCCATTTAAGCCCAGCTTCCCGTAATCACCGTCTCCAAAAACCCATACAGTATCACCATCATCACTGACACAAACTGTATGATTTAGACCGCAAGCGACTTGACCAATTTTGTCATTCTGTAAAGCTAAAACTCTCTCTGGAACTTTTTTATTAGTGGTCGGAGGCCCGTGTCCTAATCTTCCGTAGTCTGAGTTTCCAAAAGTATATAGTTTTCCATCATAGCTAACCACAGCTGAATGTTTAAACCCGCAAGCAACTTGAATGATAAATTCTCCATTTAAAGCTTCAATTTGCCGGGGACGTCTCTGACGATCACTATTACCATGACCCAATTTTCCATAATCGCCATCTCCCCAACTAAAAACTTCACCACTTTCTGCTAAAGCCAGGGAATGTCCGTCTGATCCAACAGATGTTGCAATCTGAACAATCACAAATCCGTGTAGAGCAGATATAGCAGTTAAAGAATGAAGATCATCAGAATTCCCTTGCCCTAGTCGCCCATAACCTTTCAAAAGTTTTCAATTGTAGACATTTAGGCCTTCACAATTAAATTATATACTAAAAATAAACAACTTACTTCCTTCACCGCAAGCTAGAACAGTATTCCCTCCCGGTCCAATAACAAACGTACAGTTTTGACCACAAACAACAGTTTGGCAAGTGCCAAAAGATTCCACTTTTACAGGTTCCATAGTTGCTGTTCGACCAACATCACCAAGTTGTCCATGTCGTCCAGATCCCCATACGAAAACATCACAAGCTCCTCCCTCCTGCCAGTCAGCAGGTTGAGAGGTTAGCCAAGCCATAGCTTCTTCATCTTGTTTCAAACTCCAAGCCAAATTATCACAATCCTCGAGTCCTAACTCCTTTGGCAATTCTTTTCTTTCGGACAAAGCTTTGGCACTTCGAACAGTGAGAGCAACAGACGACAGAAACTCTATTTTTGGTTTTAGCTTATCAAGCCTCAAATTTATAGCTATAGCTAGTAGAGTATGCATAAATAAGGAATATTGTAGCTGCAATCCACTTATAACAGAACTTTTTTCATACTGATGTTGACAGAGTAACATTTCTGGTAATTTGTAAATTAGCTTTCGAACATATGGTTGTAATAACATTAATCTTTTACTTGATTTTAGAGACACTCTAGACAAAGCAAGGATTCTTAATTCTTTTAATTTGTCTAATTTCACTATTTCGATATGCTTATCGTGAGAATGGGCTATAATCAAATTGCACGTGTTGAACCATTCAACGCCTAAAACTGAACTATTTCCTGGACGAGTACACAGTGGCACTCTTTCATCCACGCTCCATATATTGGTCCATCCTTTTGAACACCCAGTTGCTAGAAGAGTTCCGTCAGGATTGAAGGCTAAGCTGGTAACGGAAGTTACATGTCCATGCAAGCGACAAAGATAAGAAGATGAAGTTTTGAGTTCAGATCGATTAGATGCGAAATTAGAACCAATAATAGGAGCAGATTTAGCGGCAGGCGGGGGGATAGAACACCTGAATAATTTGTTTAATGCAACTGTTATCTTATTATTTATTGTATTAAATTGATTAGTTACCTCCATAAATGAACATATCCGTCCGAGCATCCAACAGCAAGTAAAAGTTCATTTTCGGCTTGAAACCAGTTTAGACACGTTACTATTTCATGATGAGCTAATTGTTCAACAACACTCCAATCGTCGCCTGATGAAGACCAAATATGAACGACTTTAGAATGTGTCGAAGCTAAGTGAGTTCCTGTGGGATTCCAAGATAATATTTCTGCGGGATTATTACTGCATTTATCGTGCAGAATCAAGGCTTCGTCATAAGTACTCCTGGAAGCTAATATTATACAACCGTCTGCAAATCCGACTGCAAATTTCTTATCTTCATCAAACCAAGCTAGAGCCGTTACTGGTTGATCTTTGCGACAAACTTTATCAAGTTTCGTACAGAGAGTATCTGAGGTAATGTCCAAAATCCTATGAAGCATAACATTACCATTGTCATATCCGACAAGTAAGAAATCGCAGGAACCTAAGCCTAGTTGACCGTCGATAAATCCCCTAGAGATTGGAAACGTTAAGGATGTAATACTTGATTCTCCCAATATGGTTTGGCCTCTTCCACCAGACGTTGACCATATGTGAATGTGTTTTTCATCCGCTGCCGCAACAAGTTTACCATTTGAATTCTGACAAACCAGTCTTAGATTTTTATAGGGTGATACACATGTATGATGGAGGATAACTTGTTCGCTATAATCTGTCCAAATTCTCACAGTTCCATCAGCAGCTGCGGAGGCTAGCTGAGATTTTCGCGGGTGAGAGTGTATGCCTGAAATCCTTGCTTGATGTGCATCTAAAGTTTGTATTTGTGGTTGAGGTAGGATACCAGCAATATCTGCCGCAACTGATGAAGAGTCCGTGCTGCAGTCCGAAAATATAAGACGAGCTAGTTGTACTATTGCCCATTCTCGTTGATAAGGACTCAATTTATCAGATAAAACACAAATTGCCAAGACATTAGCCATTTCAGTGCAGTTTTGATCAACAAGTAATTGAACGACACTTTTTAATACTGTAAAGTTAGCTGGAGACCAATTGGGTGTCGATGCCATTGTTAGTAATTGATTGACGCAAAATTTGGTTAAAATTAAAATTGCATTAGGCGAGTTCTTCATCACTGCCCCAATAGCTACAGTTAAATATTCGATTGCAGAATCGGATAGCATCATTATCTAAGAGTAATTGTTGCTTTTAGTATACTTAAGAATGGCGTTTAACAATTAAACAAAATGATTTAGATACCTTAACAAGTAGTTCCACATCATCCAGGCCAAGAGCCATTAGGTTAGCTGCTACTTTTTCGCATCCACTTCCACTATTGCCGGTTAAAGAACCATTCGCTAAACTCGTAACTACACTTAATACTACACGCCTGGCTAACTGTATTCTTAAAGCTTTAACCAAATTATGAAGAGCTAGACTTCTTTCTTCTGCATCTACAATAGATATAGCTTGATAAGCAAGGGATTTTTTCCATTTGTTATGATCATCTTTCTTTTCCTCAACATGTTTTCGACACAAATCATTCTCTCCCAGAGTATCCCTTATCATTGAATCTACTGGAGCAATATTTATTGGAATGTCAATATCCAAGGTCGGACTTGGCAGTAAATTAACCCGAATGTATTCTTGCGTAGAAGGATGAAGGAGGTCACACACATCTCGACGATCTGAGTATCTATAAATAAACGTAATTTTATTATCTGGAATAAAAATGTACAATAAACTTTCTTTTTCTCACCTTTTCTTGCATTCTTCGCATAAAATATAAATACTGTTCATGGCTAGCGTTCCACAAGGTTTATCCGTGACGGAAACTTCACCATATGTCATCGTTCTTTCTGTATCTAAGGAATATCCCGTATGAACATGCAACTTTCCACAACCTCCATGATTCATTTCAATATGCTTGAATACATTCATAAAATTCATTTGACAGAGTTCACATGTAGTATCGGCTGATGTATCATTTTGTATAGGATTTAAATCCTCATCATCTTCACCAAACTCTTCGGATGCATCGTAAAAAGGTGCAAAGAGTCCTGATTGCAAATTACGCACTCTTTGAATGGGAAGAAGGCGAGAATATTGCCTAGGTTCAGCTGGAGCTCTTGAACTAGAAGTTCCTTGTTGGGAGTCTATAGGATGTTCCAGCATCCAGGTCACAAGTACATGTATTGTTCGTGGATTATATTCAACAAGAGCGTTGGCGCTGATAGCTCTTTCTATGTGCTCTGATGTAAATCCCATATCTGTTAGCTGATTTAAAGCAGGGTTGAGTCGATCTATAGGATTATATGACACACTAGAGATGGCAGTGTCTTCTGTTAAAGTACTTCCAGTAGAAGTTATCTCTGTTTCTAGCGTTTTTTCGACTGCCACACTTGGCTTATCACTTTTGACCATCTTTTCAATTAATAAAACTTGAGCCCTCTCTAACTGTTCGATTGATGATACTCTTCGAACTGGAAGAATTCTTGAAGAAAAGTTTGCAGCAAAGTTTTTCATCACTTCGCGAAGTACTTCACATTTATCAAGCATCAGATCTAGTACTGAATCCTGTTGCAAAATAGCTGCTAATGTTCTACAAGCTCCTGAATGAATGCTACAATTCAAGGCATCTCTAAAAGGATCGGAGAATCCCTCAATATCTTCGCAAGCCAAATCATTTAAGCTTTTTATCACGTGTTCTCCTGAAAAAAAAAATAAATTATATTTTAATGGAATCACTCTCTACTTAATTATACCGAGTTCCAATTTCGAAAAGTCAAAATTTAGTGGTTCGCAAGGGGCTAAGTGAAATAGTAGAACATCTGCCGGAGATTCAGCTCGGGAATCTAACCATTCGACTTTTACACTGGTTGACTTTGGTGCTGCTACACCAAGTAGAATTGCGCGCCGACCAGAAGGTTTGTGAATGCATTCTCCGCCCATTCGTAGTCCATTATCCACCCCGGATAGTAGGGATAATATGCTCCATATTTTGCCTAGAATGGAATCTTTACTCTCTCTAAGTTCTGACGTCTTGGATCTCTGCTTTTCGAGTTCATCTTCTTTCTCTAGTTGTTCGTCTATAGACATAACATCACTCTCTTCAATTGTTTGATCTTTTTGATCTATATCTTTTACATCTTCAAGCTGGTTGAGTCTTTCAATGATAATTGAATTTATCACTTTTTCCCATTCAGGATGACTCCTATGCAAATATCTGAGAACATCGATAGAATGTTCGGAAATCAAAGCATGAATTGGCGCGCAAGAAGGGCTGCCATCGTGTAATGTAGTTGGATTTTTCCTTACAACTATCGAACTGATTCTGATTACCTCTGATGCATTCATTGAATAAAAGAGAACGCACGGATAGAGAGGTTGTTCGCCTATATTTTCAAAAGCAACTTGAGCTTCTGAGCCATTCTTGGAAAATGCAAGAGTTTTTGTCATGGTATCAAGAATGCATGTTATACGATCTCCATGAGTAAAAGTTGGTAGCTTAACCCCAGTTATTTCTCCATTATGATAGACATTACCGGAATACGCCCGATAGAGCCACATATCAGAACTAGTTCTATGTGATAAATCTTTTACAGGGAATTTCGACACCCCTACACATGTTCCTTCATTTCCCTGTTGCTCACTTTCAACTTCAAGAGTCCATTCGTAAATATTGCTATTCTTACCCATCCCAATATTACAAATGCCAAAACCTCTCCCAGCAGATCCGTGAGCTAGTACCTTTCCTTTATCGCTAATAGAACAACACTGACTTTTTTCCATGTCCCATTTGACATCAATTTCGGTTATACCATCTAACGATCCCTCGGAACATCTAACTGGCTGAGTTTCTAACCAGAAGCATTCGTACATTAAACTCAAAAGTCTTTCCACTATATTTGATTTAACAATATCGGCAGATGCAGCTCCTAGTATAATTCTTAAGAGTTTAAGTGCCATTAATCGAACTCTTAAACTAATTGATCTTAATGATTCATTATTCTCTGCAGCTGAATGAAGTTGAGCTAGATTAAGCATTATTTCTATCCAATTTTTCGTGGCTAAAAATTCTTGAACAATACTTTTGGTAGCCAAATGTCGGATAAAGACTAGCATATTTCCCAATTCTACCTCTGAATTGACATTTTCTAATTGATGCAAATTTGTATGATTTAAATTTTGAAATCTGTATTAAGATTAATACAAAATCTGAATGATAAATCTATTGTATATTTAATTTTCTTACCGTCGATTACTTAGATCAGTGACTAGTTCAAACAAGCCATCCAGGACCTTTCTTAGCACATCGTAACTATCTTCCCTTTTGCCTAATTCGTCAGAATAACGACTGGCTGTTAAGCTAATTATTCGAAATAATCTGGAAGATGCGATATTCAGAGCAGAATCCAGAAGAGATGTTGCTTCTTTGAAGAAAAAAGGTTTTAAAATATTCAATAATTTCGCATCGATAACCACTCCAATATCAGCCGCGTCGTAATGAATGGATAATGATAGTACTGTGACCAATACCAGACGTTTATGATGTTCAAAGTTAGGTGGAACGCAGGTAGATGCTCTTTTTACGAGCTCTTTTAAGATGTTTTGCGCTATTTTTTCAATGCGATCTCTTTTCTGATAGTTTGCCAAGGATATACCACTCTGAAGGTGAATAAAATAAATAAGAATATCATCTTTTAACTAGTTTTTACATAATGAAAACGTTTTATAGCTATAAATTACTCTAAAGAAGTTATAGTGGTCAAAATATTTGTTAACATTCTGTAGTTATTGATTGATTTTTATAGATTATTTAATTATTATTTAAAATAATAAAAAATTACTTGTTTATATTTTGTCCAGGAGTTATTCTCTTGATTTTGATGCTTATTTATCTGCCAACTTAATCCAAACACACCAGCTAAGAGATGAAGATGAACGCTTTCTATTAGGTGCTCCTTCAACAGATTTTGAACGTGCACTAAAGCATTATATCTCTCGTTTGCCCTATTTTGTTGGTCAGTCATGCAAACTTTTAATGTTTCTATAGTAACATCTGATAATAACCATTGAACAATTTCTAAAGCCTGACTACCTATTTCTGAACTGGACCACTTTATTTTACTGAAACGTTGTTTAACACTATCAGTCTGTAAATATTGAGACGTTGTCATGCTTGAAAGTGTCTGATGAAGATAAGAACTGCCAGATAATGGTAAATTTTTCTCACTTTCGCTTGAGTAACTTTTATGTGAAGCGGGCGAACAAACATTACTTAAAAGAAATATTGCTCTTTTCTTTACATTACTTAAAACTTCATCATCTGAATGTTTTAAATGTCTTCTTGTTTGACATACGGCAGAATATAAGATTTCCAAATTTCTTTTGGAATTATTATGATTAATGTGCTTTAACAAGCTGGCCAATATTAGCTTTGTTGATTCTTTTAATCTCTCTTCATCCTTGACGTCTCCTGCATTCATGTCGAGATCTAAAATAATTTCATACATCTCCTCTAGCGATTTTCTATTTAGTTCAAAAGAAATTGATATCACTTCATCGTTTAAACCTCCTGACAAAAAAGTCTTATTTAGGCTATTAAAGCATATATTCTCGCTTTCAGTTAAAACAGAGCCAACGAGCATCTGACCAAGACACCTGCCAACTAATAGGGCAACGCTCCTCTCCAGTTGCAATAACCATTCAACTGTTTCATTCTTTCGAACATATTGATCTAGGGGTATTAGTAAATTACGTAGCTCAGATAAAATTGGCCGGATATCATCCGCTTGTAGTAATAAAAGAGAATGAATCACAACAACAAGAAGGCTTCCAGCTGGAGAGACTAATAAGATATCCGAAGTAGGTGATAAATTCAATATAGTACATATTCTAATAAAATATTTTTTAAGAAAAGCATTTAGAACAGCCTGCCTTGCGCCAGTATGAACACAAAGAGCTAAAATATGCTTTACTAATGCTGTTAGTAAGTTGGAAGCGCATATTGGAATTGCAGTTTCCAAACCTTTTATAACTTCTTTTGTTTGTTCGCAGAGTAATTCAAGTAGATTTACAAGCATTTCGCTAAATGAACAGGACGATACAACTTTAGCCGCTCTTTTCTCATTTATTAGATTGTTCATAAGCATTTCATTCTGCATTTTCTGACCAGCTGAGAGATTTTTCCAACCTTCTAGACTCGTTGGTAAAACTCGCTCAAGAAGAGGTACACGCCTCTCTAGGGGAGGTAATAGTAAGCTTGATCCAGAAGACAATGCTAAACTGGCGGCTGCACGAATATCATAAGAAATCTGCTCATTATCGAGTAAATTAAATAGTAAATCTCTTAATTGTTCGCTGCTCGGCCCCAAAGAACATTTTACGGCAATGGCTAATTTAAAATGAGCTTTTAATAATTTTACACAGGTTAACCCTTCTTCAGCCTTTTCTAGATAGCTTTTAAGCTTATTAAAGGTCTCTGGGTGGACATCGATGCAAAATGGTCTTGTTTTTGATACTTTTAAACAGATATCCTCTTGCAAATTGACAGGTGTTGACAAGGCAACCGAGTGGGAATTCCCCGCCGAAACTCGAGTAACATTAACAGTATCTAAACCCGAAACTTTTCTCGGTCTTACAACCGGTGCATGGGTATGACCTTGTCCGCATTCGCCTTGCAGATTTGCTCCCCATGCATAAACATGGCCTTCATTGGTTAAAGCCAAAACATGATTGGAACCATGAGCTATATCAATAATTTTTACTGAATTCAACTCTTCTATCAGTTTAGGAGAACGTAATGGTCCCGACTGACCAAGACACGGTCCATTTCCCCAAGAGTATAGAGAACCATTTGAGTGTATAGCCAATGTTGTTTCAACACCACAAACAATTTTTTTAATATTCCCCATTGAACCCGTACTCCGATCAATAATGCAGGGACTAAAGATAGTTGCAGTATCACCATTACCCAATCTACCACCATCACCACACCCCCAAGATAATAATTCATTACCATCTCTTGAAATAGCTACCGTATGAAATTTTCCACAGGATACATAACTAAATCTATGATTTTTTATCATTACAGGTGAATTACATGATACAGTTTCGTGGCCTGCATTTGAATTACACCCCATTAAAATCATGAATTAAATCAGTAATACTTTTACTAACCTATGCCTAATTGACCATATTGATTTGATCCCCAAGTATATAGACAACCATCTGAGGTCAGAGCTACAGAATGGTCTTGTCCAGTAGATATCTGTTGCATAAGAACACCGCAAAGTATGCCATTTAGTATCTTTGGCAGTTTTAAGTTCTTTTCATTTCCATGGCCTAATTTTCCATATTTTCCATCTCCCCAGCTGAAAATTCTACCTTCCTCAGATAATGCTAATATGTGAGTATCAATTCCTGAAGACACAGATATTGATATAATTTTACATTCTGGTTCAAATTTTATATTAGCAGGAACAGTGCGAGAGCCAAACGTCCATTTTCCTAAGCCTATTACTGAATAATCTTGTCTGATAGCATAAATGCATGAATAACCAGATGATATGAATAGAGCTCCTTTAAATGTTGTATTTATCTTTGCTTGAGCGATTTTATCCGTCTCCGAGATACTTGAGCCCCAAGTCCAAACATCAGATGGTCCTGCTTTATCTAACCTAAGAAACGCGAACTGTTTATTAAATTATATTGAAAGTAATACAATCAATTACTTAATAGGAAATAAGATTATTTGCTCAGCATATGATTCAGCGACTTGTGAAATTCTCTCTAAAATCATTTTTCCACCAACATTTGCAGGAATGCAGCCATCAACATCTAAATGTGGTATATCAATTTCTTCGACAACGTTTATTTGATCCATAAATGCTTTAATAACATTCCAGGAGATATTTGTAGGATTTTCAAAAATAACAAGCAATAGCCAATCTAATATGTAACGTAGTTTTCCTCTTTGTACAGCGAGGGAGAGGAGAAGTTCACAAGCTATTTTAACAGTAGATTTCTCTGGCGGACCCTCCAAAACTATCTTTTTCAAATAGCTACAAACTTGCTCCAGTGAGCTACGACCTAATTGAGAAACATGGGAATCATTTGCTAAACTAAGCTTCGGTAGAGATAATGTAACTTCCAAAGCAGTCTTTAAAACTTCATCTGCTACTAGATTTTCTTTCAAAAGATTAAAGAGTAAGCTTAGCGCAGTTTTTACACCCAATTCAATGAGGGCATTAGTGCCTTCTTCTTCAACAGTATCCCCTTCAAATTCGTTCCTAAATTCATCATCATAATTATTTGAGTCATGGCACTTATGTGACACTGCAGTATATACTCTTTGAAGAATGGCTAATCGTTTATGTAACCCGCTAGCAAATGGACTTTGGCAACAAACATAGTTAGATAAGTTCAATTGAGCATCCAGCAGTTGTTTCATATATTCATCGATATTTTTTTGATCCATAACTATCAAAAAATAAAAATACGAGTTATTTTATGCATAAAACTAACATAAAGTATAAGATTGACATATATTGAAACAAAATAGAATTAATCTCCTCACCAGTATCAAATTCGGGTAACGATGAACCCATGGCCAAAGGAATCGGCTGGTCTTCATTTACGATTAATTCATTATTAGCCAAGAGTTTTACATAAAGCTCATCCTCTCTATCTGATATTTTACAAATATCCTCCTCCAACCACAAATTATCGTAGTGATCATTCCACTTTCTTTGCATGCACTGCATTATCCTAATATTCAGATATAATTGATAGTAATATTATCTTGTTTCATTACAGTCTTTAATTAAATGTTTTCTTAAATTCCGAAATTATGTTGCTAAATATAAATCGCATCAGCTGTAGACTATTGTATCAGATCGTTGTTTACATATACAGATTTAAATTAAATCTTTTAAAAATCAATGCTGACACACATCAAAAACGAATGCATTTGAATTACAAACGTGTAGTCTTGGTTTTTCATCCAGTTTTGTCTTCATAACATGTGCGATCTGTAGCTACAAAGCTAGTTTCTAAAATTTGTTTCCAGATTTGTTTTGCATTTCCCGCGCATGCGCACTTTGAACTAATACGGTACATGTAAATCCCGGAAGGATTTATTTGACAAAAAGTTCTCAAGTATTAAATCCACTATGAAATTAGTAATAGCCATTAACCAGTTTGTTGCGCAAGCGTTAGACATAAGTTAAGATGATGTAATAAATTTCCTACTTTAAAGTGCATTTTAATTTAAATATATTCAACAATATTAAACGTTAATTTAATTTTTGCATGTTAAATATAAAACATAAATAAAGAACAGAATAATCATCCAATGTAATTGATACTAAAAGAAAGACGACGGATTGATGGAGGTAATAACGCTCAAATAATTATGACAAAGTGCATGAATATTTTCACTCAAAAACTAACAATAGCATCACTCATGCAGTAATTGACGTGTAATTACCATTTTGGACGGATTTTATTGAGCGTTACATGACAGGGAAAAAAATAACAAAAAAATAAATACTAAGGTGGCGGTAAAGGTTCAAAATTACTTAGATTTTTTGATATTCTACTTTTGAGCGATCTGGCTACTGGAATAAGTTCCTCTTCAACACATCTTTGAACATATTCCTGCATACCTTCGTCTCCTTCATCGCTGTCTACTTCTATGATATCGTTGATAATTTCAATTAAATCGAGACTATTTTTCTCTCCCAGATATTCTTCAGACCGTGCCATCTTTCCGGTATAGTTTAAGAAAATTTTACAAACGAGAGATGCTAAAATGGGATCTTCACGTCCGTAATCTCGGAGAACATCAATTAATTTTTCGACTCCGTGATGGTCCTTAAGCCTCCCTCTCTTTTCCTCGTCTTTCATTAAATTTATTAGTCCACCGCAAGCAGAGAAGACAACATCAGCGTGCTCAGATTCTAACAGTGTAATTAGAGCTTCGTCCATTCTATGTTCAACCATCCAATCTCTTATTGCTCTGTCTCTAGAGAGATTTCCCAATACTCTGTTCGCCTCTGTCATTGCTTCTACTTTCTTATAGTCAACGAATTTAGGAATAACTGATACTATTGATAGCATATGTCTTGTAACAAAAGATTTCGAGTCATCATAATAACTGAGATTATTTAGTGTTGCCAAGACGTTCACCAAAAGTTCATCAGTATCGTTGCCACTTTGTAGTTTTGTCAACAATTGAACTAGAAGCAATACTAAGTCTTCCCTGCAAGCCAGCCCAATGCCGACTTCCGTTCTTATTGCAATATTGGCTATTAATCTTATGGCTGCAAAAAGAAGTTTTCTTGTAATAAATGCTATTTTTATGAACAATATTAACCTTTTACTAGTGTATCTATCATCTTTGTTTGATCTTCCCTTTTTTCCACATCCATTATAGGCTCTGCATATAGCTTGATTACTCTGATCAAAATATCGGCTGATTTTCCATCATTCCATATTGCTAGTCTATTCCTATCTTCTTTCGCAGCAAGATTTCCCAAGAAAAAACAAATTCTAACGGAAATATCTTCCTTAACTCGATGGCATTCCAAAGAATTCAAAACGTATGGAAAATATTCACTGCAATTACTAACTGCCTTAACAAATTCAGTGTGTAAGGTTAATTTACTGAATGTCCTAGACGTATTCATTATTATATTCTTATCATCGGTCCAAATTTTATATAACTTCATTAACTCGTTTATTGTTCCGTTTGTAATCAAGGACCCTCGTACTTCGTTAACGTCAGCAATGTTACGTATACAGGCTGTTAACAGTACCAAAGTAGCACTTACATTACTATCTTGATTTCCAAGTAAAATCAATTTTTCCAAAATTTTTGATAATATTTCAATCATTTGGCAACCGGCCAGCATTTTAACACAATTGGAATTAATAGTTAAAAATTTCAAACTTCCTATACCATATATGAGGGCATCCAAATTTTCACAATTCTCTAAACTTTGCAGATACAGATTCATTAGATCTAGGAATAGAAAAAGGTAATATACAATTAATAAGAAAATTGAGAATATAAAAATATCAATTCAGATACCTTTATCCAGGAATAAGTCATCGTTCCTATCATTTTTGCTTATCTTGAAAATCAATTTGAACACATTCAGTAAATTCGAACCGGAGACTTTTAGGGCTAATACTAATGTTGCGGTTTTTAACGCTAGCTTGGGAGAGTCAACATCGAGCAAACCAAATATATGCTTTAAAATAGTTGAACGGCTTCTACACGCTTTTCCCAGCAAATTATGCTTTTCCAAAAAGCAATATAGATCTCCGCATATTTTTATTAATTTATCCACGTCTTTCTGATTTTCATTTATAGAATTTAGGAGAGGCATGATATATGTTTCGGTATATTCTAACTTCTCCTGTGTTTCTTCACTTTTTCTTGCTTTGCCAGCAGATCCTGCTCGCTTCGAGCCGCTACCAGTTCTAGATGTAGTTTCTCCTTCATATCGTTTACCTGCACTGGAAGGCTTTTCTAGTTTTTTACCGCTTCCTCTGAAGATAAAATAGTAGTTAATAACTTATCATTCATAAAAACATATCTTACATTCTTGGCACGTGGCTATCTCCACTTCCATCTTGTTCAGTATCTAATCCTGCAACTAAAACAATGGATAACTTAAAATTGCAATACTACATTAAAATTTATAGAGGTTTACCGCTTCCTGACGATTCTCGTCTTGGTAAAGACGTAAGGGTTTCAACGGAATCTGATTGCTTTAATCTAACAGGTCTCTTTGATCTATTAGGATCAGCTGGAGGCTTTGGTGCTATTGCAAGACTATCTCCGTCAATTGAGAGACGAGGCTTATGCTGTAAAAAAGAACAAATTAATTTCAAGAATATTAACAATGATGTTCAACTTTTGGGGTTTTAAAACTCTTTAATATTAAGTCTCTTGTTAGGAAAGGATGGAAACGAATTCTTAGAGAATGAATATACTAGAATATCATAGTCTAGCCTTGATTATAGAACTATCAAATTATTCATTAAATCTTGATATATCTGAGTATCTTAGAAAAATACCACTTATATGAAAAGATATCTATAATTTACTTACCTCTAGAGGTTCTAGTTGACGAGTGTTCGAAGAAGTAGGCCTAGAATTTGCGTCAAAATGTCGGCTTCCCAAACTAAGACAAAATTTTTGCATAATTAAAATTGTAGCTAAATGAACAGATATCATAAACTTTAGTTTATATTATTTCCATACCTAAAAGTGCTCGGAGGACGATGTTCTGTGCCTGATCGATCAAATAGCTTCCTCGAGTTATCTTTTGGTGTTTCAGGACGCCTTGTGCTTCTAATTAATTAAAATTCATAAATATAAGAACACGTTCAGTTAAATTAATATATTGTATCTGCTTTAAGTTAAGTTTTAGCAGAATTACGATTTCACTGTGGTTAATTATTATACTAAGAGGTTGGATCAGATTTTAATTTCAAATGAGAATGACATAAGCTAACCTTGTTCGTAGTGGGTCATGAGGTAATCTGGCCAATTCCTCTTTAGCTTCCTTTATTATTTTTGCTGGTGATGGAACATGCTCCGGCAATTTTAGAGATTTCGCACTGCCACTAGGTCGGCTCATTTTTACATGGCTTAATACTTTAAAAATCGATTTCCAAAATTTTTCCTTTAGATATCAATGCTATTATTGAATATTAAGCGTTACATATAAATTGTCAAGGTCTTCGGAAGATGTGAGAAATTAATAAGGGTTAAGCCTTCGAAAATAATGATCCCTTAGAATTCCAAAAATTTTGTATTTTTCTTTGGATACCGTCTCACGCATGCGTGGCATGCATACCGGAAAGGAAATACTGATAGGAGTCTGAAATAAAAGAAATCGCTTTCGACAAAAATTCTTTTTGCGCATGCGCATAAAAACAGAGCAACCGTTGCTAAGCGGCGACACTAACAAAACAGTTCCAAAAGACATTTTTAGTTTGAAACTCCGAGTATAGTTTTCGAAGAGCATTAAATAAAGGCTAAAATGTCGCTCGTTGCCGATCTTGAGATCGGGGATGCACGAGTAGAATTCATAGGAGACTATGTTCTGAAAACTTTAAAATTTAAACCTGATAAATTCGCCAAATTATGGAATGCCGAAGAGAACAAGCAAATTTTTATGGACTTTTTCGAGAAGCCGGACTTGCAAACTCTAGTCATAGCAGCTACTCCTGGAGGAGCTTTGCAAGCACAGTTGGATTGGCCAGCTCAGCTAAAGATGAAAGCCTGCTACTTTGTAAAGAAAAACAGAGAAGCTATCAACAAAGATTCTCCTATCAGAACTGTAACTCTTTATGGTGATTTGTCTTCTCCTATGGAACAATTGTCAGCCTTTGTTGATGAAGTTTTATTTCCCTTGCTATCAAACGAAAAGAATCACAAACAATGGCCTCAAGTTGTTTCCCAAGACATTCTTCGTCACGTTCACAACCTTAAAAGCTGGGTTCATGTCGTGTCCGGTCAGGTTCAAGGTAAAACACTTCTCCCTCTTCCAGTAGGTTCAGAGAAAATCGAAGATACAGAAGAAGGTGACGAAGAGAGCTATGATCGATCAGTAGTACATGCAATTGAATCAGTCGTAATCGACTGGTCTCATCAAATACGAGACGTTCTGAAAAAGGACAGTTCACAGCCTCTCCTCGAAGGTCTTAATCCTGGTCCTAAGGTTGAAATTGAGTTTTGGAAAGTAAAAGCTCAAAACCTTGAATGCATATTTGAGCAATTACGTGACCCAAAAGTTCGAAAGATGGCTAATTTGTTGGAGAAAACTGATAGCAGCTACTTTCCAGCTTTCAAAGATATGTTCAGAGATGTAACGGCATCTTTACAAGAAGCTCAGGATATAAATTTATATTTAAAACCATTGAGGAATCATTTCGAAGATATGGAACAGGCGGACTACGAAAATCTTAAAAATATGATACCACCATTACTTCACGTCATCTGTCTGGTATGGGCGAATTCAAAACATTACAACAAGCCAGTCAGAATAGTTGTATTATTACAAGAAATTTGCAATATGCTGATAGATTTAACATGCACTTTCCTTGAACCTACGGAAATTTTCAAAGGTGAAGTAGAAGAGACCATAGTAAAGGTCAAAGAAGCATTGGATCTGTTAGCATTTTTTAAACACAGCTATGAAGAACATAAATCCAAATTGCCTGAGTACTTTAAAGATGGTTCGGAACCAATAGAATGGCAGTTCGCTTCACCTTTAGTCTTCCATAGATACAACAAATTTTCAGAAAGGGTAGAAACCGTTCATAAATTAATGGAAACTGCAATGGAGTTCATCAAGTTGGAAAAAATTGAAATAGGAGGTATAAAGGGGAAGATGCTTAGCTCACAAGTAGTACAGATTTTTGATGAATTCAATGATCTCTTTAAAATTTTCCAAGAGAGTACATACAATGCTTTTGATCCTCAAAGTTGTGAATTCTTGAAAGATTATGAAAAATTTGAAAGTCGTATTGCGGATTTAGATAGACGTTTGGCATCAATTCTTTGTCAAGCTTTCGAAGACTGTTCCGGTTTGGAAGCTGTTTTTAAACTTTTGGACATTTTTGGTAGTCTCCTAGACAGGCCTTTAGTTAAGGAAGATTTCAATGACAAATATCCAATAATTGTTACCATGATGGAAACCTGTATTCAAGATACAAAAACTATATATGATGAACATATTAAAATTAAAGAGGAGACAGGTAGACTACCCATTCATAAGAACATGGCCAACATATCTGGAGGTTTAAGATGGACACAAGAACTCAGAGAAAGAATCTCAACGCCCATGACAAACTTCAGAATGCTAGAACATAGATGCATGGAAAGTGAAGAAGCAAAAGCAGTCTTTGATCATTATGATTTGATGATGAAGCTTTTGGGTGAGTTTGAAGTGAAGCTGTACGAGGAATGGAAGGCTGGAGTTGATGAGGCTTGCTCATTCAATCTTGATCTACCTCTTATTACTCGTGATGGAGACACTAACTTAATCAGCTTGAACTTTGACCCTCAACTGGTTGCTGTACTTAGAGAAGTCAAATACTTGCAAGCAAAGGACGGAGAAGAACCTGTTGAAATTCCAGAAAGCGCAGGAAAATTATATGAAAGAAATGACAATTTCTGGCAATATGTCAATAATATTGATCTCATAATTAAATGGTACAATAAAGTTCGTACTACCACTCTAGAAGTTGAATTTCCCTTAATCGAGAGTCAGTTGAGTTCGCTCGATGAATTGTTAGAGAAGGCTGAGAAAGATCTAACTTGGAATAGTGAGAATGCCTGGGACTATATTAATGATACAAGAGACAAAGTTCATGATTTAGAATCACGAGTTCAGCAGTCAAAAGATAATGTTGAGAAAATCCAAAAGATGATGGCAACTTGGTCAAAGATACCATTGTTTGAGAGAAAGGAAGGCAAGAATGAATCTCTCCTTCAACTTGACGATAGAGAAGAAAAATTAAACAAACGCTATACTGAAATAAAAGATACTGGGGAAAAAATTCATGAACTCCTCAAGAAGAATATGGAACTTTTACAAGCCGAAGAAAGTTCAGATACATGGAAGGCATACGTCGATTATGTCGATGAGATGATTGTCGATGGATTTTTCCATACAATCCAGTGCTCCTTGGACTTTTTCCTTGGAAACACCGATTTCGCCAAAGAAATCACTATCCTCTTCGAAGCCCAGATGGAACTGCAAGTTCTGGAAATGGTCTTCAAACCATCTTTGGATTACGGTGTTGCCGATGGTTTCTACGATTTGGTTGACTCTTTAGTGGGAGATATTTATAAACAATCCTCACTTATTAACAGATTGGCCGAACACTCAGGACATGAAAACTACCAATCAGATTTAGAAGATATGGAACAATTATCAGATATGCGTAATGATTTGATGGAGAGGGTCCAAAACATGATGACCAAAGCTGGAGATTATAGAAATTCATTTGACAACTATGCTTATCTATGGGTTGACGACAGACAAGAATTCATGAGACAATTTCTACTTTACAACCATGTATTAACAACAGAGGAAATTGAAGCGCATGCTGAAGAAGGTGTTCCAGAGTGTCCTCCAACTTTAGATCAGTATAAAGAACAAATTGACACTTATGAAAAAATTTATGATGAAGTGGAAGCTATAGATAGCTCGTCCATTATTGACAAATGGTTCCGCATAGACGCCAAGCCGTTCAAAAATGCCTTATTGAATATCATAAAGAGATGGAGTCTCATGTTCAAACAACACCTCAATGATCATGTTACAAACAGTTTGAGAGACTTATCCGAATTTATCAAGCACGTTGATCACGGACTTGCTCAGCCTGTAGAAGAGGGCGACTATAATGGCCTAGTTACTTGCATGGGTCATCTTATGGCTGTTAAAGAAAGACAAGCAGCTACTGATGATATGTTTGAACCGTTGAAGCACACTATTGAATTATTAAAGCAGTATGACCAAGAAATGTCAGATGAAGTTTATCAACAATTGCAAGAACTTCCAGAACTCTGGAATAATACCAAAAAATCTGCTATTACTATTAAACAACAAGTTGCTCCATTACAAGCTAATGAAGTTGCCAATATCAGAAGAAAAGCTGGAGAATTCGACGTTAATCAACATAAATTCCGTGAGACGTTTCGTAAATTTCCTCCATTCTGGTATACCTGTGAAGACCCATATGAACAAATTGACCAGATGCATCTAGCTGTTCATGAGTTGGAAAAAGATATGGCTGCACTATGTGAATCAGCCAGTTTATTCGAAGTCAACGTACCAGATTACAAGCAGTTGAAGATGTGCAGAAAAGAACTTGTTATGTTAAAAACATTATGGGATTATGTATTTGTTGTTCGTTCTTCAATAGAAGACTGGAAAACAACACCATGGTTAGATATCAATGTTGAACAGATGGACATGGATTGTAAGAAATTTGCCAAAGACATTAGAAGTTTAGACAAAGAAATGAGAGCATGGGATACCTATACAGGCGTAGAAGGCACAGTTAAGAATATGCTTACATCTCTAAGGGCAGTTTCTGACCTTCAGAATCCTGCTATACGTGATAGACATTGGCAGCAATTGATGCAAGCTACAGGAGTTAAATTTCAAATGGATGAGAATACAACTCTATCAGATCTACTATCTCTAAACCTTCACGAATTCGAGGATGAGGTTAGAAACATCGTAGATAAAGCAGTCAAAGAAATGTCAATGGAGAAGGTTCTTAAAGAGCTTCGTCAGACATGGGCAGTTATGGAATTTGAACACGAAAAGCATCAAAGAACTGGCGTTACTTTGTTGAAGGCCAGTGAAGAATTAATCGAAACTTTAGAAGACAACCAAGTTCAACTACAAAATATGCTAACTTCAAAATTTATTGCATACTTTTTGGAAGAAGTATCTTCCTGGCAAAAGAAACTATCTACCGCTGATCAAGTCATTTCAATTTGGTTTGAAGTTCAAAGAACATGGTCTCATCTTGAAAGTATCTTTATTGGTTCAGAAGATATTCGATCTCAATTGCCTGAAGATTCTAAGAGGTTCGATGGCATTGATTCTGACTTTAAGGAACTTATAGTAGAGGTTGAAGGCACAACTAATGTCGTAGAAGCAACTAATAAGCCAAGACTGTACGAACGCCTTGAAGCCATTCAATCTGAGTTAGTTCTATGTGAAAAAGCTTTGGCTGAATATTTAGAAACCAAGCGTCTAGCTTTCCCAAGATTTTATTTTGTGTCTTCTGCCGATTTACTCGACATTTTATCAAATGGCAACAATCCAGTTGCTGTAAGTCGTCATTTGACCAAATTGTTTGATTCTATGGCTCAACTCAAGTTTGAAGAGGATGCTGAGGGTAATGCAACCAAAAATGCTTTGGCTATGTACAGCAAAGATGGAGAGTATGTTGATTTGGCAAATCCATGTGAATGTACTGGTCAAGTAGAAGTTTGGTTGAACAAACTACTAGATGCTCAATGCGAAACTGTCAGGCACGAAATGACTGAAGCTCAGAGTGCATACGAAGAAAAGCCCAGGGAAAGCTGGTTGTTTGATTACCCTGCACAAGTCGCACTATGTGTTACACAAATCTGGTGGACAACTGAAGTTAATATAGCTTTTGGCCGCTTGGAAGAAGGTTACGAGAATGCTCTAAAAGACTACAACAAAAAACAAGTTCAGCAATTGAACCTTTTGATCAGTATGTTAATTGGTCAACTCTCGAAAGGTGAAAGACAAAAAATTATGACAATTTGTACTATTGACGTACATGCCAGAGATGTTGTTGCCAAAATGATAACAAACAAAGTAGACAGTTCTCAGGCTTTCATGTGGCTTAGTCAACTAAGACACAGATGGGATGATAAAGAGAGAGATTGCTTTGCGAACATTTGCGATGCTCAGTTTAAGTATTCACACGAGTACCTTGGAAATACACCTCGTTTAGTTATCACACCTTTGACTGATAGATGCTACATTACTTTGACACAATCTCTTCATTTAACTATGAGTGGTGCTCCAGCTGGGCCAGCAGGAACTGGTAAAACAGAAACAACGAAGGATTTAGGTAGAGCCCTTGGAATCATGGTGTACGTTTTCAATTGCTCAGAACAGATGGATTATAAATCCATCGGTAACATCTACAAAGGTCTGGCTCAATCAGGAGCTTGGGGATGTTTTGACGAATTCAACAGAATTTCAGTTGAAGTATTGTCTGTAGTCGCAGTCCAGGTGAAATGTATCCAGGATGCTATTAGAGACAAGAAGAAAAGATTCAACTTCCTCGGTGAAGAAATCAATCTCAATCCAACTGTGGGTATCTTTATCACAATGAATCCAGGTTATGCTGGTAGAACAGAGCTGCCTGAAAATCTAAAAGCTTTGTTTAGACCCTGCGCTATGGTTGTTCCTGATTTTGAGTTAATTTGCGAAATCATGTTGGTTGCGGAAGGTTTCTTAGAAGCCAGATTACTTGCCAGGAAATTTATCACCCTCTACACGCTTTGTAAAGAATTACTCTCCAAACAAGTAAGAATATTATTGTGTGTTTTAAATATGCAAAAATTATAATTGTATTACCTTCCAGGATCACTATGATTGGGGTTTGAGAGCTATCAAGTCTGTATTGGTAGTTGCTGGTTCATTGAAGAGAGGAGATCCAGAACGACCAGAAGATCAGGTCAGTAAATCAAAAATATATCTTTTAAATATATTGTTCGTACAGCGTGTATTATTCTACTTTTCAAAATATTTTCTTCTTGATTTTAATATAAAACTTAAACAGCCTGAGGATTCGGTATTTATTCACTTATGCGGACCTATTACATTGATTAAAAATTTTCCCTCGAAAACCATTAATCATTACCTTCACTATTATATTGTTTATAGATATTACTTAAATATTTGTTGTTGTCATCCTTTACCAAACACAATGTAAACAAAAAATAGTAAAAACATTAAATGTTAAGTTCAATTAAATCATCTAGCATCCTTATCTTCACTATTTGTTTTACATTATTACCATTTAGTAATCATTATAATAAATTCAACAGGTGCTAATGAGAGCTCTGAGAGATTTCAATATCCCGAAGATTGTTACTGACGATCTTCCAGTTTTCATGGGGCTCATTGGAGATCTTTTCCCTGCTCTTGATGTTCCAAGAAAGAGAAACCCAGATTTGGAAAAAGAAGTAAAAAAAGCTATTGTACAAATGAAATTACAACCGGAAGAGAGCTTTATATTGAAAGTTGTCCAATTGCAAGAACTCTTTGAAGTACGTCACAGTGTATTTGTTATTGGTAATGCAGGAACTGGAAAAAGTATGGTATGGAAAAGTTTGTACAAAGCAAATCAAAATATGAAAAAGAAGCCGGTGGTTCAAGATTTAAATCCAAAAGCCGTAACCAATGATGAACTTTTTGGTATCATTAATCCATCGACCAGAGAATGGAAAGACGGTCTCTTCTCAACAATCATGAGAGATTTAGCTAACTTGTCAGGAGACGGCCCGAAATGGATTGTTCTCGATGGAGATATTGATCCTATGTGGATTGAATCTTTGAATACTGTCATGGATGATAACAAAATTTTAACATTAGCTTCAAATGAACGAATTCCTCTAACCCCATCAATGAGATTGCTTTTTGAAATTTCTCATTTAAAAACTGCAACACCAGCTACCGTTTCTAGAGCCGGTATTTTGTACATCAATCCTGCTGATTTGGGCTGGAATCCATTTGTATCTTCTTGGATAGATACTAGAGAAGTTCAATCGGAAAGAGCAAACTTAACTATTCTCTTCGACAAATATGTACCTCCCTGTCTTGATACTTTGAGAAATCGCTTCAAAAAAATTACACCTATTGCTGAGATATCTCACTTACAAATGCTTTGTTATCTCTTGGAATGCTTGCTTACTCCTGAAAATACACCACCAGATTGCCCGAAAGATTTATACGAATTATACTTCGTTTTCTGTTGCGTTTGGGCTTTTGGAGGTGCTATGTTCCAAGATCAATTGGTCGATTACCGAGTAGAATTTACTAAGTGGTGGACAACAGAATTTAAGACTGTCAAATTCCCGTCTCAAGGTACAGTGTTTGATTATTTCATAGATAAGGAAACACACAAGTTCGAATTATGGACAAAGAGAGTAGAAAAATTCGAATTGGACCCTGATATACCTCTACAAGCGGCTTTAGTTCACACTGCCGAAACAACTAGAATTCGCTTCTTCCTGGACATGCTTGTGGCCAGAGGAAGACCAGTAATGTTAGTTGGTAATGCCGGTACCGGCAAAACTGTACTTATGCAAGACAAACTGAATAACTTGCCAGAAGATTACTTGATTGCAAACGTTCCCTTTAACTTTTACACAACTTCAGAGATGCTTCAACAAGTTTTAGAGAAACCATTAGAAAAGAAGGCCGGAAGAAACTACGGACCACCAGGAACCAAGAAACTCATCTATTTTATTGACGATATGAATATGCCCGAAGTAGATAAGTACTTTACTGTGCAACCACATACTTTGATAAGGCAACATTTGGATTACTCTCACTGGTATGATAGAACTAAGTTAGCTCTAAAAGAAATCCACAACACTCAATATGTATCATGTATGAATCCTACGGCCGGTTCATTTACGATCAACACTCGTTTACAACGTCATTTCTCAGTTTTTGCCATCTCTTTCCCTGGTCAAGATGCCTTACATACAATCTATAATAGTATTCTTTCTCAGCATCTTTCACAAGGATTCCCTCAGGTTGTTCAAAAGATCTCTTCACAATTGGTAAATAGTGCTCTAAACCTCCACTCGAAAATTACATCAACATTCTTACCAACTGCAATAAAATTCCATTATATATTCAATTTAAGAGACTTATCTAATATATTTCAAGGAATGCTATTCTCCTTACCAGAAAGTATAAAAACTACTACAGACTTAATTCGATTATGGATGCACGAAAGTCAAAGAGTATACAGAGATAAATTGATAGAGGATAAAGACATGGAAGTTTTTGATAAATTGCAAAAAGAAATGATTAAGAAAAATTTTGAGGATATTGATGAAACCGCCACCTTCCAACAACCATTAATATTTTGCCATTTTGCTCAAGGTATTGGTGAACCAAAATATAGCCATATTGAAGGAATGCCTGAACTCACAAAGTTACTAACTGAAGCTCTAGACTCCTATAATGAAATTAATGCCGCTATGAATTTGGTACTTTTTGAGGATGCCATTCAGCACATTTGTAGAATTAATCGTATCCTTGAATCACCAAGGGGTAACGCCCTTTTGGTCGGTGTTGGTGGTTCTGGTAAGCAGTCTCTGTCCAGGTTGGCAGCTTCCATATCATCTCTAGAAGTTTTCCAAATAACCTTAAGAAAAGGATACAGTATTGCTGATCTTAAACTAGATGTGGCTGGATTATATCAAAAGGCTGGTTTGAAAGGCATTGGAATGGTATTTTTAATGACAGATGCCCAGGTTGCAGATGAAAAATTTCTTGTATTAATTAACGATCTATTGGCTTCTGGTGAAATTCCTGGTCTTTTCCCTGATGATGAAATAGAAAATATCATTTCTGGCGTAAGAAATGAAGTAAAGGGTGCCGGTTTACAAGATACTAGAGAAAATTGTTGGAAATTCTTTATTGAAAGAGTCCAAAGGATGCTAAAAGTGGTTCTTTGCTTCTCACCCGTTGGTAGTACCCTAAGAGTTAGAGGAAGAAAGTTCCCAGCAGTTACGAACTGCACATCTATTGATTGGTTCCACGAATGGCCCGAACAAGCTTTAATATCTGTGTCAAAGAGATTCTTATCTGATAACGAACTATTAAACGAAGAAATGTGCGACTCTATTTCTCAGTTTATGGCTTTTGTTCATCGTTCAGTTAATGAAATGTCAAGTCTATATTTACAAAACGAGAAGCGCTATAATTACACAACCCCAAAATCTTTCTTGGAACAAATTGCCTTATACCAAAACATGCTTAGAACAAAACATACAGAATTAAATGGCAAAATGTTGCGTTTAGAAAATGGTCTAGAAAAATTAAAGAGTACCTCCTCACAAGTTGACGACTTGAAAGAAAAATTGGCAGCTCAAGAAGTTGAACTCACAGAAAAGAACGAAGCTGCTAATAAACTTATTGCTGTTGTTGGTGCAGAAACAGAAAAAGTTTCAAAGGAAAAAGCTATTGCTAGTGAGGAAGAGCAAAAAGTTTCTGTAATTGCTGAGGATGTTGGTAAAAAACAGAGAGATTGCGAAGAAGATTTAGCAAGAGCTCAACCTGCCTTGGAAGCTGCCAAAGAAGCCTTAGACACCTTAAACAAGAATAATTTGACTGAATTAAAAAGTTTTGGTAGTCCTCCATCCGCTGTTGTTAACGTCACTGCAGCTGTTATGGTTCTGTTGGCTAATAATCAGCCAAAGGTTCCCAAAGATAGAAGTTGGAAAGCTGCTAAAGTTCAAATGGGCAAAGTTGAAGATTTTTTAAACAGTTTGAAAAATTACGATAAAGATAATATTCCTGAACACTGTCAAAAGGCGGTCACACCTTACTTAGAACAAGAGGAATTCAATCCGGAATTTATCAGGAGCAAATCTCTTGCTGCAGCTGGACTTTCCTCATGGGTTATTAATGTAATGAAATACTACAAGGTATTCTGTGAAGTAGAGCCCAAACGTATAGCTCTCGAAGCCGCTAACGAACAACTGAACTCAGCTCAGAGCAAATTGGCGACCATTCAAGCAAAAATTAAATCTCTAGAGGAAGCTTTAGGCAAATTGACAGCCGAATATGAAAAAGCTACAGCTGAAAAGCTTAAGTGTCAACAAGAGGCAGATGCAACAAATCGCACAATCACTCTGGCTAACAGACTTGTCGGAGGTTTAGCTTCAGAAAATGTTCGTTGGGCGCAATCAGTTAGTGACTTTAAAGAGCAAGAGAAAACTTTACCAGGAGATGTCTTAATTACAACAGCCTTTTTGTCATACGTTGGCTGCTTTACAAAACAGTACAGAACAGATCTTTTAACCAAATATTGGATGCCTTTCTTGGGCGAATTAAAGACACCAATCCCCATTAGCTCAATAGAATTGGATCCTCTCTCAATGTTGATTGATGGTGCTGTTGTAGCTACTTGGAATAATGAAGGTCTTCCCTCCGATAGAATGTCAACTGAAAATGCTACTATTCTTACAGCTGCTGAACGATGGCCCTTAATGATTGATCCTCAATTGCAAGGTATTATTTGGATTAAAAACAAATACGGTGACGGTCTAAAAGTAGTAAGACTTGGACAAAGAGGTTATCTGGACGTCATAGAACAAGCTGTTTCAGCCGGTGAGGTAGTGTTAATAGAAAATATTGGCGAAAATGTGGATCCCGTACTTGACCCTCTATTGGGAAGAAATACTATTAAAAAAGGAAGAGCCATAAAAATGGGAGATAAGGAAGTGGAATATAATCCCTCATTTAAACTGATCTTACATACTAAATTAGCTAATCCTCATTACAAGCCAGAAATGCAGGCTCAAACAACACTCATCAATTTTACCGTTACAAGAGATGGATTAGAAGATCAACTGTTGGCTGCTGTAGTTAGTAAGGAACGTCCTGATCTAGAAAAAACAAAATCAGATCTCACAAGACAGCAAAATGAATTTAAAATTACGCTCAAACGCCTCGAAGATTCACTTCTGGCTAAATTATCAACAGCAGAAGGAAACTTCTTGGGTGATTATGAATTGGTGGAAAACTTAGAAACTACTAAGAGAACAGCTACTGAAATAGAAGCTCAAGTTCAACAAGCTAAGATAACTGAAGTTGAAATCAATACAGCCAGGGAAATGTATAGACCGGCGGCTGCAAGAGCTTCGCTCTTATACTTCATTTTGAATGATCTAAATAAGATTTCTCCAATGTATCAATTCTCTTTGAAGGCCTTTGGAACAGTTTTTGAAAAAGCCATTGATAGAGCAGAGTCTTCTGATGAAGTAAAACAGCGAGTAGCAAACCTCATTGATACAATTACTTTTGCAGTATCTGTTTACACAAGTAGAGGACTTTTTGAGAAAGATAAACTTATATTTTTAGCTCAAATGACTTTCCAAATTTTGCTAATGACGAAAGATATAAATCCTATTGAATTAGACTTTTTATTAAGATTCCCTGCAGTACCAAATGTAACTTCACCGGTTGACTTCTTGTCTCATCTATCATGGGGAGGTATCAAAGCTTTATCAAATATGGACGAGTTTAGAAATCTAGACAGAGATATTGAAGGATCAGCTAAAAGATGGAAAAAGTTTGTTGAAAGTGAATGTCCAGAGAAAGAAAAACTACCACAAGAATGGAAAAACAAGAATGCACTTCAAAAATTGTGCATGATGAGAGCTTTGCGCCCTGATCGTATGACATATGCGATAACTTATTTCATTGAGGAGAAGATGGGTGCGAAATATACTGAAGGCAAAAGTGTACCTTTTGCTAAGAGTTACGAAGAAACCGATCCAGCCACTCCAGTATTCTTTATTCTTTCTCCTGGTGTAGATCCCCTAAAGGATGTAGAAGCACTTGGCAAAAAATTGGGTTTCACAAGTGACCAGAAAAATTTCCACAATATTTCACTCGGTCAAGGTCAAGAAATAGTTGCTCAGCAAGCAATGGATGAAGGAGCTAAAGAGGGACATTGGGTTATCCTTCAGAACGTCCATCTTGTTGCTAAATGGCTCCCAACATTAGAAAAGAAATTAGAAGAGCTGGGTGCAAGCTCTCATGCCAACTACAGAGTATATATTTCTGCTGAGCCAGCTGCCACTAAAGATGCTCACATAATTCCTCAAGGAATCCTAGAGTCTGCTATAAAAATTACAAATGAACCTCCCACTGGAATGTTCGCCAATCTACACAAGGCGTTTGATAACTTCAATCAAGACACACTGGAAATGTGCGCGAGAGAAGCAGAATTTAAAGCCATCCTTTTCGCCCTTTGCTACTTCCACGCTGTCGTTTGTGAAAGGAGAAAGTTTGGTCCTCAAGGATGGAATAGAGTGTATCCATACAACACTGGAGATCTTACAATTTCAGTAAACGTTTTATACAACTATTTGGAAGCTAACACTAAAGTTCCGTGGGAAGATTTAAGATATCTTTTTGGAGAGATTATGTACGGTGGACATATCACAGACGATTGGGACAGGAGATTATGTAAAACATATCTGGAAACATACATGCACCCTGACATGTTAGATGGAGAGCTCTATCTTGCTCCCGGTTTCCCAATTCCGCCAAATTCAGATTACAAGGGATATCATAGCTTTATTGACGAAGTTTTACCTCCAGAAAGTCCCTACTTGTACGGATTACATCCAAATGCTGAAATCGAATTTCTCAACACAACATCCGATAATTTATTCAAAACTGTCTTTGAGATGCAACCAAGAGACGCAGGAGCTTCAGGAGGTGCAGGAGTATCCAGGGAAGAAAAAATTAAACAATCTCTTGACGAAATTGTCGAAAAACTACCGGATGAGTTTAACATGCATGAAATTATGGGTAAAGTACCACCAGATGAAAGAACTCCGTATGTTGTAGTCGCTTTCCAGGAATGTGAACGAATGAATACATTGACCAACGAAATAAAGAGAAGTCTTAAAGAATTAGATCTCGGCTTAAAGGGAGAGTTGACAATTACCTCAGATATGGAAGAACTTGGAAATGCTCTTTTCTTAGATAATGTTCCAGAAAGTTGGTCAAGGAAAGCCTATCCATCTCTCTATGGTCTAACAGTATGGTATGCTGATCTCCTTCAAAGAGTAAAGGAGCTAGAAACCTGGGTCTCTGATTTCCAACTTCCGGCTGCAGTTTGGCTGGGAGGCTTCTTCAATCCTCAGTCTTTCCTCACAGCCATTATGCAACAGATGGCTCGTAAGAACGAATGGCCACTAGATAGGATGTGCCTACAGTGTGATGTAACAAAGAAAACAAGAGAAGATATGGGAGGACCACCAAGAGAAGGCGCATACGTTCATGGATTATTTATGGAAGGAGCAAGATGGGATATGCAGACAGGCATGATCCAAGAAGCAAGACTAAAAGAATTAGCTCCCCCAATGCCAGTTATGTTTATTAAGGCTATACCCGTTGATAGACAAGATTTGAGAAATATGTACGAATGTCCCGTATATAAAACAAAGCAAAGAGGTCCAACTTTCGTTTGGACGTTTAATCTGAAAACTAAGGAAAAACCTGGAAAATGGACATTGGGAGGTGTTGCCTTATTGCTACAAACTTAAATGAAAACTTTAGGAATATTTGTGTGTTTGTTTATTGCACTATGTTAATGACAATTCTTTGATTGGCAAGTGCCAGAAGGTGTGCATTTACCGAATGTATTATATTAAAAACAGCTTAATTGCTTATCTTTATGAACTAATCAAGCTTAATAAAACTATTTCCATATTCGTATCTTTTATATAATATATCCAGTTCAGATATCTAACTTAAAGTTCTTACTGAATTAAAACAAGTTACAGGCATACAAATTAATATAGAAGTATGACTGTAAAAAAACTTCGTGAAATATAGGAAAATTATCAATGAACGACATTCTTTCATTTGAAAAACAACACCACTCTTTGGACGTCTTTCAGAATTAGAACAGTTTTCCTTTCAGATTGGGTGTTTATCGCTCAGAGAAACGTGACCAAATCAAACTCATCGGTTGGAAGAATGAGTATCGAAGAACAACAATCCGATGAGAGGGAGGCGATTAAAGCAATGTATGATGATGATGAGAATTTTAAAGTTATAAATGATACTACATTCCAATGTAAGGTGACTTCCACCATAAATGAAAAAAAGACCCTTTTGGTACAGATTGAATGGACTAAAAACTATCCTGATGAAGGTCCTCTTATTAATTTGGATTTATTTTACAATAATTTCTTAAGTTCTGAATGCAAATCGCATATAAAGCAAAAAATAGAAAATGAAATAGAACATTACTTGGGATCGCCTATGACTTTCGTTCTTTTTGATCATGTACAACAAAATATTGATGAATTAATTCCTGATATTATACCTAGTTCTACGGAAAATAAAGAAGAGAACGTTCCCACTGAAATTCAAACAAAAAACGTCAAAATAAAAAAAGAGCAATTGACGAAATCTCAAAAAAGAAGAATGTATAATAAACTTTCGACGACAGGAGAACTTCCAAGAGGGCACGATTGGGTTGATATTGTTCGACACTTGTCACAAACCGGAGGTCAGGAGACTTAGAGAAATAACTAATTTATAATGGATAATGCATTTGTTAGTGAATATGATTGTCTATGTAAAGGGGTTGAAGTGAAAATATAAATTAAAAAAATCAAAATCATTACTTTTTTAATTTTATTTTGAATGAAAATTTATATCGTATCAAATTCATACTTTTCAGATTCTGTCGACTAACTTGTATGCAAAAAAAAAGCACAAAAACAAATAGAGTAAAAAAAATATAATTCGATATCTTTTAAAGTTTAGCCACCGTGTTCTTTTTGTCAAATCAAGTAGTTGTGAACACATTAAACATGATTTAGTAAAAAGATACTCTTATAAAATAAAAAGAATAACACTAAAGAAGCGCAGATCAGTTTACTAAATACAACTTGGAAATACATTCCATTTATCAAACAAATTTTACTTTGCTCTAAACCCTTCTCTTTGTTTCCTTAACATTTCTTGCTCTTCTTGCAATTTTCTCTTCATTTGTTCAAGCTATAAATATATAAATTGAATTAAAACAATTCGTATCATATTAAGTATGCTTTCTCTTACTTCCTGTTCCTTCAGTAACAAGTCTCTTTCCTTTTGTGACAAGCCGCTAGCTGATGATGCCATAGCTCTCTTGGGGTCATTACTCAGTTTTTTCGATCGATAATTTTCGTAGTGTACTGTATGAGTAACATCTTGAAGATCTTGAAGATGAGTTCTATTAAATGAGAAATGTTATTAGAATTTGATGACCATTTTTGTGACCTGCATACATTATTAGCTTTTTTAGTATTACAAAATCTGAATGTTTTTCGTCGTCAACTAGAACGGTTCCCCAAGGGTAAGTTCTTCCTCTTACCAATCCTGTTCCTTTTCCTGCAGCACTAGCAATAGGTACCTTATCCATAGATGCTATTACGGCAAATGGGACAGCATCCTTTATGCGTTTGCATAATTTCTTGTAGCTATCATCATCATCTGGCTCACAGGGTGGTAGATCATAAATGGAAATCTTATTCTCAATGAGTTGTTGTCTGATCATTTTCTTCATCGTTTGTCGTTCGTTTATTGTAAGCATATCAGCTTTCGGGATAATAGGAATAACATTTACTCTATTATGAACTTCTTTAAGAAATTGGATATCAATAGGTTTCAAACAGTGACCGCTTGGGTCAATAAAATAAAGAAGGCAATGCACTCTTGAATCGTGAATATTGCGTCGGTTAAGACCAGATTCATCTCTTAAGTATTTTTCAAATTGATCGTCGATGTATTTAATAATAGGCTGAAACCCTTCTTGATTGTTGATGGAATCTCCGAATCCGACAGTGTCTACTACGCTTAATCGCAATTTCACGCCCCTCTCTTCAATCTCCACAGTAGAACTTTCGATTTTTAATTTTTGATTTCCTTTCTTCTTAGCTGGCAGGTCGGTGAGAAAAAGAGTATTAATTAGCGTCGATTTACCAAGCCCCGATTGTCCAACAACCATTAGTGTAAAATCAAATCCTTTTTTATATAAAGTTCTCTGTATTTGGTTAGGCAAGCCGCCAAATCCAACCATGCCAGGTTCATCAGAATTTATGATTTTATCATCCATTCCGAAAACTTAGGTGAAACCTCAGTTTATGCTAATCAAAATTTTCGTTTGTCGGTCTTTATTCGAAAGCGGAAGAGGAAATGCGGTTTTCAAAATAAGGTAAAAAAAATACTAACCTAATGCTGCTATAATATTTCCAAAAAAAAATTAAATTATAAAGAGTGGTAACTTTAATCTTTAATAATAAATATATGTAAATATGTATTCATACGAAAATAATAAAATAGTCCTTTAGTCACATATTATCGCTCCATAAAAAAACGTGACTACTGAGAACTCTAAACGATCAATGGGCAGAAAAAAAAGTCTTGCCGACAGGCCAAAATCTGGTCCAGGAAGAAAAGCTAGGAAGCAACCAGATCCTACCATTCCAAGACATTTACTAGGTAAGAGAGATTAGCAACGAAACATACTTATATTTAAAAAGCATGGCAATTCAGAACCTGGCGAGAAAGATGCTAGTAAAAGAAGAGGCAAAAAAGTGCTTAAGAAAAAGCAAGGAAAACCTGAATCCAAAAAGATAGTTCAGAAGCTATTCCCTGACGATGATAATTCAGGTAAAACTTTTTTAAACCCTTTTTTCTAAAAAAATTGCTTCTGCCTTTAAATCCCCTAAGATCTCATGGACCGTATGAAAAACTTGATTAATTATTTTATTTAAGTTGCAATTATGAGTTAATTTAGTTGCTAAATATTTTTCTCAAAATTGTTGAATTAGAAAAATTATAGTAAACATCAAGAAAAATTTGTCAAATAAAGTACAAAGTAAATAAATAACTTTTATTTGCATAGATGGAGATGATGACATACCTGCTCCTTTAAAATCCTTCACAAAAACTAAGAAAAAATTGAAGAATTCAAATAAAAAAAAGGAAAAGAAGAAACCAAAAAGTATGACTAATTTTTTATCTTCTCTAAGAAATTAATTGCAAAACATATCAAAATACCAACTTTTTAATTGTCATTTTAGTTCAGGAGAGTGAGGAAGATGAACTTTCTGAAGCGCCAGATCTACCGGATGATGAATTTGACGAGGCAAATATGGATAGTGATATTTCACTTGACAGCGACGACGTAAGTATTTGTTGCACCAAAACTCATCTTTTAATAGTAGTATTCGTTTTTTTAGGTCGATGATGAATTCGATATTAATTCGGATGCTTCAGAAAGTGAACTACCAATAGAAAAAGCCGCCCGAAAACTTGCAAAGCAGCAAGAGCAGGATGATGAAGATGCAGAAATGGAATTACAAACTAATATTGCAACAACAGAGAAAATTGTTTTACCGAGTGGCCAGGAAATTGAAAAAGATATCCTTTAAAAGTGTTTAAGATAAAGAATTTTTTTGAAACTTTTCTGTATATTATTTAGAGAACATTGAATAATTATTCCTTAATAATGCTTACAAAAAGAATCTCCTGATCTAACAATAGTGAAGCAGAGAATAAAAGATATTTTGGGAGTTTTGGATAACTTTAAAGAGAGGAAAGAGGAGGGAAAATCAAGAGGGGATTACATAGATCAGCTTATACAAGATTTAGCATTCTATTATAGTTACAATGAATATCTTGCTGGAAAATTCTATGAACTTCTTCCTCATGAGGTTTAATACGAAAGTTGTGCTTATCTGTTTAAAATATTCAAAATATTTTTATTATAACAGATTATTGAATTCATGGAAGCTAACGAAGTTGAACGACCCGTGACGATTCGTACTAATACTTTAAAAACAAGGAGAAGAGATTTAGCTCAAGCTCTAATTAATCGTGGGGTTAACTTAGATCCTATTGGAAAGTGGTCTAAAGTTGGTTTAGTTATATTTGACTCTTCCGTTCCTATAGGAGCTACTCCTGAGTATTTAGGTGGTCATTATATGCTACAAGGAGGAGCAAGTTTACTGCCAGTTATGGCTCTTGCTCCTCAAGAGAATGAACGAGTGTTAGATATGGCAGCTGCACCAGGAGGAAAAACAACTTACATAGGTTGGTTATAATATTTTGAAGATTCCTATTGATATATTGGGATTTTTACAGCTCAATTAATGCGTAATACGGGTTTAGTTATGGCAAATGATGCCAACAAAGATCGATGCAAAGCTCTTATTGCTAATATTCATCGTATGGGAGTAACTAATACTGTTGTCTGTAATTACGATGGTCGTCAACTGCATAAAATATTCCACGCTTTTGATAGAGCCCTTTTAGACGCACCTTGCAGTGGAACAGGAGTTGTGTCTAAAGATACTTCGGCTAAAACTAATAAGGATGAAAAAGACATTCAAAGGTTTATAGAATAACTTAATTAATAAAGAATAATATTTTAAATATCTTGTTATTTTCTCAGGTGTTCACATATTCAAAAAGAGTTAATTCTACGAGCTATCGACTGCGTAGATGCTAAGTCTAAAACAGGGGGTTATGTTGTCTATTCAACTTGCTCAGTTCTTGTAGAGGAAAATGAATGGGTTGTGGATTATGCCCTAAAAATGAGACATGTAAAATTAGTTAACACCGGATTGACGATAGGAGAGGAGGGATTCGAGAAATTCAAGCAACATCGTTTCACGCCTAGCATGAAGTTAACTAGACGCATCTATCCTCACCGAAATAACCTTGACGGATTCTTTGTTGCAAAGTTCAAGAAATTAAGTAATGAAGAGAAGAACAATAATAAAAATGTAAAGGATGAAGATAAAGAAGAAACTGATGAAATGAATAGTGAGACTGAAAAGAAAGTCACTGAAAAACCAGGAAAGAGAAAAATGAAGAAATTAAATAAGACAGGAAAGAACGGTAATAAAAAAATCATTAAGAACGAAGCTAAAGAAAAAAAAGTGGATAATGAGACTGAAAAGAAAGTCACTGAAAATCGAAAACCAGAAAAGAGAAAGAGAAAGGAAATGAACGGTAAAAAAGAACCTATGAAAAAGAAAAAAATGAAAAAACAATAGTTTTGTATTGAAAATGTAGAGAAATTAAGTTTTGTTTATAATACATACTTCCATTAATCAATTATAACAACAGTCGAGAAAAAGCGTTCGATTGTTAATGTTTGAATTAAAAAGGTGTAAATAAAATTTGATCGATCGATTTGTTTCTTAAAAAAGACTACTTTTGTGTTTTACAGAAACAACTGCTGTAAAAAAACCATATATCATTTCCTAAATCCATAATTAAGCATTCTAAAATAGTAATTATGCTTCTAATCAATTAGCTGCTTATATGTATTAGTACAAATATACTGTATGTATATCAGTGTGTATAAGCATGCAGGGTACATTATATATTACTTCTTAGAATTAATAACATTTCGAATTGAAACACTGTTATTAGAATAAACGGTATAGAGAAAAGAATCACTACCAAAGAATAGTATTGGAAACGTAATTAATAAGTTAAAAATAACTTTTTACATCACGATTCTATTATTCTTTTAAAAATAATTTTAGTCCATCATGAAGATTGTTCAGATTATTCTATTTGAAATATTGTTAACAATTTTTATTAACATTTTTCGCTTATGACCTAATATAAAGATTGCACCAAAATTCTTTACTACTTTACAAGTATATGTTTTGTGAATGAAATTACACGAATAAACTATTAATTTGTAAATAAATATGAAATTATATTGAATATAGAATACTATGTAAAAAAAAAAGTTGTATATCTATAGATAAATGTATTAGTATATAACAGTATGCTGTATATGCTGTACACTGCTTTCGCGACGTGATAATTAATGATTTCAAAGTTTACTTGTCTTTAATTCGTCTCTTTTAATATACAGTATATACAAATGTGCAGTATACGCTATAAAATATTCGCTGAAACGGTGCTATTGCACGTTTTGCTTATCTTTTTATTATTTTAATTAACAGTTTAAAAAAGATATTTAAAAACTATTCAGATCAAGTACAAAATAACACAGGGAAGGAAAGAATAAATATACACTTTTATAAGTAAACAGTCTAGTTGTTCTTTTTTGGAACGTGCCTGTATAAAACTACTTTATAAAGATTATCAACTATAGCTTTATTAAGACTATTGAGTTACATAACTATTGTATTGACTACTACATATTTAACTTCTGCACAAGTACTTTATAGATGTTACTGTATACAACACTTACTTACATTGTATATGTAAATATTCATAAAATTCTTATGTCTAACTCCTGCCTGAGTTGTACATCATAATGAGATATGCAGTTTTCGAAATACGATTCCTTATTGAAGTCTAAATTACATTATTTTCTATGGCAGGTAGGTATGTTTGGGTTAAATGGTGTTGTTTTTTCTTTTTGCCCTTTTTGAATGTATATAATATATGTGCGGTATATATTACATACATATAGGCTTACTTTGTGAAAATCTATATGGCATAGAAGTAACAGAATACATTTGTCTGTTTAAAACAGTTTGGTCGTTTATTAGAGTTAACGGCGACATATTTTTTTTTCATAATTAAATTTTATAACTGTTTAATATCTTTTGAATAATTTTAATTATTCAATTTTTATGTTATTTGCTGCAGTATCTGTTGAATTTTTTAATCCTTTTTCCTACTTTCAAATACGCAAAACTCTTTGTTCATTCATTTAAACTAGCCAGACAAGCTTAACCTAAGACTGCTTTCACGTTGTAGGCCTGTAGGTGGTGTCTGCGCTCTATTGTAATGCTTACCTGTAAATATGGATACCGTACAGGTAACTTAATTTTGGAACAATTTTCGCTATTCCGTAAAAACAGTTTGATGTGAATGTATTTGTTTTTAACATTTTTGTGTGCTTTATAGACAAGCTTTAATTGCGACGGATTTTAGGATGCTTTTTAACTTTAATGACATTATATAATGGTTGTTTGTTACAATATAGGTGAGTTAAACAGAGCTAAAAGCCAAATTATTTCAACTAATTTAAGCGAATATGGCGGACAAAGGTATATGAAAGTTTGTTAATTAATCTTCTTTTGCTAACTTACAGACTCTCGACTTTGTTTCATCGTTGTTTTTCAACTTTTTATAGGATTAACGTTCAACCAGAGTAAGTATTTCACTTACTTCTCTTTTATAAACAAATAAACGATAGTCACACACCTGAATCTCCATATGATGTAATTCGATTGTATATAATACTTTATGAATTAAAAGTAATAGAGTAGAGGTCAAAAGCAATTTTTATTGATATATTAGAGCTATATATAAAGTTCTTTTTGTAATTCGTAAAATTTAATAAAATAGCAATTTCCACAATGCGTCCTGGTGCTAAATGTAAGCTCATTTTCTTTCCTAATGCAGATTGTGAACCAAAGCGCTACGATCTAACGAAATACGGAGGACAGATATTCAATGTAACTAGATCGGGAGCCACGTGCACCGAAAATATCTGCGCAAAGGCCACAGCCCATTTATATTGCCTAAATAATGGGACCTGTATAAATAATAGATGTTCCTGTCCTCAAATTGGAGGGACAGGAGAGTTTTACCTTGGAATTCATTGCCAGTATAAGCAGTCATATTGTACAGCTTTACCAGAACAAGACCTTCCTGCCTGTAAGAACGGCGGAAACTGTACGTCAGTCGATATAACTGATGAAAACCAAAGGGGATATGTCTGCTCGTGTCCCTCTGGGTTTACTGGTAGCAGATGTGAAACCGATATTAATGAATGCTCAAGTAGTCCATGTTCGTCGAACGGAGAATGTAAAAACTTAGCTAACAAATTTATTTGCATTTGTCAAGCGGGATATACAGGAAGACTATGCAATTCCGAAATAGATGAATGTTCATCATCACCTTGTTTAAATGGTACCTGCAAAAATTTAATTAACAAGTAAGTTATATATAAAATCTTGTGAATAACTTGGTCTAATGCTGCGCAATTTCTATCCTTCGAAATAAATCAATTTTCTCTGCATGTTAAATTTCACATCCAGCTTCAAACCCTTCTTTTTACAGAACTTTAGAAACGAATTTAACCCGGACTACCAATAGGACTAGGTAAACGATATAACAAGTTTAACATGCAATAACATCTAAAATAAACGCTTTTGTTATATTGATAATAATCGTTTAGTGAGGTTTAGGAATATGTTTTTTTGTTAATCTTGTAAGTTTCTCGTTTCTCCTTTAAGGCAACAAAAAAATGTTAATGTGTAAGATATATGCTTTTATAGATTATTAAGATTAAACAACCTAAAAACATTTTTGATAGCGTACTAAAGGAGATAGAGAAATGGAGTGAAATTCGATAACATATTAAATGCACGTGTCATAGCTATTTGAGAATACATTTCTAGGGGATTAGTTACCATTTTAATACATGATTAAAGCGGATCTATTATCGAGAGATGATCTGTCTTGTTCCTAGATTCAATTTTTTTCTCATCGCTTTAATCCTTATAGATTAATCGAAATATACTATATTTTTTTTTTTTTGTTCTTTTGTACAGGTATGAATGCAATTGTTCTGGAACTGGTTACGAGGGGGAAAATTGCGAAAAGCTAATCGATAATTGCAAGAGTAACCCCTGTCAAAATGAGGGACAATGTATCAATGAAATCAATAATTATAAATGCATTTGCAAAATTGGTTTTAATGGAAAGAACTGTGAAATTGATGTAGACGAATGCCAAAGCAATCCCTGCTTCAACAAAGCCATATGCCAACAAAAATCACCCGAAAGTCCACCAGATGAACGAGCTGGTTTCTCGTGTTCCTGTCTTCCTGGCTTTACAGGGACACTCTGTAAAGAAGAAATCAACGACTGTATAAATCATATGTGTTCCGAAAATGGTCTTTGTGTAGACAAGGTAAACGGTTACGAATGCGTTTGTAAAAGTGGTTTTACTGGAAGATATTGTGAAGAAAATATTAATGAATGCCTACTCTATGAACCGTGTCTGAACGGCGGAACTTGTGAGGATGGCATAAACGATTACACTTGCCATTGTCCATATCCAAATAAGCTAAATATGTATTTTGGTGACAAGAATTGCTCAACTGAACTTATTGGATGCAAAAATGGGAATCCCTGCGGATCTGGCATATGTTTACCTTCTTTTAGAGGCGGAATTGATGATTCCTTTGACTGCGACTGTAACAAGGAAACAACTGGTCAAATTTGCGAACGTTCAGCTGTTGTATCGTTTGATGGTGAATCAGCCTGGAGGACAGAGGGTAGAGGAAAACCAACGGGAATACCTGCTTCTGGAGTAAAAATAGAATTCTGGTTTCGCACTACCATAACTGGTCGAACATTATTTGGTGCACTATCATCCGGATTGTCAGTTAATCTCCTTTTAAATGATTCTTACTCATTAGTTGGAAAATTGGGCGAAGTCACAATTTCTATTGATGCCAACAAAAATATTGCAAACGGCGTAGAAAATTTTATTTCCTTTGAAATTAGACCGTCCTTTTTAGAACTACAATTGATAACTGATGGAGTAAATATAACAACAACGGAACATTTTCCTAGCAAAAATGTTGAAATGAATGATATGACTTTTGGTGGAGCATGGGAATGTCCAACGGAATGCTTCGTTGGTTGTATGAGTGGTGTTTATATTTACCCTAGTGAAAAAGCAGAAAGAGTAAAGAAATACATAGAGGCTCCTCAGGGTGCTCAAACTTGTCCACGGAAAGTTCAATGCAGAAATGATACGTGTTTGGGTAGAGGTTTATGTCAGGATTTATGGTTTGACTTTCAATGCATTTGTAATAGACCTTTTGTTGGAAGAAACTGCGAATTTGAAGTATCAGCTCTGACTTTTTATGATAGTACATCCATTCAATATCGTATTGATAATTTTAAGGCTTCAAACTTAGAAATCTCATTTTATTTTCGGACAAGATCAACAAACTTAGATCTAATAACTTTGGAGATAAGTCAATTTAATTATAATTTTTATATGAATCGTTCAATTCTTAATTTCAATGAGAAAGGCTTAATTTCAAGAGACTTTGCAGATGGAAAGAGTCATTTCATAACTATAGCAATAAGCGACAATGGAAAGTTAAATGTTAAAGTGGACAGTTACTTTACAACTGTAGATATTTCTCGAAGAGTATTAAGCAATATCTTGATTAAAATAAGGCCACAATCCAAAGTTAGCATTCAAGATATCCGCCTAAACGAAAAGCTACTTCTACTTCATGATTCTCCATTATTACAAAAATTTTTCAATGACTCTTTCATCCCGGAAACCTCAAGTGGACAAATTGAATATGGCGAAGTAACAGCAGACAAATGTGACCAAAATGTTTGCAATTCAACTAACACATTAAATTGTACAAATATATTCTATGATGACTACCATTGTACATGCAAAAGAGATTGGACAGGAAAAATCTGCAACATCAATGATTTTTGTTTTGAAGACCCTTGTAAAGATATTCCAGATACTGCTTGCCAAAACAGGCCATCTTCTGGAGGATTTTATTGTGTAGCTAATACAACTCTTGAGAAATCTGTGATTTTTAAGTATGATACTCAAAGACAATTTGCGCAACTAAAAAATACTCTACAAATTGAATTTCGAAGTCGAACTCCATCAACTCTTTTTAAAATGACTAACAGTCAAACAGAATTTCAGTTAAGGGTAAACTTAGAAGAAATTATTCTAATTTATCAATCCGCTCAGTGCGCTTTTAAAAGTTCTCTATTGGACGGTGAATGGAGAGAAATTAAACTTACATTTAGCGATAATGGAATAACTTATGAAGGAGAAGTTTGCGATAGAATCAAAAATGAAACAATACTCAATAATCTTGCCAAAGACGAAGCTGAAATAGTTGTTGGCGAGAATTATCAAGGCTGTATGGGTCAATTATATTTAGGCGATGAGTTATTATCATGGATCCAAAATCAACCTGGATTAAGTTCCCTGTATAAATTAGCTGATTCATCAGCAATAAGTATGGGTTGCAATCCTCCAAATATGTGTAGTCCATCCCCATGCGTTTATGGAAAATGTTCAGATAATTTTTATCAGTATAGCTGCTCATGTGAGAATGGTTGGGAGGGACAGAATTGTTCGAAAGATAAAAACGAATGTAATTCAAATATCTGTGAGAACGGAGCAACTTGTTTAAATCTTCCAGGAAATTTTCAATGTACTTGCTCTCCAGGATATACTGGAAAGAGGTAAGCACCTTTACACACTATTATCCAAATATATTTAGCCATAAAAAAACAATACGAGTCCTTAATATCAACATTAAATGAAAGAAAGCAGTTGTAAATTTTCAGGATATCAATAGGCTAATTATCCTAAAAAGTAATTAAGGAAAAAATTCTGTTACTAAAATACTTCACTCATAAGAGATTCTACTTTTTGTAAAAAAAAAAAATACTGATATTTTATTCCCTTTTAGAAACAGCTAAATGTGATACTATAGTTTTTTCACGTTGCACTGATGATTCATATACGCGTAGATTTTTTTAGCCTATATCATCGATCGGTAATTTTCTTTATAACATTAATCGATAACAGAGTTCGTATATCGCAAAACAGAACTGTTTCAACTAGTAATTTTTCTCTACCTTATCAGTAGCCTTTGGTATGGCAATTGATTATTTAGATTCTGATCCTCTTAGTTAATGAAAATGTGTCGGTTTCGTTGTTATGACAATCAATTAGACTCTAAATTGAAAATATGACAATTAGAAGGGCTGTGGATATAACATGTCTACTTATTTTGTTTTGTTTTTTAACAAAATTCAGGTGTGAAAATGACATTGACTATTGCGAATTGTATAAAAATAATACGAATGAGAAGGCCTGCCTCAATAATGGAACTTGCACCGATCTACTTCTAGGTTTCAATTGTACATGCCCGAATGAGAATGTAACTGGCCATAGGTGCCAGTATTCACCGAAAAGTGACTGCAATACAGTTGATATATGTCGAAATGGATCTACTTGTACATCGACATTAACTGATTTCTTTCAATGGAAGTGTGAATGTGCTAATGGTTTCGAAGGCCGTCACTGCGATCAGGAAATTGATTATTGTCTCAAATATAACAATCCATGTAAGAACGGAACGTGTGAGAATGACAAAACTACATTCAATTATACGTGCAACTGCTTTCCTGGATTTACATCAGCTCTTTGCGACGAAGATATAGACGAATGTGAAACGAATCCATGTAAAAATGGTGCAAAGTGCAATAACTTAGTGAACGCCTATGAATGTTCATGTCGTGAAGGATGGAAAGGCTTCAATTGTGACGAGGATATTAATGAATGCGAACAAAACCCTTGTGAAAATTCAGGAACATGTACGAATCTTCCTGGTAACTATTCTTGCCAATGCACTCAGTTTTATCAAGGAGTTAACTGTACTGAGGATGTTGATGAATGCAAGAATGAAATCTGCAAAAATGGAGCGACTTGTGTGAATTCAATAGGTTCTTATAAATGTAATTGCGCTGCAGGATGGACATCCACAAACTGCGACGAAAATATTGACGAATGCTTAATAAATCCCTGTCAAAATGGAGGGACATGTATTGACGGTTTGAACGAGTATACATGTAACTGTACTGCAACTGGTTACATGGGAAAGAATTGCACTAGAGATGTAAATGAATGTCTTACTAGTGGGTTTTGCAGTAATGGAGGAACATGTAGCAACATAATAGGAAGTTATAATTGTACCTGTACTGCTGATTATATGGGACCTAAATGCCAAATACGGAATCCTTGCGCTGATGAAAATTGTAATGGAAATGGAAACTGTACACCTGTTGATGCCATTCCTAAATGCAATTGTTTTGAAGGTATTTATATATTTATAAGGAACAGAGATTATTGATTAAATAGCAGAAGAACTAAAATAATTCTTTATCTTATCAGGCTGGGAAGGAAATAAATGCCAAACTAAGGTGAGTAGATTAAATATTATCCTTATTGCCCAATATCTCAAAAATATAACAGCAAAACTATCGTCCAGATTAGATATTAAATTAATTATGTTAAGATATTAATTTCAATATCATAAAGGTTTTTCAGTTAAAAAAAAGTATCTATTTTATAAAAATTCTTGCACAGCTTCGAGAGGTTTCAACCAAGGCGACCGATGAAAATGTTGGCCTAATCGCAGGCTTGTCGGTCGTTTCTATTCTACTATGCCTGATTGCACTATGTATGATTTTTATATATTTTATGAGTTTAAATTGTTTCTTTTTGGAAAGAAACAGTATGTTTTACTATTTTACTAGAAGACTAGCTTTACTATCGTGCTAACATGTATTATTCAGAATTCCTTGCTTCATATGTTCAAACCTTGAAATTTTTGCTAACAGTTGTTAATATTAGTTAAAATTAACACTTACGTTTACCTACAGAAATCTGATGGTCCTAAAATTTCTATAATATTGGGATCAGTTTTTGGTGTTTTGTGCCTTATACTATTAATTGGTAATCATGCTTTTTTTATTGTTTTATATATTTAACGACCTAGTAGTAAATTAATCTCATATTAAAAAGTCTGTATTAAATATAGTAAATAAAACTGTATTGATTTGAGCATACCATACATATATTAAAAATTGTTTTTCTCATTTTTAACAGTGACTATTATATTGATCCTGATTGCACGTAAGAAAAGAGCAGACAGAGGCGTGTATAGCCCTTCAAAACAGGAAGTTAATGGTTCAAGAGTTGATATGAATAATGTACTGAAACCTCCCCCCGAAGAAAGACTGATCTAAATCAACGTTCTAACATGTTCTGTTATTTTTTTTCTTCTTCTAATTTCGTCTCTACCACTACCAATTGTTAAAGTTTTTTTGATTTTTGTTTTTTATTATTTCGCAATCAAATGTTAAAGATATTATCGAAATCGTGCAAAGGTGATTGCAAGAAATAGGAAAATTTGGGGAAACAAAAAAAAACATATCATGCTTTTATATTTTAACGTACATATCAAAAGAGAAAGAATTTTTGTATATTGTATTTGTTTAAATGTTTTATAGATTTTGTTAAGAGCATTTTTATTGGCAACGACATATGGTGCTATCTTAAAGCGATAATTAATAATGTAGGCTAATTTCTTTTTTTAAAAAAATTGTCTACATATCTCATTCTGTACTCAAAGCTCTAGATGTATTTATAAATAACCTTACAAAAATATGTTTTAAAAAAAAAATATAATAAAAATGTTAACTAAATCAATTTGTTCCTTCGTAACAAATTCCTCCTTCTTGACAAGCTTGGCAAAGGCTGGAATTGTGTTGCTGTCTCGGTTTTCCAGCTCGTCTGTCCAATCTTAAGATTGATTGGGTAAAACCATAATATATTTGACCGACCCGTTGATGAATATTCTGAAGCACCTGTAACGGATATAGACATTTAGTATTTATCGTTTGAATACCTTGTAATAGGCTTAGGGAGGGGATTATTTAAAGCTTGCTAAAAATGAATTATTCAGTGAATATTCAACTATGTCCCTTAGGGCTTATCAATAGGTATGGAAGTCAAAATATTTCTTTTATCATTCAATTCAAACTTATATTACAAAAAGTTAGATGCTTAGATTTATTTAATAGAAAGTTTGTTTCGATAAGAAAAGTCAAATATTGAATAGCAATAAAAATCACATTAAGACAGTATATAAAAGCAACTATGACATCGTTCAAATAAATCCTTAAACACTGATAAAATGACCCTGCAAATATTTAGGTTCATCGTCTGAGAATTATTCTGATCCCTATACTAATTTATATTATTATGATTCAAAAAGGAACAATAAATTCTTTTATCTTTTCTTTAGGTATTTAATCCTATACAACTCAATATGCTTTCTGCGGAGAGGCGATAACAAACTGCATTATTATTAATTTCACACAATACGAATCGAAGACGGAAATGTTTTCACATAAAACTACACGTTAAAGAATCTTTAATACTAAACGTATCTACAATAGGATACGCTATAGGTGTTCAACGGTGTGCACCCCCGCCTGACCTTCAAAAAGAACGCCCACCCTTTCTATCCCAGTCAATATCTCAAAGTAAACAAACGACTGAAACGTATGAGATTCTCATCACAAAATTTAAAAAAGTTAATAATTCCACTCTCTTAAAACAACCGTCCAAATCTCATTCTCAAATAAAAACTGTCATTAAATCAGCCTATTCTTTTATTCACTTTTTATGTCGTAATATCTTCTTTTCTCCTCTCTGTCACCTTTCTACAGTTAAGTAAAAACAAGAAATAATCTAGTGATTATAGTCTAATCTCTAACTCATCCAACAAACAGGGAATAAAGAAAATCATTTAGAAGAGCTATTTATCATTCATCTAACAGAAAGAATAAAGAAATTATCTATCCTATCTAAATCGACTTGTATGATCTACAATCCTATTATTTACTCTTATAACAGCTATTTCTTGTTTACTCTTATACGTATTTCCGTGAAACTTCTTTTTAAAGAATTATTTGTTATTTTCTCTATCATACAAATCTTTTCCCTTTAAAGATACTCAATATTTATTTCATTCTCTTCTTTTACTATTCAAAACAACATTTATTTTCGTCTAAAATTTAATGTTGACCTTACAACAAACCTTTTCTATTATCCTAGTCGCGTATTTTAAGTTTTCCCTTGTTATAATAAACCGTAGAGAAAGTCCTCGTCTTTTATTTGAAAATGGCCTTCTATAACTGCTATCTCTTTCACTCTCTCTCTCTCTCTCTCCCTCTTTGATATAAAAACACCAACAGTGGAAGAGAAGTATCAAACTAAAAAGAATTATCTAATCTCTAAATTTATCATGAAACATTGCGTAACATTTGCAATTTGGTGTCGTCTTCTTCGTAATTGATATAATTAATGTAACTAAATCGAAGAAAAGACAAACATGCTAATAATTTAGGGACGTTAAAAATTTTTAACCCTTCTTTCTATATAGCGACGAGCAAACAACACTCTTTTTAAATATATTTAGAAACATTTATATCAACATTCTAAAGGCATAAGCCTTTGATGTTAACCGCACAAGTTGGTTTTAACGAAAGATTGTTATTAAGACAGATCAACCTGTTACTCTTAGTTTACTGTTTGATTTAGGTATAAATTTAACATGCTGACAGGCACTTGAAGGAGATTTTAAAAACATGGGTCTACGAACCTTTTGAACCTCCTCTGGATACCACATAGCGGCCTCGAACCTCTTTCCATCCATACAGTTTTGGCATTTTTGTCCGTATAGTTTAAAGTAAACAATACCCGAATGAAATGCTCTACCATAGCAATCTAATGGCTGATAGTCATTTGGATCGAGCCAGAACCAAAAAACAACTCGTCCCTTCATACTAGTCCAACCATGGCCACATCGTTGACAATTAAACCTTACTTTTGCGCTGTCCCTGAACATATTCCATTCTGGATTTTTATTAATATCAACCGGATTTCTTGTTGGCTTTAGGTGCCATTGATGGTAATAGTTGTACCAAAATTCATTAAAGAGATTATTGAAAGAGCAATGCCAGACAACTTCCATTCTATTTAAGAGAAAAATAAAAGATACAATAAGAATATAAATTATTGTTTTTATAAAGAAAAAAAACCACTGTTACCTTCCTTTTTTTCGCGTAAATTATTAATATACATGTGTATATATAAATATAAATATACACACATATATATATATATATATATATAAGTATATATATATATGTTTATATATATATATACTATCGTATCTACTTTAATTAACTTTAATATTATTTTGTTATTATTTTTTTTTATAAAAAAAATATTTATCTTTTATTTATCGTAAAGCAAAACAGAATATAGAAAATATCTATTTCACTTTTGTTGATTTAAAAAAAAAAGCAATTAATTAATTAATTAATCAATTAAAGTATTTATACGAAAGCGTATAGTAATATATACTGTATATATATATATATATATATATATATAATTTATATATATATCTCCTGGAGATCGACAAATTTCTTTGAAAACTTTTTCTTTTTTTCTATAGTGTAAAACGATCGCAATATTTCAAATGGCATAAAACGCGTCCAACCGACGAATGCTCCTAATAACGTTTATGTTATATAATATATAGGCCTTTTAAAACGCAGGACATTTATGAATATTAAATAGCTAGCTTTCATAACAATAATAATAATACAAATATATATATATATACTAATATATATATGGACTATAAGAATATGACTAAAACACTCACGAGATATTATTAATCTTCTGTAATAAAGATAAAAAAAATGCAAAATACCTCTTTTACTAGTAATCACGGAAAAAATCATTTCAAGAACTAAGTTCATCTGCCTTACTAATAAAAAGTTTACAATGATCGTGCAACTTCTTAGACCTATGTCGGATATCACGACGTATTAATCACAAAAAGTAAACCGGAAACTACTGTAAAGTCGTTGAGCTTAGTCCTATACTTACAAACAAGAATTGGAATCCTGCTAAAAAAAACTTAATCACAGTTTTTTGATGTAAACATTTTTCTTTGAAGATCGTTAATCAAAAGCCTTAAAGAATATTTTTACATTGACCAACATCTGCTGGTTGTTTTAGCTCAGATTTTAACGGTCTATGATTGAGAGACAGATTCAAGCAGAGACAGATGCAAATATGAAAGGATGATGGTGGAAGAGAGAGAGAGAGGGAAAGATACGGAGAGACGGAGGTTCAGATAAACAGAGAGAGAGAGAGAGAGAGAGAGAAATAAGATTTCAACTAGCTTTCCTGCACTACCTTAAAAAAGAGATCTATTGTTAACTGATATATGTGTTAGCTCTTTTACTCAGTTAAGCTTTTTTTTTTCCCACAATACTTTACTCTTTAAAAAAATTACTTTTGTAATAAGACGATTTATTCATATCAGAATAACTGTCTTCCAAAATTGCTTGAACAATCATTAACAGAGCCACCTATCGATTTAATATTATAAGTTTGTTTAATTACATATCGGTCTTATGATTTGTCTTACATGTTTTCTCCAGGTCAATAAAGTTTCGAAAAACTTTTAAAGCTTTATTTTCTATTATCACAGTAAAAAAAAAAGTTCATCAGCCTGCATACTGCATTCATAAAATTTACTGAAGAAATAAACAATATATAGTATATTTTGAACCATTCTTTCCCCCAGACATAACTACATTTAAACTTCTCCTTAACCTAATTTCTATGTTTTGAATGGGTAATTCTTGCCCCGTGTGCATAATGTTGACGGTACAAATCAACATTTCGCATGTTTATAACTTTAAAACAACATCAAAATCTTCTTGAGATTCTCGTCTAGTTTGTTTACCTAATAAAGAATTAAAAAATAATCATTTTATAAGCTTATTTGTATTTGTACTCAAAAGACAAATATTAGCATGTTTTTCAAATTCTCATGGGAGAATTGATTCTTAAGTGTAAAAGGCGTTTGATACTGAAATTCTAATACTTGATAAATATTTTACAATCATCTATAGTAGAACATTCTTGCCAATTCTTATCTAATTTATCGTATTTGGTAAACGTTTCAACAGTTGCAGATTTCGAGAGAAGTTTGATAACTGTAGAAAAAGACTCAACGATGTTTAATTTCTCGGCACACGTCGTGGATATATAAACTGATATTAAAGAAGAGTAATTGTTATATATTTTAATAAATGAGCGTTTTTTTTGGGTATTTTTTAATTAATACTTAACCATTTTGTTTTTCTGTTGTTAACTTTAATTGGGTTCTCTTTGAACGTATCGCTGATACTATATTTCTTGCATACTGCATATTATTTTCAAGGGCTTCGTTTTTGAAAGCCTCCTATTTGAGAAAAGAAAAAAGGAAAAGATATGCATAAGAATGGAGAATAGAGAATAGATATTAAGTTATAAGTAAACAAACAAAATCCTCTGATTTCGGATAAGGAGTAATACAAATACTCTCTCTTTTCCCACGGATTCGCATTCTTTGATATAATTCTTCAGTTATAAATGGCATAAAAGGATGTAAAGCCTTGATTAATGTCTCTAGAACAACGTTTAAAATATTTGTAATCAATTCATTATCCAATTCATTTTTTGCGTATTCCTTTTTTATAAAAGATATCGTAAGTCAATAAATTTAAATCTCTTTTTTTCCCAATACAAACCAAGTAAATATCGGAAAAATCATTCTTCCAAAAACTTTCCAATTTATCGCATATTCTATATAATTCGTAACTTTTAAAATCTTCATCTTTGATAACATTATATAATCTACTCAAAATCCATTTATCAGTTGAAGACATAATATTTAATTCTTCTTTCTTTAATATATTAAAAGTATAAATGATAAAATTACTATTACTACGAATACTTAAAGTCATACTAAATTGATATTCTGCTTAGTTGAAGGTCTATTTTGAATAAATTTAAAAGTATTCCATATTTTATTGCAAAACCGTTTACTTGTAACGATGTGATTGATGTTGATGTTTACGTGAGGTTCTATAAAAAATTTGCTATATATTTACAAAGAAAATAACGAATATTCAAATAATTTTTACCATAAAAATTATAAGATGCAAGTGCAAAACGTAAAGCATCACTTCCGCAGGATTCAATACCAAATGGAAAATCTTTTTCCTGACATTCTTTAGCTGTTTTTATTTCAGTTGTTGATAAATTACTATCGTCTAATCGGTTCTTTAAACTCTAATAAATAATGAAAGATATTTCCAAATGAAAATTATGTAAATCAATCTGTTAATACCTCTAGGGAAGTACCGTTAATAACGTCCATTGGATCGATAACATTACCTAAGGATTTGCTCATTTTTCTACCATTTCCATCTCTGATAACTGAGTGAAGTAAAACCTGTATTATTTCAAAAATTCCCCCCTTAGACTACAATAAATAACACTAATTTATTTTTGAAAAGTACGGTATCGAAAGGAAGTTGATTAGTTAATTCTAAAGACATCATAACCATTCTAGCCACCCAAAAAAATAAAATATCGCTTCCAGTGTCTAAAACGTTGGTAGGAAAAAAGTTTCTAAAGTCTCTTGTCTGAAAGAATTTTACTAGTCTTTTGATTACTATTGTATTTTTTTTATAAAAACAAACATTTTGTGGCCAGCCCAATGAAGATAAAGGATAAAGTGACGAGGAAAACCACGTATCTAAGACATCATCATCTGAATTTAAGAAAAAAAAATGAGTCTCTTTTATAGGACTAGGAAAAGAAATAATGTGAAATTCGTACCCTGTTTTAGACTAAATTCCGTATCATCTATGCCAAATTTCTCCCTAGTTATTCTTTTCGCATCTTCAAAATTTCTCGCCGCTATCCATACAGAGTCGTCGTTTACACCTAACACATTGTAAGCAGGTATTCTATGCCCCCACCATAGTTGTCGTGAAATACACCAATCTCTTTTTAAAAAAAAGCAAATTATAAACAACCAATAAATCTTATTCATAAAAGCAAATAATAAACAATCAATAAATCTTATTCATAAAAAATAGAAGTGTCTTACTGAATATTTTCTAGCCAATTATTCCAAATATTTTCAAAATAAGCCGGTTTAAATTTCAATTTACCATTCTGTACCACCTGATAAATAATGAATTCAGTGAATAACAAATAATTGATTTTAACATTTGTATTATATAACCTCTATAGCTCTATTAGCCATTTCCTTTGAATTAATAAACCATTGAGCTTTAACTCTGGGTTCAATTACATCTCCTGATCGACTTGAATAAAATTAAAATATATTAATCTACAGTATTAACCAATTTAGTGATTCTTTATTCTACCTGCAAATAGGTAGAGACATTGAATGCTCTTTTTCCCCCTTATAATATCCAAATGATTTTAACGAGTCTTTAACCGCCATTCTAGCTATAAATCTTGGTAGACCCTAGAAATTGGAAAGATTTTCTTAGGAATACATTTCAAGTGTACATTACAAGCTTAATTACAGAAAACGGAAATGGACAATTAATCATATATCCCTTGTCGTCAATAACAGTAATATCCTTTCTTAAGTTATGCCTCTCGGCCATAGCCATATCAGAAAAATCATGAGCTGGGGTAATTTTAACTGCACCTAATTATTTGGCAAAGTTAATTAGAGATTAATGATATTTTCTATTGAGGTCACCTGTTCCAAATTCCATATCAACACTTTCATCACAGATAATGGGCAAGAGTCTTTTCGTGATGGGATGAATAACTTTTTTATTATGCAATGATGAATAACGATTGTCACGAGGATTAACAGCAATAGCAACATCTCCAAGCATAGTTTCTAAGCGAGTTGTTGCTACAACAATTTCTTCATTTTCTACAAAATAAAATTTTTAAGAGTATGTTAATTAGATGAAAGTAACGATTGCTAAATAGTTAAAGTCTTACTAGAATCGAATATTGGATAAGAAAATTCTACAATTTTTCCGAATTCTAGTTTTTCATCGTAGCCAGGAATTTTTAGTTTTGTTGGTGTTTTTATCTCTACATTTTCAATCTGAAAGAGATAAATTGTTACAAAAGCTATAAAGGGAAAGAATTAATTTTCACCTCGATATCCGATATCGTAGAATTTAAAGTACAACAATGATTAATTAGTTTGTTTGCTCTGTAAATGAGTCCTTTATGGAATAGTTTTAAAAATGCTTCGTGCACTGCTTGATTCATGTTCTATAGAGAAAAACATTCTTTTAATACCAATTAACGTATAAGTCTTTATATAAGAATTATTCCTAACGTCGTCCATAGTAAAACAAAACTTATTCCAATCAACTGAAGCACCAAGTTTTTTTAACTGTTGACTTATTTCTGCAGTTTTTCTGTTGTTTTTTTTTGAAAAAACAAAATAAACTTTTTATCACTTTGTTCTTTAAGAAACATACTCATTCTTCCAAATTTGAGCTTGAGCAATAAATTCTTCTCTCTCCATATCATTCCTAGTTTTTCCTTGCTTAGCTAAATATTTCTCAACTATAACTTGGGTGGCAATACCAGCGTGATCGCAGCCAGGAATATATAATGCATTTTTACCATTCATTCTATGATACCTTATTATACTATCCTCAATTACAACTCCTAAAGCATGTCCTAAATGTAAGGTTCCCGTTACATTTGGAGGTGGAAGACAGATCGTAAAAGAATTCTTATCTTTCTAAACGATTAATTTCAGATTCAATGTCAAAGTCAGATAAATGAAGAATTTTATAAATATTATTACCTCTGCTTTAGGCGTAAAAAAACCCTCTTTAGCCCACCAATCGTACCAAGTTGACTCAACAAATTGGCTATTATATTTCGATGGCAGACCTAATGTTACATTCTTCTTATCACCAGCTTTTAAAGTTCTATCATAGTAACTATCATCAACTTTCTCTTTAGCATCTCTTTTTTCCAACTTTTTCCTTTGATTTTCCAATCTTTCAAGTTTCCTCTTTTCCTTCCTCAATTTCTTTTCTTCTAGCTTAGATATACTTCGGCTAATGTTAATATTCGAAGAGTTTACTGTGACCCGGCGGAGATTTACTAGCATTTTCATCTAATATCACTCAGTATATACGGTAAATTATCAGAAAAATCAAAATGTATGCTAAAACAGCTTTGTAAATTAAACGCAAATTACTGCAACTTTATTAAATAATTGATATATAATAATTATTTCTATAAGCCTTGAGCTATAGATAGAAATGACTGAAAAATTTGAGCACGCTCACAACATGTTTGGCAAAATATCATTTATTGAGGGGATGCCAAGAAGAATATATATATATATACATATATATGTAGGTATTGACCAGTTTTTACTGAAAGCTCTGAAAATTTAAACTATCCCGCTATAAACTTATAAGTAATTTATCCTGTTTTAGAATAAATATATACTTCTCTACACTAGACTTATCTGATTATTGGAGACTAAATTGGCCATTTCTACATATATTTTATAGTTCAGCTAATATAAAGATATTCTACACCAGAAAGGCATGATTAATCCAATAGTTTCTAATATCGTTTCCCTATATAACTCATTGTATACTAAATGTTCAATTCTCTTTTTCAAACTTATATACACTTTAATGTCTTGTATTTTTTCAGTTCTTAACCAAGAAAACACCATTTATAGATTTATTTACGTTAATCCGACAGTTATATCATACAGAAATAGCGAATTGGAATATATAATTTACAAAGACATTTGCTCTATTTTATTGACAGTTATATTGTTTTTTCTTATCAAGTTTTACGTGGGCAATTTCTTCTATCGTGTCCTTGCTCATTACAATAGCCACACTTTCGCTTTTTAGCAGATCTTGTTACTGAATCATCCAGGTTGTTATCATTATCGCCTTTTTCATCAATCCACTCGAAAAAGTTACAACTTCGCTTAGGGCAACTATAAAACTGCCGTCCCTTGTTTGCATTGTTCTTTGATACGACTTTTCTGAGAAAATAAATTTATTTAGCTCAAATGTTTAGAATCATCATAAATTGAGACAACTTACAGAATGGCCACTTCCCCGCAAGCGCATCTCCTGTCTTCTCCGGACGATTGCTGAATCTGAGTGGTATTACCAGAATAGTTTTTCTTAGATCTACCAATCATAGACGGTTTTCTCGATTGTGTTTGGCTCTGAAAACTTTGGCTCTGAAAACCTTGACTGGAAGGTTGATTATGGCTTTGACTAGAATCAGTGTCTTGCCATTCGAAGAATCCGCATTTATCGTTAGGACACGCGGCGAAAGGTCGTCCTTTATTTTGACCATTTTTGCATGTTAGTTTTTTAGCAATTGCAGGACATTTACACTTCACTTGATCATTTTGAGTCGATGACTTTGGTTCATCGGCCCAAAGAAAGAATCGACAATTTGATGTTGAGCAAGTATAAAATTTTCGCCCTTTATTTGGGCCCTCTTTTTTTACTTCAACTAACTTTGCGTCTGTTTCACAATTGCAAACGACAGTATCACTAACGTTACCGAAATTTTGAGAGGCATTTTGAGCACCTAAAAAACTTCTCATTCCATGTGATCGTTCGCTCTTTAAATCAGTTTTCGGATATACGGTTCTAGTTCTATCAGTTGTTGATGAACTGCCTCTAGACTGTTGACTACTACGAACAGATTGAACTGGAGTAGCTATGTTTCTAGCGTTTGGAGGGGAGATTACAGTTGATTCAGATAATCGAAAATTTAAAGTATCTTTTAGTTCATTATCACAGACAACACAGCCATTATAAATTGGTTGCATATGCATTGGAGCGGTTCCTTGTCGAAATTTAAACTGCATCAATTTTGTTGAATGGCACTACAAAATACAAGGAAGATTATCTAAAATTATTTAAATATAACTTCTGTTACCCTGTCACAAATATCATTCGTTACTTTGGCTTCCAAAACAGATGACGGTAACCAACAAACTGTTTTACAGTTTGGAAAAGCAACACAACTTATAAACCAGCCTTTATTATCCTTTTTTTTCTTCAAAACCATATCACTTGAACACGCCGGACAAGTTAAAATTTTCTCCACAACTTCTGGTATATAATCTGTTGTTGGGATAAAGTTTAATTTTGGGGGAAGTCTTTCAAGTAGCATATATATACCTTGTTCACGAACTTCTTGAGCCGAACCAAAATAGCAAGCTAGTGCATTGTCTAATTTTGAAGCTTGTCTAAACGCTTCCTCAAAGACAGATTTATATTTTGTTATTTGTTCTTGAAGTACTTCTACAAGTTTTGACAAGAAAATTTTTTTATTATTTAATGCTGAAAATGAATTAAAAATATTTAACCATCTTTATTCTTTCTCCTTTCGCAAATTGCTTTCAGGTCTGCTTCTAGTTCTGATCTTAGGTGTGGTTTTGACATTTCAAAACCCATTGAATCATAGCCTTCTACCAACCCCATACCAAGTTCTCCAGGTACAAATTTGTTTTCACGTAATCCAACATATAATCTTGACTTAATTGTTTCTATGTGTTCAGCGTGAGTTGCATCAGTTCCTATACCATGTTTTTCCATAAGAGCAATCAGATCCGCCTCGGTCAAGAGAGGCGGTGCTGTCGTTGATCCATCTACCAAGTCTATCGACTTGGGCTCAAAACTATCCTGCAAAATATTTGTCACCGACGTAAATTCATGATAAATTAATAAATAAACCGAATAGAAATGTGTTACATTGACATTATACACCGGCAAGGTTTTATCACTCCAATTGTCATATGGATAAACTTCTAAGTAATTCCTCTCTGTTATCATTAGTCCTTGAGCCGTGAAAAGTTCTTTATTGACCTCAATGTCCACAGTGGTCTCAAAACCTTGAGCATCTTTTGAACAACACGCCAGAAACCGCCTCACCACAAATTCATACACTCGAGCTTCGTTTCCTTGTAAAGAATCAGCATACTTTGTTGGATGAATAGGAGGATGAGCCTGATCAGTTTTTCGCCCATTTCTTGGGTTAGCACCATCCATTAAAAGACGAGAAGCAAACTCTGTTAAAATAATATGAAATTTATAAAAATTAATGAGGCATATACAAAGTAACCTCCCCAGTTTGGATTTCTAGTTTGTTGTTGTATCAAGTCATTGAATTTGAGATCTTTAGGAAAGATATTGGTTTCCGTTCTGGGATAAGATATAAAACCCTTAGTATATAATTTTTCAGCAATTTTCATTGTCTCTTTAGCATTAATTCTAAGCTTTCTTGAAGCTAATTTCTCAAGTTCCTTTAATAAATATTAAAATAAGTAGATATCAGAAAGTGATAAAAATTCTTCAACTTACGACAGTATCTAATGCTACTGGACGCCATTTAGATTTAGGGCGAGTTCTAACGTCAGTAACATTAGCTATGGGAACCTGTGGATTTTGACTATTAATTTTCTTAAATTTGATATATTAATTCACTTACTTCAATACATTGTTCATATAGAGCCAAACATAAATCGTAATCAAACAGACGATTTCTGAAAAAGTATTAAATGAACTATTTTAGTGAAATTTGAGTGTTTGATTCCCAACCTTTTCCAACTAAAATCAACGCTAGATCCGTCGTTCTCATGGGTCACTTTTTAAAAATAAATTTATACTGACTCCTAAAGCTTTGTTTTCTATCAATTGTTTACCTCTTATTTTCCAAAACGGTTCCGGAACAAAATCTTCAACTTGCTTATACCTCTCCACAACAAATCCCAAAGTTGGAAATTGACAGGATCCGTAAGAAATTAATTGATTATTATCGCCTCCCAAACTTTGAGGAAAAGCACTCTGAAGTCGAAGAGTTTGGAATCTAGTAAAAGCGGCACCAATTCGAAGGTCTAGCTCTGATCGTACATCAACTGCTGCATTTGTGAATTCGTCAGGCGCTATTAGGTTGTTAATGGCCCGATGAACGGCTCTATTAACGAAAAGTGATAATCCATAATTTTACTAAATGTACTATAATCACAAACCCTGCAGTAATCTCTGAAAATTTAGCTCGGTACACTGGAATATTAGGCTTTACTAAAAGATTACAAAGAGTTATTAATATTAACAAATTTGCATGATAAATTGATTTAATACCTTTTTTACAAACTTCTATGACTTCAAACCCTATATTTTCTCCCTCTCTATCGCAATCGGTCCAGACGACTAATTTATCACAATTTCTTACTTCTCGTTCAAGTGTTTTCTTAATTCCTTCAAAATCTGGAGGACATTTTTTATAAACAGGAGCAGTGAAAAGTTGAACCGGATTACAAGAACGCCAGTTTGTGAACTGAGGAGTAAATTCCCAAGTTAATAGATGACCAGATACAGAAGTCATAATCATTGTGCTTGGAGTATTGAACAAATTATACTCAAACTCATATATTTTGTTGTATTTTGATAGCCCGTCTCTCTAAAAAAAAAAATACCATATTAACATTTTTTTTCTTCGAATTGCTGTTTTATTAATTAAACTTTTCTTATCTCCGCTTGTTTACAATCTCTTTAGATCATGAGTGAAAGAATACAAATAATTTGAATTAACATACTCTCCTGCAGTGTCCTTTAGACAACATTGCTGCCAACGACTTGGCCGCATCATTTTTCTCTGCCACATTTAGGACTCTCGGCATTTTCCCATAAGCAGCTGATGAATACGAACGCAAACAAGTGATGAAACGAATCAACATTCGAGAAACGAAAAAATAGTTTATTTCGCAATAAATCCCTCTAAGAATTGATCCCTTTTAAGATTAAATGAATTCATATCAAATTCAGATTTAATGTAAGAGAATTTATTCTGAGAAAGGAACTTCATCAATAAATTTGAGCTAAACTAAACATTGGAAGAAAGGTTTGTAATGAGCGATATTACAAAAGTGGCGCGACCGGATCTAGGCCGAGCTATATTTTACCAGTTATCTTATTATAAAGAACTTCTTTTAAATTTGTCATGAAAAATAAAGAAATATTTTTTACAAGCTAAAATACAGCCATGTCATATGGTAAAATATGAGTTTAAATGCCTGAATATAATTCCCCAAAAAAATTAAATAATAAAACTTAAAAATCTAAATAATTACAATATATTGTTTGTCTATCTTCGAACAAACATTAAGAATAAGAAAAATGTGGAAATATGATATTACCAAGGATCACATAATAATATTGAAACGACGATTTAAACTTTCTGAAAAGTGTGGTATGTGTTCCATACTGTTCAGAGCAGACCTCATTGGCTGACTTCCCGCCAAAACCTATTACTATCGCACTAACACTTCTACTACATCATTCTTATTCTCTAGAAGATTGAGTCTACACGAAGGAATCCGAAAGATGATAGAAGTAAAGGTAGCCCACACTGAAGGTCATAGTGATTTTACCTTTTCAAGTGATGGAAGGTAGCCGTCTGTTAATATATATTTTATCGCTCAGTATTACAAACTTTTCATACTTATAGTCAAATTCTTTCTTGCGGTCGGGAAGGAGATGTAAAAATCTGGGATGTAAATGAAGATAAAGATCCAAAAACTATTTCAGTTGGAGAATGCATAACAGCCATTGATTTCTCGGTATTTTGATACATGTTAATTCTCTCAACTCGATAATTATATTATAAACTGTTAAAAACAGGAGAATGCTTTTTTCGTTGGTGTAGAAAATGTGGTAAGGAAATATACATATCCTGACGCTGTAGATGACGGAACTGTAGTTAGATTCACTGGAACTGTAACTTCAGTAAAAGTTAAAAGAGATTTTTTATTTTCCGCTTCAAGGTAATTATATCCATTAATACGATGAAAAATTATAAAAAGTTGAATTTTTTTAGTGATTTTACCGCAAAACTTGTGAAAATCTCAAATTTCAAGATTTTATTGAATATTTCTCAACACGAGGCTCCAATTTTAGCAGTAGACCTGCAATCATCTGGTCAAACATTGGTAGTATTTTTTTAAATATATTTTCCCATTTGCTATTTTTAACTTCTATTATTATAGGCTACAGCCAGTTTAGATGGATATGTTAAAATTTGGGATCAAACTGGATTATGCATGGAAAAACACAAGTGTATACCAATTGGGAATGACTTTCAGTTAGCAAAATTTCATTTTTCATAAATATGCCATGAATAAATGTTACTTTGTTGTTACAGCTATGCAAAAACCTTGTGTAAGTTAGCCTTTTCACCAAATGGCGAGGTATATTTCAATTTCAGTGTTTCGTTTAATATTGAGAAATTAAAAAATTTTTTAGCACCTGGCTGTACCAAATGAGAAAACTGTTGATATACTATTTGAAGATGAACTATGGGCTTGTAACTTTTCTTTGAAAACCAATATAGAAAATCATGAGGTAACAAACTTAAACAACCAAATTGAGAAGTTTCTAATAAACTTATATTTCATAGTTCATAAATGTTGTTTGTTTCTCTTCAACTGGAAAAAATCTGAGTGCAGCAACTGTAGACGGTCATATTTTTATGTGGAATTTGAAATCAAAGGAATTAATATTTTCGGAGAGACATCCTCATAAGCGAACTATTACATCTCTCTCATGGAATCCATCAAAAGAACAACTTATCTTCACAGATAAACAGGGTCAACTTTGTTTAACTGAAGAATTGAAATTAGACGAAAATTATAAAGAGTCCGCCAAAGAAGAGAGTGAAGAAAATTTAAACGATTTGTTTGACGATAGGGATAGTGATGTTGATATTTCAGCTATAAAGAAAAAGACATTATCAGCATTTGGATTTGAAGATGAGGAGGACTTAGCAAGTATACTCTATCATTTTTATTTAATAGACTTTTTTAATAATCTATTATTGATGCAAAGCTGGTGGTACTCAAATAATTGATGATGAAAATTCTGAAATGGAAAGCAAGACTAAAATTAAAGAAATTATTAAACATGTTCCTATTGACACCTGGAAACCGAAAGAACCCCAGAAAGCTTTTCAGCCAGGCTCTACTCCTCTCCATCTGCCTCATCGGTTTATGATGTGGAATATGGTAGGCGTAATTCGCCATTATCAAACGGAAGATGAAAATTCAATTGACATAACTTTTCATGACAAAGCAACACATCACGCCGTACATATTCACAACGATGCTAATTATATCATGGGTGATGTCAGTAAAAAATGTTTCGTCCTGGGATCGATAGGTGATGATGACAACCAAAGTTCTGTAATGTGTGAACACTTTGCCAGCTGGGATTCAAACAAGAGATGGATACTTAACTTGGAAAATTCAGAAAAAGTAGAAGCCTTGTGTATTGGTGAGAAGTGGATTGCCCTTGCAACAGACTTAAACTTTATTAGACTTATAAGTATAAGTGGTGTTCAGCTGCAAGTTTTTTGCAGTCCAGGTAAAATTGTTTGTATGTCGGCTTTCCAGGATCAATTGATGATTGTATATCATAAGGGAATACCTTATGACTGCCAGAGTTCCTTAGCAATAAAAATTATGAAAATAGCGAAGACTTTTAAATGCGAATACGTAGAGCAACTATGCTTGTCTCCAGCGTCTAGCCTTTCATGGATAGGGTAAGATAATTAAATCACTGTCACTTAGTAGAAATCTGAACTGGAATATTTACAGATTTACACAACAAGGATCTCCATGTACAGTAGATAGCCGGGGAATTGTGCGTATGCTTGTTAAGTCTTTTGGAAATAGTTGGGTACCAATTTCAAATTTAAAAGATCATGTAAGCTTTAATTGATTGCTATTTGTTTTGTCTTTAAAATACGAATATGTGATTTATAGACTAAGGGTAAAAGTGATGGGTATTTTGTGGTCGGTATCTGCGAAGAATCGGAACAGATACGATGCATTTTCTGTAAAGGTTCAACTTATCCGCCAACATTACCATGGCCTGTAATTACTACCCTCTCAATTCGCCTACCTTTTGCGAATTCAGAAGAAGATAAGACAAAACTTGAGGTAAAAGATAAGTGTTACGTTGTTGTGATTATTAGTGTAAATCACACATGTTACTGTAGGAAAAACTCTGGCGAACTGTTGTACTCAAAGATTGGTTAGAAGCGTTCGATGATGAAGACAAAAAGAGGCAATTAGATATTAGAGAGCAAGAAGTACTCATCAGAATGTTTGCGGTAAATATCTATTAATATTGGTTAATTTTCCATTATTAGAACTTTTAAATCAATTCAGATGGCTTGCAAACAAGATCGTGAATATAGGGCTATTGAAATAGCGAGAATGACTAAAAATTCGCATAATGCCGCTTTGACCAGTAAATATGCCGCTAAACTGGGACTGATGTCGCTTGCCGAACGCTTGAATGATGTTATTCGAGAGAAAAGTGAGGAAGAGGAGTTAAATTTCTTGGCCGCAAAAGAACAGCCTGTTGAAGATAACTCTCAAAGAAAAACTCTTGACGACAGTAGCCAAAGAGATGACGATGAGGTAATGATTAAGCCTAAGCCTACGTCAACGCCTTTATTATTTCGATCGGAATCTCCATCTGTGGATAGCCTACCTTCAACGCCTCAAAGCCAAAACTGGCAAAACCCTTTCAAAGTGAGTGAGTTCAATTAACAGATTTTTTTTTCATCTAATCCTTTTTTTAAGGCAAACGACAGTGGAAACTCGACGCCCATTTTAAGGAGAGGAAGCAGTGTCTTTGACGATTTGAAGCCGACTTCAAGAGAGAAGCTAAAAGGAGATGAACCTCAAAAAGCAGTGAAAAGAAAGAGCACCACTCAGACTACCCTTACACCGTCAAGTTCTAAAAAGAAAAAAGAAAATATTCCGACAGCTTTCGGATTATGGTTAGAAGAAAATAAGGAAAGTTTGGAAGAGGAAAACCCAGATGTTTCCTCTGAAGATATGGCGGTACTTGCCGCAAAACGTTTTAAAGCATTGCCAAAAGAAGAAAGACAAATTTATGCAGAGAGAATTAAACAAAAGACCACGAGTGAAGATAATAAAAAGCCTGAAAAGAAATCTGGCTTCGATAAATTAAATTCCTTCACATTCAATAAAATCTAAACAAACATTTTTCACATTGAAAATATTCTATATTTCATAGTTTTCCTGTTTTAACATAAAAAATCTGGAACTAGTTTAAATTATATCTCATGTGATAATACTAAATAATTTTATCTTTGCAAGAGTTAAATTATATATTATTAGTTTTATATTATGTATGGAAATTATATATACACAGTATATATATATATATATATAAATACCAATACATTTAAAAATTTTCTTGGGTTAGCTTATTATTATATAGCATCTTTTAGAAAACACTATCAAGATGAAATATAAGGATAATAATTTTCCACAGGAGGAAGATGAGAGTACTTCGTATAGTGACAATTGGAAAAGGCACAAGTGAAGCCATAGATAAGCATTAAAATAGTAACTTATCCGATTTTCACAAGGATTCAATTTGTACTAAAACAAAAGCGAAATTTGGAAAGATCAAAGGTCCAAAAGTTGACTAGGCCAAAGGACTTATAGGTAAAAATCTACAATATCATTGTTAAACAGTTGCAGAGGTATATACTCTTTTTCAAATCGTCGATTTTAATATATTTATATAAATAATTTAAAGATCTTAAGATCGTGAAATTGGTATACACGGTAAAAATTACAATACTTCGTACTATATTCTTATATTTATAAATTTAAACGGTATATTTTATTGGCACATTTGTTAGTAATTTTGTATTGCAATTGTCATCCTATAATTGAATTAGACTCCACCCAATTCAAGATCCACCAACCAATCATAGACTATATTGCTTTTAGTCCTATAACGAATGTACTGAGTTCATTTCAACTTTCAATACTTATTTCTCAAAATCTCTATAGTTTCTTCATTTTCATTCCTGATTCCAGAGTGTACCTGAGAAAATGGCAAGTGGAGAATTAGGCAAGTTTTCATCATATGCAATTGAATATTTAATTACAACGATAATTAATTGAATGAAATTCCCTTTAACAAATAGCTTTACTTAGCGTTTCCAACAAGAGAAATCTAATTGAATTCGCTGAGAGCTTACACAAGTTGGGAATGCAATTAGTCGCCAGTGGAGGAACAGCTAAAGCAATAAGGAATGCTGGCTTACCTGTCAGGTTCGTAGAAATAATATATTAGATGTACATGCTGTATATACTTGTACAACATTAAAAAAAAGGGTACTTTGATAGCCCAATAAAGTGTTTTGCAAGTTCCTTTATCTCTGTTCTCCGAAGATAAAAGATAACTCGGGTACGCAAAGCAGTACTCTTGAGATTTAAGGTTATGCAATTTTTTCAGAGATGTTGCGGATATCACAGGAGCGCCAGAAATGCTTGGAGGTAGGGTGAAAACTCTTCACCCAGCAGTTCATGCTGGAATATTGTCCAGATTAACTGATGGAGATTTGAACGATATGAAGAAGCAAGATTATCGACTTATAAAAGTTGTTGCTTGTAATTTATATCCTTTTGTTGAAACCATTGAGAAAGAAGGAGTCACAATTGACGACGCTATCGAAAATATCGACATTGGAGGTGTAACTCTACTGAGAGCTGCAGCCAAAAATCACGCAAGAGTGACTGTTGTAAGTGATCCAGATGACTATACAAGGTACTGTAAATTTAATCTCCAATAATTTACGAAAATACTTAAACACCATCCAATATTTCAGTATCATAAATGAAATGCATAAAAACGACAATCATGATACATCTGTGGATACTCGACGTCAACTAGCCTTAAAAGCATTTCAACATACAGCCCAATACGATGATGCTATTTCTGATTTTTTCAGAAAGAGCTATTCTAGTGGTGTTTCCCAAATGCCACTTCGTTACGGTATGAATCCACATCAGAAACCAGCTCAAATATTCAACACTGAGCAAAAGTTACCTTTAGATGTTCTAAATGGATCCCCAGGTTTTATAAACCTTTTGGACGCTTTGAACGCTTGGCAACTGGTTGCTGAGCTGAAAAAGGCAGTTAATTTGCCTGCTGCGGCTAGTTTTAAGCACGTATCGCCAGCTGGAGCAGCCGTAGGTGTTCCCCTTACTCCGGATGAGGCTAAAGTTTGCATGGTTGGAGATATGTTTGAACGTTTGACTCCTTTAGCAACAGCATACGCTAGAGCTAGGTGTGCCGATAGGATGTCAAGCTTCGGCGATTTCGTTGCTCTATCCGATTGTTGCGATGTTGCTACAGCTCAAATTCTGTCTAGAGAAGTCTCAGATGGTGTTATTGCTCCTAACTACGAAGAAGATGCCCTGAAGATACTTTCTCGAAAAAAAGGTGGAAATTATTGCGTGTTGAAAATTGACGAAACCTACAAACCAAGCGAACTTGAACGGAGACAAGTTTTTGGTTTGACTATGGAACAAAAGCGCAACGATGCTACAATTGATTCAAGTCTCTTTCAGAATATAGCAACAAAGAGAAAGGAAATACCTGAAGATGCCATTCGGGACATGATAGTTGCCTCGATAACCCTTAAATATACCCAAAGTAATTCGGTATGCTATACTAGAAATGGCCAGGTTATTGGTGTGGGAGCTGGCCAACAGTCTAGAATACACTGTACTAGGCTCGCTGCTGAAAAAGCTTCAAACTGGTGGCTACGTCATCACCCCAGAGTCTTGGATATGGCATTTAAAGATAATGTCAAGCGGGCTGAAATTTCAAACGCAATTGATTTATATGTGTCTGGCATGATTGGTAAAGATATTGACATAAACACGTGGAGCAAAGCGTTTAAGGAAACCCCGCCTCTACTTACAGAAGAAGAAAAAGATAAGTGGATGGAAAAATTGGATCAAGTCGTCTTATGCTCCGACGCATTCTTTCCATTCAGAGACAACATAGATAGAGCAAAGAGGATGGGAGTTGAATTTATTGCATCTCCAAGTGGTAGTCAAAATGACCAGGTGGTTGTAGACGCCTGTAACGAGCATAACATGGCTATGATTTTCACAAAATTAAGATTGTTTCACCATTAGAATGTAAATTTAGCCTTTGTAATAAAATATGAAACAAATTAGACATTTGTGTATATTTTACTTTTATTCATTATTCAAAATTTATTAATTTCATATATTTTACGGGGATTTATTTATACAATATTTAGTTTTCTCGCTTATATGATTAAGACTTCTAATAGTTAATTAATCTGAATCCAGAATTTCGATTACTTCGGTAGGCTCTGTTGATTTTTTCCCCTTCTTATTTGAATGAGTCCTTCTAGTTGTTTTCCTAGTTTTTGTTTCTTGAGAGTATTGGACTACAACAGTCTCCTTTTCACTATCGTCACTTTCAGCTTCCTTTTTAACGGATATCCCATATTTCTGAAGCTGTTCTCGAACCAGACGTTCAACTCGTTCTCTTTCCTCGCTTGAATTTCTTCTCGATGACTCTGGTTCAAATTCTGCCCTTCTAGAAACATTTCTGTTACGTGAATTGCGACTTGTTGATCTTGTTGAGCCATAAGGTTTTGAGTTATGTTCTTCCAAATAATAAGGCGGAGGATCTCTAGGGCGTGATGGCCACCTTAAATCATCATTATAACGTCGCTTTTGTTCACTTGGTTGCATACTTGGAGGGGGCACTTTCATTTCCCAACCACTTGAACGAAGGTATAATTTTTCCTTTCTAGCTTCTTCTTCATCTCTTTTCTTCCTCTCTTCTGCTCTTATTTGTTGATATCTCCACTCTTTCCTACCTTTTTCCTTCTCCATTTCTCTTACTTCGTTGTACTTGTCATGGGGCCAGTGCTTACGAGATCTACTTCTATTACTTGATCTGTGAGATGATGACCTTGAACTGCGTCTGTCACTTCTCCTGGCTGATCGAGAATATCGATAGTAAGATCTGTCAGACGAACCTGACCTTGATCTGGAGTATCGTTTTTTCGAACCCGATCTAGATCTGGATTTTCTATTTCTAATCCATTCTTCATAATCACTATATGCAGGTGAGTTCGATTTCGATGACCTACCTTCTTTTTTTATCTCTTCTGTATTATAATCGGTTGTTTTGAGGTTTTCCTTATTCGTCTGCAAATCACCCTTTTCATTATTAATACTGTCACTAATAGCTCTGACTTCAATAGTATTTTCATCAATATTTTTAGGACTTTGACAATTAATTGAATTATTTGCTTCAGTCTCACCATCTGACGTTTTGCTCTCTTTTTCATTTTCAGTCATAGACTCTGGGTTCTCATCTGGTCTGCTAGTTATAAGTCGAGAAACAGATGAAGATCGACTAGGAGAATAGGGTGACTCATCATTTTTATTTGAAGGAGATTGGCTTGTACTTATACCTAAATTTGGGTCTTTGTTAATTCTCTGATTTTCTTCTTGTAACTTATAAGCTGAATTTTGTTCGTCAAGAGTTTTAGATTTTGATTCAGAATCTGATATCTCTTTTAGCTTCTCTTTTTCCTTAGATCTTGACTTAGAACGAGAATTATATCTTGAGACCCTACTATGTTTTGAGCTAGAACGGGATAAAGAACGATAACGACTACGACGCCTGGATCTGGAGTTAGATCTAGACCTCTCGTATGATGAATAAGATCTGGATCTTGATCTTCTGGACTTTGAATAGGATCTGTTATTTGTCACGAAAATTAAATTATAAAATTCTGATAGGGTATATAAGTGTACCTATGACGTGATTTTCTTCGGCTAGGCGAACGACTTCTACTATAAGATCTCCTCCTGCTGTAAGAGCGTCTCCTACTGTAAGAACGTCTCCTACTGTAAGAGCGTCGCCTACTACTATGCGAACGTCTTCTACTACGAGATCGTCTCCTACTGTATGAACGCCGTTTACTTCGTGATCGTCGTCCGGAGCTTGAAGATCGACTTCGAGATCTTGACTCCCTCTCAACTGGTATAGGAGATCGATAAGGCTTCGGTCTTGGTGGAGTAAGCATAAAATCTTTGTCAGCTTCACGAAACTCTTCGTTCGGGTTACGAAAAGGATGGAGATAATTACAACGTTTGCCTCTTAAGCATTCACCTCTTTGGAACCCAGCTGTTATAATTTCGAATATAACTCATGAAAATAATGTTTTTTAAAATATTTACAGCAAATGGCATATCTCCAACGACAAACGTGGGAGAATTCACAACTAAGCTGCCTGCCTGCATACCATCTACCATTAAACCTCTTATAGGCTGTAATAGCGTCCTCTAACCTAGAAATGTACCTAATTTAATAATTTGCATAGCAATTTTATAGGATAAGAACCTATCATATTGAACATATACATTGCCGCGTAGATGCGGTTCGTAATTACAACACACTTTGAATTGTAGAACTCGACCACAAAGTTTAAACTCTGGTAGTGAATCTTGATAAAACTCCATAAAATGTTTATAAATAGCAGAATATTCATATTCCAAAGTAAGATCTGCAATAAAACTATTGATAAACACTGTTTTCATTTTCATTTTATAATATTCAACACCTGTATTGTAATCGTCATCATATAATCCTTGTTCTAGTTCAAAATGATAGTACATGTTGTGAAATATCAGAGTATTGCTATGCTCCACTCTAGGATGGAATCTCGAGCATCTAAACATTTATTTAACCATTAGGAGCTATTAATAATTATAGTCTATCAATTACCTATTCCCAAATCTGCACACTCCAGTTTTCCAATAATAATTACATTTATTGGCTTCTAATTGTAGTCTATCAGTCATTGATTGACTACTATAAGACATTTCATGAGAGGTTGGGTTCCTCCAATCGGCATCCAAAGAATTTGTGTATACTGGTGGCTATGTTCAAAATGGTAAAGCAGGTTATAAAGCTGATTAGAACTTAAGACTTACAGGCATGTTATTATGCTTTTGAATAACTTTTTTCTTTGGTCTCTCAAAAGTATCCGTTGACTGAAATCACACAGATTACTATTGTTGGTAAAAATACAACCAAAAATGAATAACCATACCTCTTCTTCGTGAGCGCTATCATTTTCTTCATCAGATCTCTTATTCGTTTTTATTCTCTTCTTTACAGACTTTAATTTTTCTTTTTCCTCATATTCCAATCTTATGCGTCTCTAAAGGTTGGAAGTTAGGCCACTTAAGTTTCTTACATCAAAAATGTTGTAGAAAGGAATTTTAAGCATTAACTACAGATTGCATTACCTCTATTTCCTCTCTTCGCTTTTTCTCATATTCCTCCCTTTCTCTATTGCCCGCCCATTCCAGATGGGCAATTCGTTCTCTTTCCATCATAATTTTGTATTCTCTTTCTCTATAGGCAACAGCTAGTAAGTTTAACAGTAAACATTGAATTAAAAGACCGTATTACTTTAATTTCTTTTCCTCTTCTGTATAATCATAATTATCACTATCTTCATCTGGAATCTGATCATCGGTTATTTCATACTCTAGATTAAATAAATTTGAGATACAGTATTTAGCAGCATGAAATTATTAAATTACCTGGTACTCCCAGTTCCTTGGCCTTGAGTTGTTTTCTTTTCTTTTGACGTTCTCTTTTTAAAATCAGTTTCCATTCTTTTTTACTAGAAGTGAAATTAATTTTATGTTTACAAGCAATATTATTTAATATCCTTTTTATATTTTTAGTTTTACAAATGTTAAAAAATTAGCCAAATATGAATTTTTAATGAATTGAAATATATTTAACGTATGAAAAGTAGTGCTTGAATTTTAGATAATTAAATGATTTCAAAGTTTGTAAGTAAAGTAAGGAATTGGGATCGAACAAAAATTTTAAATGGAACCTATTGAAATTGAGCGTTTTACAGCATTATTGAGAATATATGATATGCATACATTTCTTTTCGTTTTTCTTTGAGCATTCTGTATTTTTTTCGGGCGCTTGATATGGACTCTTCATCATCTTGAAGAGTCGCTTTATGGTAAAGATCATTTTCATTTTCTTCTATCTCTTCAGATACGTTCGTCGCCATTTTGATTTTTCTACGGAAATGGGTCTGTAGAAAAGGAATATTTCGCCCAGTTTACCAGCTTCGTCATTTGCATCCCGCGCCTCATGCGAACCAGAGCTTTGATGAATCGTGAAATATCTCGTTTAAAATTAACTATATATTTTCTATCTAAGATGAATCCTAATAATCTAAGTCATCTAATAGTCCAAAAGGACTTTCAGCTCTATAAAGTCATCAGCTGAGTCTTTTGTAAAAATTAGCGGAACATGGCCGGACCATGCTTCCATCAGTAAGAGAAAGTATTGGAAATTGGAAAGGTAAGACTTATTACTAATATTATATATCTTTCATTTACAAGTAATTATGAAATTTTAGAAAGAAATCCTTAGCCGAAAGATGGGAAAATTTTGGAAGGCAAATTCCACGTGCTTTTCGTGTCGCCGTTTTCTCACAAGTAAGTAGTGTGCTGAACTTTATTATTAAATCATCGATGTCTGCTTCTTGCGCGTCTCTCATTATGACTGACCCAAGAAACTATTGTAGTAGTCACGCGAGACCCTTTCGGGTTGACTCGCTACTACAACATCGTAGAGTTATCAGTGACTCTTCGTGAGGCACATGCTTGTATATGCCATAACCTGTGCAGCTACTAGCTAGCATTGACCACATGTGACAAACCATGCAAGCTACATCTTTTTTTTTTCAGTTAACTCCGTGGCGAACAGAATACAGAAGGCATGAAAATAATGAGCAATGAATAACGACTTTAGAACATTGTTTTTTGTATTAAATTTTTTGTATTAAATTGAAAAATCAATAAACAAATAAAATCATTTCTTTACGTCTGCAAGTCATACAAAGTACTTCCTATACTTGTTATTTCTGCTCCACCCAAGCATTCATTATCCCTGTAAAAGACTGCATATTGTCCGGGTGTTAATGCTCTCATAGGTTCTTTAAGCTCAACTTTGTATCTTTCTCCTGCTTTTGAAAACTGACATTCCTTAATGTTCTGATTATTCTGAAATCTGAATCCGACATTTTTCGTTGTATCAATCTGGGAGCGTATCCAGTGAGGCTCTGCAGTATAAAATGTTGTAGAAAAAAGTGACGGATGATTAGTTCCCGAGGCCTTAAAAGCGAAATTATTAAGAATTAGCGTTTATTGACAAATTATACTAACGACAAATATATTTTGACTATCAGCATCCAGTTTGGCAATGAAATACGGTTTAGAGAAACCGCTTAGCAGGGCTCTCTGACCAAGAGTCCAGTAGTGAACACCTTAGGATAATTATTTCAAATACCTTGATTAATAAAGGATATGGATATAATATACCTTTATGTTTGCCTAAAATCTTTCCAGTTTCAATGTCGATAAACTTTCCGGGTTTTGGTTCAATATACTAGAAAATTCTGTCAAAATTAGCAATAATTTTGCTGATAAATCTTGTTACCTGTTCTATAAACGTGGAGAAATTCCGTGTTCCTATAAAGCAGATACCAGTGCTGTCTTTTCTATTCGCAACCATATCTAAGCCAATATCTTTTGCTATATTCCTCACTTCAGACTTCATTAATGTCCCTATAGGAAACATAGTTCTTCGCAAGGCTGTTTGATTAATATTAGACAGAAATAACGTTTGATCTTTCCAAGTATCTGTAGGCCTTAATAATCTTGCATCTAACAAAAACAATTATTTGGTAAACTTCTCAGCTGACTGAAGATTTTTTTTACCATCTGCAGGGTTAATATTCTCAAGGAAATCTCCGTAAGAATTCCTTGCGTAATGACCCGTGGCAATAGCGTCCGCTTGTAATTTTGTTGAAGCATACCTAAAGAAACTTCCGAATTTGATTTGTTTGTTGCAGACTACATCTGGATTGGGAGTGAATCCTTTTTCATAATTTTTTAACATAGGTCTGTTTTTGAAACAATTATCCTTTTTTTTTAAACAAGAAATAAATCACAGAACAAAAAAAATGAAGAATTTTTTATCATTTATTTAAAGTCTTTTTCCTTAAGCTACTTTAATAGTTTTTCTTTCAAGAAAATAAGAATTTAAATATTAATTTTTAATATCATTTTATAATATACTTACACAAAAACTTCATTCCAGTATTTTTTGATAAAATCTATAAAAGTTAATTCTATTCCTAACTTCCAGCAAACTCTCTGAGCAATTTCGTAGTCATGATCAGCAAGACATTCTCCTTTTTCATTAATAGAATCCCAATTTTTCATAAACACCCCGCGCACGTTGAAACCTAGAGCGATAAAAGGTTAAAATAATCAAAATTTAAGAAGAAGTAAACCTTTTTGCTTCAGAAGATACGCAGAAACTGCACTATCAACTCCACCCGATATACCACAAACAACATTTTTAATTTTAGCCATTAACTTAAAGTAACTTCTGCGTTTTAAGGCATTTAAATAAGTTGCGATTCAGTAAGAACGAAATAATGAATTTAACGGTGGCGCCTCATTGCGGAAAAGAAGTTTAATTTTTGGTGCTAGTGAATGATGATAAAATGAAATTTTAGAGTAGTGTAAAATGTATTTTTCTCGGTTTTTGTAGATAATTTACAATGATTATTCATTCAGCAAAGAGGTTTTGTTAATTACTTATTTTCCGTATATTTTTAGTATACTTGTAAATAAGAAAGTTTAGAAACTTGAAAAAACCACAAGTAACTTCAAGAATTAACTGAGCAGCTAAAAATCAAATGCTTCAGGTCGAACGATACGCCTAACTTTTTCTGTTACAGTATTCAAATGATCGTTTAATTCTGAAACGTGACGCTCTAAATCACTTTGATCTTCTTTTAAGGCAGATAGAAGTTTTCTATTGTTACTGACTTCTTGCCATCGGTTGATTGCTGCCAGGGCACTGAAGACGCTGATAACAAAAGGAAGCCATTTTCCAGAGGCCATAACACTTCTTATTACCAAACCCCCAATTGTGGCACCTAAAACGGCATAGCTAATAATATGTTTTAACCATCTTCTTTTATCTACTGAGTCAATATCAAGCAAATCTTTAGCGGAATCATGCAAAGAAATTGCATTCTTCAAGCGTTCACGAAGCGTTGCTATGTCAACAATTTTCTGCAATTTAATCTATTGGGAACAAACCGATATTCTTAAAACATCAGTTGAGCTATTAACTGTAAAGTAAAAGTCGAGTACCTGTTCGTCTTGTAATGATCCTTCTGATGCTTTAAATTCAATCGAGACATCAAATTCTTGTAGTGTCACAGTTAGCCGGTTCAGATCACGTCTCACCGCTTCATGTTGCTTACAAATAGCTATTATTAAGTCGGAACAGTTGGCATGATCAGTTGGTTGTAAGTTCGCCATCCTTTTTCCTATTTTTTTGTTTTCTATTTATGACTTCAACTAACAAATGAATAGACACGATTCAGAGTAAAAACGATAATTCTTCACCTTTAATCTGTGAGTCCGCTCATGTGCAACCTTGACATTGAGTGAAGTTTTCGTATTTACAATAACTTTATCGAGAAAATCATTACATAATGCTATAATTTTTTTAGAAATATTATATCGAAAATTCGATTTTTCAAGAATTTTTTAAGGCCAAAATACTGGTATGGTTCCATGGAGTACCAACATACTGTCAATAAATAATAATATGTATTAAAATCGCAGCCCTTCGCTTAAATAAACGGTTGAAATAGTGAAATAGCCAAATTCTTCATTCAGACTTGAAGATTCGATATGCAAGGGCTAGAAAAGTCCGACATTTTACATAAGTTGTATCAAACAACATATAATAAAGGTAAGTTTGTAACATTTTCCATGAATGAATATATTTAATTCTTAGTAAAAAAGATGCTATAAAATACATCATTTGCAACAATTTGAGCTTAATTTTATGCTTCTCATGAATGCTGCTTTCTAATCTTAGGAGCTAATCTTTTACGGACTATCGATAATAATCCCGAATTAGACAGAACTGTTAAGAAGACAAGTGATAATTTAACCGATACTGTTCATACTATTGCTAACGAGCCTTCGTTAGCTTTCTTTCGAATTGAGGAACATGTTCGAAAGAATGTTCCATTACTAGTTCACCACAAAGTAAGTGAGTCTACTTCTGTAACTAGTTAGCAAATAAAAATCCGATTTGACCCAAAACAGCATGGAATGGAGGAAAAGCGTAAAGAAGTGAGTGGAGCATGTTACGATATGGAATATGCAATTACAGAGACTGACAGAATAAAATATGGAAGTCCACATCTAGGCAACACAAAACACTTGATGAAGGATGCTATATTCTACATGCAGCAATTAAATGCAATTTCTGTGAAGAACCAGTCTTCCAGGCTATCCAGAACTCAAACTGTCGATATGTCAGACAGCAGGTACGTGCAAATTGTTATCAATAGCTATTAATGTATCCACTGAATATAATCATAGGTTTAGAGCTACTAATCAATCTGCAAGGAGACCTAGATCATCTTCCTTGACTTCTTCGGGAAGACATCAGACTCCATAATCAATTTGTTCAAAACTTTATATTACACTGTATATATATTTCTCTTAGCTTTATCTTCTGAGTATGTACATACTACGATTTCAAATGGTGAATAAAAAGAACAAATATATTTTATATACACAAAGGAAACATGAAAATTTCTGTGGACAGAGACAAATTCTTAGATTTTTAATGGATATAATCCTAAATCCATAAGCATACGTTTATTTTCAGATTGCATATCTATTTCCTTGTCTTTCCACTGTGAATTGGCATCATCGATTCTTACTTTAAGTGAGTGAAAAGCATCCTACAATTATTAGAAAATTAAAGGACATCAAATATGAAAATCTGACTTAAATACCGATAAGATATCTCGATATTGCCTATCCATATTTTCAAGAGCTCTATTCAACCTTGCTATTTCATCATCTTTTTTCCTTTCCATTTCATCCTTATCTTTCTTCACTTGTTCCAATTCTTGCTGAGTAGTTTCTTCGATAGAAAGCAATTATTAACACATAAAATAATAAACAATAAATATATATTTCGAGAGTACCAAGTACGGCTTGTTTACTGATTAATTCTGCTCCCAATTCATCTATTTGTATTGACATTTCCTTATGCATAGTTTTATACATCCTTGTCATATCTGAAAATATTTCAAACTATTATTCCATTAAAAGAAACCTTGCTTTTATCGCAATAAGGAACATTTCCGGTTTAATTAGGGTTTCAAAGGCAATAATAAACATTTGCTTGAATGTGGACAAGGGCACTCTTCCCATTTGCAAGCTTTGCTCCATCAATTAACGGAGCGGAAATTAGATTTGAATATATTTAAGTTTCCAGCTTTTGATCTGAGAGACATCTAGTGTAATAAACTCAATATTTACCTTGACTAGCCATTCGTTGGTCTATTTCAGTCTTTTCTAAGCGCTCCTCAACATCTTTTACCTTGCTTCTCATGAATTCATTTTGGTTTAACGATTTTCGTGTTATTTCTCTTCTAACGACTGAAATATTATTATGTCAGTACTAGTTTTACATAATAAATTTCTATTTTTTAGGCTAAAGTAGGTTCTTTCATGTTAAATAACATTAATTGTTTTACCTAGCTGATCTTTAAGCGCTTCAATTTCTTCTACAGTTTTCTTGTATTTATCCTCAACAGTCAGTTCCCCATCTAAATAAAAATTTCGTTAGTCTGAGAAATTAACCTAAGGTTTAAATAATACCTGCTGTCTTTTTTTTCTTTTTTTTCCCACCTTTCTTCTTAGGAGGCATAGTTTATCTTCTTTTTTTTTTACTTTTTAAAAAACTTTCAACAAGCCCTCCGTTACTATAAACTAACATGGAGATGTATACATTGGAAATTTCCGTTTCCGGTTAACAAATAAAGATCTTTTCGTAAATTAATAATAAATTAATTTTCTTCAAATATGATATCCTAAATTTATTTTTATGAAAAATTTTTAGTCAAAATAATTTTTGCGTTTACGAAAACCACGTCCACGTAAAACAAGGCTCACATGAAGAGCGAAAAGTTGAAAATATGACATCGTAAATCATCTACAAATACTAATTCGAAAATAGATTATGAGATAGAAGAGTTATCAAGATGTCATATACAAAGACAAAAACAATTGTTTCTCTATGCTCTTTGGCCAACTTAATACTAGCAGCTGACAGGGTACTCATGCCAATAGCAATCATACCTATGTCTGATGAGCATGAATGGGATCTGCATGGACAAGGATGGATTCTAAGCTCATTTGCAATAGGATATATGACAAGTCAGCTTTTAGCTGGAAGTCTGGTTAAACGTCATGGAGGAAAGAAGTTTCTAACATTAGCTGTTACCATGTGGTCCTTATCCACGTTTGTTACTCCATTATTTTCCAATTCGATTTACTGCTTGATAACTTTGAGAGTTTTGCTTGGAATTGGCGAAGGTTTTGGTTTGCCTACAATTTTTCATATATTTGCACACACAATACCAATTGAAGAAAGATCGCGTGCATTTAGCTATCTCATTGGTTTCGGTTCAATTGGGCAAACGTTAACTGCATTGGTTGGTTTTCAAAGCGTATTAAATTAGCTGTTTGACTACAAATTAATGATCTTTATATTTTAGTGCTTAAAACCTTAGCTTTATCGAAATTTTAGATTGTGCGAAGTATCATATTTTTTTATACATAAGATGCAAGTTTTTGGTAGTATACTTTTTAACTATCAGAGAATATCTAAAGACTTAAACATTTTTTATAAAGATTAGTGTTAGATTATACTTAAATGTATATAAACTACTTTCGAGACTAATTATTCATTGAGATTCTTTTCTTTTCTTAACAGATTTGCCCTAACTTGCCTTGGCGAGCAAGTTTCTACCTTTTTGGTTTAATGGGTTTCATGTGGGTACTTTTATGGGTGATATTATACAAAGAAATTCGGGGACCAATTGAAGAGGAGTTTGTTCAACCACCAAAATTAAATAGTACAAACGTTCATTGGACAGAGTTCATTCGCCATTGGCCCTTATGGTCCACATACATCGCCCATTTTAGTATGAATTGGTCGAATTATATAATAATGCAATGGTTACCAACTTACTTTGCCAGAGGCCTTGAAGCCAAAAGAGAAGAAATTATGTTTACAGCCGTTCCATATGTTATGAATTCACTTGTTGGAATGACTTCAGGACACTTTGCAGATGCCTTAATCTCACATAAATGGACTGTTTTATCAGTTCGTCGCCTAATGACAACTATTGGTTTAATTGGACCAGCCTTATTTATCCTTCTGTTTAGTGCTGCTAATAATTTCGTTATGGCAGTTATGTAAGTTCCCCTTTTCTACAAACAATCATAATTCTTTACTCTATTTATTCGACAGACTTATTTCTGTTTCTATGGGTCTTAGTGCTTGCAATGCTTCAGGACATTTGAGCAATCATGCAGATATCGCACCAAATCATGCTGGTATTACTTTCGCCGTCAGCAACACTTTGGCCACTATCCCTGGTATCACTTGCGGACCTTTAACTGCAGAGTTGGTCGTCAAGTCGAACAAAAGATGGTTTCCTGTATTCGTCCTAGCGGCAGTTGTAAATATTACTGGCTCTATCATATACATAAGTCAGAGTGCGGCTAGTCAGATTATATAAAGAGAAACCTTTATGAGATTAACATACATTAAATTAACTTGCATTGCGTATATAATCCTTGTAAATATCTATACATATCCAATTTTAAAATACGATCGCAGTATTTTAAAAGTTTGTAAATATAATGGGCTTTTGAGTTCTTAGGAAATTTTTAATTAGGTGTGAATTACCTTGGCAACATTAATTTAAAAAGAGGAAAGTTAAGTTATTGCTATTTAAAGTATGGTATTAATGAGTCATTGCTTTCAAGATAAGAATCGTTTATTCCAATAAAGAAATTTTTGTTTTCATTTTAATTTCTCTCTTAATACATCTTCGGCTTCCTTACGTTTTGATAGTTTATTGGCTTTTCCCTGAAAGCGGTTGTTTTTCAGAAAGCCTTTGCCTTCAATTAGAGATGACATGCTATGGTCATTTTTTAAAATAGATTCCCGTTAAATATTTGTTAAAACTACAGAAAAAAATCTCAAATTTAATTTTACCTTGGAGCAACGTCTTTCAAAAAACTTTCAGGGCCAACGATCATATAACTTCCTTGGCCATTCTCATTTCCAGTTGTTAGAAAAGCAATCAAATTCTAGGTATTAAAGTCATTTATGAATGAAAGCAAATTTGATTCTTAGCTGAAATATCTACCTCATCATCAATTTCTCTTAGGAGAGTATTCATAAAATCTAACTGACCCTCTGTCCTATGTAAAGATAAAAATTTGCATGGCTCTCTTTTCCACTTATCTGCCTCTAACTTGGCAATATCCTTAAGAAGATTACTATTCTCTTTACTAGCTGTAACATAGTTTTTCTGTAAGACTTCTAACAGTTCAACGTGCTGTTCAGGACTTCCTTTCAAGTAAGATTTAAATTTTTCCTGTTGGCTATATGAGAATTCGACAAAATCCAACACGCGTTGACCCACTAGGAAATAAACGTTTGTTTTGCCTTTCTTACCCTTAGTGGTTGATAGTAATTTAATAGCTTGAAGATGTGATAAATTGCTAACATGAGTACCGCAGCATGTGTTATTATCAATCCCTTCGATCGTAACTACTCGTATACTTCCTTTATGGTCATCGGGCAAACCTCTAGTCCTAACTTCTTGAAATTTAGGATCATTTATACTTTCATACCATGTAGGAAACATTTTTAAGCCTTTTCGAATGCAGCTATTTGTTTCTTCTTCTATAATTTTTAATTCTTCTTCTTTTATTTTGGGAACATCAAGTTCGATAAAAGAAATTTTCTCTCCCATACTCCTATGAAAATGATAAGTACGCAGATGCTATAAACGAAAAATGAAGTGTTACTTCTCAACTAACCATGAGGTGGTTTTGAAACCGTAGATCTTATCAGCGATGGCAGTAATTAAATGTTGGCCCGAATGCTGCTGCATGTTGTCCCATCGTCTTTTCCAATCAACTTGGATGTCAACCTTTTCTCCTTCTTTCAGAGGTTCCTTAAGAAAGTGTATTGCTTCACTTCCCTTTCTAATCACTTGGTGTACTTCAATACCATTTATCTGCAAGTCATTGAATCATTAATATTTTTACTATTGCATCATTTTTGTTTATATTAAACCAACTTTTCCATGGTCATCAGGCTGTCCTCCTCCTTCAGGAAACAAGACAGTGTCCTCCAAAATTACATCAAAACCTTCAAGCTTAATTTTCTTGCCTTCCTTTAGAGTAATTATCTTGCTCGGAGTGCATGATTTTACAACCGAATCCAACTGTTAATACAAATTACTTATTATCGCTCTTAGCAAAACGATTGTAAGATGTCTAATATTTACGTGAGTTAAATAACTGTCTTTTTGACAGGCAAAGGACATATTTTATTCCAGTGATCCTGAATTGACTCAAATGACAGTAAGACGAATAATTTCTAACTTACAAAGGAAGAATAATGTGCTTCGCTGCACACCGTCTGCTAATTTCAGCCTATGAAAGATAATTATTATCTTTCAAAATTTTTTTAGCAGAAGATAATTATCACAATAATAACTAAAGATACTTGGACTACGATCATATGTGTTGACGGAATAAATCCGTTTAATGATTTTTATCAATTTTCTAATTAATCCAAATACAACCTAAAATTTTTTGTTGAATGCTCAATAAAGCTTAGGAAAAAGACAACGACTAAGTTTAACTAATGAAAAGATTTTTGTCAGCGATTTTATTTAATCGTAACCTTTTCACAACATAAAAATTTCTAAAGATATAAACAACTTTCTCAAATTTTTCGTAATAGTTTTCAACCTCTGGTGTATTTGCCCCAAATATGCAACATGAAGACTGAAGCGATAAATAGCAAAGACATAACTAAGACAGGAACTGGTCCAACTTTTATACCAGGGGAATCCTCAGTATAGAATCTCCACATCCCAGCCGAACCTGTTAGAAAATATTAACAATTTAAGTTAAAATTACAAATTAGGTTTAATTTTTTTTACATAAATTAAATGTCTTTCGAGTACTTTTAAAAAGTTAATCGCTTATTTAAAGAAGCAATCATGTTTTATTACTGCATGTTGATCTCTTAAAGAAGCTACAATTTCAGAGGTACAGAGATCAAACTGTGATTAAAGAAAACAAACCTGTGTTAGGTTTTTTCACTGCTCCACTGGAAGAGGCACCTTTCCTCTGTCGAACAGTTGAGCCTCCAGATCTTGGAGACATCGATTTTGAACTGGGACTACGACTTCCAACGTTTGTTGCGCTTGACGATGCCGGCTACAACGACAATAAATATGTCAGATTTGATATTTGAAAAACAAACTTAAAGCGATTTTAAATATTAATTCAAAGTACAAACCATTTTTTCGACGTGGCTTTCACAGTAACTTCGTCAATAGTGAGATATATCGTTCCAGACTGGTTTAACAGGCTCAAAAAAATACAACGGAAACGGAGCCTGTTTCCAACGTGGCCCACGTGTCGGTAGTATGGTTTCAATTCGCATTCGAGTGTTTTGATAGGAAATTTGATTGTGATTCAGCACCATACAGCTTATTATATATGATGCTTCCGGTTTATTAGAGCATCATAAGATTATATTATTTCCTTTTTATATGGCTAGAATTCAACTGTCTTCATAATGTCGGACAGGAAACTTGAATTAGAAAGAAAGAAGGCAAAGCTTGAGGCGATGCGGGCCGAAAAGAGAAAAAAGGAGGAGGAAAAACGAAAGCAACTTGGCAAGGTAAAAAAAAAGAGGTGAAGTTGAAAAATTTATGATCTATTTTCTCTTGTGTAGACGCCAGCCGAACCATCTTTTGGTATTGGTGATATTGAAGCGAATAAACTTTTAGAAGGCTTGGGAATTAGTAGAAGTTCAATTGGTATGCTTGATTATGATAACTCTTCTTTTTCTATTTGAATAATAGGCTTATTTAATCAATTACAATTGATTTCTTTTAATGAAATATTTAAAAATAAATAAACCACTCCCTTTTCAGAGCCAAATGTTAGTCCTCAAAGATCCGATGTAACTTCCAATACATCTTCTCCTATTCCTATAACGCAGCAGTCTGGACCCCCAATGTAAATAGTACCCGCTTATATTTTTCATCAATCTCTTATTATTCTCTTTTTAAATAGAAACTTAAAGCCTGTTTCTCTGAGTGTTTCGAAAGTTACACAGACAAGTATACCCCCTCGAGAAGTCGTTGTATACAGTAAAGAAGTTCAAACAACCAACACAGAACCCCCAGAAGGTTTAAATCATTTTATTTTTAATTATCTTTTATATTTAATTCCCTAAATAAGCAATATGTTCTTGAAAAGTTTTACTAATAGTTGTTGTTGTAACTAGCTGCTCGTCATGGTTGGGATTATTACGGTGAATATTCATATAATTTATGGTAACTTGTGTTGGTTTAGATTAGCCTTTCTAGACATTAGTCTTCGGAGTTTTGTCGTATTTACGTTATCTTCAACTTTTTTATTTCCTAAAGAGTGAACGAATGCTGCACGCAGACATCTATGTTGATTTCTAATTTCACTCCTCCAAAGTCGTTATCATTCATTAATTTTTAAATGCGAAAATTAAAAAGAACGCTTAAATTGCATTTTATGAAAGTAATAAGAGGGTGTGTTCTACATCGCCATAAATATTCGAATTATTAATTTTTCCGATTTCATCAAGGAACACTCCTGAGCATGTTCACATGTGTTTTTCTTTAATCCTTAAAAATAATTGTTGTTGCGATTCTTTTCAATGGAAAAACTGCAGTAATAATCTGTGTGTTGGTTTAAGGCTCTCCACGTATCAGTCTCGATTCTCCATTTGTTTCTACCCACCTCGAGTGGGATGACGAGTTTAGCCAGTACTCTCAGCACGCAGGTATTCAAAACTAAAGATGATGCTGTTTAGATGGAAAATTAGAGTGCATGACGTTTGTTTTCTAATTATTTTTTTAAAAGAATCTTTGACTCACCATGTCTATTTTCTTTCATTGACTTATTGTCGTTCGTATGAATTCCAATCATTTATTTTTTTTAATTAATCAACTTCACACCCTAGTTAAGAATTTTCGTGAATGTGTGGCATGTTTTTATCACATATATGTATATATAAATATGTTTATAAATACTATCATATGAATATATATATATATACATGTTGTTATTGTATTATGTCATAGCCTTAATGCCACACACACAGATCCATAAACTAAAAATTTATTAAATCCTCTTTGGAAAAATAATATCATAAGATATTTTTTATCTATAAAGAATCTGTCACTGTGCTAGCTTTTTTATTTCAAGGCATGAAAAAAAACTGTTGTTCGAGCAGCCGAGTTGCAACTGCACGACTATCCCTCATATTCAACATCTATTTTTTTTTACTTATAAAGAAATAGTAATGAAAAACGGGAGTGGGATTTTTTTTTTGATTTTCTTGCTAAAACTTTTATATTTTTATTTTTGTTTTCTCCGAAATTGTGACAAGCATGCTCCACAATGGATCGATGTTCTAACTTGCTTGTTTGAGGCTGAACAGACAAGTTTCTCTTGAATGTTAGCATAGCACTCAATAGCTATTTTAGTAAATAATGTCGTTTTTCAATAAGTTTTAAACAGTCCTACTACAATTGTCATAAAGTTCAATCTTTAATCTATTACAGCTTTAACATATGTCGATTTGGATGATGCGGATACCGATTCCCTAGTAGTCGGAATTGATACCCCTCCTGCTACTAAAACTGATCACCATACCCAACACCTCCCGCAACAAACAGAAAAGGAATTAAATGCTGCTCCTCCTGTTCCTAGAGAGCTGAGCGAGGAAGAGCAAAGGCAGATCATGTTATCAGATGAATTTATTAACTTTTTTGATAGAACATCTCGTATAGTTGAGAGGCAGTTAAATGAAAGTTCTGTTGATATTTTCACTGACTATACTGGAGGCGACGGTGGTAAACTCATGCAAAGTGATATTGGGGAACGAATCAAGTTTCAGAGATCCTTTACAGATGAACGATGGACAATGGGTAGAACAGTTACTTGTCTGGATTGGTCAACCCAATACCCGGAACTTTTAGCTGCTTCTTATAACCAAAAAGAGGACGCTCCACATGAGCCTGATGGGGTTGTCCTCATCTGGAATGCTAAGTACAAAAAAAATACACCAGAATATATATTTCATTGTCAATCAGCTGTTACTTCTGTATGTTTCGCAACTTTTCATCCAAATTTGGTCGTTGGTGGTACATATTCTGGAAAAATAGTTTTATGGGATAACCGCAGTTCCAGAAGAACTCCAGTGCAAAAGACGCAGCTATCAGCATCTACTCATACCCATCCGGTATACTGCGTTACAGTAGTTGGAACACCAAATGCAAACAACTTAATATCGATATCAACGGATGGAAAGATGTGTTCCTGGTCACTGGAAATGCTTTCACAACCCCAAGAATCACTGGAATTGACACATAAACAGTCTAAATGTGTTGCTGCAACAAGTATGTCCTTTTTGTCAAACGATGTTAACAATTTGGTGCTTGGAAGTGAAGATGGTTCGGTTTATACTGCATGCAGACATGGTTCAAAGGCAGGCATAACCGACTCTTTGTCTGATTCCCATGGAGGACCTGTTACAGGTATCCATTCTAATCATGTGACAGGTCCTGTGGACATGTCTCACTACTTCCTTACTTCTTCCTTTGATTGGACAATCAAGTTATGGAGTGTGAAAGAACAAAAATGCTTGCACTCATTTGATGACAATAATGACTACGTTATGGATGTTTCTTGGTCTCCTATACATCCAGCCTTATTTGCTGCTGTAGATGCATCGGGTAGACTCGATTTATGGAACATCAATAGTGATGTTGAAGTGCCATTTGCTACTGAAACGATTGATAGCGCTCTCAATGAATGTCGCTGGCATCAGAACGGTCAAATGATTGCAGTTGGTGACGATGTTGGAAGAGTTCATTTATTGGACGTTAGCGAGGTAAAAAATTTTAAACATTCATTTAGACTAAGTAATTTATATTATCCAAATAAACAGAATGTTGCTACGCCAAAGAATGATGATTGGACAAGAATGGTTCATGCTTTGCAAGATATGAAACAAGAGGAGGATGAGAATGCTATATTAAATGTTATTCGATGAACTTAGATGAAACAACACCATATGGTCAGGGTGAGGTTTAGGTTTTTACTTCTTGAGGAACTAAAGTCTTTTGAATATATTTATGAATTAAATAAAAATCGTTCCTTTAAAATGTGTTCATATTTAGTTAACTGTAGGTGTTCCTACTTGAAATCAGTTCAATCTCGAAAACAAGGATGTAGACGATTATATCGATTTTGAAAAAGACAACTGCGTTACAACATGTAATACGAGTACATAGAAATAGTTATGAAAAGTTTAAGATATTAATCCGATGAACGACCAGCTCCAAGTTGCTCCAATTGTTCTGTTCCATCAAATGGTACATTCTTATGATTCACTCCAGAAGCATATCTACTAACCCAATGACGAGCCTGCCGATCGTGTTCAGCCCGATTTTGAAGATACTGAAAATTAAGAAACCATTTATGGTGCATTTCCTTTCAAGAAATTTAAACATTTGTATTCTGTAAGTACCTGAGTCGCTATGCTACCAACCAGAGGGTCAGCAGGATTACAGTCCGTCAGAAGAGAGCATATACTTAGCAAGACTTTACTTATAGTAAGCGCAGGGGACCAGTTGTCCTTTAGTATATCTAAACATATTACACCCTGAGAGTTTATGTTACAATGATATATCCGCGTTTTAAATGTCACCTGTAGAAAAGAATTATTAGCCTATCATTAAAGTCATAACTAATAATTATTTACCTTTGGTGGTTTAAAGGGATATTCCGCAGTAAAATGAATGTCAAGAAAGAAAACTCCACCTTCATAGACAGATCCAGGAGGTCCAATAATAGTTGATATCCATTCATAAATATTATCCCCTTTTGGAGCTGCACTGCAATTTGGAGGAGGATCCAACGTAATATCTGAGAGTTCCTTTTGAATTCTGAAATCCAAGTTATAAGTTTAGAAAGAATTCTACAGTCCCAATCTACAATTGGAATTTACAATTTTTTTGATTAAACAAAGAAAAATTCTTAATGCTTTTATACCTTTTAATACTTGTACTGTGACATTTGTAAGATGTAACGCTGGTTAAAGATCTTTTATTTGGGGTCGCAGTTTCTTCATCTTTCTCTTGATTATCAGTTTGAGAAGTATTATTACTGCCACTTGCAGATGTACCGGCATCAGCAGCATTTTGTCTCCTTCTTCTTTTTGTTGGGGGTTTGCTTCCAGGTGTTTCAGACGCCATCTTTCAACTTTTTCCTTTATTTGTTCTGCAAAGAATGAACAAAACATATATTTTATAAATTCGGCTTGATACGAAGCCGAATTACTAACCAGGTTTTATTAATAGAAGAAAGTCTAAAGCCCGTGTAACAAACCGTTTGATCAACAAAGAGGAAAACGTCTGGGGAATTCCGTTTCCGGTTTTAGAATTACAAACAGTCTCCCCGTTTTAAGAAATGTAGGTGTCGCTGCTAAAATAGAAGCACTATGCTTTTAATTTATAAAAAGTGTCTTTTAAAGGCTCATTGTTTATATTAACTATATAAGGAAGTAACTTTTATGTAACTTTTTTGTCGATTTTCAACGTAAATCCAACTGAGCATTGTAATAGAATTTATAGACATGGTTTGTGATTGGTGGCTTCATAAACCGGAAATGATTCGTTTACTTATGTTGACGAATTAGAGTATTGGACACATTCAACTGCTTATCGTCTGCTATCAAAATATACGTATATTTTTGAACCTTTTTTGATATATAACACGTTGTTCCTTGTCATAAGACCCATATTATCATTCTTGATTGTGCTATAAGGGAGATAATTACATAACAGGTAAGAAATTATGTTTGATCACAACATTTTAGATAGTTACTTTATCTCGGCAGTATGAAACAACATCTGTGAAAGAAACACTCAGATATAAGTACAAAATGTACACGGCTAGATTAGTGTTTTACATTTTATTTATAAGCTCATTTGTAATTAACTCTTACTGTGATGACAATACTGGCGATTTATTAAAAAATGATGACATAAAAAGTGCTGGATCAGAGCAAAAGTTTGTTGAAGAAAATGATGGGGTCAGTCATCGAACGGAGGAGACTAATGATGCTGTAGAATATTTAGAAGATACGCAACCTAATTTGGCGCAAGAAAAAGAAATTTTAGATGAGGATCCGTATGAAAGAGACATAATAAACGATGTATATGAAGCAGCAATGCTTAGAGTTCATACTATTCCACCCGCCGAGAATCAGCCAAATAAGGACGATGAAGAAATTCCCGTTGAAAATTTTGAATATGAAGAAAATTCCGATATGGATGAAAACTCATTTCCAAAACTCACATATACACCAAAAGACAATGTTTGGAGGTTATTACAAACTTCCATACCAAGTCGAAAGGAGAGGCACACTTTTGTTTTCTATAGACCAAGCGAAGAAGAAATTGTTAAAGTTACACAAATTGTACATAGTGAAAATAAGGAGGAGGAAAAATATGAAAAAACTATATCAACTGTAAATTTACCTCCGCTTCCTCCAACACCTTCAGAGAGGGAAGCTCAACACCTTTATGATAAAGCTTTTGAAATCCTTAATGATACCCATAACTTAACTCCTTTCTTAGCAAAAAGAGCATATGAGATTCTTGAAAGATCAGGTGAATTGGGGAATTTAGCTGCAAAGGAACAAATTGCCTGGTCAAAACTCTCTGGACAGCATTTTACAAAAATCAATCTTGAAGATGCCCATAAAGAGCTCAAACAACTGGCTGATGAATATGGATCACCTAAAGGGCAATTGGGTTTAGGATTATTGTATAGTACTGGACTAGCTTCATTAAATGCAAGTCACGCGAAAGGATTAGTCTATCTAACTTTCGCATCATTAGGTGGGGAGCCATGGGCCGATATGGCTCTTGGATACAGATATTGGGCTGGTTTAGGAGTTGATGGAAATTGTGAGGCTGCATTAACCCATTATCGTAGAGTAGCCGGCCAAGTATGATATAAGACTGTTTCATTAAAAATTTACCAATCTTATAATTATTTTTATTAGGTTGCTCAGGAAGTAGCCTCTAGTGGTGGTGGACCTGTCATTCACAGAATCCGTTTATTAGATGAAGCTGAGGGGGGTAACGCTAACTCAAATTCACCAAACGCTATACTTGACGATGACCTACTTCAATATTACGAATTCCTTGCTGATAAGGGAGATGTACCAGCTCAAGTTGGCCTAGGTTTGTTAAATATTTGTTTCAAACTGAACTATTAAATTCTTTTTTTTTTATTGCAGGACAACTCTATTATCAGGGGGGTAGGGGAGTCAGAGTAGATCACCAAAGAGCTTTACATTATCTTCAGAATGCGGCTGATGCAGGCAATGCAAATGCAATGGCTTTCTTAGGAAGAATGTATGCAGAAGGTTCCACATCTGTAAGTGCTAGCAATGAGACAGCCCTTCGCTACTTCCGAATGGCGGCAGATAAAGGAAATGCGGTTGGTCAGAGCGGTATGGGCATAATGTATTTATATGGAAAGGGAGTTGACAAAGATTATGCTAAAGCTTTTAAATATTTCGAAAAGGCAGCAGAGCAGGTTCATAGCTTTTTAAATTTATATTATTCGAAATTTATATTTCTAAATATAAATATATATATATATTTAGGGATGGGTTGATGGTCAATTACAATTAGGAATTATGTATTACGGCGGTCTTGGCGTTCGAAGAGACTATAAAATGGCGGTTAAATATTTCAACTTGGCTTCACAATCAGGTCACGTTCTTGCATTTTATAACTTGGGTGAGATGCACGCCACAGGAACTGGAGTTGGTCGGGCATGTCATACTGCCACTGAATTCTTCAAAAATGTAGCTGAACGTGGTCGGTGGGGAGAGCTATTCATGAGAGCTTATACATCATGGAAAAACAGTGATCATAAAACTGCTTTAGTCCAGTATGCCCTATTAGCCGAGTTAGGCTACGAAGTCGCTCAAAGTAATACTGCCTTTTTATTGGATTCAATGAATGCTGAATGGAATAAGAAAGAAAGTTTAAAGAGGGCTCTTCTTCAATGGACTCGATCGGCCTCCCAAGGATATTCAACTGCCAGAGTTAAATTGGGCGACTATCACTATTATGGATGGGGAACTGAAATAGACTATGAACAAGCAGCAGCACACTACAGGGTTGCTAGTGAGCAACAAAATTCAGCTCAGGCAATGTTTAATTTGGGGTACATGCATGAGAGAGGTCTGGGATTAAAGCAAGATTGGCATTTGGCCAAAAGATTCTATGACCTCGCTGCTCACACGTCTGTGGATGCTCATGCACCTGTGACTCTGGCGCTCACCAAGTTAGGCCTCTTCTTTGCCTGGCAACAATTTTCCGATGTAAGATTATTTCTTTTTGTTTAATTACAGTATTACTGAAGTGCTTATTTTTATTCACAGAGTCTAAAAACCTACCGGAAATATACGGACATTAGGCTAATTTTAGGCCCGAATTGGGATTTATATATAATAACTTTATGCGCCGTATTGATTGGTCTACTTTTGACTTTAAGACATAATCGTTAATTAAAATTGTACTACAAATTCGCCAATCGCCGTATAAATGCAAATCATAAAAATGGGGCGATGTTGTTGAATAATACAATAATGTTTATACAAATTTTTATGGTTTTTTATAGTTTATAGTTTTTTATGAACAATTAGTATTGCAAATTAAATTTTCCCAGTTAATAATTCAAAGATTAATTAATTGATTAATAAATAGATTACTATTGAAATAATTGCCGTAGCTAAAGCTGTTCCTGCTATCCAAAGTTTACGACGCAACTGCAAAGAATATCTTTGAGCAACAAAACTATTTATAAAACTAAAATACCTGTTTGCTTGCCGGAGCATCCGAATTACTAGGATTGTGTGGTCCTCCAAACATTCTTTGATAAATTTTCTTTTGAGAATTGTTTTGTTCTCTAATTCGTGAGAGAAGTTTAGCTTGTTCATAATGTATTGCTCTCTCCGAAGGATCTATACTGAGAGCTTTTTTCATTAACTCCGATGCTTGTTCGAGTTCACCTAATTGTAGAGATTTTAGAGATGTTTAGCGGAATGTTAATTATAACCAAACCTTTATTGATTAAGGCTTTAGCTTTTCTGAATAAAGCCTTAACATTGTCAGGTTGAATTGCAAGAGCCAAAGAGCATGATTGCTCTGCAGCATCATACGCTCCCACTTTCAATTGAGCAGCAGCCAGATTTGTATGACATTTGACTTTAATTTCTAGTAACTCTTGCAAGTCTTCCTGACTATCATTTATAGCTTCTCCTGAAGTGTCGAGTATGGTTAACGCTTTGGTGTAGCACTGAATGGCATCGCTATAGTCTCCTCTACTATATAGAGAGTTTCCATTATCTCTTTTTGCATTGCATATACTACTTTTGTCTTTAGCCGACATTTTTTCATAGTCAAGTGGTCCATCGTTCGAAATGAAATGAATGAAAATTTTCAGGTCTGCATTTGGAGGAATATTTGGCTTCAATCCAAACTCCTTATAGCCAAGTTTAGATTGTAGTATTATTTCGCATTCCTCACCCACAAGCATTAGAGACACAGTTAATTCTAAAGCCCGTATGACATCTCCATCTCCTAATACAAATTCTAATTTTTTATTGTCATCGACTAAAGTATCACCTTCTTTTAAATAAGTCTTGACAGACAGAACAACAGCGTCGCCTTTATTAGGTTTTTCACCGGAACCCTCTTTGTGAATCTATCCGATTAATATATAGTTTTAAAACTTTGTAATCAAATGAATATTTAACAAACCTTTTTCATTAATGCTCCACTACCAAGAACGTCTAACCAGTCGTCCCCATATTCTGGTTCCTCGTTGATTTCAGTATTTGAATTTGAAGATTTCACTTCATTTGATTGATCTTCTCCATTTGATTTATTTTCCATATTTTCCATGCTAAAATAAAATTTACAGTTGTTTTTTTTATAAATTTTGTAATTACAAAAACTGATCTAATTAAAACCTAGGAAAATATAATATTTAAAAGAAATAATATCCTCTTTTCTCAATATTTGCAGACATTTTAAAAAGATGATTAAATCCTTAACATTTTCGTTTAATATCATATCTGTGGTATAAGTGTAATAGGATTTAAAAGATATAAAACAACCTTGATGCCTATATACTGAATGAAGTATATTAAAAGTCAGTCTTCAAATTTCGGAAGCTTTACGTTCTTGTATCAATTTTATTTGTAGTTTACAGACAATACCGGTAATATTAATCTTTTTTTTTTTGTTTATTTGAAGATGTATATGCCGAATTTTCTCGAACTAACAGTAATATTTTTCACTATAAAAACTGGTATCGATTCTAACACACTTATATGACTATGAATATCTGAACATCGACAGGGATCCATGCTAATCACAGATTAACCAGTTAAATAAAAAATTTGAATGATGACACAAAGACACGTCGGTCTGTTCAAAGTATAAAAAGCGTATTTTTGAAATATTTAACTAATCAGAATTTTCTTGAAACATTTCCTTTCACGAAAATAAGTTAAAGCATCCACGTTTCATGACTTTTTTCAAGTAAATAGGATAATGACCTAATCGTTAGCTTGCTAATTATCTGATCTATCTTGAAAATGCAGCTAAGCTAACATTCATAAATAAACAAAGAAAATAGTGACAAAAGAAAGATCTATTTTGCTTCAGAATCTGCATTTAGATTAGCTTTGAAGTTACCGTTCTCGTGGTGTGCGGTAGTTCAACAAAGAACATAATTAGAGGTCATTCTATTTTTAGCTGGTATTAGAATAAATCAAAAGAAACGAAATAACTCCTTCACACCATTTTTTTTCTTTGGCTAAAAAAATTACGTAATTTTATAAATAAACGATTTCCCAAACCAATCTGTAGGAAAATGTTTTATTTGTATAAAGACTTTTTGTTTCGAGAATGATACTCGAACAGTGAACAAGAATCTTTTTGTTGAATTGGAACCTAATGATTGCTAATTATTTCACTTTCATCTATTTTTATACCAAAGGTAAGAATCCCTAATTCTTTTGATAGAAAACTTTCTAAAGCGTTTCATTCGAATAATAAAACTCTTGCAGGTAATGTGAACACCCTTGCTTGTTAAACGACATGTGGTAGCATCAAGCGTAAAAGACGTAATCGACGTCAATCGGTAACAACTTGAGACGCCGTTTGAATTCGTAATAAAACTGTATGATAGTTTGACCGAATGAATTGTTCAATTAGATCATCGTTATTATTGTTGTTTTCTTTAAAGGACTCTTTACGACATTCAATAGTTAACAAAATTTTATTTAAAAAAAATTTCAAAACAATTTCACTCAATAAAACGTCTGAATAATGCTGGTTCATATTAGAAATATTACTATCAGGTACGATAGTAGACAGAGTGAGAGTAATAAGAGCATTGCAACAGTTTACGAATACTTAGGAGGATGAGGAGGATGAGGGAGGGGAGAGGGATTGAGAGGAGAGCAAACAATCAATTTAAAGCAGAATTTTTAAAATAAAAAAAAATGACATAGAATTTCATGCTAAAAGTTAAATGCATTTTTTTAAACCAATATTCTTTTATCTTGCAAGATCTGAAGTAAGAGGGCAGAGGTTGAGAAGAGGTAAATTCAATACATAATAATTAAATTTTTTGAACGAGTACAACAAAATGTATCGACCAACGAAATTCGATTATGTAACAGATGGCGTTGGATAAAAACTTCATAGAAGACCGCGCTGCTTTCTAAGTAGCCATTTCAAAAGAAAAAAGGAGAAAAGCGGGCGATTAAAGGCGTCTTTAATTTCTATGATATACAACACAAAAGCACCGTTAGAACAACTCTTTCGATTTTTAATAACATAAAAACCTATTAATTATTAACTAATTAAAGTACAAAATAATAGCCTCTAAGCTTTGGGAGGGCCCCGTTTACTCTTAGATTTAAATTTTGCGCCCAACGACCTAGTTATAGTCAGCATTCTTTTAACGGCAGGTGCTTTAGATTTTGAAATCGGTATAGCATTGGTTTTTGAAAGATTCTTTTCTAGTAAGGAGTCTTCGCTTGATGATGACGCTTTTTGCAAAGTTTTAGTGTTATTTTTACTGAACCTCCTTGGTGGTGAATCAAATGAGGAGTCACTATTACACATATGTAGTCTTTCTCGAGATATTTGAGGTTTTGGTTGATCAGGAGAGAAGGACAAAGAACTATTTGTTGAGTTAGAAGCATCATTTTGCTCTTCTTCATATTGTTTTGTCAGATCAAATACTCTTAAACTGCCTCGTTTTGGAGTTCCATGAGGTAGGGTTGCAGATGGTTTAGGAGTCGAAACACTAATTGAGGCACCGACTAAAGGATCGCTGTTAGACCTTCGAACATCTGCCAAAAGTGAACCGTAACCATCATCCATTCGATTTGTTGATTTTGTTCCACAGCTGGATGAAGATTCTTTTGATGAGGAAGAAAACATACTAAGAATTGGTGAATACTGAGCTTCACCACCATTTGCCCAACCGTCGTCTTCTTCTGATGAATCAAAACATTCTAAAGATTGAGTGAGAGGTGAGGCTAAGGCATCTCCACAGCAGTCTTCCGACGTTATAGAAAGTAATGAATTGGAGCGAAATAGCCCTTCATTTTCCTCCACATGTGTTGACCTTATTGAACGCAAAATACTATTTTCTTTTTCTAATTCTTTTAATCTTTGCCTCATCCTGAAATTCTCTTCTTGCATAGCCTTATGCGCCAGTATAACAGACATGACGTGGACATTGAGGATGGACACTTGCTTTTCGTGTGCTTCTCTCTCAGTCTTTAGGTCTTTGACACAGCTAACATTCAGTCGTCGCTCGTTTACAAGTTTAGTTTCTAATAATTTATTTTGATTTTTTGCATCACTTAATTGTCTGGACAAGGATAATTCATTCTGTATCGGATGAAAAATTCACTGTTATTGTATACATCAAACTTATGATAAAAAGAAAACTATAAAAAATGATTTTGTTAACCATTTTAAAAAGTCTTCTGTCATATTTGATTGAGAGAACATCCAAATAACACTAAATAAGCCGGTTATTCAAGACTTAGAAGTCATTGAGGGAGACAATATGTCGGTGATAAACATCTTACGTTAAATTTGTTTCAGAATAGATTTCGATATCCAGCCTTGGCGCGAATGACATTTCAAATGAAAGTAAGGATCACTGAGTGCGTACACAACATTAAAAAGAAATACCTAAACGTTTTGGATAGGAACTGAAACCAGCCTATAAAATAAAAAATAGAGCTGTGTTCTTTAATTAATATAATTACGTTTAATAAGAGTTTAAGCCTAATTGGATTTTTTAAGTAGTTGAGATATTTTTTATGCATCAAGATGATACATATTAGGAACATTTTAATTCCCAAATGTTAGGAAGTATAACAAGAGAATAAATCGGCAGATTTAACAAATGGCGAAAGTAAAACAAAAACGGTTTTCTAAAATATGCAAACGACCAATAAATATTTTTGGTACAATTGAAAAAGAGTGTTTAGAAATGCTTATCAATCACTTCATTAAGGATTCTTTTCATAGGCGACCAGTATAATTCTCTCCACTTCGTCAAATGTTGTTAGTATTCATGAAATATGACTCAACTTAAGCCTTGTAAAAACCAGAACTAATTTAAAACTGATGTATTCTATATTTATTCAGAAAAAATAAACAAAAGCTTTCTTATAGTTGAAAAAAAACTCTATAAATTAATCAAATGATTTAGTATGTAGCTTCAGTGTATGTTTAACAAGGACTTTCTAATCGACGACTCATCACTAACGTTTCTTTGTTAGTAGTTATGACTGGAGTTACAATTCGTTGACAGAATCTTTCCCGTAAAATGACAGTTTAGAATACGCTTTCTCTCTCACTAACCATTAGAATTGTATGACCTTTCTAATATTATTCTATGATATGCTGTTACATAAAAGTCACTATAAGGTAATAGCTTATGTAAAGAAAAATGACACCGGATTCAAATTAATTTGATATCAAACAAGCAGCTGGTAACCGATAACATAGAATCAAATTCTCAACGCATTGATTCATTATGAGATCCATTGTTGGGAAATTTTTGTGAGCTACTTTAATATACGACACTCGACAAGTTTCAATCGAGAATATAACCACAAGACTGTCAATAATGCTTTTATTTAACATACATAGGCTCAGCAGCCTATTTTTATCAATGAAAATCTTGATGGAAAATCATGTTACGTTTTAGTAATACTTTATACAGTTTCCTTGTTTAGAGTTGGTTTTGTTGGTTTGAAGGAAACAACAAACATCTGCAGATCTTTATGAAAAGGACTTGCATGCACAACCAGGTACCCGTCTTAATGACAAGTTAAATCCTCTATTTTTTAAAAATTCTACCTAATTACTAACAAATCTATTACCTTAATCGATATATCAGAATTTTCACAATCCAAATCCATCTTACACCGATTAAACAGCCGTACATCCGTCTTTTAGAAACGTTGCACAAGGTAAAACATTGGTTAGCATTCAAAATTTGCGGCAGACATTAAAGAAATCCGATAGCCTCTAGAGGTCGTTGTCAAATTTAAAAAAATTAGACTGGTACACGTCCACATATTTTCGACGGGGTTCATAATTAATTTTTTTTCGCATACTCCTTGTTGTAAAAATGACTTAAATTTTTAAAATAATTTGTATATGGTAATAAGTTAATATTTTTGATTTGTGCGAAAATAGAAACCGGAAATTCGTACGTCTGATGTCCGTCCTATGAAATTTCTAATTATTTTAGGTAACGTACTTTTCTTTTGCATATTGCATAACAATATGTCAGACTGAACAAAGAATTATTACAGGTTCATTTCATCAGCTATTAGTATAAAAGAAAGGGATTATTTTTAATTCGGGTAAACTTCCATCATTCTCATTCGAAGTTCGAATCGGGTTATGATCAGTGATTTTTGTTCGAATTTTGTGAAATTTAGAACTTTAACAATATGGTTACTACTTCGAATATGTGAATTAACGTAACGAAGAGTGTTTTAATGTAAAAAATGGCGACTTCTAATGGAGATCATGAAATGGAGGAGACGGAGATGACAGAAGACATAATTGGGAATGAAAATTGCTTAACATCGAAGGTATCTTACATATATTCTACATAATTTGAAGATTACTTTGTGAATATGTGCACGTAGACATAATCTGCTGCTGGTTTAGATAACTAGTTTGACCAGCCTTTGATAAGCGCCATCTATTAGAGTAAATATAATCTAAGAAGGTAACTAAAGTCTATCTTAAGTTCAACAAAGAAGACAATTTTTTGTTGTGCGCTATTAAAAAACATGTTAATATTTTTTTAATTAGGCTTTAAGTTTGACCGATAAATATTATTAACAGTAGTACGGTATCTCTTGATTGATATTATGTAAGCATCTTTCTACGATTTGTCGTTCGGCATATTTTTGGAAGATAAGAAAAAGAAGTAAAAAAAAGAATGAAAGAGAGAGAGAGAGAGAGATAGAAAATTAAAAATTGCGGACGTGTTCAATTGCCTGAACAAATAATAATTTAAAAAATCTATTTATTCGTTCTCTCTTATTATTAATGAAAAGAAATTAACTTTCTGTGTTTAATATCTCTTCCTGTAATAGACGGCTCTTGTTAATCCTAGTGAGGAGGACTTTGGAATTTTATTGGATAATCTTAAGCATAGAATAGACCAATGTCAAGGAGAAACAATTTATGAAATTGGTTGTGGTGAAGGCAGTATACCGGGACTACCTGAAAATGACATGGATAGTGCAATTGCTAATTTACAAAGATTGTCAGGTCTTCTTGGAGCTGAAGCTAAGGTCTTGAGAGAAAGGAGATGCGAAGGTGGAGTGATTAAGGAATTTTTAGTGAGGAAGAGAGCTGAAGGGGAAGACTTTATGGAAGTGCGTGTCGCTGTCGTGGGGAATGTTGATGCGGGAAAGAGTACTTTGTTAGGGGTTCTTACTCATAGTGAGTTGGACAACGGAAGAGGCTTAGCTAGGCAGAAACTGTTTAGACATAAACATGAAATGGAGTCAGGAAGAACTTCGTCTGTGTCGAATGATATACTTGGATTTGATAGCAATGGAAGAGTTGTCAATAAACCTGAACATGGTAAGTTATATAATTTTTATATTGACATGTCTCTCTAAAAAATTATTAATATTTCTTAAGGTAATCTTGATTGGACAAAGATTTGTACTGAGGCTTCGAAAGTTATAACATTTATCGATCTTGCTGGACATGAAAAATACTTAAAAACAACTGTTTTTGGTATGACCGGTCATGCTCCTGACTTTTGTATGCTGATGGTCGGAGCGAATATGGGAGTTGTTGGTATGACTAAGGAACATCTTGGATTGGCGTTAGCCTTAAACATACCAGTTTTTGTTGTTATAACAAAGATTGATAAATGTCCTCCTAACATCCTTGCCGAAACTTTAAAAGTTTTGCAGAAAGTTCTAAAATCCCAGGGATGTAGGAAAATTCCTGTCTTAGTGCAATCAGAGGATGATGTTGTTATAGCTGCAAGAAATTTTACTTCCGAAAAGTTATGTCCAATTTTTCAAGTATCTAACGTTACCGGCGAACGACTTGATTTATTAAAGATGTTTATGAATCTTCTGGCACCGAGAAGCACTATTGAGGGTACAAACTGTGATATGGCAGCCGAGTTTCAAATAGATGATACATTTAGCGTACCTGGTGTGGGAACAGTAGTTTCTGGAACATGTCTAAGCGGATCTATAAAACTGAATGATACTCTGCTTCTAGGCCCCGACTTGTCAGGAAATTTTAATAGTATCGTTATAAGAAGTATTCACCGAAAGAGAATGCCTGTCCAGCAAGTCAGAGCTGGTAAGTAAATTTTCTTTTAGCTGCAAGTTTACCTCTCATTACGATACATTTACTCTATATTTATTTGAACACACAGGTCAAACAGCTTCTTTCGCCCTGAAGAAAGTGAAAAGATCTAGTATTCGTAAAGGAATGGTCCTAGTCTCTCCTCTAATTCAACCCGTCTCTTATTGGGAGTTTGCAGCTGATGTTTTAGTTTTGCACCATCCAACAACAATAGCTGTTGGATATCAAGCAATGGTTCATGTTGGACCGGTTCGACAGACAGCCACAATAACTTCGATGTCTATAGAAAATATGAGAACTGGAGATAAATCAATATGTAGATTCAAATTCATAAAAAATTCAGAATTTTTGCGGAAGGATACCAAACTGGTTTTCCGAGAGGGAAGGACAAAAGCAATAGGCACAATAACCGACCTGTTTGTGCCTCAGGACGCAAATTCTACAGTTCATCAGAGGACTAATAAAAATCTACACAATCAACATGGCCAGGGTGGAGTTAAAAGAAGACGAGGTGGGAAGAGGAAAGCTGCTTCGGCTTCTGCTACTACTGCCAATGCTCAAGCAGAGTAGAGTTTTAAATTATCGTTGAATTGTTGATATATTAATACAATATCCTCTATGAATATGAGCTCTTGAAGAACAGGCGTTTCGCCTTAGTTTTGGAAATGATACCTTGTTTCTATAGCTCCAATAAAGGTTTAAGACCTTAAATTTTAGGTTCCAATAGAAAAAAATCCTTTTTCGAGTTACAGCACATGTTTTGATTTAAATATTAACGACGACAATATTTATCTTTGTACCAATATATCGTGCTTCAAATAACTTTCATTAGTTGATTTATTATAGTTTTTAGCAGTCTAAACAAAGATATACAATAGGTATAACCTAGGTGAAACTATATCTGTTTAGTCTTAAATAAGATTTACAATTAAAGGATTTTTCTTTTTTATTAAGGCGCAATGCTTTTAATTCTGTCACAACTGTTAAGTCTCGTTGAACAGATTATCTTAAAAGCGAGTTTCCAATAATTTATCATCAATCCACAGGATTAGTAAACTAATAATCCACCTGTTGTCTCCACTTCGTCACTCGGCAGTTACATACATATATTGAAATTGAGCGCCGTCTGGTGACAAGTTGACAATTACTTCGTCAGATTTTTCACTCGAGTCTTGATCAGTTAAATCGTTTATCTGAATAGAGCAGTAAGTTGTTTAACAGCGAAAAAAACAAAAGATTCAAAAGCATACTTGATTAACAGGAGTTCCGTATTCTAATCTTTCCAAGTCATCGCTTTGAATAAGATCAACGTGATAACGATTTAAGTGTTTACGCAAGTGATTAGGATTTCTGGCAACAAATTGGCAAAATCTGCACTTGAACTTCAAATTACAGTGGGCTAAAAAGAAACAAAGAAACAAAACAAATGTAAGATATTAAAAGGATTTAATATAATTAATAAAACATTTATTTCTAAAGGTCTAATGTTAAATTTTTATTCAGTTAGAATATAAAAAAAATTGTTTACTTTTATCTATTTCATTATATTTAATTACACTACTAATTATGTTAAGTAACCAAGTTTAATGTACTCGATCTTTTTAACGTTAACGTTTTAATTAGTTTTTATGGTATACGTATTGAACTTTAGAATCAGTCTAGTTCAATTACTTGTTCTCCTCGGGAAGCAAGGAAAGCTAAACAATATTATATATCGTTTTAGTTAATTTTGTCTATTTTTTTTTATAAATAGTTTCAAGTAAGTCAAAATTTTTTCAGTTTATATAAATATTTCAAGCAAGTTATATTTATCTATCTATTTTCTAATAGAAATACTCTATAAACTATCTCTAATATATTATATATCTATTATATAGAAATTTATTGGATACGATAGGAACAAAATTTTAATATAGCTATTGTAATATTTTAGAATTGATTAATAAGGAATTTTAAATATTTTTTCTAAGTAATATAATAAAAAAAAACAAAATTTAACTATGTCACGTGATTATAAAAAAGATATTTAGAATAAGAAATTTGTTATCTTACCGCTACTCATGTGATTATCAACAAGGCAATTGTCGAATGATGAGAATTCGCATTCGACGCATTTGTATATCCGATTTCTCTGTTAGGGTGAAAAGAAAATGATTCTACGAAATTGATAAAATTTTAAAGAATTGATTGTAAAAGAGTAATAGTAAAAAGATAAAAAAAAAGACATTTAAAAATATTAATTGTTAAAGACATTAGGCCCAGATAGCAAATTCCAAATTCATAAATAATATCAAACTAACTATATAAAAACATATTTTGGGGGCCTATTCTTGTAGCTCGCAGCAAGGCGCCGAAGTTTTTCAATTTTGATACGAATGGCGACGAAAGGTGAGGAGGAAAATCGTTATCAAAGAAGATCTGTTAGTTTCGATATGGGCCTATACGCGGAGGCGATGAAATTGAACTATGACGAGGAAAAAGAGTCAAATTTCGAAATTCTCAATAGAAGAGTAAGTAAAAAACCTAATTGGGAGCTCGCAGAGGAAAAGAGAAGTTCAACTGATACGGTAAGACCGTTATTGAATAGTTCTTCCCTGATGTATTGTTATTGTAGTATCAACAGAAAAAGGAAAAAAAATTCAACTTTCTTAGTTAAACAACCCTAAACGCTTTTAAGAAAAAAACTTGAGTTACAAAGAGAAAATTGTACCGAACCCCAGTATTTTTTAATAAAAATAGCTTTTTCTTATAATAATAAGCTGATTTAAAAGATAGAAAATTCAACGTTATTTATTACAATTCTAATAGTGTATTTAATTTAGATAGATTTATAGGTTTAGAAATGTTAACTTTTTTTTATTTAGAGCCCTAATAAGGATTAATTAAATGCTATTCAATTTTCTATTCACGTTGTATTTAATAAGTACTAATGTTTCTGTTTAAAGGGAATGTAGAAAGAATTGGTTGGCTAAGTCTAGCATATCACGTGTATAAAGGACAATATCTTAGTTCAACTTTATTTCAGGCTTTGGGTTATACTGAATATTCAACTGAAATCACTGCCGTTGGTTATATTTACTTTTCTCATTGTGACCGAATGCTAGGATAAACAAAGTTATTCCTTCAAAATATTCTAAACAAATTCGAATTTTTGTTTACTTAGACATGATCTAAGTAAAATAATTACCTATCTTCTAAATAAGACCAACTACTTTTCGGATACGCTATAACGCAAAACCTTCCTAACGGTTAACATCGTTCAATAGCTTATTGCCCATTATATCATTTGAACAAATGACAGTTTCTATTGATAAAACACCTTGTTATTTATTGTGTATAATTTTTGTGTCAGTAAATTTCGCTTTGGGCTAAAAATGCAAAGAGGCCACAATACTTAGCAGGTAGTTTAGTTAATTATACTTAATAGAGTTATTAGTTAAGAATTTTAAAACTCGTTATTTAAAACTTAATGAAATGTTTTTGCATTGTAATTAATGAAAATAAGGCCTAATAAATTAATTCTTCTTTTTTTTTTAAGGATGACAGTGAAGATACCGATTGTGATGATGTTTTTGAGCATCTAGCAAATAGGACATGTGATGAATATATTGAGTACTCTACATATTCATTTAGATTAAAGTCATTTGATCTTCAGCCAAAGCCAAAAAAGAAACCATACTTAAAAAAAAGCGATGCTGCTCTTATCGAGCAATATAACATTAGAATTAAATTTGGTATTGAAACTCTTGCGGAAGCTGGGTTTTTTTACGACCAGTTAGAAAGATCTATTATATGTTTCTCCTGTTCAAAACGAGCATCAAGGAGAGCTTTAAGCGATGACATTTGGAGACAGCATTTGGGTAATTGTAATTTTGCCATATATTGGAAAGGATATAAATTCTTTGCGGATGATAATAGATTAGATGATATAAGATATGAGTTAGTTATGAAAGACGACTATTTATATGGCGTTAAAGGTAAGAAAATATATTTATTATTTACTTGGTTACATTTAGCTCTCTTTCACTTATCGACTTATTAATTTATGACATCTCAATACTTGCTTGTCAATTGGCCATTTAATGATTAGATAAGGGTATTTATTTACTGTTTGCATTGATTTTTAAGGTCAACAATTAAGAGAATTGAACTTTTTGTTACTAATTACTTTGCCCCTTCTCTTATTAGCATTATTGATAATAATAAAAGATGTAAGGATTAAACAAATAAGTAAAATGGCATACTGAAATAATAAAACCTCTTTGAACAAAGGATAGATGTTGTTGTCACTTTGTCGTAAAGTTTTACTACAATAAATAACCGTCGATAAAAGTTAGTGGGACTGACGGCACAATACTTAAATGAAAGATATTTGATAAAAGTAAAGTCGTATCTGAACTTGTAATAAAATAATTACAAGCGCAGTAAAGAATTTTTTTACGATAGTTATCTAGCTTGATTTCTTTTACTTTTCAGAAGAAGATATGGAAAATCCTGAATATCAAACATTTGAAAATCGTCTACGAACTTTTCGTACTTATCCGCTTTGCGAAAAGAAAATAAGTTTAGCGGAAGCTGGATTTTTCTCAAGTTCTGGAGATACAGCTACGTGTTTTTTTTGTGGTCTAGTTTTAAAAAATTGGAGAAAAGCTAGTGAGCGTTCACCATTGGAGTATCACGCACATTTTACTAAATCATGTTGCTATATAATCGTTGTCGAAGGTAGACTTTTTCATGATTCATGCCGGAAAGACAAAGAACTAGATAGAGGACCGGATGTAGTAGAATAAAGAGACAATTCGCCAAATAACTTTAATATCTAAGATAAGAAAAAAAAAACATACCAAATGGTGCCGTTTATAATGTTTCTGCATAGCTGAGTAGTTTTGAAACCAAGCTCCGCATTTTGAACAGGACGATGACGTATTTTCATGTATCTTTATATGCTAAAAGAAAGTCATTTATTTAAGATGCATAAAATATTTTGTTCAAATGTTATCTATTGCAGGGTATTATAAATTATCTGTTGTATAAAGTACTTAATAAACACAACCGAATAATTATAATTCAATAATGTATGATGAAAAGACTTACTTTCATCATCAAATATTTTTGAATGGTTTGATATTGACAAGATTCACAATTGTAAATGGGTTTATCAGATACTTGCTTCTATAAAAAGAAAAGCACGTATTAGAAAGAGATTTTTTGCAAAGACAATAAATGATTTTACCTTATGTTTGGCGAAGCAATGCTGTTCGTAATCAACTTTGTTAAAGAAGGTTGCCGTGCAATCATCGCATTTAAAGTTTCGTTTCTTTTCATGTTGATTTTGTACATGCGCCATGCGAAAGGCTACCGTTGAAAACGTTTTCGAACAATAGGGACACATTTTTGAATTGTGGTTTTCCTTCTCTGTGTGTTCTCGAAAATCTTCTAAATTTTCAAATTTTTTTGAACAGTCGGCACATCGAAATTCGTCTTCGTGATCTTTTTCATGAGCTTTTAATTGTCTGAGAGACGATGTTCGAAACTCGCACTTTTCACAGGATAACCATATTAAATAATTAGGAGCTTCATATTGATGCTTTGTTACATAATGCTCTATGAGGGAATTGTATATAGTTTCAACAGATCTTCTTGCAGAAAGACGTTTAGAAGATCGAAAATTACGTTTGCAAATATGACAGAGTAATATCGCATCATCATTTCCAGTATTGCAATGCTTTGACCGCACATGTTCCAGAAGTTCTGCCAAAGATTCAAAACTATCCGAGTTGCTGCATATAAAACAGGGATAGCATTCTAAATCTTCTCGAAACGATTTCTTTTCGTTGCTTTTATGATATGTGTGGTTCAATTTCGGTTTCACATTATTAGACTTTTTATCATTTTCGAATACGGGTGTTACAACAGCAGATTTCCCTTCCTCCTTAACTAAACTTACTAACTTTACTTTAACTGCATGTGCGTTATTAAGATGCTAAAATCAAAAACATAAGTAACCTCAACGAAATGATCATTTAACGTGCACTTACGCTGAAAAATGCAGCTCTTCGATAAAATTTCGTGCTGCATTCATCGCAAAAGTATATTTGTCCCCAATTTGGAAGTGGTTGATAATGTTTTGTAACTTCATGTTCTAAAATTCCTTCTAATGCAATCTTAACTGATATAGTATGATAATTTTTGTAGGATTTTAAGAGAGGTGACGCCTAAATTAAATATATATCATTGTAATATTATAAATTAAAAAAAGTACCAACTCACAAATTCGCAAGATGTGCATTTTAAGTAAGAATTCGTTTTACCAAAGTTCTTCTTAACAACATGAGTTTGTAAAACATGTTCCGCTAACGACTGTAATGAGTCTAAAATTTTCTCACAAAATAAACAATTGAAGGGACCAAAATTGGCTAATACATCGAGTCGGTATCTATTTATTATGTTGTCATGATTGTCTTTTTCTTCCTTGGCTTCTCTTTCATAAAATTCTCCATTCTTTTCATGGGTACCTATGTGATATCTAGCATATTCGTGTGATACAGTCGTATATGAGCACAAAGAACAATGAAATTGTACAAGAAAATTTGGCACAAATGCCGAATGTCCGGGACTTTTAGCCATATGATGTAAGCACTGCAAAGCTGCGTGTTGAATTGCCCTAAGGGAATACATTATTATGAATTAAATGTTTCTCTCTTTTAGCGAAATATACCTGCTCTTTAGTAAACTAAGAATCAAAGGGAAGCCTTTTGGGCATTTAGGACATGCAATGGAAGTTCTTTTCCTTTTTTTGTCTCGATCGCAAGTTAGATGAGTTATTGATATATGATCAATTAAACCATTTAAATCACTAAACTGTTCGGTTGTTCGCTTTGGCTCACTTATTGGATTACATAAGAAGCAATAGAGTATTCCAGAATCATCGATTAAGTCTGATTTTCTGTACTTTACATGATCAATTATAGGAACAACCCCTCCTTGATTTTCGGGCTTTTGGGTACAATCCATCTTACAATGTTCATCCACAAGCTCTTTCTTAGGAGCTGAAAACGCACAAAATTTACATTTAACGAGATTAACATAATCAGGATAGGAGAGATTGTGTGAATCCTTTCTGTGATGAAGAAGACTTATTAGGCAATTAATGATTTGTTTAGAATCCGAAATGCTCGAAGAAAATTCACAAAGATTGCACATAATCACGTCTTTGTCAAAATGTTCTTTGCTGAAATGAGAGAGAAAGTCTTGTCGAGTGCTACATAAATTTTTGCATAAAAAGCAGCAATATTTCGTAGATTTCAATAGAAAAGCTGTTTCCTGATCCTCATAAATATCCTCTTGATATTTTGTCAATGTATCAGTTGATTCTTTAGCTTCTATGACATGATATCCACCCTCCTCTAGGATATTAATCAAACGGGATAAGCGATCGTGCTTGAAGAGTTCATGATTCCTCCATAGGTCAGGTAGAAAACATTTTACATTACATTCAGAGCACTTATATGTGTAAATGAATAACGGTTGTTCAATATCATGTATGTTAATAAGATGATCTACCATGTTTAGAAAACAGTGAGCTTTAGCCATTGACTCAGAATCCCTATATTTCTTCGATTGCAGCCCGTATATTTTGCTGCAATAACAGCATTTTATTACCTGATTTTGTTTGTTGATGGCATGACATCCAAACACATGATTTAATAGACCCTCGATATCTGTTGCCAATGTTCTCTCATCTTTACACAGGGGGCATTCATAATATTGGTCGTCAAGTATCCTAAATAAATTCACGACTGAAGAGCCATCTAATATATCTGTAGATCCATGAAACTTCTTGGAAGTCGATAAAGTATCTAAGTCTGTTTCCAGAATGGAAACCTCCATATTATCTACATCTTCGTCGTACTTTGCCCTTTTTTCAGGAATCGCTTCTTGCTCTTCAGGCAGAGGTCTACAAAAGAATTCATAGAATTTATACTTAATTGCACAATAATATTACATACTTGTCATCTTCAGCGGCGTTCAAAGCTTCGTTCAAAAGCTTTTCTATTTTAGAAGCAGAAGAGGTTCGCAAACTTGACAGTGCTTCTGAGGCTGCCTTAATCTGAAATTAATTTGCATCGTAGATCTACTCGGCTTTTATTAATCAAAAGAAATTAGTTACCTTTTTCCGAACCTCTTCCATCATTAAATTAAAATGCAATCTGAAAGCTGTAAATAAGAGAAATTTGGAGATATTTTTAAAATCTTCATCGAAAGGTCAAGGATGTCTTTTAGGTTTTGGTTAATGAAAACCGGTTTTTTTTGTTCAGTTTGTTAAGAAACCAGGTAACCATAGTATGCTTTCCAAAGAAGTTGACAATTTGCTGTCCATACCATGATACCAATTCAAAGTAAAAAGATGTCTTTTCCTAGTTTATGCGAATAATATTAAATCAATAAATTGTTTTAGACTAATATTAAGATTTTCCATTAATCTTGTTATTTTCCCCTGAACACTTACTCCAGTACACAGGAAGATATTTCTTACCTCCTCTTTAAAACTATTTTTTCCTGACTATCATTAAAGCGATCATTTTAATATACAAAATAAAGTTTCGAAAAGTTTTAATCCTGAAAGCTAGAAATCATAAGAATTGCTTAACAAACAAATTCTGATTATCTGTAATGTGAGCAGCAAATTCTTTTATGTCAAATATAAATCGTGTGTGTGTGCGTGTTTTGAATTCTATTTAACACAATAGTAGTTTCAACCTTAATTAAAACATGCGTTTATTAATAAGACAGAGAATAATGTTATAAGCCAAACGTCAAAGATATATGTGTATGCATTTATATATGCATATATATATAAATATATATATATATATATATTTATATATATTTGTATGTTGATATATGAACATATTAACTTTAGTTAGGAGGTGGTGGAGGAGGAGGTGGCATTCCCATTGGAGGGGCATAGTTACCCTGTGGAGGAGGAGGGGTTTGCCATGGACCTTGTTGCCATGGAGGGCAATTAGAAGCGGACACTGGCGGTGGAGGTGGTTGCCAAGGGGGCATATTGCTTGTGGGAGGTGGACCACCAGAACCAGGAGGAGGGGGTGGTGGGGGAGCCAAGGGTTTTGTTGTTCCAGGAGGAGGTGGAGGTTGCTGCTGTTGTTGCCAAGGCGTTGAAACTCCGGGTGGTCCATTATTGTTAGCGGGACCATTTCCTGGTGGTGGAGGTGGCGGCGGTAAAGCCATTGGTCCTCCTCTATTCCATGTTTGACCCTAATTTAAATTTTTAATATTATTTATTAAATTAATTATGAAAATTACAAACAATTATAAGGTTGAACTTACTACTGTTGGAGGCGGTCCATTAAACTGTTGTGTGCCAGGAGGAGGAGGAGCAGCTTCGCCAAGTTCAGCCATCAATGACATGTACTCGCTATCCATTTTTGCTTTATCCGCAGGGGTCGGCATTGGTACTTGGCCGCTTTCAAATTGTCTGAGACTTTCTCCTGGTCTTCTTTCTTTACAATCTTGTGCAATGTGACCAGCTCCTCCGCACATAGTACACACTATATTGTTTGTAACTATTGTATTGGCTTGTGCCATTTGTCTGAGTTTACTCAATCCATCTGTTTCTCTAAGAGTACCATTCAAAAGTGCTAATTCACGTAACTGGTGCCGTCGTAGATCATTTTGCCCTTCTGGGACTTCGATTCCTGTAATTTTGACACATTTATATAAAATATTTCCTAAAAATTATATTTTAAATTTTACCCTGTCTAATTATATCTTTAATTTTTTCAGCCGCCATCTTTACATTTTCAGGGTTATTGGCCGTAATGTACGCATGTAGTGGTTCATCTTGTCCGGGAAGTGGCTGACCGTCACTTCTCCCAACCTTTCCTTCTTTAATTGAACCTTTTCCTCTGATAATTATTTTTGCTCCTGTGTCTTTTTCTAAAGTCTTCAAAGTATTTCCTCTGGGTCCAATAAGTAATCCTACAAAGTTTATATCGGGATGCTCTTCTTGTGGTATTAAAACTTTATCACTAACTCTAACTACGGGCGGTTTATAGTCGCTTGGAGGGTGATAGCTAGAATTGACTTTCAGTGCTTTTTGAACTAATTCATGACGAAGTTCTTCTAGTTTTTTCCTCATTCGGTACTCTCTTGTGTTTAGCCGCTTTCCCTCATGATTATAAATCGGCTCAGGAGATGGTGATCTGAAATGATAAAAAAATTGGAGATTGCCGATAAAGACGTGGCCTACACAGAAATTTTCCCTAATGTTTTGTATGATAATTAGTTCCAATAGGCTGAAAATTGGTTTTGAATTAGACGCTGAAAAATTATACGGATTAAATTTATCGCTTAGTTTGTATAATTTTTTAATTTTGACTATAGGATATGATATATTAATTTTTTCGGTCAGCTGAAATTGTTGCTGGTTTTAGATGCTGCAAATGGCTATTAAAAGAAATTGAATATGTTTTAAAATGTCTTTAAGGGAATCTAGCTGAAATATTTGGTTTTTTTATTATGATTATTTATTTTATACTTTGTTCAAACAAGCAAGAGGTCTAAGGAGCTTTATGAAACATTTTTATATATAGCGAATGGTAAATATAAAAAACTTTCCATTAAATGACTTAATTTTCCCTTAATATATTATTATTCATAAGAAATATCAATGATATTGAATTATATAAACTTGTATAAGCTTAAGTTTTACTTTTATGGTGTGAACTAAACTACTAAAATCATTGTTTCATGCCTATTGTTGTCCGAACAAACTATAAGAGCTGAAACGTCATGATTAGGCTGTAAAATTTTTAACGGATTGTTACTATAAGTCCTATTTTTGAATTATTTACAAATTTTGTACTTGTTTCTTACAGTTTCAGTAAATTGCTACATAGCTGAAAGACAAAAATTTTTTTTAAGTAAAGTTAAATCTGTTCAGCTTTCGGCTGCACCTAGCTGTTCCTAATTTAAAGGTTGTAACTTTTTAATAGACGAATGTGCGTGCTATACTATCAAACCTCTCTTCCGGATTCGGCGGTATGCCTAAATCTCCAGTTCTCAAACGTCGAGATGTTTCTTCAATCTGCAGTTGTACTGTTAATCCGGAGCGATTAGCGGAAAAGAAAAAAGGCATTCAAATTAGTTCTGATTTATAAAAACGATATAAAGTTTCTTTGACGAATACGGTAGCTTTTAAAAAAATTGATTATTTTCCATATATTTTACGAAATATACCCATTCAATTGATAGGAACTAAGTGAAAGAAATACTTAATTTGAACCGTCAATGAAACTTTTTAGGTGGTAAAAAAATATACGCATTCTGCAGTACTTTTCGAAACCTAAAGCTGCAGTAAGATCTTTAGTTATGCAAAGTGTTCCCTATTAAACCAACATAAAAAAGTCTTGTCATAAAAAAATTAATACATCAGCCTCATATATGATATGAATTCAAAAGATGTAATATATACAACAATTGGTCAAATTACTAATATTAAGATCAATGCTAATAGCAAAATACTAAAAAGTAAGAAGAAACTTACGTAAGTACATCTCTTCTTGATCTTTTGTCAAGTTTTGGGGAATTGATGTAGGCATACCCGGTATAAAAGTTTTCTCAAAGTCTCCACCTCCCCAGCGGCTTTTTCTTTTCTTTTTTCTATCATCAGCGGATTCGGCTATGAAGTAAAAGAATAATCTTTAATATAAATAAACTATTTTAAAAGTAATTTCAATTTCTACGAAATTCTCTTTACAACTTTCGCAAAGATTTATTATTTTAATGAAATCTCATGTGCTTGAAAGATAATATTCCACATTTAATTAGACTTGGTGCAATTAAATGTCTTTGACATAAGCGTCAATGATCGATTGACCGAGTGTATACTTATATCTAATTTATTGTCACGAAACAATTCGTTTTGTGATAAGTGATTCCTTTTGATTTTTAAACTTTTTCTTATCAGACGTAGGAGAGAAGTTGCGTACTTAAAAAAGCAGGCTTTCTTAACTATTTCAAACGGTGATCACATGATCAAAGAAAGCTGCTCAAGTCATTGCTAAAAAATGGTTACAAATTTTTAACATAAAAATATACCTTGTTCGCTTTCACGCTTCATGCTTCAAAAGTGAGTTTGGAGAAAATAGTATTAACTAAGTCGGCTGACAAAGAAAATGGCGTGATTCGTCGTTAATACGTAGCCTCGTTTTGGGTTTCAAACTTCCGGAGAATATATAATTTTCGTACGTATATCTTTATTTCATTTATAGTTTAGCATACAATTCAAATTTAATTTTTTCTGAGCTCTTTTAACTTCTATACAGCTTTTAGCATAATAATTGCGTATTTTTCGGTTTGCCTTAGCAACCAGAAGCGCGCCACTAACGACGCCATCTTAACTATAAACTAAGCGAACTCAAAGTTAATTTGTTTGAAGATATATATTATGGCAAATTGAAATTAAAATCTCATTGGGACAAATAGTTTGAATATGGCTAGTATACAGGTAAAGACTACTTATGAAGCTTTTTTCTAATTTATTTCATATGTTTGTTGTCAAAATTAGCCTCAAAGAAAAGTCACCAAGGGAAAAGGGACTAATGACCCCATCAAATTTTTGCCAGTCTTACCAGACATAAGATCAAAGCCTGATTGGCAAAAGGATCCGCCACAGTTTCATCTCTATGGAAAAATTGACAAAACTGCGGAAGAGGAAGATCGAATCGATCTGATCGGTGAAATCAGTAGTAAGTGTTGAAAATAATAAATTTTTAATAATTTCATTTGTATCTTACAAATTAGTTTCTTAATTGATCAATCTTATTCTGAGACATATTGATTTTGTTTAAGATACTTTGTCTCTGAGTTGAGAATCAATTTCACATCAGAATTTCTCGTAAAATATTTATTTTTTTATGCATAAAGGAAGAAATAATAAAAATTAAAAGAGAAACAACTTTTCTTTTTTAAAAATACTCTACCAGCTAAAACTTTACCCTTTTTTTAATAAGATATATTATAATTTTAATGGCATTCCCATATTTTCGGCAAAGATAAATGAATATTGTCCTTGTCATTCCTCCTAAATGTTGACACTATGAACATTTAGTTGTCTCTTTTAGAATCGCCTAGGAGACGATTCCTTGCACGAAAACCACCTTCAACATCGGCGGCTAATGGAGATACTGGTGGTTCTGCGGTACCAAGCGGAGGTACTCCTCGAAGAGATAGAGATACTTTCAGAAAAGCTCTGGTAGATATTATTATGCAAGATGATGGTGCAGAGACAACTAGGACAACTGAGACGCCTAATGGTACTGAGAAAGATATCCTGAGATATTACTATTACATTCACAATGGTATCGACACCGAACATGTAGCGTCTATGGACGAAAATTGGTTAGCAAATGTCCTAGGACTAGTTAAGGCAGAATTGAGAATTAATCATCTCGACTTGGTAGAAAATTTGAGTGACGAGATGAGAGAAGACTATTTACTCTCGGTAAAGAAAGCTATCGTTGATTTCGTTCTTAAGGATCCCAGAGAAAAAGAGGATCAAGAGACGGAGAACGAAAGACTCCCTCCTCATAGAAAAGAATTGCTGCAAGTACCTAAACCTTGGTTTAGGAGCTATAAGGAAGCCAGAGATATAGCAAGCAGTGACCTACATGTTACTAATCCGTGTATGATGCAAGTTTTACATTTGTGGCATGCACCATTAAAGAAAGATAATGTAGACCTAACAAGACCTTTCAAAGACTTAAGATTAGTCGACATTGGTGAGTTTCAACAAAGAACAGAGTCCATGGAATTACAACTCTTTCAATCCCTTTGTATAAGGCATATTGAATCTGCTAAAGACGCTTTACATAAAAAATGGCTTCCAGAAGTCCAAAATATTTATTACCAAGGGAACAAAAGAAAGTTAGTTCCCAGCAATAAAGATTATGAACGTTTACAAGCATTTTTCAACTGTGCTGCTGCCCTTATGACTCAACAATTGCAGCAATTAGCCCTTTCCTCTATTTCAGATTACACCGATCTGGTAAATTTTCTATATTTTTTTTCTATAAAATAAAGTTTCAATTGTTTTTATGTATATGTTAACAGCTCTGCCAACCTCCTCACTCCACAAGAGCGTTTGAACATCCAGGTTTTGTTCTTCGTCTAATCTTGGAAGGCACTAAGATTGAATATGAGCCTAAATTTGAGGATTTTGAAACTGTACTTATAAATGTATATGATGTCTTGCTAAAAGCAGTAACAAAGATGCCCAGAGTTGAAACAAAATTATATTCGGAATGGCCAACGGATAAACCAACGGAATTAAAACCTATTACTTTGGAAGAAGTTGTAAATGGTCATAAACAGAACGTCAGAGATCTCATAGCCAAAGAGTCAATTGGACCAATAGAACATGCTGCAAAATATGATAAATATTCGACTCTAATAAATGGTCAAGCTGACAAGGATGTTGAAGACTTTTTAAACGGTGATAGAGATTTTGATGATTTATCTCGAGAGGTTCGAAAATACCAACGCCTTAGCGATGAGATAACATACAAATCGATAAAGGTCCTTCGATTGGGTATGTTTGAAGTTCATTGCGACGAATTGATCAGAGCATTAGCCAAAAAGGCTGATCAATGCTGTAATAAACTATTAGCAAGAATGTCAAAAGATCATCAAACTGCAAATAAAGCTCTTTGCGAGGAATATGAAACTATAGCAGAAAAAGCTCTCACAACCCCAGCCAATACTCATGAGCTGATGGAGATAAAGGCCTTTGTTGAAAAAGCAGAAAATTTGACAATGCAAGAGCTGCAAGAAAAATTAAATGCTGCTAAAAATCGTCTTTTGTTTCTTGTTGATTACGCTTCATTCTCTCCGCCAGAAATGCGATTAAACTCCAAAACTTTCACATGGCATGGCAGGATGCCAACAATTTTTGAAGAACATAGAGTTATAGAGAAAGAAAAGAAACAGCAATACGAAGAGGCTCTTAAACTAAAGAGAGAAAGGTTCATCGAAGAGTTAGACAGCTACGGTAAACAAGTTGAAGAATTATCTAACCTTGGAGAAATATCAGAAGTCTCCAAATATTTGAAACGAGCTCAAGGACTGGATGAGAAACTTCAAAAAGCTTTGGAAAAAATCGAAGCCTTTAATGCAGAAGAAGAGGCTTTCGGCTGGGAGATGACCCAATATCCGCAACGGATGACAACTATCAATACCTTAAAACCATACTATTCTTTGTATGAACTGACTGTTGACTTTAACAATAAATATAAAGAATGGATGGATGGGCCAATGCATAACGTGGATCCTGACCAAGTGGATGCTGATGTTGGAAACTTTTGGAGACAACTATACAAGTTGGAAAAAGGATTTAGTGACGCGCCCAATCCGAAAAAAATAGCTACAAAGACAAAAACAAAAGTTGAGGAATTTAAGGAACATCTTCCTCTTGTTCAAACCCTATTTAATCCAGGCTTGAGAGAAAGACATTGGGACCAAATATCGGAGATTGTCGGCTATCAATTGCGACCAGAAGATGACATGTGTTTAAATAAGTTAGTTGATATGAGTTTGGAGAGCTACATTCCAAAGTTTGAGAATATTTCCGAAGCTGCTAGTAAAGAGTTTTCTCTTGAAAAAGCAATGGAAAAGATGAAAAATGAATGGGAACCTGTCGAATTCACCCTTATTCCATACAGAGAAACTGGAACAAATATTTTATCGGCTGTTGATGATATTCAACTGCAACTGGATGATCATATAGTCAAAACACAAACAATGCGAGGATCACCTTTTATTAAGCCATTCGAGGATCAAATAAAGGAGTGGGAAAGAAAATTGGTCACTCTACAAGATATTTTGGACGAATGGTTAAAGGTGCAAGCTACTTGGTTGTATTTAGAGCCAATCTTTTCAAGTCCTGATATTATGGCTCAAATGCCTGAAGAAGGAAGACGATTTGCTACAGTTGACAAAAACTGGAGAGATATTATGAAGCAGGCAGTAAATGATAAACACGTTTTAGCTGTTCTTGACATTGATAAGATGTTGGAAAAGTTGAAAAAATCAAATGAACTCTTAGAATTAATTCAGAAAGGTCTTAATGATTATTTGGAGAAAAAACGATTGTATTTTCCCCGTTTCTTCTTTTTGTCTAATGATGAACTTTTGGAAATCCTATCTGAGACTAAAGATCCGAAACGTGTACAGCCACATTTAAAAAAATGTTTCGAAGGTATTGCAACCTTGGAATTTACTGATGTTCTAGACATCACTCATATGAAAAGTTCAGAGGGAGAGGTTGTTGAACTGAGGGATGTAATTAGCACCTCGAAGGCCAGAGGACAAGTAGAAAAATGGCTTCTAGAATTAGAGAGTGACATGATTTCATCACTCCACAAGGTTATAGGAGAAGCCATAGACGCTTATAAGAAGGAACCGCGAGGGGAATGGGTAAAATCCTGGCCTGGACAAGCTGTTCTGTGAGTAATCTCATTTTACTAAATTCAAATTGTTCATGCATATCATTTTCTTAATCTAAAACCCTTATTTAGTTGCGTCACACAATTGTACTGGACAAATTTTGTTCATGAGGCCATTAGAGCTGGAGGAAGCGCTTTAGCTGATTATTTGCAATTGAATAACAAACAGATTGAAGAAATTGTTACTATGGTCAGAGGAAAATTAAACAAGCAGAACCGAGTTAGCTTGCAGGCTCTAATTGTACTTGATGTTCACGCTCGGGACGTGTTGACCAATCTTGTACAGAAGAATATCTCTTCAGAGAATGATTTTGAATGGCTTAGTCAAATGCGATACTATTGGGAAGAGAACAACATGATCACTAGAATGATCAACTCTATGTTAAAATATGGATATGAATACCTCGGAAATACAGGACGACTTGTTATTACGCCATTGACGGACAGGTGCTACAGAACCCTTTTCGGAGCTCTGCACTTACATTTAGGAGGAGCTCCTGAAGGTCCTGCTGGAACCGGTAAAACTGAAACAACAAAAGATTTAGCTAAAGCTGTTGCTAAACAATGTGTTGTATTTAACTGCTCTGATGGTTTGGATTATATTGCTTTGGGAAAATTCTTCAAAGGCTTGGCATCTTGCGGAGCGTGGTCTTGCTTTGATGAATTCAATAGAATTGATCTTGAAGTATTGTCTGTTGTCGCTCAACAGATTCTTACAATTCAAAGAGGAATATTATCCGGCTCAGAAACGTTGGTATTTGAAGGAACAGAAATCAAATTGGATCCTACTTGCTCTGTTTTTATTACTATGAACCCTGGTTATGCAGGAAGATCAGAGTTGCCTGATAACTTAAAAGCTCTCTTTAGAACTGTCGCTATGATGGTACCCGACTATGCTATGATCGCTGAAATCGTTCTTTATTCGTGCGGTTTCTTTAATGCTCGCCCACTAGCCGTAAAAATTGTAGCTACATATCGATTATGCTCCGAACAATTGTCCTCTCAACACCATTATGATTACGGAATGAGAGCTGTCAAATCTGTATTAACAGCGGCAGGTAATCTAAAATTAAAATATCCGGATCAAGACGAAGATATATTGATGTTGAGATCTATTATCGATGTAAATTTACCCAAATTTTTGAATCACGATTTACCGCTTTTCCACGGTATTGCATCCGATTTATTTCCTGGAGTTAAGCTCCCTGAACCTGACTACGAAATATTAAATGATGCTGTTGAAGAAAATTGTAAAAAAATGAACTTACAATGTACTCCTTTCTTCTTAGAAAAAATTCAGCAAATTTATGAAATGATGATTGTCAGACACGGTTTTATGATCGTTGGTGAACCATTTGGTGGCAAAACCAGTGCTTATAGAGTATTAGCTGGAGCATTAAAAGATATTCATGAAAAGGGTCTAATGGAAGAAAACAAGGTTCAGTATACAGTTATAAACCCTAAAGCTATCACAATGGGACAACTATATGGTCAATTTGACCCTGTAAGTCACGAATGGTCGGATGGAGTCCTCGCTGTTTCCTACAGATCCTTTGCTCAATCAACCACCCCAGATCGAAAATGGTTAATTTTTGATGGTCCTGTAGACGCTATTTGGATTGAAAACATGAATACTGTTTTGGACGATAACAAAAAATTGTGCTTGATGAGTGGTGAAATTATCCAATTGGCAAATACAACAAATCTCATGTTTGAACCTATGGATTTAGAGGCGGCTAGCCCTGCAACAGTTTCAAGGTATAAGATCTAAAAAGATGTTTTAATTCTCTTTCAAAATATTTTACTTTGTTCTTTCTAGATGCGGTATGATTTATATGGAACCCTTGTCATTAGGATGGCGACCTTTGGTCAAATCTTGGATGGTTACACTTCCGAAGAGTTTAACTGAACTGCATAAAAAGCTCTTAAATGAGATGTTTGAAAGATTTGTAGATCCTTGTTTGGCTTGCGCAAGGAAGAAGGTTAAAGAATTATCGCCAACAACTGATAGTAATCTTGTTAATTCTTTAATGAATTTAATCGATTGTCAACTGGATGAATTCCAAGACGAAGCATGCATCCAGAATATGGAAGAAAGAGAAGTGTGTGCTTGGCTGGAGTGTATTTTCATTTTCTCCCTTACTTGGTCAATCGGTGGAAGTTGTACTCAGCAGGGAAGGGAAATGTTTAACCTTCTCATCCGAGAATTGTTTGCCGTAAGTAAAGTCTTTTTTTTTTATCTAAAGAGTTAACTAAAAGGCAGCGGTTAATATTATGTGGTTACTACAAGTACTAATTAATTACTACTACTTTAAGCTTTTTATTGATTTATTAATTAAAAACTTTATTATTAAAACATAACTTAGACTTACGAAAGTTCCTGGCCGGAAATGAGAAAAAATTTACTAAAAGAATTAGCGTACTTTGTCAACTTAGAGGTTGATTTAGACGCTGAGAAAGAAATCGTTAGTATAAGGGACAAATTATCTGAAACCTATAAGAAATAGTTCAACCCTTTATTCATTAATGCATTATCACTCCTGTATAATACTTATTATAGGAAATAGCACTGCAACATGAACGAAAGAGCATGATTTGATATAAAATTGATGAAGAGATATTTGAAAAATTTTTCTCATTTTTTCCTTTTTGCAAGATTCGATTTAAAGTTTATGGAATAGAATTAGAGAAAAATTTCAAATCAAATATTCCATTCATCATTGCATATTATTCATTTTTTAGTCATTTCTTTTTTTGCAAACTAATGTATAACAGATTAATTGGATTCCATTGGAAGAGAAACGAGAATAAATTCGCTACTTCGCATGAACACATAGCCTGTTTTTTGTTTATGTTGTCTTATTATATTTTTAAAGCTGCATTGAATATTCTTTTTATATATGAATGTAATATTATTTTTTCGATTTGAAATTTCTATTAACTCAATTAACAGGGTGGAATGACTGAGGAAACTAGAACAAAACTTAATTTATTGGAACTTACTGCTGGACCCAATAAACCTTATATCACCCCTCTTCCGAAAGAAGGTTCTATCTATGATTACAGATTTGCTAAACAGGTTTGAAAGTTTTTTCATCGTTATCGTAGTCTTCTATACAAATATTTCCGCTTTTTTTTATCCTTTTGTTTGACGTGTTAACCTAAAATTAGATTGAAAAAGATGAAATTGAGGACGATTTTGGAAAGAAATATTATATGACAAAGGTTTTATAAGATACAAGAATAATCAAATTAACTTGCTTTATAAGCTTTTTTGATTTTATTGATGATTCTAAAAGAAACAAACTTACTTTAATTATTATGGCGGCATTTTATGGAAAAAATTCTAAAATTTAATATTAATTTGTTAATAGGGGTTAGGAAAATGGATACCTTGGGCTGAAGCTATTAAAGATGCGCCTCCAATACCTAAAGATGCTTTATTCAATGAAATTATCGTTCCTACAGTTGATACTGTACGATATGAAGCAATAATGAGATTATTAGTAACTCATTCGAAGCCTTGCCTATTTGTTGGACCAACAGGAACTGGAAAGAGTGTATACATAATTGACTTTTTACTGCAAAAACTAGAAAAGGAAGTTTACAAACCGAATATTGTTAACTTTTCCGCTCAAACATCGGCCAATCAGACTCAGAATATCGTTATGAGTAAATTGGACAAGAGAAGGAAAGGAGTATTCGGCCCTCCTCTTGGAAAGAAGGCTGTGGTTTTTGTAGACGATTTAAATATGCCTGTCAGAGAGCAATACGGTGCCCAACCACCAATTGAATTACTTCGACAATGGTTAGATCATTGGAACTGGTATGACCTTAAAGATGTTACGCCTATAAAACTAGTGGACCTACAGTTTATCGGCGCTATGGGTCCTCCGGGAGGAGGTAGAAATCCAATTACTCCTCGATTCCTTCGTCACTTGAACACGGTTACCATTAACGAATTTGATGACTCCAGTATGTTATCAATTTTTAGAGCAATTCTTGATTGGCACTTAATGGTTAAAGGATTTGCTGGAGATTTCGTACCCTGCATTGATCAAGTTGTTAACGGAACTTTAAAAATGTATAAAGGAGCTATGGATAACTTGTTGCCAACTCCTGCCAAGAGCCATTACTTATTCAATCTGCGAGATTTTGCTAGGGTCATCCAAGGAGTTCTATTATCGGCTCCAGAAACTCTTGAAGAACCCAAAGCTATGAAGAGACTTTGGGTTCATGAAGTTTTCAGAGTTTTTTACGATCGTCTAGTATTTGACAGTGACAGATCGTGGTTATTCAATTACATAAAAGAAATAATTTCTACTGAGTTGAAAGAAGACTTTGACGACCTATTTATTACTCTTGATCAAGATTCAGACGGAAAAGTTACGGAAGATGATCTTAGATCTCTAATTTATTGTGATTTTGCTGATCCGAAGAGTGATGCAAATAATTATGTAGAAGTAAAAGATGTCGACCAATTACGTCATATTGTGGAGCAATATTTGGACGAATTCAATAATATGTCAAGGAAGCCTATGAATTTAGTTATGTTTCGCTTCGCTATTGAGCATGTCTCTAGAATTAGCAGAGTGATCAAGCAGCCTAGGTCCCATGCACTTCTTGTTGGAGTTGGTGGTTCAGGAAGACAATCTTTAACCAGACTAGCTGCTCATATGGCTGATTATGATATCTTCCAAGTCGAAATCAGCAAGAGTTATACAATGACTGAATGGCGAGAAGATTTGAAGAGAATTCTAAGAAAATCAACTGAAACAGACCAGCATGCTGTATTCTTGTTTTCCGATACACAAATTAAACAAGAGTCTTTCCTTGAAGATATAAATAACTTATTAAATGCTGGTGAAGTTCCCAACTTATTTCCACTGGACGAAAAACAAGAAATCTGTGATAAAATGAGACAAATTGATAAGTAAGATATATCTAAATTATTCTCTTTACATATACTTAAATGTTTTTGCACAATAGACAAAGAGATAAGACCAAACAAACCGATGGAACGCCTGTTGCTTTATTCAACATGTTCATTCAAAGAGTCAGAGATCAACTTCATGTTGTTTTGGCTATGTCACCTATTGGAGACGCTTTTAGAAATCGTCTGCGAAAATTTCCCTCTCTTGTGAATTGTTGCACAATTGATTGGTTCCAATCTTGGCCTGAAGATGCTCTGACAGCAGTAGCTACAAGATTCCTTGATGACATCGAAATGTCGGAAGAGGTACGGGAAGGGTGCATCACAATGTGTAAAAAATTCCATACGTCAACTCGAGTTTTATCCGAGAGATTCTTTAATGAATTAGAAAGACACAACTACGTTACGCCTACATCATATCTGGAGTTAATCTCCACATTTAAGACCCTATTGGACAAAAAAAGACAGTAAGTTCAAATGATATTAATGAGTAAATGCTACAAGTTCTGAAAGATTATTAAGTGTGAAAGAGAGTAAAGATATTCCTACTATTATAACATTTACCTTCTCCATCCTTTTAGCGATTTAGAGTAAGTAAATAAATCAGTTCATAATTACATGTCTCAGTAAATAAATAGCGCGAAGAGTCGCTATTTATTTTTCATCAAATGTACGCACTGCATTTATGTTGCATGAGAAAAGTTTAAGTAATGAAAACTGTTAATTATAAAATTCTTTAAAATTTAATTCTTTTATATCTTTTTAGTGAAGTCAGCCAAGCTCGACGAAGATACCAAGTAGGATTAGAAAAGCTAGCATCAGCTGCAAGTCAAGTTTCGGTAATGAAACAAGAATTGAAAAAACTTCAACCTCAACTCAAGAATGCATCCGAGGAAGTAGACGTAGCAATGGTAAAAGTAGAGAAAGAAAGTATTGAAGTTGCCAAAGTTGAAAAAGTTGTCAAAGCTGAAGAGGCAGTTGCAAATGAACAGGCCGGGACGGCTCAGAGCATCAAAGATGAATGTGATGCTGATTTAGCAGAAGCAATGCCTATCTTAAACTCAGCTATTCAGGCCTTGAACACTCTTACCTCTCAGGATATTGGAGTTGTAAGAAATTTTGTGGCTCCTCCGGCACTGGTAAGATTAGTTCTAGAAGCAGTGTGTATTCTCAAGGCAATAAAACCAGAGAGAGTTCCTGATCCTGCAGGAACAGGTAAGAAAATTGAAGATTACTGGGGTCCATCCAAGAGAATGATGGGTGATATGAAGTTTTTGGAAAGTTTAATCAATTTTGATAAAGATAATATTCCCGTATCTATTATGAAAACGATTAGATCTAAATATTCGAGCAATCCTAGTTTTGATCCAGAAAAGATTAAAGTTGCTTCAACAGCCGCCGAAGGCTTGGCTCGATGGGTTTTAGCCATCGAAAAGTATGACAAAGTAGCCAAAGTTGTTGCACCTAAGAAAGAAGCTCTCAAGCAGGCTGAAGGCGAGCTAGCTGTCGCTATGGGATCGCTTAATAAGAAACGAGCTGCTTTGAAAGAAGTTCAAGATAAACTGGCAAAACTTCAAGAAGAGCTGGAAGCTAATAAGCAGAAGAAAGTCGATTTAGAGAACCAAGTAGAGCTTGTCGAGAAGAAGTTAGAGAGAGCTGAACAACTCATTGGCGGACTTGGTGGAGAAAAGGAAAGATGGTCTCAAGCTGCCTCAGACCTTGGCCTAAAATATGAAAACCTAACTGGCGATGTTTTGGTGTCTTCAGGTGTTATTGCTTATCTCGGAGCGTTTACTTCGGCATTCAGGCAAGACCAAGTGAATGAATGGATTGAGACAGTTAAGGAAAAACAAATACCTTGTTCAGCAGAATTTTCCTTAGCAGCAACATTAGGAAATCCAGTTGAGATTAGAAAATGGAACATTGATGGTCTACCAACTGATTTATTCTCAGTAGATAATGGAATAATTATTTCAAATGCTCGAAGATGGCCTTTGATGATAGATCCACAAGGCCAAGCAAACAAATGGGTAAAAAATATGGAAAGAACAAATAATTTACACGTAATAAAGCTGTCAGATTCTGATTTCGTGAGAACTTTGGAAAATTGCATACAATTTGGTACTCCTGTTTTGATGGAAAACATTGGCGAAGAAATTGATCCTATTTTAGAACCTCTTTTACTTAAACAAACCTTTAAACAAGGTGGATCTATCTGTATAAAATTGGGAGACTCGGTCATTGAATATTCACATGATTTCCGTTTCTATATGACAACTAAACTTAGAAATCCTCATTATCTACCCGAAACTGCTGTGAAAGTAACATTGTTAAATTTCATGATAACTCCAGAAGGTCTTCAAGATCAATTACTGGGTATTGTGGTAGCGAAAGAAAGACCTGAACTCGAAGAGGAGAAAAATCAACTAATTGTTCAATCAGCAGAAAATAAGAGACAGCTTAAAGAAATTGAAGATAGAATTTTACAAGTTCTATCTGCATCAGAAGGAAACATTTTGGAAGATGAAACTGCTATTAAAGTACTTTCCTCGTCCAAGGTGCTAGCTAACGAAATTAGCGAGAAACAAGCAATCGCCGAAGAAACGGAGAAGAAGATTGATTCTACCAGATTGGGATACACACCTATTGCGGTACATTCAACTATCTTATTCTTCTCAATTGCTGATTTGGCAAACATCGATCCTATGTATCAATATTCCTTAACGTGGTTTATCAATCTCTTTATAATGTCAATTGAAAACGCGGAAAAGTCAGATGATTTGGAAAAGCGTTTATCAAATTTGAAAGATCACTTTACATATTCCTTATACTCTAATGTTTGCCGTTCCTTATTTGAAAAAGACAAACTATTATTCTCTTTCTTACTTTGTGTCAATATTTTAAAACACGACAAATTGGTTGATGAAGAAGAATGGCGCTTCTTACTTACAGGCGGAATCGGTTTGGAGAATCCTCATACAAACCCAACAGCATGGTTACCCTCCACGGGTTGGGATGAAATTTGCAGACTGGATGATTTGAGCAAGTTCAAAACTATTCGCCACAAATTTATCACTTATAAAGATGACTGGAAGGGTTTCTATGATAGTGTCGATCCCCAGAATCATGATCTTCCTGGTGAATTTCAAGAGAAATTAGGAAAATTTCAGAAAATGTTAGTTTTGCGCTGTCTGCGACCAGACAAAATTGTACCTGCAGTTCAGGATTTTGTAACAAGTAACATTGGTAAAAAATACATTGAACCACCTCCCTTTGATTTGCCGAAGTCTTACAATGATTCTACATGTATTAGTCCTCTACTATTTGTACTGTCTCCGGGAGCTGATCCTGTAAATGCTCTGCTAAAGTTCGCTGACGATATGGGTTTCGGTGGCGCAAAGTTTGATTCATTATCACTTGGCCAAGGTCAGGGACCAATCGCTCTCAAAATGATAGAAAAAGGTACAAAAGAAGGTACATGGGTTGTTCTGCAAAATTGTCATCTTGCCGCTAGCTGGATGCCAACCTTGGAAAAAGTGTGTGAAGAATTATCGGCAGATAGAACTCACCCTGATTTCAGGTTGTGGCTGACATCATACCCTTCCGAACAGTTTCCCGTTTCAATATTGCAAAATGGTGTAAAAATGACAAACGAACCACCGAAAGGACTAAGATTTAATATCGTTAGATCGTATTTGAGCGATCCCATTTCCGATCCAGAATTCTTTAGTACCTGTACCCAACAATCTGCTTGGAAGAGAATGTTATACGGCTTATGCTTCTTTCATGCTCTCATTCAAGAAAGAAGAAAGTTTGGACCTCTTGGCTGGAATATACCATACGAATACAATGAAACAGATTTAAGAATTAGTGTTCAACAGTTGCACATGTTTTTAAATCAATACGACGATGTGCAGTATGATGCATTAAGATATCTAACGGTAATCTTTTAAAACTTGTTCGATAATTTAAATTATACTGAAACCATTTTCCAGGGAGAATGTAATTACGGTGGTCGTGTTACTGACGATTGGGATAGAAGAACTTTACTAACTTTACTTAAAAAATTCTATACTATCGACCTTGTAGAGAAAGAGAAATATTGCTTCGACAATTCAGGTCTATATTATGTTCCAGCAGATGGAGACTATGATAGCTACATAGAATATACAAAGACACTTCCCTTGAACCCTTCGCCTGAAGTATTTGGGATGCACGGCAATGCAGATATTACAAAGGATCAAAATGAAACAAGACTATTATTTGATAATATCTTATTAACACAGGTAAGATAGAAAAACTTTCTATTAAAATTTATATAAACACGCTTGTTTGGAGTGAAAGCGCACCAGCTTCGTTTGATTAATTATTAAAGGATTTACAGAGATCCCGTTACATAACGTAACAAAAAATATTTAAGAGTTGAGACATTTAAGCGTTGAAACATAAAAATTAGTAATTAAAATATTCTTAAATTCTCCAAATTAAAGGCTGATATTGCGGTAAGGAGCATGATAAATATTGTTCAAGCATTCAATTTATACATGTTTTATATTTTCTGTACTGAGGCATGTTAAAAAAAAAAAACACAGCAAAACAATTGAATTTATAAATATTTCTCCAATATTACGAAATCATAAGAAAGAATTGACTATTCTCAATCTCTTGTGATAATGGAGAAAATTCTGTGTTAATATGCAATTTTTTTACTAACGACGAATGAATAGGAAAAATTTTAAAGCATGCAAAAACAATTCTCTTTTATTCAATGAACGGTTACTACTAAATGGCTACGAAAATGTTTACAATCCATGTTTTGCATCATTTATATTTTTGTTTTGATTTGTTTTTCCTTTTTTCTTACAGAAAAGGGTAAGAATTATAGTTAATGATTGTTCAATCATATTTAATGACTATCTTACTACGATAAAATATTTATTTTACCATGTTATATATAACTATTCCATTTCATTTTTAATTATGATCTCTTCTCAATAATGATGCTTGCCCTTTAAATGCATGAAGATTCCTCTAATTATTTTAGCCTTCAAATACTTTTTTCACCTATCCAAAGGCCAATTTTAAATACTAACTAACAATAGATAACGTTATTTTAAAAATTATATAATTGTATACGAAAATAATAGAGTAAGTTTAGTACAGCTTATCTTCCATTAACAAATGCTTCTCTATTAACAAAATTTTAGATCATTAAACTTACCTCTTTTGATGGTCTTTTTTTAAACAAAAACTACAGTTTCCTCTTGATATCATTTAATTAATTAAAAAAAACATGAAAAAATAGTGACATTGAACAAGATATCAGATGAAACTGTTTTTCAATAAATAATATAGATTTTACTAGTTCATTTTTAAATTTTTTATTTCCATCGTTATAGGCTAAAGCTTCAAGCAGTTCTGGCGGCAAGAGTACTGATGAAGTTGTGGATGAAGTTGCTGAGGATATACTGAAGAAACTTCCCAAGGATTTCGATACAGAGTCAGCTTTGAGAAAGTTCCCTACATCTTATAAACAGTCAATGAATACTGTTCTTGTTCAAGAAATGGTTAGATTTAATAAGCTCCTCTCAACAATCCGCTCGTCTCTTCAAAACGTTCGAAAAGCCATAAAGGGTCTAGTTGTCATGTCCTCCGATTTGGAAGAAGTAGTCCTTTCAGTTTTGAAAGGTAGAATTCCTGGAATGTGGATGAAGAAATCTTATCCATCTCTGAAACCTCTTGGATCATACGTAAACGACTTTTTAGCCAGGCTTCAATTTTTACAAGATTGGTATGATAATAACGCTCCCCCAGTTTTCTGGGTTTCTGGCTTTTTCTTTACACAAGCATTCTTGACTGGCGTCCAGCAGAATTTTGCTCGAAAATACACTATCCCTATAGATTTACTAGGCTTTGATTACGATGTATTGGATGATAAAGATTATAAAACAGCTCCCGAAGACGGAGCCTACATTAAAGGACTTTTTGTTGACGGAGCAAGATGGGATAGAATAACAAAGAAATTAAATGAAAGTCATCCAAAGGTGCTTTGGGATACAATGCCGACTATACATATCATCCCAGCGAAACGTTCGGATATACCAGAACGTCCAAGTTATAAATGTCCTGTTTACAAAACAAGTGAAAGAAGAGGAGTGTTATCGACAACTGGTCATTCTACCAACTTTGTTATAGGAATGATGATACCATCTGATAAACCACCTGAGCATTGGATTGGACGTGGCGTCGCTTTATTATGTCAATTGGACAATTAAATATAAATTTATTAACTTTAGTGCTGTGATACGCTACGCCTTATACTGCTGTATACCAGAGTATTATTAATATTGTATTTTACTTATTTGTCTCTGCACGCCAAATAATTATTCCATCCCAGATACAGTGTGATTAATTTTTATGTATAACACGTAATAAAAAAAAGCAGTTACAGTTTTTTTAAATTTAACTACTTTCAAATGTTCCAGTCGCTAACAGTAAGTTCTTTCTTGTAAAATGAACATTTAACACAGGGGTATTCTTCGTTCGATAGCATTTCAACTGATATCCTGTTGACGTTGTAGAAACAGACTCTCCAGCCTCTTGTTCTTCGAAAATCCTATTCAAATCCCAGATTCTCACTGTATTGTCTAATCCGCCAGACGCTAACGTTCCACCATCCCGGCTGAAACCCAGAGTATATATTACATCTGAATGTCCCGTTAACTGAGTAACTAAGTCGCCATTGGCTAAATCCCAGAGTAGAATATTTTTATCACTGCCAGCTGACGTTAAATAGCGACCATCAACAGAGAAGCATAAAGTTTGAATTGGACCTTTATGCCCTGTCAAAATTCTTACACAGGCACCATTATGAACATCCCACAACCGTATCGTTCTGTCTGAAGAACCAGTAGCTATATAGTTGGAATTAGGATGAAATTGGACGCACTGAAAAAGAAAACCGAACATTATCAAGAAACTAGCTAGACTAGTAAACCAACATCAACATCCGATAAATGCCCTGCAAAAATTCTTAAAGGTTGGTAATGGTCTGTTGACCACAAACGTGCTGTTTTATCAGCACTCCCAGAGACAAAATAATGGCCATGTTTACTAAACTTAACGTCCCATACTGGATAATTATGACCTTGATAAGAAACTAGGCAAGTCCACGTTTTCGTACTCCATAGTCTGACTAAAAACAAAAAGACTTTATGTTTTGTAAAAATTTAAGCATTTCAATTTACTTGAAGAGTCTGCACTGCAACTTATTAAATATTGGGCGTCGGGGCTAAAAGTGCAAGCATATACAGCTTTCGTATGACCTTTCAAGACTCGTCTCTCTTTTCCCGTTGTCTCATCCATCATTTTTTGTTGTATGTCATCGGCATCACGGTCTAGGATTTCTAGTTCAGATGGTAACTTTATGGCAGTTAATAAATTTCGAGTAATACTCCAAATTCTGATATTAGAGTCATTGAAAGAAGCCGCTAACAAGGTACTATCATCGCTATAACAGGCAGAGGTAGCTCTAATTGAAAAAAATAAATAAATGAAATTATCTAGGCTTAAAAACTTAAAAAATATTTACATACCCTAAAGAGGAGTTAGTAAACGTATAGAAACACACTGATGGTGGATTGTCTGGCCCAATAATAACCCTTTTCGCGAAATCTTTTAAAATCTTCACTTTTTCCACTTTATCATTGTCCGTTCTGAATTTAAAAGTTCACTCTTATCAAATGAAAGTTATTAAAAGAAAAAATATTACATTTCGGGTAAAGGAATGCGAGTATTAGATGGAGCATTAGGATCTGCTTTTGTTTTTCGAAGAAAAGCAGCATCTTTTTTAGGTTTTTTCTTCTTCGGTTTATCTCCATCGCCCTCCCCAACTTCTTCCTCCACGTCAAAATTTACATTTAAATCAGGTTCCCTAAGAAGACCGTAGTAGACCTTTAACTTGTTGGAATTTTTTTCAGCCTCTCCAATAAACCCTCCAGCTGTTGATACAATCTGTTGTCTTGTTCGTGGTCGACCCTCGAAAACTAGAAATGTTGTATACGTTAACGAAGCTATAACATGAAAAGTTAATAATTACCATCTACTAAAAAATGTTCTTGGACTATTGTCAATAATAGTTCATGTTTCTTCTCTTGCAGGTATCGTTTAAAATGGGTGTAAGATTCTCGAGACATTCTAATTGTGAATTTGTTAATTCTAAAAGAATTCATAAGTTGACTGGACAACATATGTTCTCTCTTCTGAATGGTAGATAATTTGATAATGTCTTCCTCATAATAATGTTCTTGTTTATCATGGAAATGATCGAAAAAGTCCCTTGCTAAAGTGTAAAGAATTTCACTGTATTCATGATCTATATGAGAAAATTAAGAGTTACCTTCAGGATAGTGCTCATTGTAAACCAACATAAGATACATATGAACAAATGCCGGATACAGCAGGGTCGTCAGTTCTACCTTTAAAAGATTGTAATTTAAATTAGTCGGGCTCTAATAAATTATTTAAAATTTAAGGAATGCATTCAATAAAAGTTTACCTTGTGAGCGTCTAACTGGCTATCAATGAAAGACAGTAAATCATTGTAGGCACTTTGGTATCGTGATGTTTCGCCGGCACTTGAAGAGATATCAAGAATTTATAAACTTATAATAGAAATTGACTTCAAACTAACTGTTGATATATAGCTAAAGCTTTTGTTACATCTTTTACAGCTTCTTCTACCTGTACAGATGTTAGATCTTCCTCCTGTAAATTTGCCTCTTTACGAAGAAGTTCTTCAGCGCCCTAATCAGCAGACGAAATATGGAAATAATAGCGTTAACGTTCGAGTTTGTAAGAAAATTTAATTGCAAATAGTCACCGTAAAACTATTTTTCCTTAAATATTGCAAAACAGCTAATAAGGCCTTTTTGTCGTTAGAAATTTCGGTATTTGGCCCCGTTTTGACAACAGCCGCCATGTTGGAAAAATCCGTTTCGGATTTGCCTCGTTTTGACTTTCGAATTTCGCTTGGTAGCATGCTTCCTTTTCCGGTACGGCATTGAACGAGAAGGATCGCCGCACCTTCACATCTGAAAAAATCACACTTAATTGGGTGATTTAGCAGTAAAACTTTTCGAATTTTACAAATTCGATACATAATATAACTATATTTGAAGAATGAGGGCTAAGGTATGTGCTTTCATCGTAAATTTCTTGATTTCTTTAGCAATATAGTGATTCTTTTTTTAGTGGCGTAAGAAGCGCATGCGACGTCTAAAGAGAAAGAGGAGGAAGATGCGTGCCAGGTAAATGAGCGAATAGCTAAATAATTCCTGTATTTTTTAACAACGAATTTCTGTACAACAGGTCCAAGTAAATTCAGAAAATTCCATGTGCGGAGCGATAATGGCCTCTAAAGCTTAACGCAAGAACCGTTGTTTGATTAATTTGACGAATGTATTCAAGTTACATCATGCTCGCGCATGGTATTTATCCGTAACCTTAATAAACGTTACATTTATGAAAATTTATTGAAAAAATGGACGGACTTGATATAGATATTTAATTGTGAACGTTATGCTACCACGTTGGTCTATCGTTTTCTACAATTGAGATAATGTAATTCCTTGGCCGATACTGTAGAGAAACTTCTACCACATTTCTGACAGTTAGTTGCTTCTGAAAAAAGATAATTTCCGTTAGACAACGTTGCACGTTTTCTACTGTAAGATACGTCATGCAAGCCTAGGCCTTTTTCTTTAGTGCCTATGGAAAAATTGATGACATTCAAACAATTCTTACCGAAAGCTTTTTTCGTCCCAGCCGCGTTCTTAAGTTTAGTATAGGCTGCAAGACTTGGATTAAATCCATCTCTTACAGGCGGCTTTGGATTGTCAATCTTCGGCGTAATTGTTGGCATTTTCTTTGCCGAGCTTGCTCTTTTCGTAGAAGTATTATCCCTATCCCAAAGTCTTACTTTACCCTCTTCATTAGGAAAGTCATCGCTCTTTCTCCTTTCTACGTGATCTTTCTTACCAGTATAAGAAATATCTCGTAGTTCTTTTGGAAAGGCGTTTTCTGCCCACCTTGAAAGTTCTTTCTTTTCCTCCATTGCGGTCATATTGTCAAAGTCATATCGGTCAGTATCAGAGTGAAATGTACTTGCTCTGTCGTCGATTTTAAGCAGGTCATATTGTTTTTCATTACTCTCTTTGGTATACGTTTTACCTCGCTCTTGAAACGATGGTTCCATAGCCTTCGATATCCTACCAACAGATTGTTCGAGCCGCTGGTTTTCGTCCCTGAGAGTTTCGATTCTCAAGCTGTTGGCGTCGATCTGTTTCTTCATATCTGTAATGATATCAGTCTTTTGGTTGCCATCAGAAGAAGGCGGTGGCGGAGCCGTCTCCGGATACTTGACAATTGTCTTTAACTTTTCTTCTAACTCTCGACTTTTTCTAATCAATTCGTCATTTTCCCTCTCAACTCTACTCATTTCTCTGTCATGCCTTCTTTCCAGTTCTCTCTTTAATTGTTGAAGTCGCTCCTCTGTGTCGATGTCTCGTTTAATACCCTTCAATTTTTCCTCATAGTTTTTTTCCAGCTGTGCTAACTTTTTCCTCAAGTTCCCGTTTTCGTCGGCGATTTCTTCAATATCTGATAAAAGACCAGATTGTTTGGTTTTGAATACTTCCTTTATTTTAATTGCCGATTCTAAGTCGTCTTTTAACATATTATTTTCTTTTATAGTGTTCCGCAGCTCGTCTTCGAGCTTTGAAAGAGATTTCTGTAATTCATTATTATCTCCCTTGGTCACTTCCAGTTGATCCTTTAGGATCTCCATTTCCTTTTTTGTTTCCATAACCGAGTCTTCTAGTGAATCATAGATATTCTGCTTTTCCAGAAAGCTTTTTATCTCTTCATGTTGCTCTTTTACTTTAGCTTCCGAATCGGTCAAAGATTTTTTTAAATCTTCAACCCGATCTCTCCATCCTCGACAAGTTGTTTTTGTTTCGTTAAGTTCTTTTTTTAACTTCTTAGTCTCTCTATCATATTTTTCCCGTTCATTCTTTAAATCGCGCTCAAGCAGCTCAATTTTTTTTTCTAGAGGCGGAATTTTTGAAGAAAGACTTGTTATTTGTTTACATATTCTAGAGACGTCCTTATTTTGTTCAGATATCCACCGGCTTATATCAGATGACGTTAACCAAGGTAGTTCCTAAATATGTAAGAATTTCAAAATATTTAAAAAGTACAATACTAAAAATAAATCAAACCTCTACTTTTGCCACGTGATCTTCCATAGAACTAGGTATAGACGTTTCCTTGCAAACTCCAATTAACGAATAAGCTAATTTTTTTAGGTAACTTTGAACTTTGAAACATTCCTCACACGGAACAAACTCTGTTTCTATAGTTTGTATGGCTTTATTATATTCATCTCTTCCAAGTGGAACTGCCAACACAGTTGAGGCTCGAGATGTATGAGATGTGGTAGGCCTAGTTTCCCTTTCTGTTGCGCTTGAAATTCTTGCCTTATTTGAACTTCTGTTACTTGCCGAAGTCATAGCTCTAGACGACTTGATTAATGTAGATGAAAATTTTTTCACTGACAGACCTATAGTACTATCACTTGACAACGAAGCTTGTTTCTCTATTAAAAAAGTAGATAACTGGACAACGAATAAAAACCTATCAATTAACAGTTCGAAAAGAATTATGTGTGCTAGTTGGTTAGTTTCTTCATCATCCGAATCGTAAGAATATAAGTCCACTATTTCTTTACTGTTGACATCAAATGAATGTTTGTTAGGATATTTCCAAGATTGAAATTTCACAGGCCCAACTCGGGATACTAAATCTGAAATCACTTCTTCAACATCTAATATGTCCTTCCTTAAGCTTTCAATGTTATCTTGATTACCGAGAACTTCCATATTTAAGATTAAATAAAAACTCTTAAACTTATATTCATAATTTAGAAAAGTAAATAAAAAGAATGTTGTTTGTATATGCTATAATATCGCTCAAAATCATTTGGCGTTTCGCTTCGGAAATAATTCTGATAATAAAGAAAATATTTAATGTCATAAATAAATATAAGTATTAAAAATAATTAAGAAATCTAAAGAATATATATTTTTTTAATTTGAATAAAATACGTGCGAGGCTACAATTAAAGAATCGTATATAAGATTTTTTAAAATAAAAAAGCGATTTGAATTAGCAAAAATAAAATAAGTGCAAAAACTATATTAATAAGCTGTATTTAGGAAATTTTAGTTTTTGTTTACTTAAAGTCAAGTCATTATTTAAACATCCAAAGTGCTACCCTTTGCATTCTTCTCCTTTTCCAGCATTTTACTGTTAAACTATACAAACGATTTTATAATTTCATATTATTTCGTCTTTATTTTATCACTTTCATAGTGGGCATGCTCACTAGTGTTAAAATTAAAATTCTTAAAAATATTTCAAGCTACGTTATTGTATGCAAGTCTACAAAGGGTTTATACATATTATATTTCCATTTACATTATGGAAAAGATTTTCTTAATATTTGTAAAATAACTATTTTTGGAGAGTGGTTGTTTAAAACAATATATTTTTATTTAAAACACAACCAAAGTTTTGTAGTATGGTATCATGGTAAGGTCCAAAAGGTAAACCAATTAAACTAAAAGGAATTCAAACCACCATGACAAACAAATTAATAAAAATGGAAATAGCGATATTTTATTGCAATAAACCACAAATAAAATAATTTTTTTCTCATAAATATTCAATCATATGCATAAAAACCGAAACGACTGCGATGCTTTTATTATCCAACATGGCGCTGGTGAAGAAAACCGACGGTTCGCCGAACAAAGCTTTTTTCGAATCCCAGGAAACCATCAACGGGTTAGATAATATCAAGACATGGTTAGAAAAAAAAGCAAAGAAGGTTTGAAATAATTTTCATTTGCATATGTCTGTATTTGTAATAAGTTTTTGTTATTCAATACAATTTCGTTATGTGCTATTATAATCGCAGTGTTCGTTGTTTGTCAGAATCAAGATCTTTGTTTTTCTTCACGTAAAAATAACGACTTCGGCAAAAATTTGTATCTATTAACTGTATATATTTTAATTTAGTATATTACTGGAGAATCAACTACGAATAAGAGTCTTAGTTCTCTCCTCCATCAATTTATTCAGTTTCAAGAGGATAATTTTGGTAAAAATGCATCAAAACCACTCATGACGAAATTACCTGTAAGAAAAGTTTTTAATAATAATAAGCTTATATTACACATATATTTTAACCAAAAAGATGAAATATTGGCTGGATTTTAAAAGTGGAGGTGCAGCTTGTTGCCTATTTACGGCTGCTTTCAAGTTTAAGTTTGATCAGGGCTGGTAAGTGTCTCATTTTTAGTTTAAATTACTATTGTATTATTTTCTCTGAATTCTGCATAATAGGAAGAAGTTCGACTTGGGCACTGCAAGTAAATTAGAACAAAACACAGAAATGTTTACAGAGGTAAATTCAACAAAACCTTTCAAGGGAGAAAGGCTGAAATTCATTTATTTATAATCTAGATGTGGAATTCCTTGACTGCGGCTGGATTTTCAACTTCACCGAAAATATATTTCCATCAGTCAGTCGAAAAGCTCTTATTACCAAAATTTAGAGACATTGTGAAACGTCATAAAGGAGAAATTGTTGATAAAATGGAAAATGCTACTCATATCATCCATGCTATGCAGACATCGAAAAGTGAGGGTAAAGAATTTGTAAGACCTGTATTCAAAAGGGAAAATGGAGGAACAATCATTCATTTTTGGAATCTGCCAGACAGGTTATTAAATATCCCTTAGTATAAGGTATATTCTGAGATTTGGTCAAATGCGAATCTTTTACAGTTATGACGTATACTCGGAGCAACGTTTGGAACAAGAAGTTTATGTCCCTACAGAATGCAGTCTGTGGGAGGTATCTGCTGACTGGTTATTAGATCTTGACGAGTACAACGAATGGATGAATGAGGAAGATTACTTGGTCGATGCCGAGTAAGTTTTTTTTTAGTTTTTGAACATTTAAAAGAGACACTTGTAGCTATTTTCATCTTCAAAAAACTAAAAAAAAGTAGGAAAGCTTGTACAGAACCTTAAAATTTTTTACTCTTTTCAATCAAGTTCTATATTTTTCGTGCTTAAAAAATGTAACTACCCTAAGAACACAAAAAAGTCTACATTTGTTGAGAAACAAAATTCAACAAACCAATGATTTCATATTCATCATGTCTATTATTTTTTCTACAGAAAAAAAGCGAAAGTGACTAAACTAAGTATTGAAGAACTTAATTTTCTTGATCCTGTTTCACCTGCTCCGAGTTCCAGTTCGACTGCTTCAAAAAAGAGTGGAAAAGTACGGACTACTTTTATATTTGAATTATAGCGCACTTTTACATAGCTAAACCAATGAGCGTCGAGAATTTGACATTCATAAATATTCATTAGTCGGTTTTTTTTTCGGTTTCAATACTATATTGAAAAAGCGGTGAATAGTGAGTCTACCGGCTTTGTGTATGCATGTATACCTGACCAAGTACGAAATTGAAAACTGCTTGGTTTTTAGGATTTTTTGTGCCCTAAATAAGAATTTTCGATAAATTTATTTTCTAAAAGGGAAAAAGGAAGAGATCGGTGTCTCCTTCACCCATGAAGAAGAAAAGATCAGGACGAATAGTTGTAAGCGCGGTTGACGCAAAAAAGAAAAAAGGTGTAAAGGAGGAAGAAGAAGAAATGATGGATGAAGGTGAAGAAAATGTCGAAACTCAAGTTAAAGAAGTTATCAATCCAAAGAAAGACGCTAAACCGGACAAAAATAACACGCTTATGGATATCGGGGAGGAAGATGAAGATAAGGTAATAGTTACATTTTGCACATAGAAAACTTGTATAACCACTATTTTAAATAGCAATCGGATGAAGGAAGATCTCGGCCTCCATCTCCTTCTGAAGAAGATGACCAAGGACAAACACAACCTATACAAATGACAGATCAAACGCATCATATAATAATACCTTCTTATTCAGCTTGGTTTGATTACTCAAGTATCCACTCAATCGAGAGGAGAGGATTACCTGAATTTTTCAATGGCAAAAATAAGAGCAAAACGCCTGAAATGTAAAATACATATATATAAATATATTGCCCAATTAAAATAAATTAAAAACCATGTCTTTTGCAGATATGTGGCTTACAGAAACTTTATGATTGATACATATCGATTGAACCCTAGGGAGTATCTTACCTTTACTGCTTGTCGAAGAAATTTAGCTGGCGACGTTTGTTGTATAATGAGGTAAATATTAATACTTATTTGCTCTTACTTTGGTAATAAATTTTATTAGATAAAGTTATCAGTTAATATTAGAAAGATAGCAATAGTATTAATGCATTTTTCCGGAAGTTCAACTACCCTAAAATTGTAAATAAGTAAACAATTTTTTTAGTTTAAAATTAAACTATTATTCGTTGGTATAGAGTACACGCATTTCTGGAGCAATGGGGATTGGTGAATTATCAAGTAGATGGAGATAGCAGAACTCTTGCTATGGGACCACCATCCACCCAACATTTCAATACTTTGGTGGATACTCCATCCGGATTACAGCCAGTTAATCCTCCAAAAACAATACAGGTTAGTGACAGTCAATATGTAAGAGCATCAGTAACTCTGAACTATTTTATTGCTTCGAATATTTTTGATTATCGGTCTTGATAAGGAGTTATCATATGTATTTAAAAAGACGTTGTGCAGTTTTAGTATTAAAACACAAACGAGCCTACTAGATACCTTATTACTTTAAACAATGTCGAGTGAAAAGGATTTAATGTACGGCTGGTTCGGCTATAAACCAAAGTTCTTACAAAAGATCAATACCCCTGGATGGTACACCTTATTCTTTTGTCTAGCTTCTATTTTTCAATCAACGTTAACATCAGGATTACCAGGTTTGACTCTCTCAAGCATAGAGAAGCGATTTGGAATTAGTTCAGCAGCTAGTTCAGCAATAATTATTTCTGTTGATGTCTCCTCATTGTTATGTCTCCTTCTGTTAAGCGTAATTGCTGCCAGAATTCATAGACCTAGGTGGTTGTCCTTTGGTTTATTTCTTTGTGTTGCTGGAAGTATTGTTTTTGTCATACCTCATTTTAATTCGCCTACCTATAAACCCAGTGGAAGTAATAATTTAAGTGATGTTTGTGGTCCTAAAAATGAGAGTTTGTGCAATTCCGATTCATCTAGTAATGTTGGAAGTGTAGGAAAGCACATGGTTGCTTTCATTATTGGCAGAATTTTAGTAGGAGTTGGACATACTCCTGTTTTGACAATTGCCTTGTCATATCTTGACGATATTGTCACAAAAGAGAGATTCTCGTTTTTAGTCGGTTTCTACTACTCCACAACCGTGTTCGGTCCAGCTTTAGGCTTTGTTGGTGGTGGGTTTCTTCTGAGACTTTTTACAGATTTTTATAAAATTAGTAAAGACGAAATTCTTATTCAAAATAATGATACAAGATGGATAGGAGCCTGGTGGATAGGATATTTGATATGTGGAGGCCTGATTTTTCTTTGTACCCTCCCACTAACTGGATATCCAGCAGATATGCCGGGAGCAGCTGAAATTAGATCTAAGAGAATATCAGAAGCTCACGGAGGAGAATTACAGAATAAAGAGACTTGGGGATTAAAGCAGATGCCGAAACTAATTTTAGGCAGGACTCCCAGATATATAAGAGATAATCAGAAGATTAAATGCTATCAGTAGTCGAGTCGAGATGTTATTAAAATTTTAATGTTAAAATTATTTAAGTGCAGTTATTAAGAATACTTAGAATTGATCAAGAAATTTCGATTATCGATTTTATTTTATTTCCCAATTAAGTCAGAGTACTATTCTCTTTTTTATCTATGGGTATCGTAAGTAGCGAATTTCCGATAAAAATTCAGATAAATTTTGATCAATAGCTTGAAGTCTTTTTATCTCTTGATTGTTATATATGAATGTAAAATTTAATTAGAAATTTATCAATATTATAATACCTGGGAATCCTGTAGGACTCTTAAAAAATCCTGTTTATATGCTGGCATCATTGTGCATTTGCACATCTTATGTATTAACAGCAGGTTTCGCAGCTTTTGGAACAAAATTAATAGAGACAAAATTTTCATTAGCCACAAGTTTATCTGGTGCTTTATTTGGAGCTGTTGTCATTCCGGGCGGAGCTCTTGGTACAATATGTGGAGCAGTGGCAGTTAATAAATTAAGACTGTCCATACCGGGAATGATGAAACTACAGATGACAATTGCACTTATTGCCTCTACTACGGCTTTAACTTTTTGGATAAATTGTGATCAAACGAAATTTGCTGGAGCTAATGTTGATTATGCGGGAAGGTCTCACAATTCTCTTTCTTTGGAAGATAGCTGTAACGCAAACTGCTCTTGCACAAACGTGCAATATATACCTGTTTGTGGAGACAACAACTTTAAGTACTATTCTCCTTGTCATGCTGGATGTTCTGTTATAAATAATACGGATAAAGTGAAAGTCTATGAAAACTGTTCATGTTTAAATCGCTATCATAACGAAAGTCAAGCTACGGTTAAAAGTGAACCTTGTAAAGCACCTTCATGTAAACTAATGCCGCTATTTTTTGTGTTTTTTTTTTTTTCTATTTTAGCTGTTTTCTCTTTGCAATCTATCAACATTTCTGTAACGACTCGCTGTGTCAGAGATGAACATAAAAAGATTGCTATAAGCTTTCAGTGGATTTTCATACGATTGTTAGGTACAATACCTGGACCTATAATTTTAGGAAAAATATTTGATACAGACTGTTTACAATGGGAGAGTAGATGTGGCTCGAAAGGCTCATGTTTGTGGTATAATGCCAAAAATTTATCACGAAACTGTTTTTTCCTAGCTTGTGGAGCGTCTTTTATTGGGCTATGTTTATTTTTGACTGCATTCCTTGTTTACAAACCCCCTAAACCACAACTTGAATCAAAAGAAATCGGTATAGATAATTCAGTAAAGATGGAAAGTAGAGAACTGAATGGCAAACAGAATGAAGCTTTTGATTATGAAAGCACAACAAAGGGGGATTTTAATGCTACAGACCTCTAACTTAGAAATACAATAGATTTGATTTTTATTGATGCTCTTGAAATAATACTTTGTGCTAAAATACACGAGGCGTTAGAAATATTTTTATTTTCTGTTAATTTCTTTTAAAACAGCCTTCAGCCACCCGAATGATTTATGAATCAAGAGACCCACAAGAAGGTGATGAAGCTCCAGCAACAACAAAACCTCCATTTGGATTGAGACAAGATCTATATGCCAAAAAGGAACTTGCCGTAAGTCTAAAAATCAGTATTTACGAATCATTTTCAATTTGATAACAAATTTATAGGAAAAAGGAGCAGCAACCAGAACAAGAGAATGGTCGGACGAAGAGACTCTCAAATTATTGGAAGGCTTAGAAATGTATAAGGATGACTGGAACAAGGTGTCAGAACACATTGGAACGAGAACACAAGATGAATGTATTTTACATTTCTTGCGACTACCTATCGAAGATCCTTACCTAGATGAAGAAAATGGCGGGTCAGCAGCTATGGGTCCTTTAGCTTATCAGCCAACACCGTTTTCAAAATCTGGAAATCCCATCATGTCGACAGTGGCATTCTTAGCTTCTGTTGTTGATCCTAGAATAGCAGCAGCGGCATCAAAGGCTGCGCTCGAAGAATTTACAAAATTAAAAGAAGAAGTACCGCCCTCACTTGTCGAAGCTCATATAAAAACCGTTCAAGAAGCAAAATCTCAGGGTAAAAACGTAGATGAAACTTTCGGTTTGGAGAAAACAAATATCGCGGGCACAAACGCAGATAAAAACACTGAAAAAGAAGAGTCAACAGATGAAAATAAAGGAGGTGAAAAAGAAGAAGAGGCCAAAACTGAAACCCTTGGAGATCAAACAAAAGTTAAGAAAGAAAAATCAGATGCAGCTGAGGAAAAACAAGGCGAAGATACTGATAAAGAGAAATCAGACAAAGATAAAAAAGATAGTGATAAGCCTATGAAAGTTGACGCTCAAGTTGCTGCCGCAGCTGCCAGCGCTTTAGCATCAGCGGCTGTCAAAGCTAAGGTATAGTATAACAATTTCGACCGAGCTATATATTAATAAAAATTATTTTCTAGCACTTAGCAGCAATGGAAGAAAGAAAGATTAAGTCATTGGTGGCCCTTCTAGTGGAAACTCAAATGAAAAAATTAGAAATCAAATTAAGACATTTTGAAGAGCTAGAGGCAATAATGGATAAGGAGAGAGAATTGGTACGTTTTAATTAACCGTAACCTTTTTCACTAATCTTTCAATATACTACAGCTTGATAATCAAAGACAACAACTGCTGAAAGAAAGACAGCAATTTCATATGGAACAGCTAAAAGGCTTTGAATATAGGGCAAAGCAGCAAGCTGGAATGAGATTGGAAGCAGAACTGAAAACTCCTCTTAACTTGGATTCCGGTACTATTAACTTTTTAATTTTTTATAGATAAGCTAATTTTCTGACCGATTTAGAACCTGGAATAATGCCTGAGGGTCCTATCAATCATATTCAACCAACTGAAACTACTCCGGCTGTTACTAAATCAACTACGAGCGTAGAAAAAGAAGAAAACAAAGGTGCTTTGCTTTGAAAGCTATCTTCCATTTGTTAACAAATGTTTACATTTCAGAAACACCCATGGAAACCACCACTACGACTTCCAATACAAATGATCAACAGAAATCGTGACTGTTTTTGTGTTAGATTCAGAAGTAATTGTGTTTGTTATTTAGCATTTTTCATTTTACACTTGTCATTTCCAATCATTCATTTGTGTTTTCAAACGCCTTCATTGTGTATAATAGACGCTTTTATAAATCCTTGTAATTTCTAAGTTTATTTTAAACGTTGAACGTTTATTTTCAGCATAATTAAACCAAAGCGACGAGAGTATTCGAATCATACGAAAATAAAAACAGAGACAACGCGTATATTTTTACATTAAAATTTAAAGTACAATACAGTATTTTAGGTTCGTGTATGGCTGTTGACAAACCACAAATATATTTCACTCTAGTCAATATGTATAGAACGGAACACAATATGTGCGTATGGCCTCGAATGACTCGTTACTATCTTCAGAGATGTAGTTTCCTAATTTTTTCAAAAACTTTTTGCAGTTCGTTTGTTTCTTAAAAAGCCTACTTATTAATATCAGACAAACACAGACGCTCTCTCACTCGCTTATAGCAGAATCAAAATGAAAGGCGTGCGTATCGAATATTTTCGAAATGATTACGGAGGGGAAATACTTTCAATAAGGTCGTAAGACGGACTTCTCTGCAGATTGAGATATGCTAATTATTTGATTGTTTTATCCTTTTTCGAGGTGGTCCAAGAGGTGGTGATTGTTGGCTTGCTAATGCTCGAAAAGCTTCAGCAACTAAGTTTGGATGACTTTTGACCATTTCTTCCCATCCATGGGTTTCCATTACGTCCGTTGCGTGGCTGCAACAAAATTTACTTAACAGTTAATGCAATTACTGGCGATCGGCATGTTATTCATATATAAATTTACATTTCATATTCTCGGGTGTTAGGGTTGTACCTGTTTATAAACTCTATAGCTTGTTTTTTTAATTGCTTCGCATTGTGAAGATCAGCTAAGACCATAACTTCGCATACAGTATCCACATTTAGACTACTACACAGGGCTTCCTCGCAAATAACTTTTAATCGATCCAAAGCGAATCGGTCAGCAGCAGCTAGTAAATCTGTTGCCATTCGAGACAAGTTTGGTGTTTTACCTCCATAAATGAAAATCAACAACTCTTGCATAACATCTTCGTCTAAGTCGTCTAAAATAACCCGGTTGCTCTGCTTTTCAGTCATATCAACATTGAACATTGCGTGGAAAACAGGTGACCTAGCTCCTAAAATACACTTATGAACTTCGAAAGGACGATCGCCTACTATTAATGTAACGTCGCTCATTTCTCCTGTGTTTAAAAGCGTATTTAGGTCTTCTGAAAGATTGCATTCGGGTACTTTGACTTGATGTTGATTTGTTTGACCAGAAATATTCACAGTGTCGCCTACTACCGAAACCTGTTTGATAAAAATATATGAAAAACATTTGCCAGTCCGAAATCGACATATTTAAGAACACACCTCACAATAGATTGTTAGTTTATCATCGGGTAATAGGCCATTGGCATCATCCATTAGAAAATCACGCCTAATAAATTTTTTAAATCCCCAGTCTTTTCCTTGGACGAATTTATAAGCTCTTTGACTCTCCATAGCCTTTGTTTCTTCTCTTTTTGAATTGAGTATTGAGAATTTGAACTTAGCACGCACTTCTGCTTTATTGCAGGCGACAAGAAGGAGGTAAAGTGAGAGATAGTCTTTCGATTCTTCGTCTAAACCTTTGGGATTTACTCTTAAACACCTAAAAAAAATAATCTATCAAGTTTTGAAACGGTTAGTTAATCAAATTGATTACCATTTCAATTTATCGTTACTTCCTGCCGAAAAAGTGGAAGACTTAAGAACTTCTCCCATCTCTTCTCGACAAAAACTAAAATTATTTATGGTCCACATATAGGAAAATTTGACCACTTTCACTTGGGTATAACACCAATTTTCAGCGACTGGTGAAGGTGGAGTCATTTCAGAACCGGCAGGTGTTGGAAGTTGTGGACTAGACGAACCGGTTCGGTTCACGGCCATAGTATTTGCTTCTGCTTCCATCTTTAAGTTTGTTCCCTAAAATGAAAATAGAGTCGAATGTAGTAAAAGAGTAATCGCTAGATGGCGGTAATACGAAAGAAAAATAACTAATAAAGAGGAAAACAGATCGATGGCAACATCGCCTTTATCGAACTGTATCGAACATGTTACTACAAACCTGGAACTTGCTTTCGTCAAGTTCAAACGAGAAATAACGAGAGACGAACGAGTCTGAGCGATACAAGACCAGTTTGTACAAACATAACAAAGACTCTATTACCTTCCGTTTCTATTACGCAATCATTAGTATTATGTAAGAAATCAAATGACACAATTTATTGTGTCAGGTTGAAAGGTTAAAAGGATGGAGACTTTTTTCTATGTTGACTTTTAAGTTAAAATGAAGTATATTTATTAAATTTCTAACTATAGGGTCATTGACCTAGAATTTTAATCAGTTATAAGCCCAATATTTACCGAATAAATGCTATATTTATCATGAGTATCGATTGATTTTATGCGATGATATGGAATATATATGTAAACATTAAATGTAAATATTTAGTAATGTTTGTAAAACGGTTTTGAAAATGGCTTCAAAGGCGGAATGGTTACTAAGATTATGAAATTATTTTGTTTAAGCAATTATCATTAAAAACATAAACATTTTAGTGCAATTTTTAACAAATCTTACCTTTTCGATTTGCTTATTTGAGGCGATCTGGCATTCTTTATTTTAATAAAAGCACAATGATTTCGATGCCCACCATCTTTGTTGGTCATACGGGAACTTTTCTGAAGGTAATTTTCGTATGATTTAAATTTTTTTAAATAACGGTTATAATTATATAAGTTTAAAATTAAATAATTAAAAATATGTTAAAAAAATACGAAACTGTGTAAATTATCAGTGTATATTATGTCGTCATAGAATCAGGTTAAAGTTCGATAATTACGTTTTATTCCTGGGAAACCCGAAACATTTCTCCAAAATCAAAATACTTCACGAATTTTAACACTTTTGGAATAAAGAATGCCCTTCTTTGGAAATAAAAAGAAAGGTATTTAAGAATGTCATTGATATAAACATCATAATGTAAATCTAAGATATTCGTTGTCGTGGGATTTTATGACTGTATTTTTGTGACCTAATAGAACAAGCTCAAAATGTGGGCGGTGGCTACCCAAGTCAAGATGGCTATCCAGCCCAAGGTGGCTATCCAAATCAAGGTGGCTATCCAGCTCAAGGCGGATACCCAACACAAGGAGGCTACCCTGTCCAACATCAGTATCCATCTCATCAAATGTCCCATCAATATCAACATCAGCAGCCTTCAGCATACCCAGGTCAAAGCTATCCACAAGCAGGGGGATATGCTGCACCACAGCATGGAGCCTATGCTCGTAAGATTTTAATAAAAGAACCAATCTAAGAGTGATCTAATTCATTAAAGAGAAGCAATAAAAATTAATAGATAATTCATAATTTCTAAAAACAATAGAAGGAGCTCCACCACCTTACACTCCATACGGACAAGCAGCACCCCCACCACAAACGACAGTAGTACAAGCTGGAGGTTTTGATGCCGGAGCAAGATTTCACGGTGGAAACTCTTCTGTACCACCTCCCCCTCCTGGTTGTATGCCGAATGCAGCCCAGATGGCAATGAATCAAGGACAAAATGTTGTGGTTACTCAAAGACCTCAAGACTTTATGACAGGGGGTAGTGACGGAGGTTATGTTATTTGGTAAATCTGTGATTTTTCACCCTACAATGATTTTAAGTTTGCTTGAAATTCCTCGATTCCATGTCTCCTCTCCATTACTTTTTTTTTAAATCTTAGATAATATTCTTCATTATCATTAACGATATTATGACATATAAACAAAAAATAAAATTCTTTTTACATGTGTGAAAGAAAACCTTTTGATTTATTTCCAAAATGAAAACGAATACCTGTTCTTTTTATGGAATGCGCAAACACATGTCCGGAGTAGCCGTAATTTAAATATATAATTGAATAACATTGTTCTCGATATTATCGACTAGTTTAGAATTTCTAATCAAATATGAAAGGAAATTTAGAGAGAATAACATTGACCTATGGTTTTAATTAACAATCAATGATATGAAATTCAGCTAGAGAAACATAAAAAGATGTAATATTGACCAGATTAAGTTAAATATGATGTAGCAAAAAACCGCTGGGTAATTAAAACCTCCCTCGGATTACAAGTCTTTTATTCGTCTTTCTTCTATGAAATAGCCCTTAATCAAATATAGTGAAATATGTAACCCGACGAATATTAAGAGAGATAAAACTAGTATGGATTATCTTATTTATTAATGGAATAGAACTAGTTAATAATGTCATTTGTTGTAGAGTTAGCATTAATAATTTATGATTCGAAATTAGCGCTTAAACACTGGCGTAAGTAGCGTCATCTATCGATAAATTGAGATTCCGTTCGGAAACGTCTCTGCGCCTCTTTTGGAATTAAGCGTTACCCTCTGACAACTAAAGAGCTGTTTAGCAATTGGCTAGTAATTTTCGATTCGTTTCCATAAAACTGAAAGCATGATCCAGAAGGAGGATAAAGAAATACTATTAAGCACTTTGAGCGATAATATAGCCAATATAATCCGCGGTCATCTTGCGAAAGAATATCATTTTAACTTTGATATTGATGCTATGATTGGCGTTACTTTACCAAACGAAAATGTTCTGTTACTTAAAATTGAGAAGCATGTGGATATATCAGAAGTTGAAGATATTGAGGAAATAGAAGATAGTAGCATAGAAGATGTTGATTTGAAACTAGAAGTGATGGATGAGGAAGACAATGGATACTTATTTGAGATGGTTACCCCAAATTCAAACAAACCAAAAAAAACAGTTTTTTCTGCACTATTACAATCAAACATGGATATGACATCGGTTGCACAGCCTTTACCAGGGGCAACTTGTTCGAGGAGTGATGACGTAAAAGAGGCAGTCAAAAAGAAAATTTTACAAAATAAAGGAACTTTTAAGTCACCTTTAAAAAAGAAGGAAATTTCTCAATCTCAGGTTCAACAGAATAAGGTTATATTCAGATTTTGTTAGTTATAATATTGATTATACGATTCTATTTCAACAGACACATCAAAAGTACACATGTGAAACGTGCGGTAAAAGTTGGCCTTCAAAAGCTCATTTAACAATGCACGTACGAATTCATACTGGGGAAAAACCTTTCGAATGTAAGATCTGTTCGTCGAAATTTGCAACAAGAGGAAATTTAGAAGGCCATATACTAAGAAAACATCCCGAAGCAAAACTCTATCAATGCACCTTATGTGGATGTCGCTTTAGTACAAGAAAACAATTAAAAGAGCACGATCGACAGTGTAGACGGAAAATAAATAGTTAAAGAATATGGAAAAAAAAATACAAGTTTTAGATATTTTAAAAAAATTATTAAGAAGTAAGAGAATGAAGGACTACAATTAGTTTAAAGAATGAAAGCATATGTTACATAGACGTAATTGAATACTCCTCAAATTCAAATGTTGTTTGATAAGGCACATATATTTTGTTATTATGGAATCTATTCTTTATGTTTATTAAGCAACAAAAGAAAAGACTGATAATCTTTTATCCTACGTGATTTAACTCTCGTTTAAGTTGTTGTCAAACTTCCTCAAACGTTCAACGGCTGATTGCCTCATAGTTGTGGCTGATGTCAAATTGTATCCACCGGAAACTGATGTAAAACTGTCACTCCTGAAACCTTTTTTTCTAAATTTCATTTTAATTATTCTTAAACAATAGAAAAGAATACAGCCAATGAAAATAATTACTGATGCAACAAAAGCAATTATAAAATAAACCGTTGTCGTTTCAACACCTTCTCTTGGCATTTGCTTTTCAATCTTTAAGTTGTGCAATTCGGCTGACAAACTAGGAATAACTTTTCTTACCGATTTAATACCTTGTACGCACTCTACATCGAGATTAACATAGTTACGATCAATTGTACCAAAAGTCTTGAGGCCATCAAACCGAAGCTTATCATCCGTAAGAAATCGATGGTTTACCTTAAGAATCGGTGATTTGAGACAAGTTGTCGGTTCAGCTGGAATTTCCCCTATGCATAACACAGTAAAATCCTGTTCAAAGTATACAATTTTCATATTTTTAGGTGTATATTCCTTAGCCTATAAAATTTAGCAGGGATTTAGTTTTTTCTTGGTACAGAGTTCAATAGAACGAATTTATTGATTTGAATTATTGAACTTGAAAAATTAAATCCCGCCTTTTCATCACCCAAAGTTGAACCTATTATATTTAAATAGTAATGAGTAAACAATTGGCAAGTATTCGAATTGTTTCCAGGCTTATCTGAAGAAACAATCTTTGACATAATATTATCATCAACTCGTAATGACATAATAAGGTTTTCTTTAAAAATTGATGGATCAATGCTTATAATTGGATTTTTTCTTATATCCATCTCAATAATCGATGTTTTGTTTGGTGTGTTAAGACCTATAATGCGTTCAAGATTATTGTTTGTAAAGTCAATACTTAATTGACTGTTAAATGGTAAACTGTAAGTCAAGTTAACGAGCATTTCAATTTTCTTGAAATCAGATAAAGCTTGTTGAAAGCTTTTACTTAAGTTTACTGTTATCGTATCGAACCAATACTCGATTTTTCGATTTTCATTGCTTCTCTCGATAGACACAATTTGATTTTCTGATAGATCAATTACTTTCAATCTAACCTTGGGAAAAAGACGTATATGAAACGATGTGTAGGAATAGTAAATTGGTTGCTAGGATAATTAATTAACGTCTGTATAAAAGTTTAATTATTGTTTCTGCTAGTAAAAAAAATATACAATTGAAGTGTTTTGCTGAAAACTTTCTCTATGTAATTAACTTCGTTTCGTATATGTCAATAACCTTATTGAAGATGGTAAGCCGAAAATATTTTCTATTCCGCATTTACGTAACTTTAATTCCCTAAGCCAAGGCATTTCGATCCGATTGTTGACAGTCTTAAGGTGGCATTCCCTTAAGGCTTCAATCTTTTCGATATAAATATTGTTTTCCGATTCTATCACTTTCTTTAAAACTATTGGCGAGTTAATACAATTATCTAAAACAATACTTTTAAAGATATATTTATTGGTTAGGTTTAAATAATCAACTCCCAATGATTTATTTGTTGAACAACTAAAGTGTATCTCTTCTACATATTCGCAGTTGTCCAATCTTAAACTTATCAGTTGAATGGTTGAGTTTATCATGGATTTGTTACAGATAAGTTTGGATAAAGAAGAGTACTGAATGAGTAAAAGTTTTATGATAATGATAAGAATTGACATATTGATAATTTCTATTTGAGGTTTAAATGTTTTTATAAACGTGTTTTATTTGAGAAAGCCAATAAGATAATATTTCTTTTTAAATTAACATGTTAAAAGCTCCATCTACTGTTTAAAAGTATAAACACACTACATATAAAAAGTCAAATTAGTATAAGGATTTCATTTTTAGACACATATGTATTTTTAGCAAATGGAGTTTTCCAAAAAGAGTTGTCCTACCAAGTATTAGGACATTCATAGCCATTTTCCTTTAACCATTCTACAATAGCGGCACTAGCCGCTTTGCATTCCTCACTTTTGCAATCCGCTATTTCTACCAACTGCCTGTATTTCTCCAAAAGTGATTTGGGTAAAACTGATTCTGAGAATGCTTTCGCCCCTTCTACGCTAGTTAAGCAAACCAGGAGAACAATGCACCAAATAAAAACTAAAGAAAAAAAAGAACAAGAAATTTAACTAAATATTCGAGCTCAATGGCGACATCTATTGAATATGCTAGACATAAATATTTAAATATATACAGATATATAAATTATTATGCAGTATATATATATATAGCAAATACTATAAGCTACAACGTATATATATATATATGTATGGCGACACCTATACTTTACGAAGAAGATAGTTCATTTGAAAAACTTGATTCCTTTTTACCTTTCATTGTTGAAATTGAGATATTGAGTAACTGATTGACTGAATGCACTAAAGTTTATATACTTTTTGTCGTATTGTTTATCGTCACGCTTTAATAATAAAAGGCATAAACAAGTCCTAGTTATAGAGAAATAAAACTATACCTCTATAATTTTTTTCTCTACGGTTCGATATCTATCTATGTAACACTTAACAATGATACTATCCTAGTTCCTTTAATTAAACGGATTCGTATCGAATGTATCACAAGCTTTATAATTAACACTCGTTGCGAAAAAATTATAGGCTTATGTCCAACAGAGTAAACGCTCCATTTCGTATTTTCGCTGCGGGGCGAAAAAGAACGAAAGGTAGGTTTGAAAGAGCAGCTAAAAAACTTGGTTTATAAAACTTAAATACAGATAATTTACGTTGTACAACACAGGTGTTCTTTTTTTTGTTCTCTTTTGTTACTATAAATATATTTTGGCTTGTCATAAAAATGGAAAAGCTATACGAGTGATAAGTCAACAGTATTATTTCATTTTTGTAAGATTTATAAGCCTAAGCACTTGTATATGTAGCCAATACATGAATTTTTGGGATGAGAATCAATATTTAGATTTTCAGTCGCCCACGAAATAAATATGTCTCTGACGTCACTTAATATAGAATATTTTTAGTGGATAAATCTGGATAATAATAGACGAAAATAAAGAAGAAACGTCTGTAATAAAAACGCCCGCATAAATTTTCCCATTGACGCTTAAATTTATGCATCCTCTCCGCTATTATAAAAGATGCGAGCCGTAAGATCTTTGTTATTTCCTCCTTATTTCTCCGAGCAGGAACATGAACAAAACTTTCGTATTTTTCCTCTTCCTCTCCGTTTTAATTTGCTGCTTTACTCCGCATAATGCAAGCAAGAAATCGCAAGTTTTTCGTCCCTTAAGATTTGGAAAAAGAAGTTTGTATATACTTTGTTTTATAAAATATTCTTTTGAAGCATATTTTCCTTATATTTGTCATTAATCTATTTTTCAAAGATTAATGGATATGTTTGAATTTTTCTTTCAATTTTATTTTCATTAGGTGGGTATGTGAATCAAGAAATCATTAGGGGTGAAAATGGAATTTCGTGCTACAGATTACCCGACCTACCTTTTTACGAATGCTTCGGGTAGGTTTTATTTATTACTTCGAATTAAAAAGATGAAAGATAAATTTGACCTTTTCATTTTTCCTTCACCTTTAATTTTCTGTCTGTTCTTTTAGACCTGACTTACGTTTGACACCTATTTATGGAAGCGCGGACGAATCATAGTATTATATACTTTGGTGTTGTGTCTTCACGAACTCGTCGACAATTTGGTTTTGAATATAAAACACGACATGTATTATATACTAATAGAACAAATAAAATGAAGAAAGCAGTTCTAGAGTTAATCACGTAAGGATGCTTTTCGTTTGAGTTTCAACCGTAATCTTCAGTTCGAGAGTTAATATCTTCTGTGTTAATCTGTTTGATGAGCAAAAGAATTAACGCAACTAAAGGATCGTTAACTGTAAGAAAAGAGGTTTACAATATATGATCCAAAAACCTATTCGGATCACAATAGATTAGATTGTTTTCTTAGGTGAATAGTAGAGCTTATGGATTCTTAATTAACTTACTTAGAAATTGTATTATCAAAAATTAGAACATAGACCCCCGGTTCATGAGCCTCAATAGAGCCATTTACGTTGTCCTTGTGAGACGGAACGCTGTCAAGTTGTAATAAAATTTCTTCATCGCCACTTTCGGTCATATCAGCACTTTTATAATACGTTATACCAAAGGTAATATTTTTCGGTTTGGTTTTAAAAGACCATGATAAACTGACGCCTCCACTATCAATTAATATCGGAAAATTTACAACTTGTTTTGGAGATATCGTTCTCTCATGAAAAGCGGCTTTTCCATTGATTATATCATTTTTATTTATAACTCGTCCTCTAGAATTTTCAGATAAGAGAAACAAAAGTTATTTAAAAATATTTAGGAAGAATAAAAATTGAATAATAATAAAAGCAAATATATAGATAAAACTAACCCATATTTATCAACTTCACGAGACTCGTCTAAGGACTCTCTTACTTCTTCCTCACTGATCACGTCGAAATTCGACTCCTCCGGGATGTGATTCCTATAGACGAAAACTATTTTCATTCAATCAATTCAGCAATTCACCAAAAAAATAATTCTATAAAACATGTTTTACTAACTGCAGAAGATTGCTTGTATCGATTTCCTTTTGAAGAGAGAAACAAAGGTCGCAAACTCGAATTTTATTACTAATTGTCAAAAGAAGTATTATTCAAATTCTTTTAAGGGTAATACAAACAGAAATTTGTATTATTCAGATCATTTTACTCACTTGCAATTATCTGGGGAGCTGATAAGATTATTGGCGCAATTCTTGCAGAATATGCGTAAGCAAATACGGCAATGATGCTGTATTTATAAGGGAATAAAATAGTTTATGACTATTTCTGCTTTTTAACAAGTATATTATCATAAAAATTGTACTTAACTAACTCTGCGGAAAGTTAATGAAAAAGAAGTTTTACACGAATAGCACTCTGTAGCTTCAGAATCGTCTACCCAACCAGATATTGATCTACAACTCTCTCTTGTTTTTAGAGCATTATTCTCAGCCCATAAATCAGCTTTGTCTCTGTAATTTTATTAAATTATATTTGTTTTTATCGGCTACTGCAAAAAGTTATGAAAGAATGGGTAACTTACCTTATCATTTTCACTAGACTATCCTTTAATAAATTATGATCGGCTTCCAAAATCTCCAAACTTTCCCTTGCCAATTTCAATTCCTCCTGCAACTCTTCCTCCTTCTGTTGTTTTTGTTTTTTGTATTCATAAAATGTTTTTGACTCTTCTTCCAATCTATCGCAAGTTTTCGCTAACTCTCTCTTTAATAACTTGCACTCGTCTGTCAACGTTTTACGATCTTCTTTCAATTTTATTTCAACTTTTGTTCTTTCTTCTTGTTCTTTGGTAAGTTGTTGTCCAATTGATTCTAATTCAGATTGTTGACTCTCAATAAGTTCTTCTTGATTATTATACTTTTGTTTCATTAAATGCAGAGCAGTTTTAGATTCAGTTACAGTCTGGGTTTGGGCAAACAAATATATATAAAATATATATGTAAATAGCTAGTGACACCTACTATTAGGTTAATTTTTGGTTTAAACAATATTTAGGTTTGTTCAAATGACCTTTACCTGTAGGTTTCTCTCCGTTTCCAACTGTTGAGTGCTAACCTGAAAGTTCAACGCGCTTATCTTCTGCTCTAACGTTTCACATATATTCTCCAATTTCTTATTCGATTCGTTTGCCATTTTCTGCCCGGGCGTCAAAGTATTATTAGTAATTAACTTTCGCAATAATTTGTTACAAATTGACATAATTTATCTGATATTTAAATATCCTAACTTATCCTATATCTAATCGAAAGTCATTCGTAATGTAAAATCTAGTTCAAAGATAATCTAATAGTATTTGTTATATATTATTAGTAAGAAAAAAGGTTGCCTACGGTGTTTAATAGACTTTCTTCTAACTTTTCTTTCAACTGTTCCACTTTTTCCTTCAAGTCGGCATTTTCTTTTTCCGTTGTTTCAGAGAGCTTCTATAAAAATTATCACAAATTTTTTAGTAACAAATTAATAGAAAAACAATTTATTTTAAGCGAAAAAACAATTGCAGCTATATGATAACTTAATAAATGACCACTTGATTGCTATAATTCGAAATCAATATTTAATAATTCCTTATTTCTTATGAATAATAATCTTTGATTAAATATGCGTTTAGCGACGGTGAATACGTTGTCGGAGTAAGCTACAACTTTACTTAGCATGAGATAAATAAATATCGGAAGAATTCTATAAGTTTACAATTATTCAAGACGTATCAATAAATTAATTAATTCAATTTCATATTTTTCAAACTGCCAGCGTATTCGATACTTTCGATAAATGTATCTTTACTTAGATCTTTACTTAGTAATATAAAAACCTTTTTGTCCAGAATTTCTGATTTTAAATGATCAAGTTCACTCAAGGAGAACTGTGCCTGTTGATTTTCGGTCTCACTAGTTGATCTAAAAATAGTAGAAGAAAGGATTAAAACTTAAAAGAATTAAGATAATCGATAGAGTTTCATTAAGCGAAGGCGATAGGCAATTAGAGAATCATTACTTTGTGCAGGTTTCACTCACAAAATTTTATATAAAATCCTGAAAATCAATGAAAAAGGGTATCGCTTTCGTTAATTAGCATAAAATATTAGGATTTCTTTGAGAAAATTTAGGAATTCTACATCTCTTTTTCTTTTACAAATACAATTGTTGATAAATGTGGCGACATCTATTAACTGATCCTAAATCTAATAATTATACAATAAAAAAGGAAATTGTAAAAGATTATAGATGTAGAAAAAGCTACCCGGAGAAAATATTTCGTAAAGATAATCTCCTTTTCTTACCTTAATTCATCGATTTGCTCTGTTAAATCACGCTTGATGTCATGTAATGATTGCTGCAATTGGGAATTAGTCAATTCTTTTTCCGTTAGATCTTTTGTCAATTGATTGTTTTCCTGTAAAGAATTCGCAAGTAACGAAATTTACTATCTTGCAATATGTCCTGATGGTAAACTCTTGCCAAGTAAGAAACACTTACTGATTGAAGTTCTTCAAATCGTAATTCTAACGATTCTATCTTGCTTAAATTTTCAATTCTAAGCTCCAAATCTTTGATTAGTTTATCTTTTCCAAGTGTCTCTCTAGTTATTTCATCTTTCATAGAAATTAGATCTTCTTTAGCTTTAATTTGTTCGCTTAAAGCAAGATCAAGCTTTTTAATGCTATCCATTAATTCTTCATTTTGAAGATTCAGAATTTCAACTTCACTTTCTAATTTCTTAGTTGTCGATTCAATCTCTGTATTTTCTCTACTATGCGATGAGTTCTCTCTTTTTAAATCATCATTAAGTTTTTCATACTCAAGCATCTGCCTTTCATTTTCTAGCAGTTTAGTCTCTTTTTGTAATAACTGCAGTTTCAGGTCATCCAATTCCGACATCAAAACTTTTTCACTTTTTGACCCAACTTGGCTCTGCAATTCTTCAATAAGATTCTCTTTATATAATAACTCTTTCTCACAAGTTCTGAGGTTGTCCTTCATTTCGGCTAATTGAACGACTAGAATATCTACACGATCTTGTAAGGCATTTTTTTCGTTTACAGATTTCTCTAAAGCGTCGATTTTAAATGATAGGTTTTGGTTTTCGTTTATTTCATTTTTGGAACTCTCATTGAATTGAACTTTCAACTGATTAAGTAATTCTGTTGACCCTGAAGCATACTGGGACATTGCAGCTGAAAGCCCCTCACTTAAGTCCTGTCAAAAAAAAAAGTGCAATCGGTAATGACAAGAAAGTAATATGATGATAAACCTTAATTTTGTCTTGTAAACTTTCTGCTTTATCTTCTGAAGTTTGCAGTCTTGCACGAAGTTCATTTTCCTTTTCTGACCAGCTTTTTTCCTTTATTAACATTTCAGATTTTGTTGACTCTAATCTATAGATATTAAAAGATTTAATTATTAAAAAAACTTTAAAAAAATAAAATAGACTAAACCTCAAAGCGTATTCGTTACATTTTCCTTCTATTCTAATATTGTCCTCTTCGGCATTTTTTAATTTTCTGGCCAAATCAGCCTTTTCCATTTCTAAATTTTCTAGTTTTACCTATTTTAAAACTTAATTGTTAAATCCCATTCATGAAAACGTTGAATGGTAAAAATTGCAAAATTTACTTGTAGATCCAGTTTAATGGCGAATGAATCAAGGATACTTTCGTCTAACTGGGAGCATTCGGATTGAGTTGGTGATGAACTATGTTGACTAGCACCATCGATCGAAGATTGCATGCTAATTGAATTTCGCATTGATGGGGGAGAAGTTACTGTAATAGGGAGAACTTTCCTGAAAAATGACGACATGAAATCACTATTATCTTGAGATTATTATTATCAAAACTTACCGAGAAAAACTAGGCCATGAAATATCGAGATCATAACCTTGACAAGGTAAATCAAATTGAATATCATTCAAATCATACAGCCTGTTTATCAATTCCATAGAATTTCTCTTGTTAAACAACAAGGATTTGGGATGATACCATTTTCTTGTTGAAAAATTATGCTATCTCAAATATTCTTATTTAAAGAGAGAAGACAATATTTACCTTGTTACTTCAATTGATAAAACACAATGTTGCAAAGTATCAGCCAATCTTTGATGAACAAGACAAAATCTTATTAAAGCTCTCCCCCTACCCTTTGAAGTTTTAATCTAAGAAATATGGTATATTATAAATTATCAATGTTGCAGAAGACTAGAATTTTAACCTCTGATATTCTCTTTACAAGTCGTACAGCATCGGCAAGATGATCCTGACCAGATATACATTGGCAAATATAATCCCAATAATCCTTTTTGTTGCCTAAAACGCTTCTTTTATCTAATAAATTAGATATATGATTTACTATTTAAGGATATTAATGCTTATAAATAAGGAGTATATTAGCGACAATATCTTTAAATAGAAGCCCCGTAATTGGAATTTTAAGAAAGACCCACAAAATTAGGTCAATTTTAGTTCCAAGTGAGTTATTACTTTGGAAAATTCTCTTTCAAAGGGCTTATAGTCTTTTAAGCTTGTAGGAAAAAATGTACTTTGTATATACCTTTTAAGCCAACTTGTAAAAGAAGTTCGATTTTTGCACAAAACTTTTGAACGCTTACTTTGTCATCATTTAAAGGAAAATGGTCATATTGGAACTCTTCTTTCAGCTTTTCAATACAATCTAGAACAGAAAACAATGCATTACGCAATTATTAGACATTGATCATATGATTCTAAAATGTCCCATCTCTTAGAAAGAGAATCAAATCCCCTAGATCAGTGTTTTCAATAAAATTGAAATTAGCCTTAAAACATATTTGTAATATAGTCCTTGGTACCTTCGATATCTCTAAGAATTCTTGCCAATTGCATTTCTGGAGTAAGAATCCCAGTAAAAGTTCCCGTGGGTGAGTTTAAAGAGCGAGACATGGTCTTTCTTATCACCAAACAATTTCTCAAAATTAGTTAAAATGTAAACGGTAAAATCTTAAAAAATATTTTAAAATAAAAGCATAATATTGCCTTTAAAAATAATAATAAACAACAGCGATAATAACGAACAGACAAAACTGATTGCTCAAGCAAAAACAGTTCTGAGTGGGAATGTAATATTCAGTGTCCAGAAAATTGAAAGCAAGTTTCTTTAAGTATCGTGCCTTTTTACTTTTGGATATACTGACTGAGAAGCAATTGGAAAGTTTCTAATTTCAACAAGTAATATATTAAATAGTTTTCTTGTTTTTTTTTGTCAGATATCTTTATGACATTGAAAAATCGAAAATTAAATAATGGAAAAAATCTAAAGGAAAAATGTTTTTAAGACCTTGAAGAATTTTAAGGCTTTTTAAATGAAAAAACTGTCTTCCAAGAAAATGGAAAATTTTTTAAGGATTCGTTCGTCATACTATAATCGAAATGTAAAATTCAAATAATCCTTATATTATGTGATGTGATTGAATAATTTCATTTTATTATTAAGCTACCCAAACAATAGGTTTATTCGGTTTGATTAGAGAATAAGTATTTTTGAAAATCAAACTTCTCACATCAAATTAATCAAATATTGCATAATTGATATATTGAAAGTTATAATTTTGCTTCTGATTTTTCAGTTGTTAACCAAGCAAACTCCTAAAATAATGAATTATTGAGATTTATAAATGAAATGCTTTTACTAAAACTGTACCTGGACTTTCTTTCCTGATACCGGGTCGATCATAATGTTAATTAGACAAGGTTGGTTTGATTTAAGACATTGCGACATTGTTGGTTCTATTTCTGATGGTTTTGTAATAAAAAAGCCTTTTCCACCAAAGGCTTCTATTACTTTTTCATATCTAGCATTTGGTTTTAATGCTAAGGCCGGTAAGCTGTAATGAAAAGAGTTTAAAAACACTTGTACGTATTGCTGTAGCCATACCTTAAGGATTTTTCAGTGCCCTGGGAGGCACTATACATTTGTTCGTCAATCCCCATAAAAATTCCGTTATTATTTAAAACAACAAAAGTAATAGGAAGATCATATCTTAAAAGGGAAAATAATTAGTATTTGATAGAAAAAGTAAGAGCTAAGATTTATTGCTAAACCTGCAAACAGTTTCCAATTCCATTCCAGAAAATCCGAAGGCACTGTCTCCTTCAACGCATACTATCTTTTTTTCAGGAGCGTTATCTTTAGCCCACAAGGCGCAAGCAATAGCAAATCCTAACCCGACGCCCATTGTACCAAAAGTACCGGCATCCAACCTTTAAATAGAATATTATTGCTTATTTGGGAATGTAATATTTTTCTTAAAACGAATGGCAACAAAATGCACAAATTTGTTATAGTGAAATTAAATGAATGCCAACCGATGTCTTGCTAAATAATTGTTCATCATCGTTCTCCCAATATCCATTGTGTTGGATCCTTCACTTATAATGAAAGCATCTCTCGGAATCACTTTCGTTAGCTATTTTGAAATACTACACTTGACAAAAGTATTAGTTATATCAATTCTATACCTCGTGAAAAGCAGTGTAATAATTAATTGGAATGGTTTCTTTAGAAATTAATTGTTGTGTTGTTAATTTATTGTCTTCACATTTATTCTTTAGCATTTCCCACCAATCATTAATTTTGGGATAGGAACTTGTAGCATCTTTTTCAGAAATTCTTGTGTTTAACTGTTGATATATAAAGGGATTTGAAAACAAGCAAAGTAGATCTTTATTGCTTACCTGATTTACAAATACTTTCAAATCACCATGAACGCTTACAGCCGACCGGACATTATTATTTAGTTCTTCGGGACAAATATCAACTTGTATGATTTTTACGTCTTTGTCAAATCTTGGTGGTAATCCAAAGTGCAAGATCCAATTTAGTCGAGCCCCCAGTAGAAGAACGACATCCGCCTTCTGCAAAGCCCTATTTTTTACGTCAATAATAAGTTAAACAACTTTCTGTTAGTCAAAGTACCTTGATCTAGCAGGAGCTACGCAAAGCGGATGATCATCCGGAACTACACCTTTACCCATAGGCGTTGGGAGGAAAGGAATATTCAAAGAATTTATCAATTGCCTAACCTCATGTTCTGCTCTACAGTATGCAGCTCCCTTACCGACAATGACTAAAGGTCTTTGAGCATTCCTAAGCAACTCTAATGTAGCATCAATGGAACTTAATGGCGCTAGCGGTCTAGGGGGATCAGGTACACGTTCAGGATATCTGAGTATTTGAAATAAACAGTTTCATATTTTTTCTGGGAAACTCATAAAAACTTTTCCTTTTAACATACTGAATAATGGAAGATGAAATGTTTTCTTTGAGCATATCGCCTGGAAAGTCTAGATAAACGCTTCCTGGCCTTCCATATATAGAATATCGAACAGCTTTCTCAACGAAGAAAGGAATCTTCTCTACTGACGGGGGTCTGGCCGAAAATTTTGCAAATTCTTTACATATACTTGTTTGAGGATACTCTTGGAAGCCTCCCATTCCTTCTTGGTGAGCCTCACTGGATCCACCAATTACTATTAGGGGCCTACATGAAACTATTAGCAACAACTGCCTTAAATCGATCATGAAGTATTTTACCATGCATTCTCATTAGCATTTGCCATTCCTCCAAGAACATGTAGCACACCAGGTCCGGAGACAGTCAAACAGACCGCCGGCCTCCCAGTAATATATCCAATTGCTTGCGCGGCATAAGCAGCCTAATGAAAGTATTCGTCAGAAAATTTGAACTTTAGAATTGTTATAACTTACCGCTTGCTCATTTCGCATTCCAACATACTTTATCCCTTCTATCTGAGCAGCATTAGCTAGTTCTATTACAGGTACACCAACTGTGATAATTTTTTTTATCAAATATTTTCTAGTTTTAATGCATTAATCTTACCTATACCAAACATATACTCTACGCCCTACAAAACACAGCAAATTAAAGTAATGTTATAAATATGACTATCTATCACAAGTTGCGAGTGTTACCTGAGCTTTTAAAGCTTTAGCAATTATTGTTAAAGAAGATACATCAGAATCCATTTCTTGAACTTGCTTATTACTATTGAATACGAAACCTGTCTACTCGACAAATCGAAACCAGACTGACATAAATGTAGGCCTAAGTATGTGAAAAAAAAAGCATGTTCTTCGCTATACAGAATATAAGACTTTATTATAAATAACAATAAACACAGGAAAAATATGCAAAAACTTAAAACAGTCAGATTTATTCAGCATATTGTCCTATTGTGTCCAAAACAAGGACCAGTAGATCTAGAAACCCATTTACGCTCACTCTTAATTGTCGTGCTTCATTTGATCGAAAAACTCTGCAGAATAGAATAATGTCAAGCTAAATTAATAAACTGTTAATGCAACAAACATATTTAAAACGTTATCCTCCACTGCGAGAGTTCGTTGAACAGTGCTTCGCTTGGGTTCTTTATCCACTCTAAGAGAATTATATGCAATCACAGCTTCTTCGTGACAACGAAAGGGAATTTTAATATCACTACAATAAATAAAAGATGTATTTTAAGTTGTCTTAACTGAACAAAACTCACACTTTTCCGTTTTTCATCTCTTGTTTATTGTTAAACTTTATACGGAAATTTCAAAGATTTGATCGGTTTACTCGAACCGTTCAGTGATCGGTTTGAGGGAGTAAATTTCGTATAATCCAAAAAGATTTTAAATTTATACCTCTATATATTTTAATAACGGAAGGTTGTTTAGAAAAGTAACAACAATTTATTTACGACAATGATTTTTGACGACATCGCTAGCAGACAACGCTCAATGTAATCATCTTTTGTTCGTCGTAGTTCTGCCTTTATGAAATATAACTTCCTCTAAATGAGTTTATTTTAAAGATTTTAGCCTTAATTTTTCGTAGGAATACATCAAATTAAATATAAAGACGGTGCTACTCACCTAATGTTGACAAAAATTGCAACAGTATGGGATTACTGTTTACAAAGCTTTGGAGGTTGTTTACCAATGAAGGTAACGTTTCTTTCTTTCTTCATATAAACAAATCTTATAATTTCTATCCTGTTCATTCTAATAGAACATAAGGTAATTATTGTGGGACTTGATAATGCTGGAAAAACGACGATACTCTATCAGTTGTAAGTGTTTGATTAAATTACTAGCAGGTCAAAGACATTTTAAAATTAAGATTAATCGTGTATAATACAAGGACGAAGAATTTAAATATTTATTCTCAATTGAATGAAAATTTTGAAAATTTGAAAGACTAAAGCAAATTAGTCTCATTTTCAATAAACTTGGAGTATTAATTAATTATATATTTGATTACAAAAATTGCTAAATATTCTTGCTAAAAAGTTTTGTTTTCATAATTTGAAGCAAATTTATAATTTAGCTCATAGCAACCTTTATGTAAATCTCAATTTATCACTTCCAAAGATAAAAAAGAACTCTAAGTATTTTCATTGAAACTTATAGCTATCTTGTTTTAGTGTACTTCTATTTTAAACTAAAAGTTTAAAAAAAAAACGTATTAAAATTCATGAATTACGTTAACATAAAGTGTATTTAATGATTTTCTAATTGGAGAAGCTAGAGATGAAAGTCAACAGATAAGACGTTAAGAAACGCCAATGTCTCCTTTTGAAATATCCTAAAGTATCACAGTAGATAAAATGAACTCTTTTTAAACCCCTTATAAGGTGTTTTAATTATGTTGTTTTTCTCACGTAAATTGTATAATTTTGTATTTAGTATAATAGGATTTCTTCTTTTATCAATTACTTATGTGATTATTTTTAAGGCTATAGTAAATATATACAAGCTATTTTGACAAAACTAACTAATTTTGTTTTCACTACAGTTTGATGAATGAAGTTGTTCATACGTCTCCTACTATCGGATCAAACGTAGAGGAAGTAATTTGGAAAAATATTCATTTTCTTATGTGGGATATAGGAGGGCAAGAGAGTTTGCGATCTTCTTGGTCAACGTATTATACAAATGCTCAGGTAATTTAAATATTGAATATATTAACATTTTATCTCTATTTCAAATCACTCTCACAATATTTTATCTGATTGTCTTTCTTATCAAAAATTTTACCAAATTTCCTTTATCATTCTGATTTGATAATCAAGTAAATCTGTTTCCATTGTGATTTTCAGTTTGTTATACTAGTCGTCGATTCTACGGATAGGGAAAGATTGAGTATAACTAAGGAGGAATTATGTAAAATGCTAGCTTGCGAGGTATATTTTATAATGTTGCTTATTGATATTTGTAAAAGTTAATACTGGATACTTATAGGACTTGAAGAAAGCTGCAGTTTTGATTTTTGCAAATAAGCAAGACATAAAAGGTGCCATGTCGGCCGCTGAGATCTCACAGCAGTTAAGTTTAACCTCAGTTAAACAGCATCCCTGGCATATACAAGCATGCTGTGCATTAACTGGCGAAGGGTAAATAATTTTTACATTCCATTCAATTATAGTATTTTATACTTTGAATATTTATTATTAATATCGTATTTTCAGATTATATCAAGGACTAGAGTGGATTACCTCTCATATTAAACGATAATTTCAGCTTTAGCTATGATATTACAAATTATGTGGACTTCTTGGTCACACGTCAGTTGCGCACTTCATTTACAATGTATTTCAAGAATTAATTCTGAACGATGTATTGTACAGTTATATTAAATATAAGAGAAAGAATGAAAATTTACCTGAAATGTTTTGTTATGTATTGTTTATTTCCTATCTGGACGCTAATAGGCTTACTACTATATCCTACTCAAGTTCTTTTACCCTGAATCATCTACGTTGACATGTTTGATATGCTTTTTATTAACATCAAAGTATTTATAAAAAGCATGGCTTTAAGTATAACAGGTTTTGGTATGAGTTACTGGTTTGGTTGTCAAGTTAGTGATTCGTTTATTATCTAAAAAAACGAAACAAAAATTTCCCTACTTGTTATAGTTTGAGAGAATTGAATAACTCAACTTTACTAATGAGTTTAACTAACTGATTTATGTACACAAAGACTTGTTAAGATATTTTTTATTCGCGATAAACAAAAGAGATTCAGCAGATTATTTTATACAAAGCTCAACGGAAATACGTAGAATTTCAACTAGATTCATTTTAATCAGACATAGAAAAGTTTATGTCTAAGCAACAAATGGAACACGTTATCATTTATCAAATTTCTTTCTTCATTGTAAGCCAACGGAACTAAAACAAATGGCACCACACTCTAGAATGCTAATGCACTACTTTAAGCGAAACAAATTAAAATTTGATATGAGATATAAAATAAATCTGCTCCTTAACCGGCAGCGACAGCAATAACCATAACAACTCCCAACAAAAACCAGACAACGACATAAACAGCCAGTACTGTTGTTTTAAATTTCTGCCCCTGTTTATTTTACATTATTATAGGTAACCTTATTGCAATATATAAATAAAAGAGGTTTAGCATATACATACAACAGGCTTAGGTTCTTTCAAAGGCGGTTCTAGAGATGGATGATTTTGTCTAGCTAAGAGTTCCCGCTCGTCTCGTTCTGTAAACATAAAAAAGGTAGATAAATATTCAACATTCCAAATAAAGTCTTAAAGCACAAATGCTGTTTTTTTTTTGAAAATTTCGTACCTTTCTGCTTTCTTGAATTTATACACCCATGAATTTCCAACAATAGCTCGACTATTAAGTGAAAAAGGAAAAAAGCCATCATCACCCACGTAGCCCAGCTTGGAACTGCTGCTTTTTGCATAGATAAGCCAATGAAGACAGTTGGCACTGAAATTTTTTAGATATTATATTCAAAGTACTCATTAACTAGATGATTTATAGGAAGGGCAAACCACTCACTACTAATTAAAACAGTAATAGTACCAAAAAGCCAATGGAACCAATTGAATACTACTCTCCATTTTTTTCTTTTGCCATTGTAATCACATCTAATAAGGGCCATCAACGGCTACATGCAATGATTAATAATTAATATACTATAAAGTTTTATCAACTTTTAAGCAACACTCCAATAGATTTGATTAATTAATAGCAACTGTTAAGCTTAGTTGAAAAAATACAAACAGAAAAATCACAAATTGTATGCTAGTCTCAGGAACCTACTCTGAAGTGTGAAGCAGACTGTGCCAAGAAACCAATGAATCCAATTAAAGATTGGTCGAGCTGATTCCTTCTCGTTACAGCGAAAGAAGCCGAGAAAAGGCTGAAATATTTGTTCAAGAGCAATAGATAATAGATTATTCTAGGTCAAATAATTAATTTAAAATGATAGAAATTTTTTAATGAAGCTGAAAATTATACTAGATAGAGAAGAAAATTTTAATATCTTACATTTAGAATGGATAGGATACAGACAATAATTCCAAGAGGAGGATGAGCTTTTTTAGGGAAATCATCAAAAGTAGAATAACCGCCAACTTGAATGAAGATAATTATAACTCCAATAAGTGTTAGAATGGCACAGCTCGCCATACAAACTCTATGTACACAGAACCATATTCTTTCGTTACAGGAACGCTTATTAGGCCATATTGGTTTATAATATCTCGCCATTAAGATTCCCATTGATGAAAGTATCATCCAAGCAATAAGCATTAAACATCCATGTAATTTTACAAGGGGATACCTTGCTTTACCACTTAGATTGGGATGACTATCCAGATCAACCTTCTTTGTGCTAACTAGAGGTTCAACGCCTGGCCTTAAAAAGTGCATTAATTTTTTTCCATTCTTAACGCTACCCCGTGCCAATAATAAATAATAGCTCTCATCTAAGTTGAATATCTTTCCCTCTGAGTTATCTCGAATAAGTTTTCTTCTCTTAAATTCACAGCGTATAATTTTTCCTCCTTGATAAGCATCAAAGTCAGACAATTGCTCTAAAACTTTGTTCGATTGGCCATCATTATAAGAGTATTGCACTATTACCCTCTTTGTCTCTTCCTGATTAACGCATTCGACTACACTGTCATCACCCATGTACTGGTCCTTAGAAAAGCCAAGTGCAATATAGCCATTTGTTAAAGCACTCATTTGAAATTGAACTACATTGTCTTCAACAGTCCATGCAAGCAAAAGAGAGCAACTACCATCCTGACATCCTGAGGGCTCTCTGTAGCATCCTTTGGTAACTCCGCAGCCTTCAGTGTCGATAAACGTTAGAACTTTGGGGACTCGTTCGACATGAGGATCTTTAAGAATCGATGAGACAATTGACCATTTACGATCATATTCATAGATAATAGCTTTAAATTGAACGGATCCATATGAAGTCTTCGCTCGCCAATAAAAACTTTTTGAGGTCCACCCCGACTCTCTATAATTTTTTACAGAGTTACCTCTTGAAGTTTTACATATTCGATCGTTTTGAGGATCAAAATCAAAAAATCCGACTTGTTCGGCTCCCTCAATTGTTGAATTAGCTTCAGCTCGTATTAAAAATCCGGTAAATTTATCTTCAGAAAGAGATCTAATGGTTACTGAAAGAAAAAATATTTATTTTCAAAAAGGAAATTAATAATTTATGAGCGGACTTTTTAATGTGATTTATTCTTAAGAAAATTTAGTAAAACATTCTGATAAGAACGTTTAAAGAATAAAGAATGTTATAGACGATTCAAATGTACAATCGAGAAATATATTTTTCATATGAAATTTTAAAGAAGAACTTATAATTTATCGTGGTATTTAATCGAAATCATTTACTTTAATCCTTAAATAGTATTTATTTACGTTGAAGCGAAAAGCATTTGAATGGGCTGAATTATAAACATGGCATATTTACCTTTTATGGTTTGATATGGCCTATAATAACTTCTAGAGATATCAACATTGTCTATAGTAATTTCATATCGCCTATTTTTCGCTATTCCATAGTTTGGTGACATGTTGTTTGCAAATGAAAAACCATTACATGGATCATCTTGACAAACCGCACTCGAAGCGATGAGTAAGAAGGCAATAATTTCCCTCATGCTGACCTGTAGTTTTGAAAAAGTTTGATTAACAATAACTATTCCTTATTCTGAGGATCAGATGGCATGTTTGCAGTTATAATATATTTACATCAACAGATATTGTTGCAGTCGAGAGAACAATGAGCTAACCTTTATATTCCGCCCAACACTAACGAAAAGCCAAAAATAGAAATCCTACTCAGTAATGTGGCACAGAGTTCCACCTTCAGAAAATTCATATATTGAAAGAATGCACCGGGGAATGTTGGACGTGGTAACACATTCCTAAAGGAGCATTAGAAAAATAAAGAAAAATAATAAGACAGCGATAAGAACCAGTCCAAGACAGTGATACTTTTATAAACTGAATTTTATTATTCAAACAAACAAATACAGCTTAGATATTCGTGTTGAAAACTTTTACGTTTTCGACCATAGTTAAGTTGGCAAACTACATAGTGCCTTACGCTGAATAATGTTTACAAGAGTATATACTGATACTATCATTCAACATGGAAAGATTTGCGCGCATAAAAAATGCTAATAATAAAGTAAAACATCTACAAAAATACTCAATCGTAAAGCGAAATGCTTTCCATACATTGTAATGTCTTTAACAATCCTTCCTCATAATATCGCTCGTTAGAACATGCTCGTGCGTTTAGTGAAACGTATTTCCATACTGCAAAGAAACTAAGAGTCCTTTCCGACATATAAATCATAGAACTTGATAATGTCGTTTCTTCGACGACCTCTGATTAATATTTGCCGAATGTGCCAAATACAAACTGTAAATAAATTAAATAAAGGCAGCATATACAATATACACAGGAATATATTTTATACAAAATTTAACAAATGTACGAATAGTAGTAATTCTAACGATATAAAAAATCCGGGATTATCCTTCACGTCAAATGAAAATAAAATTGAAACATCTATATCAACCAGTGGCACAGAGTATGACGAGATGATTCGATTTATTGAAGATGAGCCAGACACTAGCGAAGAGTTACGAACTTTAGAGGATTTAACCATTGATGAACTAGAAGAGATCTATGATTATGATGAAGTAAGCGAAACTAATATGGATTTAGGAGATGAAAGAGAAGTTACTTATCCCATCAATCTTGAAAGTTAGTTTCTGGGTGGCATGACATTTAAAAGATATTTTATTTGGTATGATATTTTTAACGTATAATTAACTATATTTACAGGAGGTGTCGAAGGAGTTTTCGATCTCGGAGAAGTGATAGAACTCTTAAAAGCTGAAAATATGACGAATATTGCTTGCATTAGGGTAAGTGTAATAATCTTTAAAATTAATATATTGATCATTTTTACTTTATATAGATTCCCCCGGAAATTAATTACGCCAGTTATATGGTTTTAACTTCGGCAAAATCTACCCGTCAAATCAGAGCTGTTTCCGAGTTATTCCAAATTCTTGTAAGAATTACAACGATTGACTATTGTTAGTATTATTACTATAATAAGATTATAATCAATTTAGTGGAAAAAGAAACGAAGTAAAAGAGATCGAAAATTCTTAAGGGTAGAAGGGAAAAATACTACTGACTGGTACGCTTTAGACATGGGTAAGTAATGACTAAAGACTTGCATTAAATTTTTCAACAGTCACGTGTAAATTATAAATCGTATACTTTTCTATAAATGACAAAAAGAAATCGATAGCTAACTAGGGTAATCTGCAGGAAACGTTGTACTGCATATCTTATTGCCTCAAACAAGGGAAAAGTATGACTTGGAAACGTTATGGACAGTGGGGAGTCACTTGGAAAAAGACGAAGAGTTGATTAAACCAGACTCTTTCATGTCTTTCTTATCGGGCACATCCGGAAATGAAACTAGTGAACCATCTAATAAAACTTTTGGAGAAGAAGAAAGCAGGAAAATTGACTTGGAAGGTTGGGACAACCCGAATTGGCATAATGATAAAGTACCCTAATAATTTCTCAAGGGATATTACTGGTCGGCTTGAAAACAATGAACAATATAAAACTTTTCTTTTATTTTTTCATCAAAACAATCTTGAAAAGTAAAAATTGTTTTAAATCTAAATATTCAAACATTGTTTATTTTTGACTTAGCAAATATTTGGCAATTTAATATTTTTCTAACTCATCCTTACTGAAAAGTTGCAGTCCAATCAGTAATATAATGAGAAGAATTACTCCATTTGTCCCTAGTACAAGTTAAAGGCGTTCTCCACCATTTTTCAATGTCCTTGTAATACCTCGGAGTTGCACTCTCATCATGCAGCAAAGAACAGAGTCGACAAAAGAATTTGGTATCGATCAAATCTCCAGTTCCTTTCCACTTGAAATATTCGTTGTATTCATCGTCGTTTTGGTCTAATCTGTGCAAGTAATTAGCTAAGTGTTCGGGCGTTTCGAAGTCTTCAGCATAAATGAACGAATTCGGTGGAGCAGCATGCTCGTAATCGACTTTCGGTGCTCCCATTACAACAGGAAGAACGTCGTTCCTGTAAAGATAAATAGATAGATAATAGACAAATAGATTGGGCAATGCATGTAGTTGTGATTTTATATCGTAGATACTAATATATTGATTGCGCCAAGGCAAAGCGGAAATGAAAAAAGTTACTCTATTTTTTTCCATAAAAACTCTCACTCTGCACTCTTCGTCAACGAAGCATAAAGGAAGTAATGTGTATAATTGATTTGTTTATAATTGTTGCTATGTTGACGTTTATGATAATCTAAATTTAAATATACCCAAAGAGTATATAATAAAAACACTGAGTAGTTCATGCTTTATAGCATCGTCGCATTAACGCACAAAACCGAACTAATTGACCAATATTCCCGAATGATTTCTCCGTCACGAAATTAATTCCTACCCACCAAAGAGCATTTCGGAAGAACTTTTCAGTAATGTAATATCTGCAGTTAGAATTCTCGAAGGCCAAGTAGAATTTATACTCTCTTTGAAGGAGCTTTGAACACGAATTTTTTTCGTCAAAGCTGTTGCATTGTAATTCCCCGCAAGCTCCAAATATATCAACCTAAAAATTTACAAATTCGTTAATAATTAAACATACTAGATTGATAAAATGCTTTAAATTTAATATCTGGTAAGAAAGGAAAAAAATTTCAACACCTCTATATACTTTGCAAGTTCTTTAGCATACTCTAATCTCTGATTCATTGCTCCACAATTGGATACGAACCACGCAACCTTTTTTTTCTTTCCATTGGCATAGTTCCTAGTATTTAGTTTGTTCATGGAAATGTTTTTATGTAGTGTAAATCTTTCATAGGGTGCCGTAAGCGTTGAGTCCCATCTGTAGGTGGCTGTCCAATTTATTAGACCGTTGAAAGTTGTAAGATCAGGAGTATGAAAAGGCGACTCTAGCATATACAGTATCCATATTTGATCAGGATTTCTGTCTTTAACAAAATCACCAGCATATGAGTCTTTAAAAAACACAGCATCTGCATCGCTCATTTTAATACTATCATCTGTCAAAACACAATTATCGACTGGACATTTATCAAACACAAATTTTTCTCGTCCAGATGGTAAATCGCCTAAACCATCAAACATATAGATTATTTTTTCTGAACTTCTAAATGGGTCATAACTATTTGGTACAAAGTGCATTTGTTCTAAAATTCGATCGTGGTAAGGGTCATCTGGATTTGAGTATACTTTTGAGGGATCATAAGAATGCTGATGAAACTGTAATACTAATTTTTCTGATTTTTTTGTCCATAAAATATCATAATGTTTTCTTGGCATCTCCAAGTCGTTTAGAGGAATATTTCCGATTAAAGCTATATAGCAAACATAACAGAATCCAATGAAAACTAAGCTGAGAATGAATCTCTTTTTATAAAATCTCATTCTGTTTAGTTTTCTTCAATATGAATGTTTTTTATGTGAAACCATAAACATTCAGTAATAATACCTGCAAAGGCCAGTTATCTTATTGTCGTTTCTTAGTTTATATCTTATTTGGAATATGCACAAAGATCCAAGCGAGCGCTGCCAGTCTACCTGTCAAATGTTTCACTATTAGCACTATATGAGCAAACTAGGCTTACATGTAAGGCCTACGCGATATATACACCAGAAAATATCTATATATTTACTAGTCTTTATCGTCTATATATAGATTGCGTTAGTCTTGGAATTTTCATATGTGAGATTACACTTGTACGAATGCTTTTATAACAACAGAAATTCAATAAAGATAATACATTGTTTTTTACAAAATTTAAACACATTTTGTTGTATACAAAGGTGCAATAAGAACGTCAGCTTGTTAAATTTGATTGATTTACTTTTTTTTCGGAAAATAGCACTTTTCATAAGAGGAAGTCGCTACGAACATGAGTTATAGCGTAAAATGAGACGTAACGTACATTCTAAATTCTACGTTGATGCTCATTCGGTTATTATTTTTTTTCCTTTTGTGCTTTTTTTAATACCCCGTTCTTATTTCCGTTAAAAGTGACGGCTCTTTCTCCAATTTCTGTCAATTTCTTTCATAAATTTTTTTTTTTTGCGGAAAACTGTTCTCTATTTCAATATTTGTATGCAAATATTAACAAAGAGAAAGAATTCTGCAGGTTTTTGTTAGCAAGTTTTTTCTTCAGCTTCCAGTTTATTGATCTATATTTCCCATTTTTCGATATTTGAGTGAAAAGATTTAATCCTATTATAATTATTATTTATATATATAAAAAAAAAATACCATTTTACACAATTTTTAAAAGAGCTATTATTGAAAGCTTATTATTATATCGTTTAGGCTGTGCTCTCTTACTCTCGCTTCGCTTATATACACTCTCACTCGACCTCTAGCTTTGAACTTATTATTCTATATTATTCTATATATGTTAACATTTATGATTTACCCACATGTATAGTGGTCCATTAGGAAAAATCATGTTCTCCAAATGTTTCCTTTAAGCAACATCATGCTCAATAGCACCTTCATGTCCCAAAAGAGAGTTTATTTCATATATACATATCCTCTTCAATAATCGATTTTCAGCTATATATTGATTTCGGATCGTTTATGCTGTTTAGTTTCTTCTAAAATTTTTCTCCTGATAAGAAGTAGTAATAGTAATAGTCAGCAGCAAGATGGAGAAAATGGAACGGAGGATCAATCAATCAATTTATTCTGTTTGTAGAAGAAAATGTAGAAAAATTACCACCTTAGTCACGCAGCGGTTTTTTGCTTTCTTTACGTTTCTATCTCAAAAGTTGTGAGCAAAGTAAGGTGTCACAATCCTTACAAATTAAGTCTACTCTTTCTCTTTTAGCAATCTCTCAGTTCTGCTTCATCAAAAATAGAACACAAACAATTCAGTTTTATATCCACGACTGCCGTAATCCTACATAATTTAAAATATCGGTCTCTTTATATTCTAGAAGGAAAAAAAGGGGGCGTTGAGGGTAAAACTATACTATTGCCATCTGTTATTAATACGAATAATATATAGGAAAAAAGTGAATAAATATTGTATGTATCAATCAATTAAATATTTTGTAACAAAGAAGTAACAGTAGCTGCGAATTATAATTACAAAACAAAAATACTTTAAGACTGATGCAGTAAACAAGAGGTTCTTTAGCGAACATTTAATTTCTATAGAAAGCCTCTTGTGGGAATGTTTTTTTTTCTTTTGGTTATTCATTAACCAATTTCAATATCTTCAAACTAATACGAAGCATAAAAGAAGAATACAGTATACATTCTTTCCTTTTTTAAGACATACGGCACACTATAAATGTTAATTAACTGTATAAACTTAAAAAAAAAACAAACTACCCGTAAATGTTATGAATATAGAAGTAACAGTAAATGGGGAAGTAAACATGAAAAAATAAGTAAATTTTAGCTGTCTATTTTCTTCACACTGTTCTCAGGATTGAATTCTTCCGGTTCAGCACCATTCCAACAGTTTTCTTTAAGAAATTTCGTCATTGTTTGATATAAATGCTTTGTTGTATGTGGACCGGATATCAAATGGTTTTTATCTGGATAAATCTGTTAAATGAAACAAGATATTGAAAACTTTCTAGTTGGAAATCAAAAAGTGACTAAATTCAATATTAATTGTGTATACTTGTGCATTGTAAGTTATTTCGGCATTGGTGAGAGCTTTCATGAATTTGGCAGTATGTATAAAATGAACATTATCTGATTTTTAAAGGATTAATTAGCATTAAAAAAGATTATCAGCTTAAAGTCTTACCATCAGCTGTCCCATGTATTATCAAAAATTTCTTTTCTTTAAAGTTTTTTGCTTTGGGAAGTGCACTGGCAATTGAATAAACATCTCTATTGTTCTTATATAAACCAAGATATCTCTCGGAGTAGGTTGTATCTAAATAAAGTTGTTTATTGTCTTTTTTATAGGCAAGAAGAAATTTCAGTCTAAAATTATCACCTACCGTAGTATCGCCAATCTATTACTGGAGCTACGGCAATACCACATTTGAAAATATCAGATTTCTCGTCTCCTAATGCATGGATTGTCACGAAACCGCCATAGGACTGTAAAAAAATGTCAGTTTTGTTCATTACGAAAGAGCCATCTGTTGGTCTCGAAAGAGTTTAATTTCGTAAACCTTTTTTTTTAAGTACTTATGCTAAATATTATGGTACTTACCCAACCCCAGATGGCTATTCTATCAGAGTCAATAAACGGATACTTTTTACAAAAAAATCTGAATTAAATTAGTGTAATTTTAATCATTGAGTAATTTAAATCTTATCATATATACTCTGTAACTGATATTTGATCCTGCACTTCTAAAGTACCCAACTTCTTGTAAAGACTTCTCGAATATTTCTGTCCTCTACCCGAAGCACCTCGACCATCAATTTCAATGTATATAGTATTCTCACTACTGCTGAGATAAGTTTCCCATCCGATTTGAAATCTTTCCTTTACCAATTGAGTATTTGGTCCACCATAGCTATAAGAGGTTAAAATTTCTATTCTTATTGATAATTATAGTCAAAACTCAAGTAAAATGATTATAAGCAAATTTCCTATGTTAAATAATAAATGGCAAGAGAACGAAATATTCGAAACTTACGTATAAACTAATAAAGGATATTTCGTAACGTGTTTCTTGTTAAGTTGCGGTGGTAGTAATACGGATGCATACACAGCTATAAAAGTTTTTTTATGAATTTAAAATGAAAGGAAATAACAGATATAAAAATTTTTACAATATGGTTCTTCTCCTTCTCTTTCTATTAGAATCTTGTGATATTCTTTCTTTGGCCAAGCTTTTGTTTGTACCATTGATTTTAATTGAGCGTTGTCTTGTAAGTTAATATCTTTATAATTATAAATAAAAATCGTATTTCTTATTTCTCATTTATATAATATTGAAAGCAAACAGATATATACTTCTATCATCAACCGTACTCTTAAGAGTATAGTATGGAATACCAGGACCAGCACATTTTTCTATATAATATAAACCGTTTCTCGAGAATTCAGCAGTATAATAATCGCACTCCTCTGATTTATTGCAGGTAATACACACTGGAGAGAAACCAGTACTAGTAACTTCGTCAAGTTTTACTTTAAATATATGCATTTTTCGCGGATCATCATTATTTCCCAAATAGAAACTATTTAAAATAATATTGAAAAAAAAAACATTAAAATCATTAGTGATGAAACAATTATGAAAAAATTACATTGACATTGATTCTTTATTGATGGCTAATATAGCTTTTTTATCCCATTTTTCAGTAGTAATAAAAGTTGGTATATTATCAACGAGATTGGTTGGCTGTAGAACGTAAAGAATTAGGTAATAACCTTTGAATAACGATCTATTTTATAATGTATTAAAAAAGATAATAAAAGAGAATAGAAATGAGTGTTTAATTCGGTTAAGCAGCATAGTATACTTTTTTTATATCGAATACAACAAGATTATTCCATGCTTCGTTATCGCTTTCTTTTTTCGAAATTATGGTCAAATAGCTCTTCTTATTTGGCAAGGGATATGCCTCAGACTAAAATTTAACCTAAAATTAATAAGAAACAATCATTTATTACTATGAAGATATCAAACCATAGTTAACCATCCTTTGACTGCTTTTTCGTGAAAGACAACAGTCGGTTTCGGAGAGTCAATAGAATAGACTGTATGAATAGCTTGATTTTGTAAGCGATTTAACCAAAACACCAAGATATTTGAGTCATCTAGCCATTTAGCGTTTGTCACATAATATTGTTGACTGTTTTTAGATAAATAGTTTTTAGCTTTCAAATAAAAATTGGATATTTGCTTACTTTCTAAATTCATCAGGAGGTTTAAATAACATCTGCGCTCCTCGATTGGATGTATCGACAACGCGAACTTCAACGATTGGATTGACAGAACTTCGATTTTCCATAGCCTGAATAGTTGAAAAGTATATAAAAACTTTATCTTTTCTAAATGGTTTTCTATAAACTAACCTTAGGATATCGAATATTAACTTGTCTTTCGCCAATATTTTCATCATATAGAGTATAGCTATAAAGAGAAACGTTGGAGTCATCAAATTTTAAATAGAGAATTTGTTTTCCATTCGGAGAAAACCAATGAGCTTTGGTTTTCAGTAATATTTCCTCTATTAAAAAAATTGATTTTCCCCCCTTTAGTGTTTATTAAAACATTATTATTCTTTTCCCAAACCTTCATAAAGCCAATCACAAATTCCATTAAAGATTTTATTCGGTTCTCCGCCAGATGTTAACTTGGAATAAGAAGATTCAGGACTTTCTTGATAATAGATATCGTTTTGGTATATAAAAGTCTGAAATTTATTCAGTTGTATTTTATTTAGAAAAGATAAATTGAAAAGATAGAGGAGAGTAGTATTTACTAATTTGTGTCCGTAGTCTGACCAATCAGCGTGTTGCAATTTATCTTTCCACGGTGTTTTGGAATCGGACGTCCGGGGAAAGTTTTTAATTTGCCGTCTAAACAATTCTCCACATTTGTAGAATTTTTAGTATTAGAATTTAAAAGAATAATCCTTACCTTCCTTCTACATCGTAGATAGAGTAAAACCCATCAAAGGAATGTCGAAATTTCTAGATACACATATATGAATTAGAAAAGATAGTATGCAGTACTAAATGACAACAACCTGTGTTATGTTTCTTATCAATAAAATATATTTACAATCAGGAGAAACTTTATAGGCAGAAACGTTTAAGAAATGCTAAAGAGTGAATAAATAGCAAGATCTTTGGTCAGTTTTTTGGTTAGAATATATCTTTTTTCATACAAACAAAAGTTGCGTTGTCCATAAGTACTCGAGATTTATTATTTTCGGCATCATGTATCATTATTTCGTTTTCTCTAGTTGTAAAGGAGTATACACTCCCATCTTAAAAAGAAACATAAAGTTAGACTTTTAGAATTTTTAAAGAAAAACTGGTACTTTTGTAAATAGTTAAATAGATTAGGAATTGTCAAGGGTAATTACTTATTTCTGTTTTTAACTCAATAAACCATTGGTTATTATCAGTTTTTATTCTAAAATCCTAATTGTTCTTATTATCGAAGGAATACTTACTACCTATCCATTGTACATCATAAGTTTCAACAGGTAGACGATTATTGATAAAGTCGTCGAAAGTAAAAGGTGCTCCCTGTTTTTCATTTCTAGTATCTATTTAAAAACAATGAAAACCATTTTACAGTTAAGATAGAGGATTATAATAACGTAAAGAAAGTTATCCTTACTCGGAGTGACTAAGATTACGGCAATGACAATCAAAGAACTCACAACAAGGATAACAAGTAGAGCAATTAAAATTCCTCGCCAATTTCTTTGCGTTGGGCTATTTCCAACCAATTCCTGTTGGTAAAAGTTGGATAAAAGTCAAAAATGATCAAAATGATACGACATTGAAATAAAATAATAAATAGAAAATAGTTTTTCCCCCCAGCAAACAATTTCATAAAATCTAAGATAAAAGATGTCTATATTAAATGGTTTAAAGAGAATGCTACTGCAAAGTTTTGATTTAACCTTATCCTGACCGGTATCTAAACTCGACGTTTCAGCTCCCATCTCAAAAGACTGACAAAAAGAGTAAATTTCAACAAACTATTCCGCTTTATATAGAAGCCCGCAGCGTAATCAACTAGATTGCTTAATAATTTCACTTTCTTCAATAATTTAACAATGTGAATTGTTTTTCTCATTTTCTTTCAAATTTTGTGTTAAAAAAGGGAGGCAAAGATTGAAATTTAACTAAATCAAAATTTAATTTCCCTTACTAAAACATAATTAAATAAGGGTGGAGCTTGCTTAATTGGTGATTAGTTGGAATTTGGCTTTTGTGTCCTAAGGTCAAGATTATTTAGTACAATAACAAGTCAATCAATCATTAAATGCTACAGTAATAGATTTATTCAATTACGTCAGATTATGAGAAGGAAAAATTACTTTTAATATCCAATTAGAATGAAACTTAAAATGAGGTATGTAGGGCCATCTACTGTACAAAAATGGATATTAAAAAAAAAATCAAGTAAACAGCTTACATGTAAACTGTATATGTCTGCAGGAATCTAAATATCTGAACGTTTTATACAAAACACTATACAATAATTTATCTATGATTCAATTGAAATTAAAATGTATTTCTTTTGTTGTTATTATATAAAGAATACGACATATATTTTATTGAATAGGGAAATTCATATCAATTTAATTGATGTAATTGATGTTGATTAATGGGGATATTCGCGAAATAGATAATTAACGAAGTTATGGAAAGTTGATAAATAATTATTGACTGCACCTTACTTTTACCTTAAAATACATTGCGATAGCGTTTTCTGCTTGTACAGAGGGGATATTTAAAAGAGCGCGTTAGTCGTGTTTGTATTGTTCACACCAATGTAAATGTACACTATTTCTTGATAACCTATTAAAAGTATCTCTATTCAAAAGATAGAAAACAAGAAAAACAAAACAATACAGAGGAATTTAGCATATATTGATATTGATCACAGGAATGATGCGGCTGAATAATTAGCAAACATAAATACTAAATGGAAAAAAAAAGAAAGTAAGCTCCATAACACCGCAAAATAAAAACTCTAAGAAAACATAAATATGCATATGAGCAATGTCAGTTTTTAATATCAAATCTATGTATAATAAACAAGTATTTTAGACAATGTTATTTTCTTTTTTTTTCTTGTTGTTATTTTACATTACGATTCTGACTATGCTGTAAGCTATAGAAATACAATTCTGTATAACAAAAGCTATATTGTTTAGTTAGAATTGTAAAAATCGAAAACGAGAAGAAACTACAAATTTCATAAAGGTTATACGAATACTTCAAATCATTTTTTTGTTGTTGTTGTTGCCTTATGTTATCTAAATATAGAACTTTTTAGATATATATTCTATCGTTTTCTACGTCAATTAATTTTAATGAAATATTTTACACTAATTCTCATTTTAAAATAGATAAATAGATATAAATTATAATGCATAATACATTGCGAATACCATCTGTCAATTTTTACACATTTCATGGAGTCATCATTAAAAAAATAGCGTTTTTTTATATCAATTTTTTCAATTTATTTCCATTAGATATACTTGCAAAAAATTTACAAAATGATTAAGAAAAGTCTTCAGGTGTGGAATTTTTATCTAATTTTATTTTTTTACTCCTTAAATTCGTTACTTTCGTTGATGTGTTATGCATTGGAGGTAACATTTTCCACTTTTTCCCTCTCCTCCTCCTCCTACATTCTTAATAAAGTCGGTTATAAAATCAAATAATATTTTCCTTAAAGAGAAATATATTCTTTATTTATATGTATTTATTTATTATTTTTCCTTTTTGCTTATGCTCAATTCGAAGATACATTAAACCTTTGTAAATTTACTACATAATACTTTATATTGAGTTTTTTTAGAACACAAAATCGACCGTGAACAAAAACGATATATAAAAAAATAAAAAAGAGAATTCTATAAAGTGCAATATAAATTTTTATTTAATATTGAACTGATAAATAAAAATTATTAGTTCTTTCTTTATATATATAATAGGATATAAAACTTTTCATCTGTTTGGTGCAATAAAAAAGTGCATACAAAGGATAAACGGGAATATATTGTAGTTGGGTTAGAGGAAAAATTTACGTACCTCGGTCTATCATAGTTATTTTGTAGAGCAAGAGGAAAGAAAGAGTAAATGTTAATTTGTTTATTTATTCATTCTTTTTTACACATTTATGATATTGAAAGTGAAAATACAATTACGTAGTATTTATAAATGAACGAGAAAACGAAACATCCAAAATGTTTTATAAATGTAGAAAAATAACAATAATACTAATAACAACTACCGTCAAATTGTTAATTTGTTTATAGTTTTGCCCTGAGGCATTTCCCCTAGATGAAGATTTGCTGACACTTTTAATATGAGTAGTTGAAGTTCCAGCGCTATAATTCATACTTTTTACCTTCTTAGTTTCGATAATATCAGTAACGCAAAAGAATGTGCTCTGAGTATAATTCTAATCCGTGTGGGGAAAAATGTTCTTGCAACAGCGACTTGCTGTAAAGATCTGCAACAATTTTGTCGGAATTCTAGGCCTAAATGTATTTATTATTCGGAACTGGTTTGCCGCGTCCTCGCCTTGTGAGACTGCGAATTCAACTATTGTAGGGATATGTCCTTATTAATTTGAATTATCTTACTACTCAAAAAATGAAAGCTTTATTCCTGAAAAATATGAACAGTAAAGACTGCCGCAAAGGATCTATGAACATGTCTAGAAAGAGAGAAACGATGATGTGCTAAAAAGATTTAGTCTTTCCTTTATGCGAAGAATCTAATATCTCACGAGGTTTGTATATAAAGAAAAACGGTAATTTGAAATGTATGAATTTTAGATCTTATTATCCGGTCCCATTAAAAGCAGGGTCCAACCAACGAACAGAAAATAAAAATCTTTTTAAGAATATCAATCGCCTTCCCCCTCCAACTTAAAGAAAATACACTACGAAAAAAAACAGTACACAAAACGAAAGTCAACCTTATTGACGAGCAAAAGCGTTTGAAGAGAAGAACAAAGAACAGTTGATCGCGTACGATTTTCGAAATGAAACAGAATGAAAATTCATGAGGGAGTTAAAAGTTATGAGATAAGCAAGAAAATATGCATGCAGTCAAAGTCCACAGGGGACATTGCGATCCAGAAAAGCATCATCCATAGCAAAATTTTCGAAGAGTAACAAAACAAACTTTGTTGTCTAATGGAAAATGTAAAAAAAAATCTTTCAATAATGAGTTCACCCCTTAATATAAATTATGAATAATTAGTACTTTTTCCTATTTTTAAGAAAAGACTAAAGTTAAGTTTATACTTTAAATAATTGATGTACCCTATACTCATCAAAGCATTGTAAGAATATAAATAAGCCCAATTTTAAAATATCTCCTTCAATAAAATAAAGTGGTGCCATCTAGCAGTTTGGATTTTAAACGTCAGTAATTCAAAATATTGTTTTCCGCCTACTTCACGTGGCAAACTTCAACTAAATACAATAACTAAATGAATCATTTAATATTCGTCTACATATTGATCTTAATGTCACTGATAAAACAGGAAAGAATTCAATTTACAAAGAATTGTTTAATGCTGTATACAAAAAAAGAAATAAAGGCCATACTCTCCCATTATTTTATCATTTCACTATAATTAACCGCATTTTAACCCTTATGATATCTTCAAAGCTTATAATACTTTATTGAAAATACCATTGACGTTTCTCTTGTATTTTACTCTTGTGGAAATGATATTATCAAAATTTCTTATCTTCAGACGAATAAATATTAATTTCTCATGTTAAGTGTAATCATTTAACAACAAGAGCAACTTAATAGGAAACGCTTTAGTTGAGTGAATTGTCAAAAGTTGTAGGAAAACAAAGCTTAAAATAGGTTAGAAATTAATCTACAAAAAACTCAATTACGCTCTTTAACGCAAATTGTCCCAACCCAGACATTGCAGGGTTTGCTAATACGATAAATAACAGAGAGCTTTTGCTTTGCCGTATAAAATTTCTTGGACAACCGAATTTGCTGCAGATGCGGTAAGAAGGATTATTTGAAAACCATCGCTACTTGGAGATCAACGGATTTGAACTCACTTAGCATATTCATAAAAGCTCTGATTTATTAAGAATTCCCGCATTCTTGGAGAAAGATAATGTTTGGGAAATTCATGGCTAACTACATCCACAAATTCTTTATCTGCTAATGCAACCCATCTTATGCATCATTGATTATCGAGTAACAAAATATCCTTCGGGGAATTAGGCTGCAAATATGCTAATTATTGGAAAGAAGATGAGAAGGAGCGAAGAGGAAGTATTTTAAACTTTCGTTTGAAGATAGCATTCTCCGAGTTATTTATGTATTGAAAGACTCTTAATGACTTGAAAGTGATAATATTCAATTACGTCCTACAAGCAATTTTCCAAATCAAAAATATATTATAATTCCTTTTAAAGGTATTAAAAATGAAATAAATATAAAGTTGAGTTCATAAATATGCACTACTCCGTACGTTTATTGAAAAGAACAAGTATAATTTATTTCTTCTTTATCCATAAATTGCCATTTAGATATTCTTCAAGCTTTGCTTAATACTCTATGCTACTTTTAGCATATTATCCAAATTTATCTATCAAATGTGTATAGCATATTACGATATATTAATATATATATATATATATATATTAGTATATATATATACTAATATAAATTATATGTACTTTATATACTAATATACATTCTGTATACTAAATATACATAAAACACATTATAATGGAATTATTGATAATAGTTTTATAATTTTTCCTATATTTTAACAACAGCTGATAATTTATAACCTATAAATGCCAGGTCAGTTTTAGCTAATCAATTTTGAAATAAGTGAAAGCAAAGTTTTTAAATGGAGAGAAATATTAAATATATATAGGAAAGTTTTATAAAGCTATACCTACTTTACCCGAAGTTCTAATGCTCGTTGTTCCAGCGTCAGCGCTTCTGTACATTGCTTTTCCCTTATCCTTAGTTTAATAACAGTAACGTTTTCAAAAATAAAATTTAACAGCAGCAGCAGAACGCGCATGAATACTGAATAAATCCATTGTACACATCATTAATGTAAATATAGCCTCTCTGAAAACAGCAATGCGCATGCGGAGTGTTTTCTAGTTGTTGTCAATCGGCAAACTATTGACTGTAAGAATCACTAAGCGGCGCTTCCCTACGTAACCGTAAAATAAATAATTTTGTATGCGATTTTGATAGATGTATTTTATTAAAACATATATAAATGGTGAATAAATTGACATTTGCGACTTTTCAATCCAAACTAAACTATCCTATCTAGTCTATTTCTTTCTGCAGCTGAAAACCTTGGAAAATTCTCATATTCTACTCATTTGTCTCTTAGCTTAGGCTTAAAGAAATTCGATATTGGAGTAGAAATTACCGAAAATCATTAAATTTTATACTAAATAATTCAATGACAAATAAACTCTTTCACTCTTATATATTTCAACACGTAATTTTACTACAACTTTGCTTAATGATAAATTATTTGAGACAATTGGCATGTGGTAAATAGATTTTACAATTCATATCGTTTTCTCCTAATCCTCTCAACTGTTGAGTTCCTTTACGTTTGTTACTAAAATATTGTGGTCCTAAACTCCACTTACTATCCGCTTAATTACACTTATATATCTGTTTCTTAGCTTTAAGATTCTTTTCTCTTAGTTAATGCCACTTTCACTTTAACACCAAATTATTTTCTCTCTTAGCTCTCTTTTTCTCACTCTATTACTTCTTCACTAAATCTTTTATCAACTATTCTAAAATACAGTTAGATGCAGTATGTATACTAATATATATATATATGTATATTTGCATGCATTAGCTAAGTATACATAGAGCAGGCTAATTCTGGAGAATTTACATTCCCCTTAAGGCCTCCCCACCAGTTCACAGATATGCATTACTCTACTGTAGAATAGTCGTAAACTAAATAGCCTGAAAGTCATTGGATTTACGACTTTGTTACTGAAAAATCTCCCCCAACAGATAATATAATCGCAAAATAAGTGTTATTAAAATATGACGTTAAAAATTTATTCCTTTCGATATACTGCTTACAAAGACTAAACAACAGGACTTTAAAAAACTAAAAATTCGAGCAAGCTCTTATGTCAATTACGCCATCTATCGACCAAATAAAAAACCAATAAGTTAATTATATTCGTTTCTTCCAAATATACAAAATTATATTGTAGATTTCTATGAAATATGGACTTGACTATTAAGTAAATGCTATTGATTTTGACTTTTCTAAATCACTAAAAAGTTATTATATCCAATTCAACTACTGTTGAAAAATGAATAAAAAAAATGCGACCAGGGAAAGGAACGGTTAGAAAGGGAAGCGTTCATTATTTTTGTCAGACCTAAAAAGTAACATAGCAAACGACCGTTGAGGACAAATCGGTGAATAGCAGAAATTCGGGGATGGAACGAGGGGCATTGATCAAACCATAGTCTATTAAAGCAGCCTTAACAGCCTTAATCTCTAATGTACATTGGGAACACTCTTTTTTTTCAATGAAGTAAAAACCAAGGTTTTGAATGTTTCTATAATGCTTGTTAACATTCATTTTAGAGAGAGTTACTTTCTAGTTTTTATATAAAAAAAATGAAAAGGCCTATTACTACAAACTCCTAGGAAATTTATAAAGTTAGATAACTTATTTAGGACGCTGTTCCTAGTTCATTGATCTAAAAAGTCGTGAAAATTATTAATTTTAACACTTACATTGTCACTATCTCTCCTATTAGCATCAACCTGTCATTAAATGTGTTTCACAAAAAGATAAGAGAAAGATAATTTTTGAAAAAAACCTGATCATCCGCATTTAAGTCTTTCTTTGAAAGCCTAGTCAATTTGCCTTGTCTATATGCGACCACTTGCACGACTTCATCTTTAGTTGGTCGCCATTTATCCATAGATAAGTGCGCATTCATTTCTTAAGTGAAGAATGGAATAAATAATAATTTTTCCCCTTCTTCAGACCGACAAATGTTGACTTAACAGAAAAGAGCGGCGCCGTGTGAGCTGGTGTAAGAGTAACTGATAAAAGTGAACTCTACTGGAGATTGGGTGAGTTCTGGCTTTTGGAAAAATTGTTTACTTTTGCATTCTTTTACACACAATTACGCAGACTGTTAAACGTTCGGAGCAGATGGGTCACGCTCTCGATTATAGGTTCTTATATAAATACATTATATATTTAAGGTTATTATATTTGAGATGGCTCTTATCATACATAAACTCTTAAAAGCATTTTTTTTCAGTTATAAAAGCCAAAGACAATTGCACGTAGACAGAGGAGTGATAAAGAATTGCATTTACAGCATTATTAAGGAGCTTCTATTTAATCAGTGTCCGTATAAAGACATGGTTAAATAATGATAAAAATGCTATCGTATTTAGATTTACTTTTCATTAGCTCATCAATCAAATTTCCCTCCTCCTTTCAAAACTATGTTGGCGGAGGGGAGGTTAGTATGAAAAAAAAACAACTATTTTCTACTGTTGAATTAGATTCAGAAGAAAATCTTAATTAACAGTTTCTATTTAGAATTTTATCTACTCCTATTACATTCATAAATATTATTATTTGATGTTTATCATTCTACTAAATATTTTTACCTAATTTATCACTACTATAAATACAGTATTCAGTAATTCTGTTTGATGCTTATAAAACATTTCTATAAAAAAGATATGATAATGTATACGATCGAAAATGAGATAAGCAAACCTTTTTCCACGACTTATCGACGCTAACGTCGTAAGTTTCGCCCCAGTATGACATGTTTTTTATCCAAAGTAAATGTCCTAATTCCCAAATCAATTACATGCCAATATAGTTAAGTCAACGAAATTCCGAAATAGGAGAACTCTCTAATGTTCAACAGCAGAAAAAGAATTACAATGGAATTCTATTGCTGGCGGAGAGATCAATAGAAAGCAAAATGAGGTTTTACACAATGTAAATGTTAAGTCCTATTGTTTCAAGCGACGTTCATGCTCTGTCTAAATTATTAATACATTGTTATGTAAATTTTTATTGAATTTTTCGTTTTGCTCTTTGTAATCTAAACCCACACACTGTATTTAATGCGGACAGTATCTTTATCCAATTCGTTACTTTTGTTTAACATCATAATACCTATCGTTATTCCAAACATTTTTTTTATCTTTTTAAGAAAACTATTGCTTTTAATATGAAAAGTATTTACTAGGTCAAGTTGGTTTTACAAGTTTTATTTAATTAAATTAAGCGACAATTTTTTCTTCTAGTTTTTCTTGTTTTAAAAACCAAATAACGTTTTCTTAAACGGTTTAAATGCAATTCAAAAGCTAAATAGTCAATGTCTTCATGGCAATTCAAAATAAGTACTTTCAACGGAAACCAAAGAAATCGCGACGTAAACTCTAATAGACTAAACCAATCAGCTTAAAAGTTTCCTATCCAATCTTATCAACTCGATATCTTGATGAAAGGGTATTGGTAAAGATAGAAAAATTTAAAGCCGACTAGTGACATCTATTTCATTTAAATTTTCCATTCACAATTCAGTTTCCTTCCCGTCTTCAAGTTGGGCTTTATCCGCATCGGACGCATCACTAATTTTAGTTACTCTTCTCAAACTTAGTTCTCGAAAAGGTGCACCTTTTATATCAGTCTTACGACCTTTCGACTTAGGAAATTTAAATTCTAGAACTATTTCATGACTTGTTACTTCTTCCTTGACTACAGTTCCATCTTGCGAAATATTCTGTTTACTTATTGTTTTAGGTGTCGAAGAATATCTTAGAGCTTTTAATGCTGGGTTATTCGAGTTTACACCCTGCTTCTGCATAACTTTCCCAAGAAGAGTGTCAATATCGGTTTTTATCATATCTGCTTTTGACTGAATTGTTGTTTGCTCATACAGATCGCTACTTTCGGAAACTGGCTGAATCTTAGAAGCTTTGCATTGAACATGTATTTTCTGATTAGCTAATGGTTTTTCTTCAATTTCTTGTTGCAGTAGGGCTTTCAAGTAGGGTTGTGATACGGTGTGATGAGAATAAATTGGCTGTCCACGAATGCACTCAACTAGTTTTTCCTCCAGTAACACAACCTTTTCTGCTTTGTCTAGAGATTCATCGTTTTTCCTGCTTAAATTTAACAGTATAAAAATATTGCTTTGATAAAATACAGTAGGTAGGTTTTGTCAGGTCAAGTGTAACTCACCTTAGTGGTTCCGTGACTAGAGAATCTGCTGTCTGGTTTAATTTATAATTTTCTCCTTTCTTCAATACTTTCTCTCGTAGTTTTTGCTTTCTATCGCTATCCTTTTCAGGAGTGTTTTTAAAGAACTCTTCAACAGCCTCTCCTGATAGCAATTGACTGTCTTGAGAATTCGAGCTAATATCACTTAGAGATGATAAGCCTTCAATCTCTTCTGTTAATTTTTCAAAGGCTTGATTCAACAATTTCTCTTCTTGTTTATCTTTTTTTTCTCTTGTAAAAGTGTCACTAGGTTTTGATCCATGTCTCTTTTCTAAAAGGTACATCTTTCTATCGAAACCTGCTTCTATTACATCGAAAGTTTTATCATCCTTTACATTCTCAAGAACTTCATCACATATTATTTCAGGACTAGGCTCTTTATGTACATCTGCTCGTACGTTCATTACTGGTGTACTATTGATAGGTCCGACGTATGTTCTGTAGGTGAAGCCCCTTCTTTCAATTGGTTTATCCATCATCTCACTATCTCTACCGTAGTCTTTATCGTCTTCTAAATCATTTAGTATGGATTCTGCTTGTTCTAAAATATCATCTAGATTCTTCATATCATATTCGTATGTTACTTTATCTTTAACGGCAACATCCAAAGGGGAAATGTAGCCGTTGTAATCTTCATCGCAATCATTCAATTTCTGAAAAGAGACTCGAATATGGACAGGGGGTTGGCTAAGGCGATTATCTAGTTGAGACACATCTCGAGGTAAGCTCTGATATCGTTCTTTGAAGGCAGTATGATTTCCTCTTGGAAAATGATAATTACCATTAACATTAGTATCAGAATTTGACAGCCTTGGTTCAGACACTTGCAAACCTCGACTGAACTCACTATTAGAGCTCTCACAAACATCAAAATGCACACTTTTTGAAGGCTTGGGCCCTTCAGATTTAAGTAGTTTTGGATTTGTTTCAACGGAGTAGGCCCTCTCTCGATAAGAATTCGAGTAATTTCCATTTACATTGGACGCGTTCAAATGATTTGTGGAATTTCGAGAAGAGGAGTTATTGTTGTTCTTATTTCTAGCATGCTCAGTGAATACTCTTGTTTGATCTCTAAATGAACTTGAATAGCTCTTAGATCTCGGGATTCCAAAAGAATTTTTTTCCACTGACAACTCACTGGCTTCCTTTAAAATTTTCAAAGCTTCGTCTAAGTCACAAGGATCACTTTTTTGAGCTTTTCTAAAGTTGGTTGTTGTTATCTGTACATCTACTGGTTGATAAAGTTGACCTGTTTTGCTGTCTTCTCGTAAATCTCCACGATGAGCATGAATCTTATTGGATTTAACATTGATAGAAACATCTTTTGGCCACTTTTGACGATAGATGGCATTATCGGCACTAAAGGCATCAGCTGATTCTCTACCACAATACCTATACAAAAAAAATTCAATTTAAAGCTATCATACACTATACAAAATATTTTATGACATACATTAGAAAACTTTTTAATTTGTTTACTAAAGAAAATGAATCGATTCAAATGACATTTAATGTGTTCTGTACAAATTTTTTATACAATCTTTGAAAAGTTAATAGCCTCGTTGTAATTAGGCACGTAAGAAGTGAAAATCTATGATATATCGTTAAAATCTGGGCTAAATAAATTTGATTGGCATTCTTTTCATTTGAACTGTGAATCATCGACCATGTTTTTTCTATAAGCCCGCCCGCGTAGAAAAAAGTTTGTAGAGCAGACAGGAAACTCTTGTAGTCTATCCATAAATTAAGTTAAGCAGATATATCCATGTGAGTGGTGCCATCTGCTGTTAAGTATTCAATGCACTTTTGGGTATCCGCCAATTGTGCTGTTTTTAAGAGTCGATCTTTTTGGTATAATAAAAAGTAATAGCAAGCAATGATAACCTATTATGACAGTTTTAGGAAATATTAATTGTAGATTATTGACAATAAAGTTGATTAGTAGAGGTCTCGAAATTACGAACTCCGTTAAAGGATTATAAGGCCTCACAGCAGAATAAATCCACTTAAAGCGATAAATTATATAGTCGCCTTAAAGGAGCTAAGATATTAGTGTAATACTTTCTGAGTGCTCTAAGCGACGATAATGTTTAATCACGTGACGTTTTTCTCGTGTTCCACCAGACGGAAGTCACGTGGAATGTTGAGTTCATGTTTATCATCTGCTAGTATGCGTACAGAGTAGATAGGAGTTTGTTTACTAAAAATTCTAATATAAAGAAATAAAAAGAATACAGGAATTTATTACCGAAACAATGTTATAACTATTTTATGCCTAGGAATTCGATTTAAAAAAAAGAGCTTTTAAAAAATTGACTCGCTATAAAATATTGAACAGACGGGGAATAATTCAAGAGATTTAACGCAACAACTCTGTGTGTTGTCCCCAACAATAGCTCAATTAAATTACCTATTACATATTCTTGAACGACTGGGCGTATTTTTCTTTTCAAAGAAAGAAAATGTGTAACTTTGATTGATACCAGTGAAAGTTGCAAAAGAACTTACTGAGCTACTGGTAGAATCCTCTGATTTCGTCGGCTATGAAATTGGGGAGCATTATCAGCTGCTATCACTCTATTTTTTTCTTCAACGTCGATGTTAATCTTATCCCCCTCATTTACCGGTTTCGAAATATTCTGAGCACAGGATGTACAGTAAAAGCCATTTGAATAGGCGTCTTTTACGTTTCCGGTTGAATGTTGTCTCGCAAGCGAACTCCTTGGAACACTAAAGCGGCTATGTTTCAGGTAAAGCTTTTCACTTCCATTGTCTATCTCGTTCTTAATTTCGAATTCAGTTTGACCGTTTAATGCCATTCCGTTCCCTGAAAAAGAAAGAAAAACTGAAAGTTAAGCCGATTCCGTCAGCTAAAAAAAAAGAAGTCTAATAGTTTTTCTTAATAGCTACAGAAGTAGATCAGTTGCGGTTTTTAGATAAACACGACAAAAATTGTTGTATAGAGTTTCAATTTCAACAAAATAGACTTTGCAATGACAATTAACTAGAAAGTAAAATATGTTAAGTAAAACTAGTAGTTGAATACAACATCTGCTACTTGTCATAGGTGCTTTATGTGATAAGTTAGACGTTAGGGTGACGCTTAATTATTTTGTCTGCAATAGATTCTCACAGATAACAAAATAAACAGAATGTAATAAATTTTATTAAAGTGATAGATAAATAAACGAGCAGGCGTTACATGGAAATGATAATTTATGATATTATCCAAAAATATTAAAAGAACACTAGAAAAACATCTAGTATTTGTATTTTTGCAGTAGGCTCAAGATATAATTTATCTAATCTAGACCAAGAACAGGTAAATCCCATTTAATAATGCATGGTAAGTTCGCTAAAGCTGTTTATTCCACAACCAAACGTTTCTTGCAGGTTCTCATATTGTTATTTATATACAATACCTGTAATTTTCGAATTTTAACCAAAAATATATTCTTACCGTTAGCTAACATTCTGTAATCCTTATCAATATGGAATAATTACTATTCATAGTTTTTCAACAAAACATCGATTTACGTTTTTATCTTATCTGAAATTTCTATGAGCCTAGTATCGTACAATTATAGTTTTCTTTTTTACAACTCGTGCAGCACACAAAAAAAACGTGCTTCCAGTTTGCGCGCAATGTTTATTGTTTCTGACAGTAGGTGGCGTTTTGAAGGAAAACATCGCTTGACCTAGATTCTTCATAACCGATCAATTGGACAACCATACAAACTATGGTTAATTATTGGTAAACAACTATAGCTATAATAGTATGCAATAGGCGATCAATCTTACATCTCTCGCTTCCTCTTTTCTCAATGATAGATCGGGTGCTGCAGACTTAATTGTATTTTCATATAGGAACATCGAATTTACTCAAGAAACCTAATATTTTAATCATTTAACACAGCCGAGCGTAGTTCAAGAAGTCGCAATATCATTTCAAGCATACTCCGAATTTAATCAAATATCTTATTGAAGAGGAAAGGGGGTTAAAACCTAAGAGCAGGTTTCCACTAAGGCCTATAGGCAATACAGGGGAAACCTGAAGGGCATATATTAAGGATAAGCAAAACATCTTACAAATTAAGATAGCGCTCATACGTCATTTCAACGAGTCAACTATTTTTTTGCGTTGTTTTTATTAAAATATGTTGAAACGAATTGTTTACAAAGGTGTTCGATTTGCTGCCATAGAGTTTTGGTTTGCAAAGATATCAATTACAAAATAAAGAAGATGTATATATCCTGAACGATTGAAGAAATAGTAACAAATAAGGTCTAATCAGCAGAATAAAACCAAACGTTGATAACATCAAAGAGAATAGTTTTTTTTTTCAATAAAATGCTATAAAATTGTTTACACTATGCTCACAAATGGACTCTTGCACCATTAGCGACAGTAAACGCTAAGTCTGCCTCTAATCTCCCTGCATTAATTTTCAGTATGCTAATTAGACGTGAGGGGGCACGTGCAGAGATTTAATTAAAAGACGAATGTCGTGCTTGAATGCACGCGTGCTAAATGTCAAGAATAGTTATTATGATATTATTAGCCCATCTATTTGAGGTACAAACCAAACAAAAAAACAATTGTGGAAAGTAAGAATGCTATGTTCTATAAAGCAGTATAACATACAGCGTATAGAACGAATATATAGAATGCTGAAGAAGCGAAAACAAGATTGTCTATAATTTCGTTTAAGGCAGAAAAGTTAGGAGTATATTTGTTCCACATTTTCTACTTCTGGACAACTTTTGGTATCTATATTCGATTAAGCGTGCGTACAATCAATTCTAAGAGCTATTGAGCACGAAAATAAAAAAATGAATAAGAGATAATAAGGACAGAATCTCCCTGGAGAATCTAAGCAGTTTGTAGGAAGTGATGACAGCCTTTGGATTGATGTTCTCCCTAAAATCTACACCTATAATTCACGATTTCACAAAAGTAACCGCCCATAATCAAATACTTAGAGGAAAAAAGGGAAATTCTATAACTTGTTTTATTGCTTAACTGAAGCAAATAAAAGCTTCACCTTCGATTTATCCCATCATTCAAACGTATTCTGTCGTCAATTGATTCGAATGTACCGACCGACCGGGAAAAAAACTATAAGTAAACATCAATAAAAGACGCACTGAGCGTTACCAAAGTGCACGTAAAATTCATTACAATAAACGTCCTGCCCGTCGCTCAATTTTTATCCAATATTTGACCTAAGCCTTATGCAAGCGTATTTCTCTTTTTAGTTATCGATCGATCTCGCATGTGTATGTATTACGCGGGCGCCTGATAGACGGACGTTGACCTATTTTAAAAAAAATTTTGTTGAAATTTTTAGAGGACCTAGTATTATATGTTGTATATTTTTTATATGCTTTAAAAGCCATCGTTCATGGTGTGTAGTACGTGCAGTGAATACGAGATTCTCAAATAATATGTTTGTTTAGATACTAAATGCTATTTGGTATAAAAATATTGTATATTAGGAGTTATTAAAACCTTGACTGTCCAGAGTGAGATCCTATCAAACCATTTTCTTTGAAACTGTCAATGAAGTTTTTTTTTAACAAATCACCTGATCACAATAAACTAGACCAATGCATGTATATTTTTTATGAAACTGTTCTCACACAGTAAACGATAAATCACCTAATGTAAATGTACTTTATAAAACGTGTATGGAATACAAAAACCCAGTTTATACAAGGGCAACTATCTAGTTTATAAACAAAAATACTTACTGGCCAGCGTCCGAATGTGTTTAATCCAATATGTCTTTTCTTCTCGGCATCGCTTTTCGAAATTATGCTGGACGGATGAATGAATTATTCATTTTTTTCGTAAATAATAATTGACTGACGCATATAAAAAGAGTTTATATTTTTTATAGGATTACGTAATCAATACTCACTGTCAAGGCGAAATAAAGAGAAAATATTCCAGCACGAAATGGGCAGCCAACAGAATTTGTATTTATTTTATAGTTTATGCCTTAAGGCGGGAAAATATCTGTGAAAAAAAGAATCTATTGACCTTTTATCTCGAGAGGGAAAAATTGGCGTTCGAATCCGTCTCGATCAAAGCCCGCTGCCGAATGACGTTAGTTGAATACAGCCACCTAGTGTATATTTGTTCTTTTGGTCGGCCTTGGCTTATCGCCCAGTTATTTATAAATACATGAACACGTTTAACTACATCTAAGTATAAATTTACCTTTAAGGCATAATATGCCCCTTCGACACAAACATATACATTAATAAACCTTGATGCTATCGCTTCATATATGCCCAATGAATATAAACAAGAGCATAAGTAATATATACATAGACTATATAGACTATATATATTCTGTATATGCCGTTTCTTATTCTGTATTATATTCCATGCTACGTTAGTGCGCAATGTGGTGATAAATCAGTTAAATATTATGCTATGCAAGTGGAACTATGACTTGTATACAATTGCGCAGAATCCTCATCTTCATACAATAAAACCTTAATATCGATTGGCTTTAGAAACAACCAACCTGCTTCTTTAGGCCTATCAGTCCATCATAAGAAAATAGGCTTACAAAAATAAAACGCAAAAGAAAATTTTTTCGTAACGTTTTCTTAAGCTTATATAAAGGCTAGCAATGATGAGATCCCTCGAGGATTTACCAAAGGAGACGTTATTCAACACAGGAAATAGGATTCGGAATATGAGAGATAGACTGAGAGAACACGAAAATATCTTGGAAGAAATTAGGAGCATTTTTCCCGAGGAAAGTGAGTTTGATGCTGTTTGTTTTTTGTGTATTTTTTTCTCAAAGATCTGTAGAGTTTTTGTTCGAACAGCTGAAAAATACAAGAGCCATCTGGCGGAAGATAAACAACAAGCACAAAAATTAAAAGGAAAAAGGGTAAGTAATAAACCTAATGTCTCCAAAATACAAGTCATACAGATATCATAACGAACGGTTATAAAGTTGTAACTTCGGAAGATATACCCATATAAAAACAGGAGTAACGTTACTAATGATAGGAAAACGTTTCGTAATTTTTATCAAAAAGATTATCTATGTGATTATATGTCTCGTGTGACACTTGCAAATAGTATAACGCCTAATGCATTCTTACTCGTTGGAACTAAACCACCAGTTGGAGATAACTTACTCTGGCTGTCTCATTTCCAGATAAGTTATAGAAAGGGGAAAATTGGTGAGATTGGTATCGAGCAGGAGATTAACAATAAAATCGCACAACTACTCGAAAGATCAGCCGACACGAAAGAAAAGTAAAGCAATAAAGAGAATAGTAGAATAACTATTTAAACTAAGATTTCTGCTAATTATTTTCAGACTTTATAGGATTAGCAGAATATTCAATGGGGTCGTTCTACTAGTCATTTCCGCCTTTTTATTATACTACTCTTTAGATATTCTTGACGCCGTTTATAAAAGTCAAAAAGATAAAAGGGAATTGTGAATCCTGTTAGCATATGGAAATGCAGAGATCAACTAGACGACTTCTTCATGCTTATCTTTATTTAATTTTCGTTAAGAAATAATAAAGCAATATAAAAAGCTAACAAATATGATGATTGCAGTCTTTTTAAAGTTTTCAAATGCACCATAAATATTGTAAATATATAATTGTATTGATTGGCATCCATTAAGAAAGTCATTCCTTAGTAATGAAATTCATCGAGTCGAAACTGACATAAACTTGCAGACAGCTTCTGTAAATTGCGTGTTGCTTGTCTTGGAAGATCGTTATTGGTAGTTTATAATACTATTAGAAATATAATACAAACATTACTTTTTTGATAATATTGATGGTTCATTTAAGAACATCGCTTAATATTTTACTTAAAATATTCAAGATTAAGCTTATAATAATAAATAAGTATACATGCAATACATCTGGCCTGCTTAAAGTTGATATATGTAGATTAAAACGTTACGAGTCTAAATATGGGTAATTTCTTATACGTCCTTCGACAGCATTTTCACACATTTGTACGCTCGCTTTATTCGACACATAAATAATTGAACAGCACAACAATGCTGATGAATATTTTCTAAATCATTTATTGAAGCTTGGAGGTTGAAATAACATAAACACAAATACGATTCGATTCCTATTTTCTCTAGTTAATTAATTAAAATGATTAAAGAAGTAGTATATTTTTTAAATATTAATCTAGATTTTTATGTATTAAATGTGGGAAACTTCAAAGTTTGCTTTCTTACAGTCTTGATTACTCTTTAAATTATGAAAGCCCCTAAATTTAAAGAAATATAAGTATCTAAATGAAAGAAAAGTTTTAAGTGCTTTTGTACTTTTCAACAGCGACGAAAAATATATATTCTGCCAAAGTAGCAAATTTTTACAATAGAGGCTCAAACCAATTTCTAATGCAAATATAAAATTGAAGCTTGATTACTTAATTAACTTTGTGCAGTAGCAAAAAAATATAGCCATTAATAATACTAATTCTTGTAATAAAATAAAGTGAAAAATTAAGGCTCTTTTATGGTGTTTTTTTCATCTAAATAGTTATATATTGCATAAGATTAAGCCATAAAATTTTTGTATTAATTGAAAAATTATTATACGATTAGTTTGTCGAGGAAGCTTTGTATAGGCAGAGTATACAGAAATGAGATTTTACTTAAATAATCAAATTTTCTTTTTACGAGACTAAATAAAACTTTTTTTGAATAAATTTTGCACTACCAACAATTATTTCATATTCTATTCGAACTCTAATAAATTTTACATAAATGGGTGTGTCATATACGGGCCATGAAACACTGTATTTTTAAGCATATTATAGTGGGATAAATAAAGAAAACTTTGATCCCCGAAACAATATTACTATAGACATGATATGATATTACTTATTCAAAACATATATTATGACCCTATGTTCAAATATTTTGTCAGTAGTACACACAAAAATCTAGGCTTAGTAATAATCCAAATTTAGATTATGACGTCACATCTACTTGGAATTTACCTTCCCTATTTTAAATTTATCAACGCTCAAAAGTTTAAGTGTAGTATGATACTAAACAATGGCTTATCATCTACAATTTTCTATAAAGTAGTAATCGAAAATTATAATTTATATTAGCATAGCTGATTATGAACAATTAGGTTCTTAAAAGTTACAATTATGAAATGTATTTTTGCAAGGGAGGGAGAAACAAAAGCTCAACAGCCATATTTCGCAATCAACCAATCCTCGCAAAGCTTTTATTCACAACAGCCAATCACAAGTATCGACATTTTTTTACTCTTAGCCGAGCTTCGTGTTTTTCACCGACGCCATTTTGAAGTTCAGTATGATTTAATTTGGCCTACTAGTTGTACATGGATTACAGTCTGTTTGTGGTGGATGATACATAATTACTAGACGTAAACTGTGCGCAAATATCAGATTGATCCGTGGCCGTTGAAGAGGAAAATTTTGACGTTTTCAATCTCCGTCTGTAAAGTGTGTCAGTATATCCGTGAGACGTGGTAAGTCACGTGACATGTGAAATTAACACACTTCTACTAAGATTTTAGACAAAAATTATATGTAATACTCTTTTTTAATTAAAAAATGTAACTGTAATTTAAAAAAACGATTTGATTGCTGCAAAAAACGCGTTATTTTGATTACCGAACAAAATAGTTCCGTTTTCATATTAGGTTTGTTTGAATGGAGTAAGTGACGCTATTCGCGTCTGGAGACTTTGACCATGATAAATATTGGTTTTAAGATCATGATTGAAGAACATGAAAAATTTAAAAAACCGCTTCATGTGATGATCTAAGGAGTACTAACTAAGATACTGCTTTCTATATCATTGGCTCGAGCTTTGATGAGCATTTACAATTAATCGATTTGTAAAATGAAATTTTTTTTTTCAGAATGGAAAAAGTTGAATGCACTGGACGTCCGTACAATTAAAATTCTGGCTGTCCGGCCCAAATGGCCCCAGCGCTAACGAATGAGGTTGAGAAGAATAATTCTTCAGCTATAAAATTGAAGGTGTTGGAATATTATTCTGCCTCAATCTTCAATTCTGAACTAGCTGGATTTAAAATGAACGAAATCAACCACGATGTTGAATCTCGACCTCAAAATGACCAAGTCGAGGAAGAGCCAGTTGACGTTCGCCTCCGAAAACTTCGATCGAAACAGGAAGCGATCAGTAGACGGTTAAAAAACTTGCAGTTGCAGCAGCTACTTCCACATATTAATTCTCAACTGACTCATTTCGTCCAGTCGCAAAAGTCTAAATTACAAAATGCTGCTTCACTGAATCAACAAGCGTTGCAACCGGAGTTAGAGCATGGACAAATGAAAAATTTGCCCACAAATGAACTTGTAAAACTTGTTAGAATTCAACAAAAAAATCAAAAATCTAACAGTGAAAATTCACCCATTGTAAAATTAGATGGGAGGCAATGTGAAAGGTTGGATGAATTAACTGGAAGACTTTCTTATTATGCTGCTCATCATCGCGAGAGAACAGATCCAGACGCAACGGATAGTTCAACAGATGCCGAAAGCTCAGACGACACTGATATCTTTGATCCTGCCCTGGAAGCCTATGCTAAAATGAGAAGAATTCACATGTAAGTAAATCATAAGTTTTAACTACTAGAGAAAAAGATTTATACTTAAAAAATAAATTGTTATAATTAAGTACTTTACAGTACTTATAATAGTATTCCTTTTGTCTGTAGGTTATCAATAAATATTTAATATCTTACAGTAAGGTTCTATAGTAATTTAATACGTTTCATAGTTGTAAGACACTAAACGTATAAGTTTATAATCACAGCAAGGTCTTTTTTTTTTTAGGTACAACGTTTTTAATTAGTCTTTTAGTATATAAAACCTGTTACTCCAACAATAATTTACTTGTTAACATTTCAGACGTTCTCGAGCGGATTTTACATGGAGTAGAGAAAGAGCCTCGGTTGCAGCGCGCTGGTCGTGGTATCGTGCCCAGGTATCGGACCTTGAATATAGAGTTCGCCATAATGCTGATTTGTATCGGCGATGTCGGAAAGAGAAACAACCTATAATTCTACAAGAGCCGGCAATCGTTAGTAAAATAATCAACGTACCAGCAAAGCAGGCGGCTGAAGAAGGTTCGTCAAACGAAACGTCCTTTAGTCCTTTAGATATTTGCGGTAAACCAACAGTTCCGGTCGTTCCAAATGGATTGAGAAATCATCTCTCTTATTCTATTGTATCTGATGTTTCGGAACAATGTGCACGTCATAAAACTTTAAAGCAACCATTGCTCAAAAACCGGAAATTAATAAGGACTTGCGACGTTTCCAATACTTCCAACGAAAAATTGCCGTTGATTCGTCTTAGAGCGAATCGATTATCAACGATAAATTGCCGCTGTTTGACGTTTAATGAAACGTATCAATACGGTGCATCACATAAAACGGCTCCATCAGTGTGTCTTGTTTGTAATGGACGTCGAAATCATAAAGATTCGGTTTCTCCCAGTAGACAATCACGACCAGTTAGAATATCTCTTCTAGATCAAGCATATCATCCTGTTTTGGGAACAAACCAAGATATTGCTGCTCCTTTAGTGTTTAACGAACTACAGAGATCTGGAAAATATAGAAAGTTCCAGAGTGCAGTGAAAAGGGATTTACTGCTAGCCAACTCAACAACAACCGACAAAAAGTATTTTTATATTTGTTTCTCGTTTGCAAATTATCTATTTTGATATTAACAGACGAAAGAATAGACAAGACAAAATTCGAAGAACAGTGGGAGCCAATTCTAAAGCGAATTCAGTCGCTATGAAAATACGAAATAAATATGGAAAAGATGCAGTTAAGAATTGGCGGAACAAAAATTTCCATAAAAGTTCTTCCCTTCCAAAATCGATTGGTAAGGACTTGCTGTGTAATTGGAAACACAATATGATAACTAATATTCTATTTCTTACACAGGACGAGTCGATTCGTCAGGTGAACAAAGGGAAAGCTTCAACGATGATTGCCATACTCCTAGCCACATAAACAGATCACGATTAAGTTCTAGTAGCGCATCACGAAAAGAAAGTGCTTTCGACATTAATAATATTGTGATTCCTCATCATATGGCTGCTTGCACTCGTTTGGAGCGTTTGAACTATAAGGAAATTTCAGTTCCGCTATGGAAAAAATTTGATGAGGTTAAAAATGGTTTTAGCGATGAAGAAGTGTTTCCTCCGGAAGAGAAACGCCGAAAGAGCTCAGGAGAGGAAGAGGAGGTGGACGTGATGTCTACAAACTCTCCCGTGAAATTCCGTAATCTATCTCTAAATGGCAAACGTACAGAGGATGAATATTTTGCTGACAATTCATCTAATGAAAGATTTGAAAAGCTCTTAATTGATCAAGAAGAACTAGAAAGGCAAAAGTTTTCGAGATTGTCCGCAGGAACAGATGCTCGAAGACCTTCTCTAAGTGGGAGACAATCAACATTAGAAGGTGATGATACGAATGATGAACCAGTGTCACTTTCCAATGAAAACAGTCAGGAAATGACGGAAAGAATTGAGAATGGAAATGTTTTGAATGAAGAACGACCATATGACACAACCCCTTTTACATCAAGAACGTTTCCTTTAAAAGAGGAAGAGTATCAAGAAATGAAGGACATTGATGCAGCAATGACAAATACAGCTAATACCATGGAAACAAGTCAAGTCAAACTTCCTTCAAGAGTTTCGGGAGCAAGACTGGATTTTGTTTCTTCAGACGAGGAAGAATATAGCCCTTTTAAATCAGTAAATAATGTTGTACCTTGCTGCGATGCAAATGATGGAGATGAAGATGATGATGATGAGGATATGGCCGATCATGTTACAGTAGAGTCTTCAACTGAAAATCGAACGATTGACTCTGAAACAGAAACAGATGAAGAAGAAACATTAATGCGCAGTTATGGGAGTTTGGACATGAAATCAACTCCTACAAGTGCAAAATCCAGCAGGAACCGTTTAAAGTCAAACTCGACGATCAGAAAAAAACAACCTAGCAAGAGTAAAAGATAGAAAATTAGGAACATTCCCCTGTTGCTGTAGAATATAATACTTGACCGTCATTTCTTGAGTCTATTTAGCTTCGTGTATATATACAGGAGAGATGGTGAACTAAATAGAACGCAGACTCATGTGATATGAAAAATAATAATAACAAGAAACGCCGATGTTTAGTAACCTGCAGTTATAGAAACGCGTTTAGAGCATGTTTCTTGCTTTGTCTTTATTATTGTAATCGATTTTTTTTCTACATAATGAAGGCGAGACCTGTGACTGATTATGTTGTATAAACTTCAGTAAATGGGTGTGTACATATATATTGCGTTGTATATTTGGGTTTTACTTGTAAAAAAAATATTTTCTGTTATTAGTGTATGTATTCTCTTTGACTGTTTACGGCCACGACAATTTTACTTTGTAATAAATGTTGACAAAAGAATTTTAAACGGTTAATGTAACTCCGTTTCCGTATTGTTTGTTTACAGGAGTAGTTTGAAACCTACCCACAGAGTGGCAGCACTGCTTCATTGTCATTTTCGTAAGACGGTTCCTCATTCTAATTTTCAGATACGCACGTTAAATTTTCTTCTATTAAAATAAATAACACTGTTTTGCGTAACTAGGTTAAGATTTAGAAATGACCTATGCGTCTGCGCATATAGAATGAAAATTGATTTTTCTGCGCATATTTTTGCGCCTCTACCTAGAGCGCATGCGTGGTAACCTTTTTCAGCATATTTGATCACGTGGGACCAATTCTATGGGTACCATTTGATGAAGTTGATCTGACCTAAATATTGATCAAAAGAGTTCTCACTAAAGCTATTTATTTTTTGAAGACAACTTTATGGCATAAAGAAAAACTTAAATTTTGGACTTTACAATTTAAATGAAACGAATTCCAAAGCAATTCTTGACAACATTTATATTTGTATATTTTCAAGCATATTTATTGCGCATGCTCCAAGAGTAGTAAACAAAAAATCCCTTACGCCATCTTCGGGGTAGGTTTATAAATACTCTCTATAGTAGCGCCATCTATATTTTGACATCTGCCATATTTATTTCTTTATTCTTAAATAAATCAATTTTTATTTACTAAAGCTAAAAATAACGATCGAATAGAACATAAGTTTATTACTTAATATAAAAGACATTAAAAAAGTATGGAAAAGCTGAGATTCTAATTACAATTTTTTGTATCTTCTCCAAAGTTAGAATGATTGATATTGTTCCAATCTAATATGGACAGTTTCAAGACATTCGTTCTCTTTCTAAAACAACATCTATAATAACTTCCTTCTTCTAAATATTGTTAAATATTTTGTTCATTTAAATTTTGGTAAATGTTTGAATACCCGCTTTTTTCTGATTGATTGCTGTTTTTTATACAGTGGATGACATCTAACAGGACTCTGGAAACATAAATTTATCTTATATAAATCATAAAATGAATTCCCAAGATAATGTAATTAAAAAGTTTAAATGAGAAGTGTCATAGAAACACGATAGATGACGCCTTTGATTCGCAGGTGGCGTATTCTTCTGGATGAAACCAGATGTTATACTACTTCATTCCCTTAGGCGTTTTCTCCCGTCCTATAATATAACTTGTTATTGAAACCAAAGAAAATGTTAAATTTAACAAAAAGCATTTACAACTGACATTAAACAGTATTTCAAAACTTTACTATTTAAAAGAATAGAGAAAAGGTTAAGGGTCAGAAACTGAGGAAAAACTTTTAAAGTCGAAACTACTGTTTCATATAGCCGTATATTACGTCAGTAGCTTTCTTCAGTTACGTGTTTTACGACAATTTTATGACTTGAATGACGCTGTCAATTCTTCATAAGATCCGCAATAAAAAATCCTTATAGCTTGAGTACAGAGATAAAATAATCTAGTTAGTTTATATTAATAGCGTATCTTATATAGAATTACAGAGGGAAAAAAGAGGCTAGGATTCTATTATTAAAATTTTTATCAACATTTGGAAACCGAATATGTACTATAACCTATCTATGCAATTTGCTAAATAAATCTCTCAATAAATTCGAAACGAGATTTGGAATAAAAGACGCGAAATTGTGCAGAAAGTCCGGAAAGCTAACTGTCATGTTGCGCGGAGGCTGAGTGATGGATGTTTTCATTGTGTAGGCCTTTCTTTTTATTTCTCTTTTGTGCATGCACCGCAAATGTTTGTATTTCAAAAAAAAAATTTTTTGCAAGCAAAAGAAAGGAAAAAACTGGAACACATAAATATGCACATAAATATATATTTTTTCGTTGAGCGAAATGACTAGAAGTTTGTGTAGAGATTCAAACTGGACAACATTTATGTACATGTAAATATATATATAACTCTATGGGATATAATATACACATATTTACAAGTTTCAATAAATAAATAAATAATCAAAATTGATCTTATATATTATTAGATGTAAATTTCATTGGAACACCTAGAATTTTAAGTGACTACTTATGAATGACAAACATGACACAGCCAACCGCAAAAAATTGCGAGGCAAAAAAATCAAGGACATTTTAAATGAGTGAGAAAGTGTTTCTTTTTGCACAAATCACATTTTTGGTTCTCTTATCGTTTTTTTTGTATATATTAGTCCGATAAGTGTGCCATCTATCTGCTATGGTCATCGCACGATAAGGACTGAGCGGTTTCCGCAACGTCGTTCATAGTTAAACCAGTCTCTTTTAATCTTTTTTTCTGCTTCATTCGCCGATTTTGAAACCATATTTTTACCTGGAGAAGGTCGTTATCTGTTAAATTTTGTTTAAACTATAATAATTCATACTTACTTGTGTTTCATTTAAACCTAAAGCTGCGGCAATTTCGATCCTCCTGGCCCTCGTTAAATATTTATTGAAGTGAAACTCTTTTTCCAATTCAGTTAGTTGTTTATTCGTAAAATTCGTTCGTCCCATATTCGGCTGAGACTGGGCTGGTGGGTAGCCACCGCTGTAATCTGCCGACTTATCTGAAATATTTATAAAACTTTCGCTATAATTAGATTTCGTTTTACGGCGAGAATAAACCTAGTTGTTTTTTATTTTTTTTTTAAATTTTCATTTCTGACAAAGCAACAATCAGACGAAAGGTGATTCTTTACCGCTAATTGCATGCTGCTATTCAAAAACTCCGCCCATCTCGTGTCAATCAGAAAACAGGAAATAGACTGCCACATGATCAATCTTTGGAATGTTTTGATCAATGTCGCGATCTATATATCAAATAGTCCATACTTTTGAAAAAAAGGTCAAAATAGCGCAAGGGTGAAAGTCTTGCAAAAAACAATGACCGCAGGTGTTGCAACAAAAGAGGACAGTGATGAAGAAGCAGCTATAAATCACTAGTTTTGCAACAAAGAATTTTTTCAGGCTTCTTTTTGCGCGTCGACGCTAAAGCGTTTAATATATTTCATAATTTTTCTGAAACGCGACGCTAAAGCGTTAAGCCGCTTGTTTTTCAAGATTTGCATCTATTTGCATACGCGTCTTATTGTACAGTTAATTTCTATTACTACGATGTTTTCTATATACTTAGAGGTTACAGAAGTTCTGCTCTATTTTTTTTTCTTCTTTTCTACTATTTACAAACATGTGTAAGCCATTTGAAGGGGTTTTCAGGGCATAGATACCGTCAATATGCAAACACGTGTTTCTATTTATATTTACTTTCAAATTGCAACGGAAACTATACAACGAAATCTATCCTGTGTTTATCTATTTGCATTTTTTCTCTCTTATAAAAGATCTGATATTCCTCGTAGTAAAATATCATCAAGAGATCATAAGCTCTTCTTTCTTAGCATTAGATTTTAGAAATAGATAGACTCTATCTTTGACCACCGATAATTTCTTGTCATCGTTTATTTAAATTACAATATTCTCGTTGGCTTGGATGAGCTGCAGTTCTATTTCCTTGTCCTTATTCCAAAAATGTACTCATAAAATGTGAGGAGCCAATCGTGCTCTATACGATTATATAGTTTTATATTTATGTAATTACAACAAGTTTTTTTCCCACAAGATTTTTTTTTGGCTGCTGTATTATAGCCTTTACTCTTAAACCTAATAAGAACAGGATTTATCCTATTTGCCAAGTTTTTAAAGGTTTACAAACCAATAACACTATATGAAGATATTTATTCATAAATATAAACACTATATGAGAGAATATATACTTGTATATGTATATATATCAGAAGATTCACATGCATATACTATACGAGTATATATATATATAGACTAATATATATAATACTATACGTTTATATACAAATTTAAATATGGTATATATATATATATATATATGGTGTTTATAATAGGCTAGGTATACTTTGGATCTGAAAGAAAATTCCTGCATGTTGTAAAAGAATAAAACTTTAGGGATATGGCTTTTGTCATAGACGGTCACGCTAGGTTATCATTACGTTATATTGTCCTTAATGCACGGATGCTACACAGATTTTAGTTTGATCATGAAATCTCGTGATATTCGTAAAGTTATATAGAAAATTATGGTAAAAGCTTTTATATAAAAAAATATATGGTAAAAATCCTTTAAGAAAATTGAATAGTCGTGACTCGCGCGCGCTCTATTCAATTAATAGAAACTGGGTCGTTCAACCGTAAATATATAGTGAGAATATGGTAATTTGTTCTAGAAATTTAAAACGGCTAAATTTGAATGATCTTTTAGACTTACTAGTTTTAGGATTGCTCCTTTTCACAGTCATCCATTTGTAAGTTGCAGCTTGGTCATTCTGTTGTTGGTTTTCACTAGATGCTCCCAACTTTGAGGCCTCATTGCCAGCAGAGGAAGGAGAAAAAGAACAGAAATTTGACGGTCCATGACTGGGTGCACATGATTCGTTTTGACTAGGAAAATAAAAATCATTCGGTCCGAAATGTCCTCCATAAGTTCCATCGTAATGTTCGAAATGTCCCCCATTACCTTCTGACGCTGAATAATAGCAATTTGCTTCAGTGAAAGCTGAAACAGCATAATTATGACTAGAAGAGTCTAGATTGCACAGAGAATATTCGGTGGTTTGCGAATTCATCGTCCAGTGGCAAGTGGAACGGCATGAGAACAAATGTGAAAATCGTTTTGATCAACGCTCTGTATTACGGTCATCACGTGATCTACGGTAGCCAATCACAAACGCGATCAATTCTTGCGGGTTTTATAACTCGAAAATTTTGTTCTCTAGTTGACCGGTCTAATTTTTAATTTTTCTCTATTTAGTTTATATAAATAACAGGTATTTAAGCAATTTATAAAAGTTTTCTAAAATACTAAACTAAGCGTTTCTATAGCAACGCTGAAGGCGATCGATATAGTAGTTCGATCAGGTGATGGGAATACGTAGAATTTATAAGAATAGCATGTATACAGCATTATAGTTATATCAAAATCTATGAGATTAAGTGGTAAATATGCGCACAAAGAAGAATCGCTAGTAAAAAAATCTTATAAATTATTTTGCGCATATCCATAATATAATTGTGTACATTTATTATTATCAGCAAAACTCTTGGGTTAGACTCATACATCGATAAATTTCCTTACAATACACTAGCTTTAACCCCTTTATTTCAATAATTTCTTAATATAATAATAGTAGAATGAAGAATACTGAATACTACAATGAGATCGTGCTTTGAAAGGACTCAGTTTTACTTAACTGATTTTAAGTAATAGTCTATATGTTTATATAGATAAAGGTATAGTTTTCCTTAAATGTTAATATATATTTATATTCATCAATATTTTACAAGCAACGGAGCATTCTTATAATTATATTTTTATTCATTCGTTTATACTGTATATAACGCTCAGTTCATCTACGGGATATTTCATATACCCGGTAGTGTATATACAAGTGTATATATATATATACAGTATATATACATATAAATAAATAAATAAATATATATATATATATATATATATATATATATATATATATATATATATGTCTGTGTCTGTGTCTGTGCGTATGTCTTCTCCTGATAACTATAAGCTGTGTACAGGAGGTTATTTATATTTTGATACAAACTGTAAGATTAATTAGTATTATTTTGAGGACAATTTACTGTTCTGATAGAAACAACATAAATACATCTAATAAATTTATAAAAGGAAAAACATTGTTATTTAAAAGTAACAATTGTTAAACTTTTAACATAACGCTTCGCTTCTACGGAAGAAAAACCAGATTGAAAATTGATTGGGCGACGTTGAATAAATACAGAAACTTTTGCAACAAAGCCAGCGGTGGGACCGTTTAGATAAATGATGTAATAAGTCAACAAATACTTTAGTGTATGCTAATGCTCTTGTAGGCAGGCCTATACAATGGAACTGGGAGAAATTCTCAATGTCGTGATTTTATCGTAAAATATTTCATTTACTTTCCCTCAGCAAAATTTTCATTATCGTTGAATAAAAGTATACAGACTCTATCCTATAGATAAGCAAGATAAGAGCATAGACAAAGTGCGAACAAAGCTGAACAAACAATATCACTGTACTGCAGTTCGGTTTGACAAGTCCTGCGTCAGCTGTTGCAGTTTTATTGCATTACGTCATCATTACGTAAAACAAATTATTGTTATTCTCAGCCTTAGAGTAAAGTCCCTTTAAAAGTGAAAATCCTTGAAAAAAAGAGGGGGATATTTCGATCCATTAATAGACGATTCTTTATATAAATGAGAAAATAAAGGGTTAACGCTTTGGTACCAAAAGGTCGGGTGTTCGTTACTTTGTTTTAAGTGCTGGATTTAAGAAAAATTGAAGAGTAAATGAAATCCGACCTCAGCGACCTCATCCAAGAGCGAAAAAAGCCATCTTGACCAAAAGTCAGCTCCTTTCACAGATCTTTTACATAGTAAACAAACTGGGTGTTTACATGTCACCGACACCGTTTAAAGCTATGGCACCTGCCTTTTTACCTCGCCCGATTTAGCTGGCTGAGTTTGAACGACAGATCAATACTATCGTTTATTTTTCATTCAGTTGACGTTGTCTTTATGCAACCCTTTCCGAATCCAAACTATTTTTGGCAAAGCTGGTTGTTATTATTATTGTTATTGCCATTATCATTACATACACCAAAGCTGAAATAATAGAATTGCTTTTTAATAAAATACCTGTTGGTGGGATTTAATTATTATTCCTGCCAGTCCTTTTATCTGACCGGCTCTCCATATAATTACACAATATATTTCTGCATGTCATTCAACTAGTAATTTCAACCGAAAACTACACTTGAATAACCCAACGGAATAAAGGTTTAGCCTTACGTAATAATTTGCATAGAATTACACGTCATATATATTACCGATCCCTGAATATAATTGTCGTCTAGAATATCTTAAACACCCTTGAATAAAATCTTTATCAGTTGTCGATCAATTTAAAAGATGAATTGTTTTCTTTAACTACAAGGTGAAAGCTCGTTGCTATTGACTTCTTAAGTCTTTAGAAATACTGGAACTTTAACGCTATAAAAGCTTAACTATTCACGATCAGCATTCTGTTTAACAGTTGGCGGATGCCTACATTCATGTAGACGCCATGACAAAAAAAAGAGCCATAAATACGACCTATTTACGAAGTGTTTGTTAAAGGGACAGAACAAATGAAACGCGGCGGGAGTTGAAGGGCACTCGGCGACAGGAAAAGATCACGGCAAAGCGTACTTATCCTTTGATCGAATTGATTGACAAGCACTTGGAGAATTGTTCTTTTTTTTCTCGATTTTTCGATACAGTGTATACTTTTCAGCTTCCGTCAAAAAAGTGGAAATAAATCACGTTTAGCCTTTGAATATTCGATAAGAAAGAAAAGCAAAAGAAATAATAGAGAGGGAAAATGGAAAAATATTTTTTAAAGTAATTTATAAACTATTCTGTAATAAAACAAGATGACAAAGAAGCTGTACATAAAAAAAAAACTTCATATCACATACCTGGCAGAAGCAGTATTTATAAAATATTCATGGTATATATTTACGTGCAAGAACGATCTAAACGAAGTATAATTGAAATGAATATATGATACGATTCAGCATCGAAACGAATTCCCACAATACCGTCTTCTTTTCGAATATAAAGTAACACGAATCGCCATATTGAAGTGTGACGGCTAGACTGAAACTAATTTGCATAACAATACATAAAAGCGTGTTTATTTCGAGAGTATATGTGTCTGGGTGGTTCTGACTACTCGGTAGAGCTGGTATTTCGTTCAGCAATACCAGGCAATAATGAGTAACAAAACCTAACGACCACCAACGGTTTGCCATACCCTCAGAGCCCATTATCCCATTACGAACAAACAAAAATATTTGTCAGCCAATAAGCACATTTGATCTATTGAGGTCATGGGAATGTGTTTGTAATCAAGTCGTTGATTGGTTCATTTTGTTTGCTCGAATTTTACACGATTTATTTTCTCCAAGGGTATTATACTATTTTGTAAGGGAACGCTTATATCATAAGGTGATATATTGTTAGAGTAAGATATTAAATAATTCCCAATGAACATTAGCAGAATTAGTCGAGACTAAATATTTTTTTTCCAATTAAACGTTTTCAATCTGTCATATGACAAAAGGGAATACAATAACATTAGTGCAAACTCTAAAAAATTGAGAAATTCAAATAGATATAAATATTCGTGTACTTTGTGTCTTTTTTTTCGAATATGCATATTAAAAGCAACAACTTAAACTCGACAAAAGCTAGGTAAGTAACATGAAATTTTTTTAAAAACTACATTGAATAATAGTCATTACCACTATTAAAATAATCTGAAATAGAAAACTGAGAATTGTTTATACAGGCTTGAATTGGTTGAACATCTGGATTATTTTCAACTATATTCGAATTTTGATAGCAATTAGGTGGAACGTAGTTCAGATCGGAGCTGTTGTACCTACAACAAGATTTTTCGATAGTTGTAGTTGAAAAAGTCAGTTGCTCTATTTGACGAAGCGAGTCGGTAGGTGGCGTAGAATAATAGTTGTTGGCAGATCCCCTAGATGTCGCTAACGGTCTGTCAGACGAAACTAGGTCACGGCTTGCTTGCATTTGACCTTGACTTTGCTGATAATTTGTATTATGATACGAATAATTATAAAATGCTCGACTGTTTGGAGAATATACTCCATTATTCGTTGGTTGTTGATAAGCCGATGTAGCGTTATTAATTTGCATACTTATTTGCATATTGGCAGCCGACTGCGGATTAGTATATCCCATTTGGCAATCCGCAGATTGGCGTGCATTAAACAAATTCGCTCTGTGTATTGGCGGCAATTCCTTATTTTCATTCTTTTTTGTTTCCGGTTCTGGATCTTTCGAAGACACAGCAGGAGAAGGAGAGAGTTCAGTAGAGGAAGGAGACGCGTGGCTCTCTGACGTACCCAAATCGCTTGTGCTATCTGCTCTTTCAGTTCTTGCAGATTCATCTTTCACCGGCTCCTTAGAATCTCCATTTCCGTTCCCTGACTGTCTTTTATATTTCATTCTTCTATTTTGAAACCAAACTTTGACCTGTCGTTCTGTCAAATCAAGACTTGCGGCGATTTCAATACGTCGTGGTCGGCAAAGGTATTTATTGAAATGGAATTCCTTTTCGAGCTCCACTAGCTGCGAATTAGTATAGGCCGTTCTTTGTCGTTTTGACGTTGTAGACGCATGTGAATCAGGGCACGGAGATAAAGAAGGCATAGTGTTATCAGCTGAAAAAAAAGACCAGATCAAATATCTCAAGAAGAGAGTTTCAAATTCAACAATATAGCTTATTTCCCTATCAAGACGCTATATTTTATAAGTAACCTATTTAAAATATTTGCTACCAGAAATATTTTACTTCTAGATTTTTGTACTTCTCACGAATAGAATAAGAAGAGGGTAAATTAATCTTGAATCGATAATTCCTTATTTTCTTATTCTTGTGAAAAGAATAGAGTTTTTATATACTGTTTATCCTCCTTCGGATAAGAACACTCTTAAAGGATGTAATATTAATTTTTATCTTAATTGTAAAGATAACTTCTATGAATAAATCTGTAAATATAGATTAATTCTACGGGATAACCAATTTCGTAATTCATTATATCCTTAAAAAGAAAAGGATTATCTGTCGTGGAAAAAGATAGTTCATTATTGCTCTAAAAGTCGATCAGCGGCCATGATTATCTGTTCCTCGAGAGATCAAGGAGGGTGACAAGCAACGTTCTCTTGTGTTTTTTTTCGAATTCTCCAACAGTCACGCACCGTTCGAGCGTCGCTAATCATTTCAGAAGGAAGAAAAAAACCCGTAAAATATTCGACGCCGTTTCTCGTTACCTCAGCAACCTTTGAGTCAGAGTGTCACGCGCAGAAATTCGCGCGTCAAATAGTATAAACACTTGGATATATTTTCTCCATTTACCTTACGTAATAAACCAAACAATGCAAAGTAATTTTTTAGCGATTAGTTATATATTTAGTTTTTCCTTTGCAAGACAAATCATAGAAAAATTCGGAATATAAATGTAAAAATATATGTTATATAATAAGAAGACAACGAATAAAGTTACACCGTTGTTTGTTTCAAAAATAATGAAAACTGTAGGCTTTTTTTTTGCCAAAAGTATACTTTGATTCAATTGTTAAAATAAAGAGAACCCTTTAAGAAATTTGAAACAGCGAATTTTTTCAATTAACACTTTTCTACTAATTATTATATCTTGATCACTTGCTGTGTTAGACACTTTCTGGGGAAAGTGACGTGTATTAAAAGTAAGAAAGAAAGCTATATTAAGATCCACACTTTTGTGAATATATAGGTATAATTAAACTATCATTATTACGATGCTAAGTGGTCATATATTATCGATTCTTTTTCCTATAAACAAATTTTATGAGTTTGTCACGGGCAGGTGTGATTTTTGCTCATTTTATTAATGTCTTTATTAAGAAGTTAAAGTTCAAAACTGTGTCTTTCATATCCCATTCCGAAAATAATCAAATTTTCGTTTAAAAATAGATTTATTCGATAGTCTAAGCGTTGGAGTATACTCATTTACGCTTATCTTTAATATTTTGAAAGAAATATACCCCTGGCTACTAAAACTTAAGATTATCTGGTCATAAACAGGTAATTTAGATGTCAAAAGAAAGCAGTAATAATTCTAACGGAAGGCGTGAATAAATCGGCGAAATAAAGATACTCAAAATGACCATCAAAATTCCATAATCGTTAACCTCTCACCTCCGAAGAACACTTAACAGTTTTGTTAACAAGCATGACATCGTTCTCGGTCTGTTACTCTTTTATTTCAATCATTAATCATGACGGCGATCGTAGTCATTTATCATATACACTTATATCCAAAGACCGCCTTCTCTCTTTCCTTTTAAGTCTCATTTTCAACTTACCTTCTACACCGATTGTCTCCGCCATTTTTTTCTTTCTCGAACCTTTCTTCTCTTTCATCCAATCGTATTGTGGAACATCGTTGAATCCTTGTAGATTTGGTGGAAATTGATGATTAATCGTTGGATCATAGGCTATTGCGTTTGGATACTCCATAGTCGCTGAATTTTTCTGGAAGGATAAGTTTCAATTCACTCTACTCATCTTCACACTGACGGGCAAACTTTCGTAAAACTTCTCTCCCCACACGCTAAGGCTCTGTAGGCAGCCATTTTGGTCACGTGTTTAGAGACAGCCAATCCTTGTCCAGTTATAAGGTTTCTTTTCTCTTTTTTGCAGTCGTGGAATTGATCCGCTATTCTAGATCTCAAACAAAGAATTTTAATAGTTCTGTTTATCTGGGCTGTTTTATATACATTTCATATCAAAGATGCGTCTTTAGCTAATTTTTAGATAAATCTGAAAGAGCTGATTCGTTAATAGAATACGCCTCTTGATCCGTCTGGAGCATGTACGATTTTAACGAAGGAGGCACGTGATAAGGTCAACATTTTGTATCAACTATCAATAATTGAAGTTACTTGTATAGACAACGGGTTAATAAGTTCCATTTTAGATATAGACCTATAAAATATTCAAATATACGTGACTTTATCAGGAACGCGCGTCGAATCGACGCCTTTCTTATGCAAATTTGACTCACTTTAGACGTCACACCTGAACCTGTCGGCTACGTTTGAAGGCTTCTTCATTATGCAAGCTGTATTGTCATTTTGATGAGACAAAAGGCATACAGGTGTCATTTTAATACGAATACTTTGTAATTAGATGAATGTGATGTATCGGAGATAAGTATGATAGTTTTCACTAGCAATTATCAGTGAATAAATTACCTCCTATTCGTGTTTACTACGGTATTCAATGAGTTCTTCCGGTTTCCTCTTAGCTTTTCTTTACCTTTATAAAATTGTAAAAGCGTGAAAATATCTCCCAGGCACATGTGAAGTAAAATCATCCGTTACAGTAACACTTAGAGCGAGTACTCGTGCCAATTTGTATGCGCTTAGTTCAAAAGAATATCTGTTAAAATTAAATATTATAGATGAAGCTAAGAGATTAACAGGAAAAAAATCTACTTGTTGATGATAATCGTTGAGGAGTTTCAAGAAGTTTTTAACTCGTAAAATATCATTCGTCAAGACTACGTAAAAGCAATAATTGCATAATAAGCAATAAATGCGTCAGAATGTTATAAAATTAGAATTTTTCGCTACTGTGTATACATTTATAAAGATTAGGTAAGATGTTATTTCGTGACGCGGATTGTCTAACAATTTATAAGTATTTCCCAAAAGGAAGTCATATCTTGTATATTATATTTATGTCAATTAGATTTTTGAAAAGTCACTAAATATTCTAATAATTTACAAGACTGTATTTTTTTTTAAAACAGATGAATACATTTCTATAACAGTAGTTGCATAGAAATACACAACGTTTTACATCAAGTTTACACTTATATACATTCAAATACGTAGTGTATAGAGACAGTAAAATTTCGGAACCATCGAGTAACACACATCTAGTCAAATTATTTAAATGGCAAGAGTGTCATAGCATAATTTTTTTCTCATAAATATACAAGTTGGGCATGAGCTAACATATGAACAGATATAAACAATCGGTGATAAACTTTGAGCGATAGAAATATTTTCCCTGGTTTTTACAATAATCTCTCACACTAAAAAATACACTCAAATATGCGGTAATTTATTAAAACCGTTATATCCCTGAGCGTGATATCCATCCATACATAATCCGCCATTATCGCTCAACTGCGCATGCGTAATCCCTATTGTAGGTGGAGCTACAGGAGGAGCGATTTCATTACAGTGTGCCGGTATATATTGACTTTGATGGTGATAATTAGCATAATAATGAGGTACACTCGCCATATGATGCTGAGTTTGATAATGTCTCTGAGGTTGGGGTGCCGGTCTTTGAACTGGAATTGTTACAGGAGATCTGGGTTGTTTTTCATCAACATTTCCAAGTTCACTATCATGATCATCTGAGCCGGCCTCGTTCGATGACGACTTTTCAGACTTAGGAGATATGAGAGGAGAAGATGCTGCTTCAGGTGTTGATGTTCTATTTTGATTTATTTGGGATGTAGCTGAGGAGTTTAAGGGAGTTCCTGGGGCAGAGCTTGTTGATGAAATTGCACCCCCTGATTCTTTGTTCTTTTGTTCCTTTTTGTATTTCATCCGTCGGTTCTGTTTATTATAAAAGCTATTTAAAATATTGTACTCAAAACATTTTTTCAAGCAGGCTTGTTGAATTATTTTAACAGCTTGAATGACCTCATTATAGAAATAAATTGAATCAAACAAAAAAGGAAAAATACAGGAATGAAGTTATTGTTGTTTATCAGAATTTCATTGTGCAAAATAATCAAATTAACTTAAAAAAGCTTTATTTCATATCCTTTTTTATATGTTTTTTCTGTTGCATGTCTCTATTAAATATAAAAAGTTCTTTACCTGGAACCAGATTTTTATTTGCCGCTCTGTTAAATTTAACAAAGCAGCCATCTCAATCCTTCTTGGCCGGCACAAGTATCGACTAAAGTGAAATTCTTTTTCCAGTTCTACCAATTGAGCACTTGTATAAGCAGTTCTAGCTCTCTTTGTAGGCTGATCGGCACTTTCTATACTACCACCTGCTTTGATAAAGAAAACTTTTAGAATTTTTAAACCACAACAAATATATTTTAAAAAAAGTTAGTGATGAAATCTCTTCCGAAAAGCAGTTCTTTGAGAAGAGTCTTGACGTAATTGTGACGTCATAATGGCTTTTTAACGACATTGGTCAGCGTATCGCTAAGATTGTTAACGGAAATTACGTAACGGATATTGCGTAGTTTCCAGACACGTGTCAAGTGAAATTTATGAGGGTTTTTTTTTCAGTATACAATGCATCCTTTTTCCTACTGTTTATAAGTTGTTGCGATCTATTACGTTTAGTTTTTAAAAGAAACATTGACTTTGAAACGATTAGACATGTAAAATAGGATATTTCTCTAAAATACTACAGGGTTAAATCAACAAAAATAAAAGTTTTTATGAGAAAAGTTTCAACTTGGCTTCAAAGCCAAAAGTATTGTTAACTAGGTTAAATTATGTTATATTTTCCCTAAGATGACTTTTTCCGCACAATATCCACTTAAGTTCATTTCGAGGAGACTGCTCTTAAATTCATACATATTCAGACATTTTATAAAATGAATAGTTTTTATCCAATTTCTTATTTATAGTGGATATTCATGCCATAAAATTTGCTCACAAATGGGGCAAATAAATACGACTTAACAAAACTTTTGGCCTGACAGCAATTAATAGGGCATGCATGTTGCTTTAGAGTAGTCGGTTATGTTTACTACTAGAACATATTTTTTAAGAAAATGAATTACCTGATGATATGTGCTGTTCCTTTCCCCCTCTTTTTATATTTTTTCTATTATCCTGCATCCAAGGATATATTTCTGGTTCATTTTTAACCAATCCATGCTGATCTTGAGGATTACAAAAATTTGTCTGATGAGTCGCGTAATTATTATAATCTTGTTGACAGTTTGTCGGCGCAATTTGTTGGCAATGCTGTCTATAAGTATCATTAGTATAATCTGGATAGTTTCCATGATATCCATTTTGATGATAAAATTGCTGTTGTTGATAGACATCGTAATAATTTGAAGAGTCCGTATCAGTTTTCTGCATGCTGTCGATTTTCTGATTGATCAATTCGCCTTGACAAGCTTTCGACATGAAGACGTCATTAGCATACGTTGACAGTCCACGTGACTGATATCGACCAATGAGAGAGCCGGAAAATATACGCGCAATATCTAAAAAAGTTTAAAAGCTTGTAAACATAGAATTTATGTAATAATGTTTTAAGAAGTTGTTTAAATTAAATTTTTTAGTACGGATGAAACTTGTAACTGTAGGACTGATGAAAGAACCAAAAGGTCAAAGTTCAGAAAACATGCTATCCTAAAAAGAACTATATTATGTTACTCTCTACATTTTGCTTAGTCCATTTTCCTGAAATTGTACTTTGTATTTACAAATTGTCAAACTGTCTGATGCACGTTTGGTGAGTTTTCTTCATGCTCTTCCTTACAAAGAATATATGAAAAAATCGTTATTTTCGAAAAATGCCATTTTCGCCGACACGTATTGTGTATGGCAAGAAAGGCGATGTCGTAAAATGCAAATTAGTTTCGTAAAAATGACTAGAAGAGGATAGTGCGTTCTTTAAAATGAAAAGGTGGGCCGAACCTGCCTCCGGCTTTATATTGCACTCTTGTTGGTTAAGTGCAAAACGAAACACATACGCTCAAAAGGGGGTAAATTGCCCTGTTTTTTTCTTAAATATTTCTATTTATAGTTATTGGGTGTGTTCTCTCTCCACTACTAATGTGCATCAATAAATGTATAAAAATAGCGTATACTCAAAAAACAAGAAAGTGCGAGTGTGATTTGTAATAGATACCAAATATTTCGTTATATCAATATCTTAACATTAAAACTTATTTTGAAAAATAGAGAATTTTAAGTCTTTATATCGAGAGAGCTAATAAGAAAACTACTAGGGAAATCTTGACGTAAATAAAGACAACAAGATATTAACTTTTCTCCGAATAGAAAAAATACTCACCTACACACAACGTCAGTATCGCTATACCAGATCGACCTGGGTGAACGCATGTTTTAAACGGATAGCGATCAATATCGATACTGTTCATAGAGAATCGATATTTATAGATTATGTTATTGTTTAGCCCTGCGTTAAAATTGCATGAATATACTGAATGAACGACGTTCGTTCGAACTGCATTGTTGGTAGAGCGTGACTAGACTTTACATTTTGAAGTTCAATTGTTTAAGAACGTCTATAGTTCCGGTAAGTCAATCTTAATTCTAAGGTTTAGACGTTTCTTGTTTTTAATTGAGACACCTTAGTATGCAATATAGATCGGTAAGATCTATTGAATTCCTTAGTTTTATTAATGCATGGAAAGTTTTCCAGTTAAAAATAGTTGAATAAAAAAAAGGAAAAGTTTTTAATCATGTTACAGTGTATAACAAAGTCGTAAAAATATATATACGACGTAAACAAAACTGTCACATCCCTGAATTACTTAAATAAAGGCACCCTTTGTTAGGAGGTCGTAAAACACTAAAACTGTTTGCATTTCAAAAGTTTGAGAAAGAAAGTTGAAACTGGGTTACGTCATAGTCTATCAAGAGATGTGACGCTTTTCGACCGCGCTTTAAACGGGGGGCAGCTGTAAAAATGTCGAGGGTGAAAAATGACGTTGACCTAGTTTCCGTTGGGCGCCGCCATTTTTTGTACCAGAGCAGTCTGGTCTTGTTGATTTCGTTTATTTATTTTCGGAAATCCCTCTTTTAAAATTTTCCATGATGAAAGGAATATATTTTACTATATCATCATAGTCATTCTACAAACCTACGATTGCAGAGAATAAATCAAAGAAGGATTAATGTGAACAAAGGACAAAAATGCTATATTCAAATGTTTACGAATATCTTTATTATATATACGTATAAATGGGAGTATTGGTACTAATCCTGATCTTTTGATTTGTACGCACGTTTCAGAAGGAAAAATTGTACGTTAGCAATTTTCTGTATGATCAAATATGATTAAATATACTTTACAGAGGATATTATGATAAAAAAAATGTTGGTCAATTTATTAATCTTGTAAATTCAGTAGAATTTTGTATTGAAATGTGATTGGTTACAAGTTTAAAGGTATTTGTATAGTTTGGTTTCTAGTTTTACAAAAATAAGCAAATTAATGTTTTGAATAAACAGAAAATAGTTTAATCATATAAATACTTAAATTAATTATAGAAATATTCTTGGAAGTTGCTTTCTTGTAAATACAGGTTTGCGCGCTTTTTCCTAATTATGATCATATGCTCTCCGGCTTTGAAAATAATGATTAATAATGGCATAATTTGAACGATATATTTTTTAAAGGATGGGACACTATTCTATTTTTGCTCAAAGTATGTAAAAGATCAAGAATCGTTATCTTATTATTGAAAAATTCGCCAGATTCTGTCCGCACATACCGCCTTCTTAGTAGTTTCAACATTTTGTAGACAAAATAAATAACTAAATCTTTGTTATATGAATTAAAGGTCGAACTATTCTCTTAAAATTAAACACTTTAAACAAAATACGAAACCTGTGTAGTACTAACAGTTTTGTTTAAAAAGAAAAACATTTGAAAGTTATACCCTAACGAAATCTCTTGAAATTTATTGCACTTTAATATAAGATTTAGTTAATGATTTTAATCGCTGGTTATACATTTTATCCAGTCCTTAGATAAAAAATCATTGACCCAATAACCCAGATTGTTGATTTTGATGCATCACATTCAGCTGATTTCGTCGTATACGTTGTGTGTACTATAAAATTATTTCTCAATGAATTTATCGACAGCACGAGAGTGTTGGTGAAGTATATATTTTAGTAGAAAGACAGATGTTGCTCTAAGCTTTCGTTAAGTATAGGGGAATAGTGTGGGATTAAAAAAAATTTTGTTGCTGTTACGATAATGAACAAAGAAATCTCTGACTTGGTTCGGTAAATGTTAGCTGATATACTTTGATAACCATGGCAACTGCTGAATGATCTTTTCATCCGTGTTGATATTCTCCTATTTAGAGTCTGTTTTATATTTTAATAATACCTCTGATAAAAAACCCCGCTAGTTGAAGTGACATTTTCCTCCAGAAGTAATAACGAAATCTCAAGCATACGCATCATATACATGCATATATATAATATCAGCTATATAAAATTGTCTTTGCAAATTTTGTAACCCTTTCCCCCTAACACAAAGTGAATATCCTTTATAATAAATTTAAAATCTGACGAAACAAAGATTTTATACCAATATGTAAAGATACAAACAAGCAATGTTTGCACTTCTACAGATATACAAACAAGAAACTGACCGAAGGCAAAGAGGTCAAGTTGCTATTTAGGGCGCCGCTTCGCACGAACATTTTCAAAAGAGTACAGATGCGTGTCTGCACCGCCAAACATATCAACGTCTGGCATAGCTATTCTCACATAAATGAAAGGGGATCTAAATTTTTAAAATGTAAATATTCATCATCAATATATTAAATAATCACCAAATATTTGTTTCTATTTAAATCGCAATGCTTTATCCCTTCAATTTATCTCCATAATAACAACTAATCTTATATTTACTCGTTTATAGGATATCTATTTTATTTTATTCCTGCTTAATAACTGTGTAAGAATTATAAGAGTTTTAAAACCCATTTCATGGTATTTAATTCTTGCTTTATGTCTCTTATATATCCGTGTAATATAAGACTCTAGAAAAGAACAATTTAGACGCGCTGATTCTATTTTAAAAAGCAACTCGTTGTGCCATCTATCGTCTGATTGCGAATCTATTAAAGTTTAAAACCAAGAAATGTTTAATAGTGAAAACGAAATTCATTATTACATATTTCGGTTACAAAAGAATAAAAAGTTAACTAATTAAAAATATAATAATAATTATCAAGTTCTATGCGTAAAATATCGACTGGAAACAATACAAAGTGAAACTTTTTATAAAAGTACTATATATATCTGATAGAGAGACATTGAAATATTGGGAAAAAAATACGTTAATACCATACCTTTATAAAGAATGTAACATAGTAATATAGTTAACTTGATAAACTGCGTTTACAAAAAAGAAACTTGAGCAAAATCGAACATGGCGGCAATGCGCATTGATGTGAAACGAAGTCGCTCATGCGCTTCACCCGCTGTCGCACCATCTGAATTATTATCTATATCAATGCAGGATGACAAACTTTTCAAAAAGTTTCTGACCTTTGTAATTATTTAAAAAATCAATACCAATTTAATACCGTACAAATATAATTAAAATTTTAAGATTGACCTTAAAGAGTTTATATAAGAGTAACCTGATAATAATAGAATATAATAGTTGACCTATAAAATCCTAAGAGTCCTAAAAAACGAAATAAAGGTATAAATTAAATTAAAAAAGGTTCTGCCCTGTTATCTATACCCGTTTGATAATTTTTAAACCAGAGGAAGAACATTTTTTATTTAAATAGCATAGTAGCATTATTTACGATTTCAAATGATATCGTCATTAATTTATCATTATGAAGGCTACATTTATTCACTTTTCATTGAATTATGCATATATATATCAATATATAATAGACAAAGAGCAAACTAAGCGTTGTAAATGTTCCAGCCGTGTTCAAATGGATCCGTTTTATAAACAAGAACATCTGTTAAACTCCTGCCTTGTCAGTCAAAATATTTAAGAAAACTTCAAAGAAATACATAAGACGATGCCTTTTGACCTATTTAATCAAATCGATGTACACCGAACGTTCTTCTAAAATCGAATTATAGCCCAACTTCGAACGAAAGAATCATATAATTGACAAATAAAGCATGACTGATGGAACGTTGAATAAATTGCTTTCATCTGTCCGAGTTTCTAGAAATGCGCGTGATTCGATGCGTGCGCATCTTGCATTTATTTGCCAAATGGCTTACAGAAGTTGTTTTTTTCTAGATAATTATCTCAGTTCACGTTTAGCTGAGAAAAAAGTTGGATTTTGTAAGAAAAAACCCCTCAATATAATATTTATCGAATGTATTTACAGAGGGCGCTGCTTGTTGATTAATGACCTACTTAAAGCAAAATGGCCGCTGAAAAAAAGAAATCGCCACGAAATAAAGCATTCAGCAAGGTAAGTTTAAATTATCATTATTTTCAAATTTTCTATTAATTATTATACGTAACAAAAATGATATTTGATTTTTTATAGTTGAGTGTTTACATTTCATTCAGATCGAACGATTTTAAAGCTCTCTTTCAAAAATATCCGATTTTTGCTAAATTACATATCTTTTCTACTTAAATTAAGCTTTCTCCTTCAATTTCTTTCTGCTTAGTTTTATTTATAATAGTTTTCTATAACTATTGAATATCTACTTGTAGCTTAATCCTAAAAATACTTAAGGGCTTCACAGATTCGCTTCTTACCTATAATGCTATAGGCGTAACCTAGTTTAAAGAAAACTCAGACTCATAAATTCTTACCAATTAAATCAATATACATCTATTGTAATATGTTAAGCGAACATAGTCAAACAATATTTAGCTTTTAAATAGTATATGTTCACAGAGATCAGTAGATAATACTTTCCTAGAGCCTGCTAAATCTCAAAAATAGTGACCTCTTAACTGTTCCGCTTTTGACCTAACCTTGTCATCTATTTTAAATTAAATATACATTTTTTATGCTTGGCAAACATTTTCATTTTATTTTTTATTGTATTTAGACATCAATATGTTTCGTCTAGCTTTGAAAGAGATATGAACCAATTATTCACAATATATGAGGTATGCACGTGTTTGAAATCGATGGGTATAATATATTATTCCACCCGCATATTGTTTCAACTAGCATATGTCTTATAGAAAGAGCTTCCGGCAATAGTAATTATACTTTTTTTGCTAGTGAAAAACTCATGCTAAATGTCTTTAAAAGTCGAAAAAATTACTTAAGTATAATATAGTTTTATCCAAGTTTTTACTTTAAAATCATAGATAAATTCGTTTATAGCTTTCACAATCTGTCTAAGACATTTTTATTTAAAATAAAGAACTTTGTCGTTAGATTGTAAATATATTTCTTGCAGCGCCTTGTAGTTAAACATGAATATAAAAAGTAAAAACAGGTTTTTCCTTGTAAAGAAATATTCTTTAATGGATCAAATCTTACAATCAGAACAGAAAATTGTACTTTAGACTGTCTAAGAAAAATAGTTCTTGTACATTTTACCAGTATACCACAATTCAAATTGCCTTTAAATGATGTAATAAATGACGCAATTGGGAATGTACGGTACCTACTGTTAAAGTCGCTACTAATTTTATAAAAAAACTTTTCACGGAATGACGTCATAATTGAAGGGATCGGAAAAAGAATGATATCAGAGACAGTTTAACCTTTAACCCGTGATCATTAAAAGCAATCATCATTATTTATGGCATTGAAGTGGTATATAAACTAAATGTGAGCCCAGATTACGCTTAAATGATTTGAATTAGTAAAGTGCTAATATATAGATACATACCTTGAAATTCTATCTGCAAAGTAGAAAGGGTGAGCAATGAATGATGACACTCGAATCTGAGCAATGGGGGCGCATGCATTCGAACCTCATTTGCATATTAGCAGCCTTCCTTTTCAACTCGAGTGCTATTCATATGCAACTGCCGAGAATGTTGAAAGCTTCTCTCTGTTCCGGTTTAAAAATATGTCATTGGAAAAGTAGAAAACGAAAACGTATTAAAAAAGAAAACATTTTCTATTTTTTGTAAAGAAAAAACTTGAATTTATAAAAGACATATTATGATAATTAAATCAACATAGATAAATCAAATGTCCCCTCAGTATTAAAACAAGAATCTGGCGTACCATCAAAATATAAAATATACTTTCTGTGTTTTTTATCTTATCTTTACTTTCCTCCGCTTCTCACCTTATCTTTCTTCTGTCTTCCCGTGGCCGTTAGCAATACGCACCACCTGCTTACCATATGACCTACTTTACCTCTAACTTTAGCCGACAGAATTTCATATATATAAAATGATATTGAAAGACATATTCCCTTTCAATCATAAAAACAAATAAATTATCTATAAAAGATGTTGAATTGAAAACAAATTGATCATTTTATTTATTATGCTAGAAATATCGTACTAGTAGTAAATTTTCCTTATTAATGGGGAAAAAGTAGTATAAATTAAAACTACTAGTATCGTTTCGAAAATAATAATAAACAATATTTTATCAATTCAATATTACTTTAATTTAAATTAAAAAAAATCTTGAATCATTCAAACTTTTCTTTAGAATTTCGAATTTTTTCACTGTAGTACTTAAAATGACATTGTTTTCGACTTAAGAATAAAATTGGTCGACCCCCATGAAGTTTTTTGATAGAAGAAATAACTACAAAATATACAAACGCATCTCGGAGCGATAATTCTCCAGCGATTTACCTCAAAAATGTGCCCGAAATGCAAAAACCGTTTGCAGAGTTTCTCCAGGGAAAACGCCCAAAAAAATCCACAGATTCTTACCGGCGAGAATAAAGGATTAATAAAAAACTCTACTCTAAATTCCAATTCGAGAAAAAATCGAACACGCGTAGAAGGCAGTACGCAATTATGCACTATCCTAATCTGATCCTTTCGGACGAAACCGGGCTAAATTATTATCGATTTCGCTGTTGATATGCGCGTGTCTAACGTAAACGGATTAACACGTAGCCAGGCCCCACAAGACGCAATGCAATCTAAAAAAATTCTCTTTTCCTTAGCAGTTTCCGCTAAAACGATTTAAAACGAAGATCTCTAAGTGGAACATTTGGTCCTCTTTGCCTATATCGGAGAGGCAGTTTGCCAGTTTGCTGACAGCTTGTCGCAAATTTTTTGGAAAAAAGAAAAGAGAACTATGTACCATTAATATTTATAATACCATTATTCGATTGAAAATAATGAGGTGAAAGGGTGAATTATAGGTCACTATAGCATGAAATATTTTATTTTACATGTATATGAAAAAAGTATAATTTAATTTGATGGTGTTATCTGGTAAAAACTTAATATACCATGTAAGCTCAGCTTTCTTAAAATTAGAACATTTCATCTTTGTTGTACATCCAACATTGTAAATTACAGTACTTTATAAAACATTTTCACGCTAAATTTATGACAACGAATACAAGAACAAGCGATGCGAAGAGTAAATTATCAAGTAGCTAATTAGTATGCGAAACAACTCGCCATAAAATGCAAATTAATGCGCTTTAAAGATCGCCATAACAAAGGCTGTTCAAAACACGACCCTGTTTTTAACGAAAATCACCGATCGGTGTTTTAAGAGGTTTTCTAAAACGATTTTTCATTAAATTTTTAATCAAGACTTGAATAGTAATTCTTTCATTATAAACATCTGCCTAGATATGCTTAATTACATTAAAAGGAAATCTTGTTTTCGAGTTGTAAACTAAGTCCCCCCTGCTAAGGAGGCTCAGATAACGTTATTTGGAAGACAGATCCTTTTTTCGTTAATTGCCTACGTTGTAAAATTTAAATGAAGTAAATGAAAAGCTTTCCTCAAACGTTGACAGTTCAGTAGAGGATAATAAGGCTGATTGTCAACTAGCATCGGTAAGCTTACATTCTTAGAAAATATTTTAAATATGTTTGATAATTTGCATAAAAGCGTCGTTTAAAACTCGTTTAAAATCTGGCGGATGTACCGTTTGTGATTTACGCTGTTAGTTACCCAACGAATTACGTAATATAAGTGTTACGATATCAGCGGAACCCTACTTGTTACGTGCCTTACTGTGCGTAGTAAGTCTTGCCAATTAGCTATTCAAGTATAATATATAAATAACTATGTAAAAAGATGTTTTACAAATTGTTTTCATTTATATTAATCAACTTTTTATTCGTATTTACTAGAGCTTTGGCAGCATTTTTTTCATTAAGCACTTTAATCAAAGCAAGTAATATTTTTAACATTTCGGTAACGTAGCTGTATATATGTATAAATATAAATGTAGAACGCTGATGTTGAGAATAAAAAAAAGGGCAAGAAAAGATATAGTGTGTTCTAGAGCGTGAAGATTCATCTGATTACATTCGTTTGTGACTAATCCGCTGAGATGCTCGGCTAATTGCTTATTTACTTTCCTCTTCCTTTACGGCTCTTATTTTTATATGCGTCCAATTTAGAAAAAAAAGAGTGAAAGAACTGATTCAGAAGTGAAAGTTTTATAATTTTTATTTTATATATTCGAAAGTGAGTGAAATTTTTACACTTTTGCAATATTCATTTAAAAATTATATGTTTTTTAACATGGAATAAAAGTTGAAAACTCCTAAATAAAAAATAATCTAAATGCTAAAACAATTAATTTAAAAGATATTCAAACAAAGTATCACGTTTCACATGTTGGAAAAATTGTAGCGTGACCTATTTAAAGTTTTTTGCTAATGTATTCGTAATGCCATCTGTAGTCTCACTAGAGAACTATAAGGTACTACCTTCGCCATCTATCTCATATATCTGACACTATTAAAATATTATATTTATCTCGTTCCAATGCGAGGCGAAATGTTACTGAAATGCTGGAAACTACGCCGAAAAAATACATAAATTGAAAGCGCTTGCAAAAATATTATTTTTTAATAGTAGTATTGATTGCTAAAAAAAGCTATATCAATTAAGTGTGAACATAATCACTAAGTATTGTTAATATGTCATTGATATTTAAACACTTGGAACTTCAAAGACTATTAAGTTTGACAACAAGTGTAAACTTTAGTGATAGATGACGCAACGCCACGCGAGAAGTGATCAATGAAGCGCATAATGATGACATACGAGTAAGAAGCGTGCAAATTTTATAATCACGACAGTCAATTTATTATAAAATTTATTTATATCATATTCTCTTAGTATATTTGCTCATAGACACCCTACCAGAAAATTGAAATGAAAAAGAAACAAATGCTACAGTCTTTTACTTTTTCCTACTTTTTTCTTACAAAGTATTAAGTAAAGTATCATGTCCTCTTAAAACCGAATGGACGGAAAGTTTTCTTAAAAATCAGAAAGATGGCGCTTTTTAATGGTGAAAGTACTTTTCCTTTGCACAGTCTTTTTTAAATTTTTTAGAAAATATTCTATTTCCATTGATTATAAAATTAACTCAGTTATGATAAATCAGTTAATAGAATATTTTGCAGGTGTCTGTCTTCATTAATGCTAATAACCTAAGAAATGTAAATGTTAAATATTTTTTTATGTAATTGAAGACTATCTACTTTTGAGATTAATTTTTAAGGCAATCCATAGAAATCGATTCAGAGTTGATCCGCTTAAACCTGCAATTCAATTCAATAGTAATATTTTGTTAAATAAACAGTAATAAGACGACGTAAACTTGTCGGTAAACATGAAAGCGAACCGGACGTGAGTGTGACAAAGACAGATGACTATACCTGCATATCAATCACTAAACTTAGACAGGTGAGTATAATGAAACTGACCATTGGCCACAAGCATAATATACGGGCTCCGTTCATACATTTATGACCTACTTTTTTTATTATTTTATAAAGACCTCATTTTAAATAGGTAACTTCATGTTTAAGATAAACATTATTTTTAGGAGGAAAAACATTAGTAATCCATCATCTTTAGGGAAAAAATCACAAGACTTAATCTAGATATATGTTGCTAAAAGTTTTCCCTTTAACTCACAAAAAATTGCTGGCACTTAATATCTGAATGTATGGCTCTAGATATTCGAATAAAAAACCATTATTCCTTCTGTAGCTTCTTACTTTTAAAAGTTTAATTGTTAAATTTCTATGATGTATGATATATAAAACGAAATATTCTATAAAAAGTTAACATAAAACAAATTATTTACTTTTACACTTTCACTTTTTAAAACAAGAAGAAAATATCGAAATAAAGTCGTTATTATAGTTAATTTATAAACGAAATTTTTCAATTTCGTTTTTGTTACGTTATATTTTAAAAGAAATTGAATAAAGTTAACAAATTATGAGCTTTACTAGTTTGTTAGAGTTGGGAGTACTTTATATATTCGAAACTGAAAAATATACGATAAACACAGTCAGATTGTTTCAATTTTTCAATTGTTTCACCTTACCAGAGGCATTGGCTTTTTAATGTCAAAATCAGGCCTAATTTACTCTTCTAAATAGCAAAAAAAGCGCAGAATTATACGCAGATGACGGACAAAAGGCGACCTCATTTATCAGAAGGGTCGCTTAGAAAATATTGAATAATATTATTCTATAGGTTTAATTACAGCTCCTTAGCTACTGTACAGTTTTTCGACGAATCGTTGAAGAACATAAAAATGAAAAATGACCATCACTGACACTCCACGTACGCACTCAGCACCATTCAACATGGCTGCCGCTTAGCGAACGCCAAGTATTTACGGCCGGGCCATAAAAATAACAAAAGAAGCATTTAACTTCATTCCGAATGTTTATAAAAATTCTACAGTGAGTATTCTTAACGATTGCTTGTTGGGAGTAGAATGGTAAAACTTTTCGTTGTAATTAAGTTGCTCTAGGTTAGTGGAACGAAAT